CCCATCAATAAACACCATACACGCGCCGTGCAGCAGGGCCGCAGGAGGCGCCGTTCCGTTGGCGGTGGCCGAGTTGATGAACGTGACCCACGCCAAAATGTCTCTGAGCGAGATGACGCCGCTCGTGGCTGAGCCATTGCCCAGTCGCAGGCCGTACCATTCCGAAAAGCGTACCACGGCATCTGCCAGGTGGCGATTTCCCGGCGCCAGTTGCGACTCGACGATCTGCCGCACGTCGTCAAAACTCTCCATCGATGGCACCCATATTTCGGTGAATCTATTCCGCAGCGCTGGCGACAACTCTTTCTTGCCGTAGTCGCCGCCCGGGTTCATCGTGGCGAAAAACTGGAAGTTTTCGTCGGCCACCACGGCAGCGTCCTCGCTGCCCTTTTCGGCAAGCAGCAGACTGCGTTCAGGCTCCAGCACAGAGTTCAATCTTTCAAGAACAGAGTCGTCCGCCAGCGAGATCTCATCAAGCAAAAAGAAAGAGCCGTTTTTCATCGCCGTGACCAGCGGGCCGTCGAACCACTCGAAAAGCACGCGCGACGCAGCCTGCAGCTTCTCTATGGTTGTAATTTCCTGATCAGAAAGCGTCCCTTGACGCCGCAAATCGTTGTAGACGTCCATAGCGGGCTCTAGGCCCTCATACGTGGCGCCGTGCGCGGCCAGCACACTGCGCAGACCCGCCTCGAGGTTTTCCTTGAGTCTCTGTCTATTTCTGATTGGTCTCTGCGATCCAAGCAAATCGCCCGTCTCGGTGTTCTGGTGTGCATTGACAACGACCAGTTCCTTGCCGTAGAACTCAGCTACCAGCTGGCAGACCGTTGTTTTCCCGCACCCGGTCTCACCCACGAGCAGCAACGGCTCCTTGTACTTGATAGACTGGGCTACCAGCACAGCGAGCCGGCGCATGGCCTTGGTCCAGACCACCGGTCCCGGCCGTTGCAACAGTGGCGCAAGTTCCTGCTGCTCGAGCTGGGCGTAGTGTGCATCCATGTCAAGCTTAACACGCATCACCCTCTCGATCGCGGTCTTGACCACCTCTTTTTCCTCTGGCCGCCGCACACGTTCGGCCAGCAGCATATACCCGTTGGCAGCGAGCTGCTCATACCCGACCGCGTCGCGCAAGGCCCAGCGGAACAGGTCGCGCAACGTGGCAAACGAGTTTTTCTTTTCGAACAGCCGCGTGCTCTGCCGCTGTACAGACAGTTCCTTGTACACCTCGACGATCTTGTGCGCGTACGAAGGCGCAATCTGGCAGCGTTCGCGCAAGATAATCTCCAGCTCGTCCTGCGGAATGTCGTCAAAGTGCAGCTCCAGAAACCGGTTGCGGAAAGCCTTGGACAGCACTTTTCTGCCCCCGTACAGCCCTGGCGGGTTCTGCGTGGCAAACAGCATAAAGTCTGGGTGCGGCCGCACCACCTCCTGGGTTTCCGGGATGAACAGCTCTCTGTTGTCGTCGAGCAGTCTGTTGAGCGCCTCGAGCACGTCTGTCGGCGCGAGGTTGAGCTCGTCCAACACGATCCAATGGCCCTTGCGCAACGCATCCACCAGCACGCCCTCGCGGAAAACAAGCTTGCCCGTGTCGTCCGACACATACGTGCCCAGATACTCCTGCAAGTCGGTGTGTTCGTGGTTGTTGATGCGGACAAACGTGTGCCCCGTGATTTTCGCGAGATAGCTGATCATCGAGGTCTTGCCCGCCGAGGTTGGACCCTGGATCAGCACAGGGAACCGGCCGCTGGACGCGCGCACAAGGTTCATCAGATTCTTTTCCACAAACGGCGTCATGATGTAGTGCGGCTGCTGCTCGGGCTCGTGGGGGCCACGGCGCATCCAGTAGTGCTTGAACTGCACGTAGCGCTGCGTGTCGCTCGATGGGTCTGCAGGAACCTGTGCCAGCACGGACCGGGCGTTTTTCAGCCGCTGGATCGTGTGTTTTTCGATCAGCGGCCGCAGCTTGGCCTCCGACTCGGCGTCCAGCAGCGTCAAGAACGCCATGCAAAAGCCCTCGTACAGCGACCGCCTGAGACCGTAGATCGCCACGATGTCCCGCACGTACTGCAGAGTGCGCGTGAGCGTGCGCACGCTGAAGTGCGGCTTCTGGTTGCTGCCGTCGACGATCTGATTTGTGTCGGCGAGCCGCTTTGCCGCAAGATACAGCTCCGCCACGTCGTTGCCGACCCACTCGTCGGCCAGCGCGTAGCGGCCAATGTAGCTGTCGATGATCATGAGCAGGTCTGCAATGTCCTGGTCGGGCGAGTGCACGTAGATCTCGGTGAACCGCGAGCGTATACCTTCGGGCAAGTCTTTCTTGCCCACGTCGGTAGCAGGGTTCATGCAGCCGAAAATGCGGAAATCGGGGTGCGCCTTGACGCTCTCGACGTCTCCCTTCTCCGACAGCAGCAGGTTGCGCTGCGCAGTCTCCTCGTTCAGCAGCTCTGCCACGCTGTCCAGCGTTTCTGGTGCCGCCAAGTTCATTTCGTCCAGCAGCACCCAGTCGCCGCTACGCACAGCGTGCACCAGCGAGCCCTCGACAAACTTGAACACGAGCGACTTGTCGGCAGAGCTGGCCTGTTTCTCGAACTCGCGCACCCGTTCATACAGCGCCCGCCACTCGGCCATCAGAGCGGCCTTGTCGGTGTCGTTGAGCTTGCGTTTTTTCGCGAGCTCGTCGTCCTGCTTTGCAAACAGCGTCTCGGCCATCTTGAACGCCTCGCGCCACAGCCGCACAACGCCCTTCCACTGCGCTCTGTTGAACATTTTTGCCAGCAGTTTGAGGAACTGCTCGTTCTTCTTCACGGAAAACGACCGCCGGAACAGCTCCTCGAAGTCCTCCTGCAGCGGGATCGCCAGACTCTTGGTTGTCACCGGCTTGAACCCGCCAAGCAGGTCGCCCACCTCGGTCTGCTGCGACACGTTGATCACGGTGAGTTTTTTGTTGAGCAGCCGCGCCATCTCCTGGACAATCGTCGTCTTGCCCGTTCCCGTCTCTCCAACAAGCAGCAGCGGCTCGCACAACGCGACACCAACGCCGATCTTCTCCATCAGCCGCAGACAATGGTTGGTCCGCGCAAATGCTGTGCTCTTGCGCGCCGGCTTCAGCCCAAGGGCCGTCTTTTTGCGCAGGTGTGCCCGCCCCACAGACACAGCGTCGGGGTATTCCTCAAATGACGGCACGTGCTTGTTCAGATGCACCGTTGCCCGCGACGTCGGCACCTCCAGACACACGGCAACGGCCTGGACGACGGCCTCAATCGGACTGCGCTCCACTATCGAGCTCGTGAAACAGTCCACTGTTTCCTGGAAAATCAGGTCAAACACCTCCTCCGGAAGCAGACTGGCGCTGTCTACGTGCCGGTCCTCCAGAATCCGCGTGCACCGTCTGCACAGTTTCATTAGATCTCGGATCGTGAGAGCTCTGGGCTGTGCGCCCCTGTTCATGCTCAAAAACTTGCGTGAGTCGTACAGCTCCCTCACGCTTTGGAAACACTTGATGAACATGGCGGTGAAGTTTGCCAGCAGCGGGAACTTGGTGTCCAGAATCGTGCGCAGCTCTTTTGTGTCCAGCTCCTCAAGCTCTACAACGTTCCACAGCCGCAAACCAATCATGTCGTGCAAGGTGATCTTGCGCAAATCGCCTGCCACACGCAGCGACGAGATCAACTGGAACCCGTTTGCCGCCTTAATCACCTCGCCTCGAGATGGAATGGTGAGCTCTCTTTTTTCGAGCAGGCTGAGCAAGATCGACAAGACCTCGTTCGGCGCCTTGTCGATGTCCTCCACAAGCACCCAACGGCCTTCCTTGACGGCTGTGGTCAAAACGCCGTTTTTCCATTCAAAAGTGCCCGGCTTGGCTCCCGATGAGTACGTTCCGAGAAGCAGCTTCGAGTCCGTTTGCTGGTTCAGATGGATCTTCACCATTGTGTCCAGCTGCAACATTCTGGCCACCTCGTTGATCAGAAACGTCTTGCCCGTTCCCGAGCGGCCTACCAGCAGCACAGGCTCGGACCTCTGTATGCATTGCGCCAGCTGGTTCATAGAGGCAAGAGACTTGGGAAGCGGCACAAACTCGGACCTAGCAACTTCCTCTGTTCTGCCGCGCATCAAGCCGCAAATGTTGGGGATCACCACGTCAGCCACGATCGTCGCACCGGCAGAAAAGTCTTGCTGCACAAATTTGACGGTATACTTATTTTCCGCGCGTGCGGGCTTCAAACTCGGGTATTTCAGCATATCAGCAAGCCTTTGGGCCTCATATAAGGCAACAAACTCGTAGTCGATCTGGTCCACGCCCTCATAGACGCCCAAAAAAGGGCCTCGACCAATATGGTTGTGGATCATTTCAGCCGCCACCTTCTCGGACAGAAACAGGTGGATGGCAAGGATCTTGATTGCAAGCAGCTTGTTCACCGAAGATGACTTCTCAGAACTAATTATGGAGTGTAAAAGTGCAGAGTCCACGTACCGGTGGAACTTGTCCCTATGCGCAGTCAGAAGCCTGTAAAAAGACAGCAAGATGGACTGTAGTTCGTGCTGGTCGATGGTCTCGATGTCGATCATGCTGAAAAACTGGTTTTTCTGCAAATAGTACTCGATAATTGTCAAAGTTTCCGCACAGCTCGTGCCGATCTTGGACAGACTGCTCAGGGCCGCAGAACCTGCAACAGACACAGACTTGTTGCGGCGATTCAAATACGCTCTTTCGATCGCATCGTTGCTCGCAATACGCGACACCACCTCCACCACAAGCGGCCTCAGAGCACACACGTAGGCGGCAGTGGCGTTAATGTCGAAAAAATGGAGTGCTATGTTCGATAAGTTGGCAGAGTTGGAAATATTCTTATCAAAAAGGTACGGATCTGGAACAAGACGGCCCGGAAACTGGGCCTGAATCTCCCGATAAATTTTAAGGTACTGCTGGAAGTCTATGACTAGCGAATATGACATGCTGGTTGACGTCCAAGGGGGTGGTACTCTATAATGTATCTGAAATATTTTTCCTAAATTTTTTTTAAGCTCTACACCGCCATAATCTCCCATTAGTGCTTACGTAATCCATCCTCGCCGCGAGAACGCCTCCATTCGGGAGCACCGCTCTGTCGCGGCACGAGAGGCCCGCTGGGCGTGGGACGTTGGCTCCCGCGCCGGCTCTTGTAGTCGTTAATGAAGTCTGCCAGCGTCGCAAGCAGGTCGTCGTCGTCCATGCCGATCCATTTGCTCAGATTAATGTACGCTAGCGTGTCTGCCAGCTCGTATTCTCCGAGCCTGTTTCTGGGCAACTGGCCCTTTTTGATGTATTTGGGCGACACGTCCGCAATATACGTCGCACTCACGGCAAACACGTACGACATCTTTTTGCCCCAGCCATCGCAATAAAGCGTCGGGTTGTCGAACTGGTTTTCGCAGCTGTCGAGATGGACCCACCGTTTGAGGTACTGCGAGTAGTATTCGCACCACACATGGTCTTCTGCGTTCCAAATGTACCGCGCCTTGAGCCCGAGCGCGCACAGGATCAGAATAAAGCAGTTGTTCCACTCTCCGCAGCGTCCTTTGCGGAACGAGAGCAGCGTCTTTGGGTTGTTGTAGCGCGGGAACTCGATGGTTTGGGAGCACTCCGCGCACCTGTACTGCTCAATGATGTCCGCACGGCCGTCGAAGTGCTCTTTTTTGTATGGCCCCACCGGCGGGAGCGGCTGTATCTTTGTCTGGTCTGCGTTGCCGCAGGGACAAGGGGGCCGATTAATCCACGTGAAAAAATCGTTCTTGTACCATTCCAGCAGCGCTCTGACCAGCCGGTCCGTGTAGTCTGGCTCGTCGGCGTGGTTCTCCAGCCGCTCGTACACGCCCGACTGCAGCACCACGTCGAGGGCGGCGCTCTGGGCCTCTTCGTCGGCGTACTTGTCCATGAGCCGGCTGATCACGGCGAGCTGTTGTCCAAACGGACGACTGCTGGGCCGGCGCTCTGCGAGCAGCCTGCGAATGGTCTGGCGCTGCTGTTGGGCGTATTTCTGCTTAAATAATTCTGCCAGCTGAGAGATTTCCATAAATATTATTTTTCCATGCCTCGATCCAAACACAGAAACACACACTCGGTCCATTACAACCCCTGCGCGCTGCAGAAGGAGCTTGTGGGCGAGAAACTGCGGCTGTATGGCTACCTTATCTTGGCGGTCAGCTGGGCCGTTTTCGTGGTGAGCATCGGCACTGTGGTCGGGGCCTGGGGCTGGGTGTTCTCCAGCACCAGCGCCGCCAAGTGGCTCTCGCAGTGGAAAGTGCTGGACGGCGAGGGCAACGAGATCATCGACAGCTACTATCTTTACGCGTTTGCTCTGAATTTTGTCATTTTGTGGATCTGGTGCGTCGTGTCATGGCTCAGCATGAAACTGTTCAGACACAGCAAGGGCAGTGGATAATTTATTTACAGCTCTATTTCACCTCAAACACGTGGACTTGCTTGCCCGTGCGGATCAGCAGCAGCCGGCCGTCGACAACGAGGTTTCTGTCGACCGGGTCGTCCCACCGGCTCAGCTTGACGCGCTGCTTGCCGACAGAAACTGCGCCGCCCGCCAGCAGTCGTTTGATCTCCTTTTTCGACACGCCCGCCAGCTTGCGGTGCAGAAGATCCCCCACGCTCGCGAGTTCCTCCTTGCCGACCGCCGTGATCATGTTTTGTCGACGGAATGCGGCCAGAACCTCGTCGACGTCCAGCTCTGTGTCTTCGTACAGTGCGTCGCTAATCACCATGTTTGCTCGGCCCTCTCCGTTGCCGTGGAGAAGGTCGCATAGTTCCACCGCCAGCAGGCGCTGGCCCAGCCGCAGCGCCCGGTTGTGCCGGTGAAATTCGCACACGCGCTCGATCAGCGCCGTTGGCAGCAGCGAAAATTTATACAGCAGCTTCGCAACGTCCTCGTCCAGCGTGTTGTACAGAAACTGGTACAATTGGAACGACGGAGTGAGGCTCTTGTCGATGAAGACGGCATTGCCGGCGCTCTTGCCGAACTTCACACCGTTCGCGGTCGTCAGCAGCGGCACAGTGACGCCAAACGCTTTTTTCCTCTCGCCAGGGTGCAGTCTGTCTATCAAATCCAAGCCGGCAACAATGTTGCCGTACTGATCGTTTCCGCCCACCTGAACGTCAACGCCGTGGTTTTCATTCAAATAGTAGAAATCGTAGGCCTGCAGCAACTGGTACGTGAACTCGTTGAAGCCTATGCCCTGCTCAGAATCCAGTCTGCTTCTGATCGACTCTCTCGAAAGCATCTGGTTTACTCTGATGAACCGGCCGTATCTGGCCAGAAACTCCAGAAACCCCATATCTTTCCACCAATCGTGATTGTTGCGCACGGCAACCTCGCCGTGGCGCCTGTCCAGCAAATGGTTGCGACTGGCAGCGTAGCGACGGCCGTTGGAGAAAAACTGCTCGAACTGCGCCTCGATACGCGCCACGTTGTCCAGCCGCTCCTGCTGCTCCATCTGCGCGCGCTCCGTCGTTTTCCCTGACGGATCACCAACCGTTCCGGTGGCTCCTCCCACCAGGGCTGTGATACTGTGTCCCCGGAGATTGAAGTGCAAAAGAACCATCAGCGGAAGCAGGTTGCCCAGATGCAACGACTTTGCCGTTGGGTCTGCTCCGCAATACAGACCGAGCGTTTTTTCGCGGGCCAGCCGGGCCAGGTGGTCTTCGTTGACCACCGTCTCGATCAGCGACCGACGTCGCAAATGATCAATAATTGGCTCGTTGGCGTCGGCCTCAAAATCCCCGACACGTGTATCGATTGAGTGCCGCGCCAGCAGGTCGCTCACCGCCAACGGAAACGCCCGCACCTGCCGTGTGGTGGAAAATAGCCGTCTCAAGGACATGAATAATTGAATATTTAAATTTTCAGGAGCTAGGTGTGGTTGCGATATACAATTACTCTATTTAACACCCTCCAGTTTTTGCCTCTTGACCGCCTCCTCGCTCTCCATCACGCGCTTCATGCTGTCCTGGATGACCTCCCGGCCGTCCTTGCCGTCCACGCGGCGGAAATACGGCTGCAGCCGCCAGTATGGCACCTCTCTGTACCGGCCGCCCCAGGTCTCAACCTCGCCCACACGCACCTGGTCGAGCTCGGCAATGTTGTCCTGCTGGTAGATCTTGGCGACCACATCCTCTATCATTTTCACCACCGCCTCAAACTCCTCCAGCGGCGAGTTTCTGCTCAGTTTGGCGATCTCGGCACGAACGTCGGTGTGGATGCTCAAAAAGTTGCGCAACGATTTGAACAAGTGCGACTTGAAACACCGGCGGCTCTCCGAGCCCTCACACCGGGCAACAACGTCAAAATACTCGCGCACAAACCGGTCTATTCGCGGGAATTGTTTCTCAATATCCTCGGTCTCCGTCCAAAAAATGCCCGGGTTGTATAAGTTCCCCTCTGCAGACATCACCGCGTCGCAGCCAACCTCTTTAATGCAACGGTCAATGTCGTCCGGATACAAAATGTTCCCGTTGCTCAGAAAAACAGTCTCTGGAGGCAGATTGTCTTTGATGTACTTCACGAGCTTCCAGTTCGCAAAGCCGGTTTTCTGTCCCTTCATCTCACGCGTCCGCCCATGAACGGTGAGAAATTGTGCTCCAGCATCCAGACACATCTTTGCGTACGCGAGACTCTTGTCCCAATCGTCGTAGACCCTGATTTTAGCCGTCACTGGGATTTTGAGGTTTCTGTGCAAGGTATTGATCAGTTTGGAAATGAGGTCCCAGTCCTCCATCAAAAAAGACCCGTAATGGCCCTTGCGCGCTATTCCTTGAGGACACCCCAGGTTTAAGTCCACGGCATCGCATCTGTCCTCAACGTGCTTGGCGGCTTGAAGAAGGAAATCGGGGTCGTTTGCACAGAACTGCACAATCAAGGGTCTGTCTGCTTCGGAGCCATCCATCGGGCCAAACATTTTCTCACGATACTTATCGTCTGTCGCAAAAAGCCGAGAATGAAGCATAGGGGAATAGCACAGGTCAGCGCCGTACTTCCTGGATATCATGCGCCATGCAAGCTCCGAACCGTCCACCATTGGTGCAACCACCTTTTTCGGACGGCCGAGCTTGTCGTAGAGCTGCCTACCGGTCAATTTTGAACTTGTCATAAAAAAAGACTGAAGGCTTGATCGCATTAATTTTTTTTTTTTTTATTTTTTTTTCCAAAGAAATTTTCTTATTCATGCAAACATTATATAACGTCACTTTAGCGGGACGATCCTGGACTGAAACGGGATTGCGTGTGGTGAATTGCTGTGGCGCGAGCTTTCAAAGCCTCGGCAAAAACGAGAGCAATAGGCCACACCGGCGCATCAGCCAAAATACGGACTCCCAAAGACAAGCATCTCGAGCTCAACCTAGCACTCATCATGATCTGGGCAATTGGCCGCAGGTCTCCTGGCTCCAAAGCCAGTCTGGCTATTTCGTCGTCCAGGATCTCGACATCCAACGCGCCGTTAGCTTGAATGCGCAAGAATTCAGAGTACGACGAGTTGTTGGACCCTTTTGGTAGCAAGTTTTCTTCCACCTTCTTGAAGATGGTCTCCGTACGGAGCCAGAGCACTCTGTCGGCTGTAGTGAGGTCGTTGTATTTTTCTGGCGCCGACAGGTAGTTGATGGCCCATTCTTCGGTAGTGTAGAGGTATTCGGAAATGAGAAGCGCGGACGTGAACAGGCACGTCAAAAAGAAAATCGGCGTTCTGACAGACGTTTTTTCTGCATCGTTGGTGATGGAGATGATCTCGACCCAGAGATTGATTATGTCGAGCGAGTAGTTGATAGAGTCCCGCAGAGCCTCCAGGTCGCCGGTGAGGTTTTTGATTTCCGTGTTCATGCCATCCCAGTCTCTGTACCAGACCTTTTTCAGAATTGGAGAAATGTAGACGCATTTGCATATTTTTGCAAATGACAGGAGCGGCAGAATCAGCTTCAGGACAGGACTCTGGCTGATGGTGTGCAGGTTCTGCCCGCGCGGGACTATCGGTCCGCCGTTGCGGATGAAACAGCTTTCCCACGACTTGATGATGCTCTCCAGCTGAGGTCTAATTTCCAGTCTCCATTCTGCCATGTTGGCTTCGACGCTCTTATTGGAGTTGGCCAGTTCCTGGCGCTGGCGATGGATATCTCCGTTCAAGGACATCAGCAGCGACAAGAGACATCGGAGCCCAATTTCCTTGTCGAGTGTGTGGTTGTTCAAGTCACGCCAGAGGTCTTTGTACGAGTTGAACCCGTTGCTGAGCTGGATGAGCGAGAACTTCGAGTCGATGCGCACGTTGTTCTCTTTGAGGACCGCCAGCCAGTCCAGTTCGGTCTTGCTTTTCCACAGGCTCTCCAGTGAGCACGGAGACCCGCATCTGATGTCATCTGCGGTGAGCTGGATATTAGACCCGATCAGCGTCCCAAACAGCACACAAAGGTAATGGAGACAGTGGACGGTGCGAATTCGGCTCTGCGCTCTGATGAAGTATTCGTAGCACGACCTCACAAGGCTGGAGTTGCCGGAAATCTCGGTCGTGATGGTTGGCGGGAGCTGGAACGTTTCCACGGGCATGTCCAGCTTGGTGGTCTTGACCAACGACACCAGCGAAGTGAGCTGGCGCGAGGTCAGCTTGGTCACTTCGACGTCGTTGTGGAACATGCCCAGAAACATGTGCAACAGCAGCGCCTGTGTGATGTGCAGGGGCACCTCGTTGAATTTATTCTGCGCCAGCTGGCTCTCCATAAAGTTGTGGATCAGGAACCTCGAGAAGTTGAAGAGCGTGGACGAATTGCGCGCGTGGAACGAGTACAGCGCGCCGATCGCCGCCATCGAAAGCAGCAGCGGAATCTGCTCAAGGTCGCGCTCGACGTTCAGCGATGGAATGTGAACGAACGGGAAGTACTTGTCGAACTCGATTTCGTAGAGTGCCAGGTAGTGGTTCAGGTCGTCGGACTGCGGGAACTGCGACGCTTTCAGTTGATACTTGTTCATGATATGTGTGCGCACCATTTCGGGGAAACGACCGGGGTGGGCTGGATGTTGCTGGTGGTGGGAAAACGAAATATGTTTGAATAAATCAAGTTGCCGGGAACGGAAGAACTGCGAGAGATCGTTTGTTGGGGAGTCGTTGGACAACGGAGAGTGGTTGGAGTTGTTGGTGGCCGGCGAGTCGGTGAACCCGATGTGGTTGGACACGGCCGGGAACTCTGTTTCGATGGGCGCGTTGATGAACTCAAACAACCAGTCCTCGTTGGCATGCCGGTCGTCATCGGTCGAGGGCTTACTGTCTTTTTTTTCCGGGCTTGTGAGCGAGTTGTTGCTGAAAACGCTGCTTTCCGGGGTGAAGTCAAACTCCTGGCTCGTGAGCTTGCCCTGGAACAGCAAGGTGATGGCCGGCGGCGCCGCCTGCGGGACGCTGGCAGTGTGTTCGTGCAGCCCCTGGAGGTCCAGGTTGTCCAGGTCCAGATAGACAAGGTCGCCCTGGTGGTACCTGAGCTGCGGCGAGCTGAACTGGACCTGCTGCGGCGCGTCGTTGGTATAGCCCGTGTACGAGTTGGAAGTGGCCGCAGAAAACGACGCGTGCCGATGTGCTCTGCGGTTGTTTTTGTCTGCGTCCATGCTCTCGTCCACGGAGGCACCCCTGGACGGGGTGCCGTCGGGGGCGACACCGGAGCCAGACACGCTCTGCGGCGAGAAGAACTGGCCGGCGGTCTCGTCCTCCTCCAGCGAGGGGCTCCCGCTGTTGGGCAGAGGCAGTTGCGCATTCGTGTTGTTGCGGACGATGTTGATGTTGTCGTTTAGATAGTCGCTCACAATCTCGCCGTCGCGCGGAGACGACTTGACGCCGCGGCCCTTGCGCGGCGCCTTAGCCCTGTTGTTGGTCGGCAGCGACGAGTGCAATTTTTGCTGGTGTCTCAAAACAAGGTCTCGCCGTGCAAAACAGCGTCCGCACGCCGCACATTGGAACGGCTTCTCGTTGGTGTGGCTGCGCTCGTGCCGTTTGAGGTGTTCGAGCCGGGCAAACGCGCGCGTACACGTGGCGCAGACATGGGGACGGGGCTTATCTGTCTTGATGGTCGCACTCTTCTTGGGGATCGGCATCGGCTCCTGGCACAAGTCTGGATCGGCCTTGTGCGTGGCGGTGTCCAGGCCAGACAGCGCGGCGTTCGCCAGTCCGGGAGCCGGATCCAAAGAGTACTGCGTAATGGATACTACCTTGTCCGTCATGATGACCAATAAATATTATCCATCAAATATGTAAAACTAGGGGGTTGCCGTTTTTTTCTATTCTACCAGCAAATTTTTAAATGCGTTTTCACCGTCCCCAGACCATGCTGCCCTACAAGCCACCGCGTCACCCCGTTTATTTTTTCACCTCGCCCGACTCGCGGCAGCCTTCGGACTCCTACAACACATGCAGCTTTTCACAAAGATGACGCAAATCCGGGGTTGCCGCCACCCATTACCAGAAAAAGCTGTGCATGCATATTTTTCATCTCTATGTGGCATATTTTTTGGACTGGGGGTTCGGATTTTCGTTGAAAACCCCGTTTTGTTGAGTCTCGCGGCCAAACTCCGAGCCCACCGTCATAGCGTACGCGTCCTTGAACGACCGCACCACACAGTCCGGAACCCCCACGCCATCGCCAAACGTTGTTCCGCCCAGCGTCACACTGTCTCCGAATTCATGCCGGACCGCCCCGACCACTTTGCTCACCATCTCCTCGTGGCCAACACGGTACTGTGGAATCGCGTCCCTCCAGTACTCAATCTCAATCACCTCTGTCCCGTTGCACTTGTCCAGATCGATATGAAGCTTGCTTAGTAGCACATCACGCACGATCTTGTGCACTCTGGACCGCGTCGGCAGGTCATCGCCGTTCTTGAGCTGATGCCCGCCCAGCATCAGCGTCAGCTTCGTGTATGAGTTTGTGATCGCGGCACCCCTGTTGGCCACGGCCTTTGCTAGCTTTGCCAGTTTCTCGTCCGAGATCGGAGACGGGCTCGTCAGCTCGGCGCTCACGTCGTTGTAGAAAAATAGCCGTCTCGAGTTCTGCTCGATGTCGCTGTCGAAAATCACTCCTAGCAGCTGAGTCTCGTCCTGCATCGTCTTGGGCACCAGAAAGCCAAATCCGGGGTGCGACAGCAGCTTCAAAGCGGGCAAATACACGTTTGCCAGCACAACCGTCGCGTACTCCACGGGAGCCACCAGAGCGCCGATCTCCGCGTTCTGCAGCACCGCAGCTGCTGCCCGGGCGTCCACAGTGAGACGTAGATGGTCCACGCGCACCATTTCGCCCGTCGAAAGCGTCAGCTCTAGCCCGTTGTCCTTCTTAGCCACACCTCGCACCGCCGTGTTTGTGTGCACAGACACGTTGCGAGGCAGGTTTTTCTCGAGCACCGTCACCAGCGACTCGAGACCGTCGTGCATGGTGAGCACGGGGAATTTGCGCAGGAATCGGGCCGTCTTCGACACGTTGAATGCCGGCCTGAACACCTTCGCGTACAGTTCGACCTCGGGCGCAAGCTGATTGGGGGTCTGTTTTTTCAGACTCTGCAGCAGCTGCGACACGCCGTAGCGGACGATCGACCCGTGCTGGCGCTCAATGTCCACCAGCCGCGACAGCACGCTGACAGCACTTAGTTGAGAAACGTCTCCCGCGTAAATCCCATGCATAATGGCGCTCACAACGTTGTCGGACACAGATTTGTTGAACCTCCTCGAGACGAACTGCTCCACCGTCTCGTCAGGCGTGGATTTGGACCTCACAAAAGGCTCCTTGAGCAGGCCAAACAAAACACCCTTGCCGAGCGGGTCGAACAGAAACCGCAAAAAGGAAGAGAACGAGTACGGAACAGGACTCAATTTCCCCGAATGGCCCTCTGTGTCAGAGTAGGGACTCAGTAAATATTTTCTATTACCCAATGAGTTTCGCGAGATGCCAAGGAGTTCGTTCTGGGCATTGCATTTGAAGAGCAGGTCCAGAATCAGCAAAACGCCGGGACTTTCTCCGCGGAGGGTGCGCGGTCCTTTCTCCAGAATGGTGTAGTCCTGGTTGGCGCGGGAATCGTATTCAGTGGTGCCAAGCCGTTTCGATCTGATGTAGCCCCCGCATCTGGCCGACTTCTCGTACAGACTGATTTTGAGATCCGGCCGCAACTTACCGAGAAAGTAGGCATAAGTAAGCCCCGAGATCCCGCCACCGACAATTCCCACTGTGCCCTGTTGCGGAACGATTGGCATGAAAAATGATTTAAATTGGGTGATTTTTTATTGGAAAATACAGGGGGTGTCACTATACTTCATTTCTTTTACGTCATCTATTACGTCATCAGCGATTGGTACTCCTTCTCCAAGTCCGAAGAGTACACCAACTCGCTTTTTTGTTCTTCTGCCGGCTGCAAACCTGCCGTCTGAACCAGCTGGACTGGTCTCTTGATGATCCATCGGTCGTCTTCCTCGAGAGTGTACAGCAGGTTGAGGATTGTGAGATAGTTGTCGGTAATGAGCTTGATATCGTTGAATTTATTCTGTCTCATCAGTTCCATGCCAATGGTGTTGAAACGGTACAGCGCCTCCACGGCAGCTCTATAGTCGCCTTGCTTAAGGCGCAAGGTGTGGCATATACGGTAGTATTTGAGAGACGTTTTGAGATCGCTGTTTAATGCGCTCGATTCGCCCAAACTGTAGATAAGGTCGTCCACCTTGTCCGCATCCTCGTTGAACGGATAATCCAGGATTTTCGGGATCTGGTTCATCTGGAACAGCTTGTACACAAACTGCTTGATTGGGTGTTTTCTGTATTTTCTCTCCATTTTCAGAATCGTGTCGTGGGCCAGTTTGAATTCCTGCAATTTGAGAGCCAGCTGAAACACTTTTAGCAGAATAGCCTGGTCGTCCGAGATGTCCTTAAGCTCTGTTTTTGTGGCAAGTGCTTTCAGAGCCAGCTTAAGAGCCAGCTGGTCGAACTGTTTCGACTCAAACAGAGTGCTGAGGTCGTAGAAGTAGTCTGTTTTGGAGTCCACCAGAATCAGGTTCGTGTAGTCGGACACCGGTTGCAACGCCTTTTTATCTGCTGCGGACGCTGTCTTTGCGGCCTGTATAATTTGGTCTACCTTGGAGGTGAACAGCTCAAACGCCTCCTTTCCCTGCTTCGTCTTGAGCAAAATCAGCCCCTTCAAAATGTTAGAAATTCCAGTTTCGGGAAGATATTTTACCAAATGTGCGTCCTGGAACCTTTCGTCCTTAACAAGCTTTGCCACGATCGAGTAAATAAACGTGTTCTGTAGCAAAAGACCAAAAATGTGTGTCAACAAATGGTTGAGATTGCTGGCTCTCACCAGAACTCCACCCTCGAAAATATCCTCTAAATGTCCCAGCAGCAAATACGACGGCACCTGCAACGACAGCTCCACGCATCTATACAGTTTGGTGAGCTCTGTGTAGTAGTTTACCATTTGCGGGTTGATATCCACTGTGAGGACAATCAGTAGTAGACCGAGGATCAGCTGTTTTTGAAGCAGCAGATTATTCTTCAACGACGACACCAGTAAGGTGCCACCCAAGTTGCCGAAACTGACTTTCCTGATAGGAACGTAACCCACATTGTCCAGGGTTGAGAGTTTGATTAGAAACTCAAAAAGATGCATCGTATCCTTTGATGCATTCAAAGCAGTGAGCAGCTCGGTGACCATTGCCTCGTCCACAAAAGACGATAACTCTTCCTGGAAGATGGTGTTCATTTGCAGCTCTGCGGCCTCGGAACCATCGCAAACGCGTTGCACCACTTTGAAAACAACTTCCTGAGGAAACTTGGCGACAAAAGAGAGCACATACTTGGCTAGAGGGCGCAAATCTCTGACATTGACATTGGAATACTGCAAATCCGCGCTGGACAGTGAGTCGTTGTAACTGATGAGCGCAAAAGGCGACGAAGGCACAATCACCGACAAGCCATGTGTCTTTATGATTACAAGCATGTCGTCAACAAGGCTCATTCCAACAGAGGGCTCCAGTTGTCTGGAAAGTTCTTTGCAAGCGTTGTCGAATTTTACCCATTGCTTCTTGAGACTGTTGAGGTAATCTTGGGGGTCTGAACCGTGTGTAATCACGTGTTGCAATTTCTCCGCTAGCGGTAGACCAGAAGTCTCCAAGTTGTATTTTTTTTCCAGTATGGAAAGCACTTTTTCCACAACGTGCTCGTCGTAAACCTGTAGCAACTGCATGCAGTGTGCGTTCAACAAACTGACTTCATCAAAAAATGTGATGGACTGCGCTAGATTATTTGCAAGCGGCGGAGCACAGTGAGCCCACCTCACCTCAAGCTTGTCGTCTATCTGGCCCAAAAGCACATGCCTAGCACCGTGGAGAGACCACAAAAGACTGACCTGGAGATTTAGTTCCATTTTGGACAAAACCATGCTGTGGAACACCCATGTGTCGACATTAGGAGGAACGTACTCGTTTAGCAAAATGAGCGACTCGTCCTGTTCGACAGAAAATAATTTTAGGGACGTTTCCCCAATAGGAACGAAAACTGTCAGGTATCTCCCCACCAATCCCAACAGTCGCGTAGGCGGATTATTGAAGTGCGCCGGATGCAGTTCCTGAGGCAGGAATTCGTTCAGACTCGATTGTCTCTCCATAGTACCTGTTTCTAGCGACCAGAATCGAATTGTCTTATCAATACTCAGAGTGATGAGCTTGTTTTCCAGCACAGCAAAATCCAGTACTGCCGCAACCGCCACTCTCTGGTTATCCAAAACCACCATTTCTGTCTGGTCCTTGCGCTTGGAGCCAAAAAAGGGGAGTTTGAACTGGTTGAAGTACGACGTGTCGCTGAACGGAACCACCAGAAACTTGTCCTCCATGTTTTGCCGAGACATCTTGAGAAGGCCGCCGTCCTGAAGAGCCACAATGATCGTTTGCGGGTCGATCGACCGCATAAACAAAGGAGCTCGCACGTCGAACGAGTACGGCATGCTGTATTGACACCACTTGTAAAAGGTTACAGGAGACAATGTTTCCTGGGACAGAAAGGAGTCCAGCGGCAGATTCAATGAAATGAGCAGATTTTCTGTCGTGAGTATGTTGATTGAGACCGCCGCCCCGGCATCTGTGACAGCAATGCAGTTCGGTCTCGCTTTTTGAGGAAGAACAAAACTCAGCGACTTGAACGTCAGATCCAACGGATTGTTCAAAATAAGCGGCGTAAGCGTGAGCCGGTAGCCGTCGGCGACTAGTTTATACGACACGGTGTTGAAGATGGCAGATTGGGCCTTGAGATCCACCACATCTCCAAAGACCGCGAGATGTTGTTCAAACTCGAGAGGCTGGACTTGAGGGAAGTCGGCGTTTGAAAGCGCGTGCTGTTTGAGGGTTTTGCTGATTGAGTGGGGGAGAGCCACTGTCGAGGTTTTGAGGTCCGGATGGACCGAAATTTCCACAAAAGAGGTGGAGGACATGGGCAAGAAGGTAAATAATAAAATATACAAAAGAATATTTTTAAGAGGAGGGGGGTGAATTTTGAGAGTAGCGGTGTTGGGCATCTGCATGCGCTATATGCCAATCCGGGCACGTGCCAGGCGGTAGGGGCTGCTTTAGCCGGTTATTCTGTGCTTGGTAGACGTATTCACAAGGAGCTTCACAGAGGCTTCCAGCTTACGTAACTCCGCGCAGGGTTATAAATACCTCTGACAAGATTGAAAATTTTTACACTTCGATGAGGATCCAAACAATCAAACTAGAGTTTATGATTGCCATGATTTAAGTTTCTAACTGAGAAGTGGTAAGTCTTGATGATGACGAAACAAAAACAAAGCTGGAATTACTGGCTGAAATTCCGTGTTGATAAGTTTTTGCACCATTACTGAGAGATGAACGCTAACAGGCAGAATTAATAGGTTTTTGCGAAAAGGGTTTTTCAAACACCTATTGGCCGCTCGATGAGGATATATGCACTGGGCACCGAACTTAAATGAGTGACAATGCTAAAGGCGGGCCTCAGAAACCCGCCGTGACTGACGAGCTGGCTCTGCAAGTTTGATGCGTCGCCAAAGCGTTGTCGACGTAGAAAGTGAGTACGGTGATGAAGTCTTGATGACGAGTCAGATTCGTGGTTCACGATGACGAGACTTCTTTTTTTTCCATTCATGCTTTTCTGAGGTACTAACCATAGACATGCAATGACATGCAAACCATATAAGGACTACCTGATGATACCAAACCTAAATGACAAGCATATGTCTGACTTCTGAAGACACCCTTGGGTCTGATAGTCTGCTCGATCTGGTTTAGAACGTCAGTGGATGTTCTTGGCCAGAGGCCAGCGTATATGATGATTGCACTTTCTCACGACGGTCAACTGTTGCTCCGGCACTTGATGATAATTCGGCTTTGACAAGCCGTGCACCTGAAACGCGGCACGAGTAGTAAGTATGGTGATGAGTCAGGTTTTGCTTGATTCGTGATAGCAAAGAATATGATTTGCATGTCAGTCTGATGTACTAACGTGGATATAGTATATATAGAAATCGATCTGAAACTTTAAAAACGGTCTAAAGACTTATTTGAGGTGTCAATGGAATGTCACTTAGTGTATTGTCTGCGCTCCTGCCTTTTTGGGTTTTGTGCTGCTGTTTTGCAATGCTACGTATTATGACAGCCCAGAGCCAAAAAAAAAATACCAAAAAAAAACCTTAAAATATCCTAGCCGAGGCTCGCCGCGGCTGCCCACATATAAATATTTCATCTTAATACATCGCCGTCCCCGGACCTACAACATGATACCTCCTAAACGCACAAAAGAACGCTACACCAGGACCTCCAAGGCGTGCGACTTGTGCCACAGGAAGAAGACGCGATGTCTGAAATCGGGCTCCTCCGTCAGCTGTCTCCGGTGTCTTGCTCTGAACGAGCCATGCTCTCTGGCCCCCAACGCCTCGGAAACGCCGCCCTCGACCCTTTCCCAGCCGCAGACACAGGACTTTGCCGAAATGTCTCTGCGCACCAGCCTGGCGTCCATTTCCTCGGACGTGAAAGAGGTTCTGCGAGTACTGAGAGAATCAACACTGCCCGAGCCTTCTTCGGCGATCTTGGACTCGTACGAGCTCAACATGTCTTCAAGGCCGATAACCACGATCAAGACATCGCCGCTCGCGTTTGTGGCCCACGTACAGCCGGAAACGTCGCTTTTCCCGCCCGCCGTGCTGAACCAGCTCAATTTGCTGCCCTCGCTCGAAAACATGCAGACCGACATCGTGTCGGTCCGGCTGCTGAGCTACGACCAGGCCGCCAAGCTGCTCGACATTTTCCGCGACAGGTACGGCCGCTGGATCTCGTTCCCAGACACGTTCAGCACGCCCCAGCTGCTCACGCACATCCGCAAAACGTGCCCGCTGCTGCTCACTGTTGCTTGCGCGCTCTCGTTAAAATACGGCGACCCCAACTTGAAAGAGCTGGTCTACCACGAAATGCTGCTCATCATCAAAAGAGATCTCGAACGGAGCTTGGTTAACATGCCTAAACGACTGGAGTTTCTCCAATGTCTGATCATTCTCTCCATCTACAGCGTGAGTCTAAGCGACGAGTCTGCAGAGCTACGTCTGGACGGATGGTACCTGTCGCACATCGGTATCCATCTGTTTCTGCGACTCAATAGCTACGGGCTTTTTGAATACCTGTACGACCCGGCACTCGTGCAATTCGAGTTCAACGAGCTCACCTCTTACAGAATTATAAATACCTTGGTGCTCATCCATTTGGCATACTCGCTGCTTTCTGGAAAACAGTCTTCCTACTCTTTGGGCACCTTGACCCCGAAAAAGTTCTACGACCACAGCCTCTCCACCAACTTCGACTACCGGATCATCGCAGAGGTCGAGGTGTACCTCTTCGCATATCGATATCTTCATCTAGGTGAGAGTCTGGAGATAGTGCGCAGTCAGATGAAAGGCTGGCTTTCCGAGTGGGAAGAGCTGTTCACGAGCTCTGCCAACGAGTTTGTCGAGATCGACTACCATCTGGCCGAGCTGCTGCTGATCTTTGGCGAGAATGACGCCGACCTGCAAAAGGTGCGCGAGAACGCGGAGGCGTACGACGCGGCGTATTTCCACTCGGCAGAAATACTGAAATTGGCCGTTTCCATCACCGACGACTCGTACTTTGCCTTTCTGTCGGACCAGATGCACATGATCATCGTGTACAACGCGATGGTGGTGGGCACGCTGCAGCAGCCGTCCGACCCCGCCGTGGACGGTCTGCTACAGCATCTGAAAAACCGGTACACGAGAATTGCCACGAGCGAGAACGACATGGCCTCCAAATACAGCATGATGCTGCAGAGCGGAAGTAGGTGAGCAGCGATTAATAAGGAAACGTTCGGTGAATTTAATGTATTCAGTGTACTTATTTAGCATGGATAGTGAAAACTTGTAGCGAGCACAGCTTCGTGAGCTCGGGCCATTTGTCTATCCGTGTTCACTGGCCTGCCTTGAGCCCGAAACAGGCTCTTCCGGTGTAGTACAGCGAGGCACCCACAGAAAGAGTCAGACCAAGGGCGTATGGGATCAAGTAGTACTTGGATCTTGGGTGGGCCAGGTAGATAGGCTTGTTGGTGGTTTGGTAGAATTTTTGCAGCTCAATCACTTTGTTAGCCATGGTTGTGTTTTTAGTTTCTTCAGCCAATGATAGTTTCAAAAATTAAGAAAAAAAAATCATCAGATGGGCTGGTCTGTCGACGCCGAAGTTTTTAGAATCGACGCGTCGATATCAAATGGGGCTGTACATCTTCTAGGCTTGGCAAGCAGGCTTCCGGAGAGATCATAAAATGCAAGAGATCCCGCCTGGAGAAATATGGCTCATTCCAGGTCGCTGAGTGCGGCTGCAGACAACCTAAATTCCAGCACACAAGCCACCTCCGTCTCAGAGTAGTGTGTTCCGCCGTGGTAGCGTTACGAAGTCCGCAGCCTCTCTTTACGGCCGAACATCTCGCCCCTTCTCCTTCATTGGGGCATCGGAAATGCCCAGAAGATGCCCCCTCCGTTGCGAACTCCGAAAATATGCAACAATCCTGTGTCTATCGTTTCGGCGAACTCTCGGGGGAGCGAGTTATCACCGAGATTATTTTCGGGCACGAAAATTATATAATTATGCCCGGCCCCAACCTCCAAACATCAACTAGCCATGTCAGATACGATCTCTGTGACGTCGGCAGACTCCCAGTACTTTGGGTTTGATTCCAACGTCGAAACCCAGGTCCGAGGACTTGCCCGCGAGCTCTCGCACGTCTCTGCGCACGAAACAGAAAAGAACGATAACGATGCTCGCTCGCTGATAAGAACGCTCACAAATTTCTCCCAGGCACCTGGCGTGAACCCGTTTGTCGAGGAAGGCATTGATGCACGCTTGAATCCAGACTCAGACAATTTTGACTCCAAGCTCTGGATCCAAAACATGCGCAAGTTGATGGACTCGGACCCAGAATACTACAAGCCTGCCAGTCTTTCTGTTGCGTTTCGAGACCTCCGTGCCAGTGGTGTTGTCTCTTCCGAGGACTACCAAACAACTATTTTGACTGCGCCAATCAAGTTTGTGATGGAGCACTTCAACAACACTTTCCGCAAACATGTGGAGTCCCGGTATTTCGATATTCTGAAGCCCATGGACGGTCTGATTTTGCCCGGAACTTTCACCCTTGTTCTGGGTCGCCCTGGAGCTGGGTGCTCCACCTTTCTGAAGACAGTTGCGTCGCAAACTTACGGCTTCAAAGTGGCGCCCGAAAGTGTCATTTCGTACGACGGTTTCAGTCCCGAGGATATCAAATCGCACTACAGAGGAGAGGTCACTTTTTCGGCCGAAAAGGACGAGCATTACCCGCAGCTGACGGTGCGCCAGACGCTGGGCTTTGCAGCCAAACTCAAGGCCCCAAGAAACAGGCCGCACGGCGTTTCTGCGCAGGCCTATGCCGATCACATGACCAAAGTCTACATGGCGATGTATGGTTTGTCGCATACGGCCGACACGAAAGTGGGTAACGACTTTGTCAAGGGCGTTTCTGGAGGCGAGCGCAAGCGTGTTTCCACCGCGGAGTTGTCTCTGTGCGGCTCCAAAATCCAGTGTTGGGACAATTCCACCAGAGGTTTGGATTCTGCCACCGCTCTGGAGTTCTTGCGTGCGCTGAAGACCTCTGCCACCGTGCTGCAAACCACACCAATCACGTCGGTGTACCAGTGTTCCGAGGACTCGTACAATCTCTTTGACAACGTGCTGCTGCTCTACGAAGGCTACCAGATCTACTACGGCCCGGCCTCGCACGCAAAGCAGTTTTTCCTGAAAATGGGCTACGTGTGTCCTCCAAGACAGACAACGGCGGACTTTCTCACGTCGCTGACCTCGCCAAAGGAGAGAATCCCGCGCGAGGGCATGGAAAACAGAGTTCCGCGCACGCCAAAGGAATTCAACGACTACTGGCGCCAGTCACCAGAATACGCAGACATGGTTGCACAGACAGACGCGTACATCAAAAAGAGCGCCACCGACAATCTTCGAGAGCAGTTCCATCAGTCCCATGTCGCCAGACAGGAGAAAGGCTCCCGCTCGCGATCTCCGTACACCTCCACCTACTTGACCCAGGTGAGAGAAAATATGCGCAGATATTGGTGGAAAATCAGGGGCGATCCGTCATTGCTGTATTTCCACATCTTTTTCCGGGTGGCCATCTCGCTCGTGATTTCGTCGCTGTACTACAATCTGAAAACCACCACCTCCGACCTCTACTACCGTGGAGCGTGCATGTTTTTCGCCACCATGTTTAATGCCATGTCTGTGATGATGGAGGTGGTCACCTGTTTCGAGGCGCGTCAGATTGCCGAAAAGCACAAGAAGTACGCCCTGTACCACCCCTCGACCGACGCGCTCGCGTCTGTCATCACCGAAATTCCAAATAAAATCGTCATCAACACCGGGTTCAATCTGGTGTTCTACTTTATGGTGAATTTCCGCAGAACTCCGGGACACTTCTTTTTCTATCTGCTCACAAACCTCACTAGCGCGTTCACCATGTCTCACATGATGCGGTCGCTTGCGTCGCTGTTCCGCACGCTGTCCGAGGCCATGACTCCGTCGATGTTCCTAGTCAGTTTGCTCGTGCTCTACACCGGATTTGCTGTCCCTGTTAAAGACATGCACGGCTGGTCGCGATGGATCAACTATCTGGATCCGATCGCGTACGCGTTCGAGGCGCTGATTGCAAACGAGTTCCACGGGAGACAGTTCGAGTGCAACGATTTTATTCCCGGCTATCCTGGCGTGCCACAAGAAAACACCATTTGCAACACTCTGGGCGCAGAGGCTGGCGAAACGACCATCTCCGGAACCAAATACATTGCCCTGGCATACAAGTACTACGCCAAGCACAAATGGAGGAACTGGGGCATCAATCTGTCGTTTGCAATCTTCTTCCTTGGAGTGTACCTTCTGCTGGTGGAAAACTCCAAGTCTGCCATGCAGAAGGGAGACGTGTTGCTTTTCCTGTCGAGCTGGTTCAAGACGCCAAGTCATGCCGGAGCGAAAAGCGACATCGAGACGGCCAACAACGTTGAGAGCGTCGACTACGTCAAGGACGAGGCCGGATCGTCCTCCGACTCCGGACGGCTTGCCACCGGTAACGGCATCTTCCACTGGAGAGACGTGTGTTTCGACATCAAGGTCGGCAAGAAGCCAAAGAGAATCTTGGACCACGTGGACGGCTGGGTCAAGCCCGGTACGCTGACCGCGCTGATGGGCGCCTCCGGTGCCGGAAAGACCACGCTGCTGGATGTGTTGGCCAACAGAGTCACCATCGGTGTGGTGACCGGCTCCATCTTCGTCAACGGCCAGGAGAGAAACCAGTCGTTCCAGAGATTCACCGGCTACGCACAGCAGCAAGATCTCCATATCCAGACGGCCACGGTGCGCGAGTCTTTGCGGTTCAGCGCGTATCTCCGTCAGGACGCTTCTGTGTCCAAACAGGAGAAAGACGACTATGTTGAGGAAATCATCCGTGTTCTGGAGATGGAGAGCTATGCTGATGCTGTGGTTGGCGAGGCCGGCCAGGGTCTGAACATTGAGCAGCGCAAAAGACTCACCATCGGCGTGGAACTTGTCGCCAAACCGCAGCTGCTCCTGTTCCTGGACGAGCCCACGTCGGGTCTGGACTCGCAGACCGCGTGGTCGATCTGCCAGCTAATGCGAAAGCTCTCCAACAACGGCCAGGCCATTCTGTGCACGATCCACCAGCCGTCAGCCCGGCTTCTGCAAGAGTTCGACAGACTGCTGTTCCTGGCAGCTGGCGGAAAAACCGTCTATTTTGGTGAGCTTGGACCCAACTGCCAGACTCTGATCGATTACTTTGAAAGCAACGGCGCCAGTCCATGTCCTCCGCACAGCAATCCTGCCGAGTGGATGCTGGAAGTCATTGGTGCGGCGCCCGGCTCGCACGCGAAAAGAAACTACCACGAGGTGTGGCTTAATTCTCCAGAAAGAGCTGCTGTCCTGGAGGAACTGCACAGACTGGAACAAACTCCCGACCAGAAAACTTACCAGGAAGAGGCCAAACAGCGCCAGTTTGCCACGTCGTTTGCAACCCAGTACCATCTTGTCACCAAACGCATGGTCCAGCAGTACATCCGTACACCCTCGTACATCTACTCGAAGCTTCTGATGGCCATTGGTGTGTCCATGTTCAACGGGTTCACATTCTTCCATGCCAACCACACCAAACAGGGGCTCCAGGACCAAATGCTCTCCATTTACCTGATGTGCATGTCGGGTATGGTCTATTTCCAGCAGCTGCTGCCGCTGATCGAAGAGGAGAGAAACGTCTACGAGGTGAGAGAACGGCCGTCAAAACTGTACAGCTGGTACGCGTTCGTGTCTGCAACGTTCACAGCCGAGCTGCCGTGGAGTTTCATCACCGGCACGCTGTCGTTTGTCACGTGGTACCTACCCTTGGGCCTGTACCGGGACGCGGAGCAGACACACTCCGTTTCTGAGCGCGCCGGCCTGGTCTGGTTGTACCTGACGTTTTTCTACATGTACGCCACGACTCTTGGCTACTTCTGCTCGTTCGGACTGCAGGTCATGGCCAACGGAATGAACAACTCGTTCATGGTGTTTATGCTGTCGATGAACTTCTCGGGCGTGCTGATCTATCCTACCGGTTTCTGGACCTGGTTATATCACGTTTCTCCGCTGACATGGTGGATCGGCGGCATTGTTCCTGCTGGAATCCGCGACACAAGAATCCGCTGTGCCAGTGACGAGTACGTCAAGTTCCCGCCTCTGTCTGGTCAAACCTGCGGCCAGTATATGGAGGAGTTTATCACCAAGAACGGCGGCGGATATGTGCTGAATCCGGACGCCACAGACATGTGCGAGTTCTGCTCAATGTCCAACTCCAACCAGTTCCTTCTGGGAAGACACATGAACCCAGACCACATGTGGAGAAACTTTGGACTGATAATCGCCTACACGGCATTCAACATTATTTGTACATATGCCTTCTACTACATCTTCCGTGTGCCTAAGAAGGGCAGCCGCGTGGAGAAAGAAACCTTCTTTATTGAAGAAGAAGGTGAGGATGACGAGAAAGCTGCACCAAAGAAATGGTGGCACAAGCTTGGCAAGAAAAATTAATAAATTAATATATTAATATATTAATATTGTTCAGTCAAGCAAGAAAAATTAACTGTAATTATCGTCTATTTAATACCATTCAAAGTCGTCTGCCCAGTCGCCGGTCGAGGATCCCAGTTTGAATTGGTCGAGCATTTTCTCGAATTCCTGAGCATTCTTCTTCTGGATTAGCGACGGGTCTGGCAAAACGTCCTCCGAGACAGTTTTTTTGCTTCGTGGGCCCCTAGCCGTCGACTTGTCCTTTTCACGCGCGCGCAACCGTTGAGGTTTGGATTTCTCCTTGTGGGAACGTTGGGTGGGTTCTGGATCGGCATATCGGCTCTGCAAAGGCGGCACCTTCCATTCAGGATCTATCCGCGAGAGCAGCGAGTTGTCCGTCTTTTGAGGGCCCCTGCGGCTCCCCTTAGCTTTAGTTGTTTCATCCTTCGAGTGTTCTTTAGGAGTATACCTAGATTCTTGAGATTTTTGCCCTTCTTGCCTTGCTGGCGTCTTATGAACCTTTGAAGAGGCTTTCACAGGCAGCAGTCTCTGAGCGTCCTTCGAAAGCGTGCTCTTCAACGCAGGGACAGTCTCCCAATCCGAGTCGTCGCTTACTTCCTCCACAGAGTCCGAAAATTGGGTGTTGTCGCTCTCTCGACTGTGGCTCTCGCGCGACGTTGGCTCGCCTGCAAATCGCTTGCCCGCAACCTTTTTATCCTGTTTCACAGCCGTCGCCACTGCTTCTGTATCCTCTGCCCACCGCGAAGCAAGAGGCACCCCGGCTGGCATAATTAAGAGTTCTGTATTGAGGTCAAAAAAATGTCCGTATTAGTTAATCAATCAATTAATCGGTAGCCTGGGGAAAATCTCTTTTTCACAACATGTTTAAAAGAGTCTTTTCGACAACCCCAATTAGAGCCACTGATCCGCTTCTGGATTCGGTGCAACAGGCCGTCAAGGCAAAATACTCGCAGAGGACGTCCTCGTTTGGCATGAGACTTGTCAAGGTCTTCCTCCCCACATTGCTCGGCTTGACAGCGTACGTGGGCTACAACTCCTACAATTCGAGACCGGCGTTCATCCCGCTGCTGTACGCCAAATCTTTGCCTCTGAGCCGGTCCAAGGAGTCCAAAGGCATTGATCTCGACAAGTTAAAGGCAAACACCAAGGAAATCCTCCTCTCCAAACTATCCATGAACCATACAATAAAAAACACGCTGGGGCTTCCGCTGCAATTGGGCGAGTTTCTGAGCTTCAATGTCAAGATTGAGTACAGAAACGTGTTTTTCGAAGGTCTCGAAATCGACTGCACCAAAAGATGGTTCCCCCCGGAGTTCAGATGGAGCCACCGCGAGTTTGCACCAAAACTGAAGGACGACCTTAATGGCTTGCTCGAGCCCATGACTTCGGACGGGTCCTTAACGCTGGATTCGGTCGAAAACCGTTACGGCAACAAGAGAGATTACAACCTTATAGTTGGCGGATCTATAGAGGCGTACTCTACGTTCGACCTGGTGTCGGATGCGGTTGATCCCGGAACTGCGAAGATCACATTCACGGGAACGATACACTATGACCATATCAAATCTCTGAAAACAGACACCATCGTCCTATCATACAGATCAAACGGCCAGACAGTGGTGCACCAGCTGCTATGAGATCGGGCTGTGCAAAAATATTTTTCCCAAGAATGCCTCCCAACGTGTTTGTCAAGAACGGTCTGCGGCATGTTGCGCCGTACATGAGACGCATCACTGCCGTTGCTAGGCCGCGCTGGGTGGGGAAGCCGTTTCTGGAGGTTCTGGCGACCGACTTCCGCAGCAGAGACATCAGCAGGTTCAGCGAGCTGATCGATTCTGGAGACATGTATATCTGGCGACGCACGTCAGCAGGCGTCGAGACCGTTCGCGGAGCACGGCTGCGGACGGAAAAACTGCAGCACGGAGACAGAATTAGCAACAGTATGCATCAGCATGAGAAGCCCGTCGTTGCGACTCCGATAGATGTCGTTTACGAGGGCTGCGAGATGCTGGTGGTGAACAAGCCGGCAGGAATCCCTGTGCATTCTACATCGGGCTACCTTCAGAACACTGTGCTGGAGATTTTGAAACGCGAACATTGTCAGAGGCAGCTCCATCTGTTGTATCGTCTGGACAAGGCTGTTTCTGGGGTGTTAATCCTGGCCAAAAATCAAAGCAAGTTCAAGCAGCTCCGGAACGAAATCGACGACAAAAAAAGAGTGCACAAAGAGTACATAGCGCGCGTCCGTGGCCACTTTCCGAGCTCTGTAGCATGTCAAGACAATGTGGTGGACATTGACCCTTTGAAAAGGTATCAATACGGTGGCGTCGGCGCGTCCAAGAGGGCCTCCACTAATTTCTCGCTACTCGAATATAATTCGGAGCTGGACGAAAGCACGGTGAAATGCGTGCTTCAAACAGGACGAAAACACCAGATCCGAATACATCTGCGAAACCTGGGACATCCGATCGTGAATGATCCTCTTTATGGGCCTTCCGGGATTTTGAGCGAGCCCATGACCTCGCGGCCGTCCAGCAAAGAGTTTTCTCTACTTCAAGAAAAAGCAGAACAGTTGCGGAGTGCCATACTACTTCCCGGAAAGTGTGAGGTGTGTGGGTTCCCCAACCACGTCGACCCGACTCCTGAAGAGCTCGTAATATACTTGCATGCCCGCAAATACGAGGTGCAAGGCTCCTGGAGCTACACTGCTCCGGACCCTGCCTGGGCCAAATTTCTATAGTGTACATAAATCGACGCGTCGCGCAATCGAAAAATATTCAAATACTCTATTTGCAAGATCACTGATGGCGACATTCACTGATCCGCTCGACTCCATCACCGATCCGAGCGACTGGGCCGACTCCACCTTCCCAAACCTGTCCAAGCTGGACTCGCTTCTTCGCTGCCATATTTGCAAAGATTTCCTAAAGGCCCCGGTGTTGACGTCCTGCGACCATATATTCTGCTCTGTGTGTATTAGACGCAGCTTGGAGAGCGACAAGAAGTGTCCTTTGTGCCACGAGGAGACGTACGAAAGCAAGCTGCGCAAGGTGCTTCTTCTGGACGAGATATCAACCTGGTTCACACGAAACCGACCAGAACTGCTTGACAAACACAGACCCACAGCGAATAACACCCCGGAGCCTGTGGCTGCACTAGAGCCGGAAAAGCCTGCAGCGCCGCTCAGATACGAGTCGCGCAAGAAACGCGCGGCGGAGGACCCGCTCGTGGAGTGTCCGGTATGCTCCACGTTCATGTCTGCGGACGAGCTGCAGACATCCCATATAGACAGTTGTCTGTCCAACAAGCGAGCCAGGCCGAGCCCGAGCCGGCCGGTGATTTCGAGTTTTTTCAAGAAAGAGCGCACGCCACAGACACAGCCCGAGTTCGTCAAGAAGAAGACCAAGATCACCAATTTGGACCCCACAATATCCACCAACAAGCTCAAGGAAAAGCTTAATTATTGGAACCTTCCGACAGGCGGGACACGGTACCAGATGGAGACCCGTATGAAGGAGTTCATCAGCATGTATAACGCGAATCTGGACTCGGTGAATCCCGTCGACGACCGCGTGTTGATCAACCGGCTCATGAAATGGGAAGGAACTTACTCGCTGAGCAATACGGCGGGCGATACGGCGGAGGATGGTGCGCAGTGGCGCAGACGGTACCGGAAGGAATACGACGAATTGATAAAGCAGGCCAGAGCCAACATGAACCGCATCAATACCAAATTAGATAGTACCGATTAATCTATTCTATTATGTCCTTACTTTCCACCAGCTTGAGCGACGGGATGTACGGCATGCTGCCGATGCTCATTTTCGCGTCGGTGAGCTCCAAAGTGCGCTTCAAAACCCGCTGCACCACGTCGACTGTATGTTTGAGTGACGTTTCGAGGTTCCTGGTGCGGTGGAAAATGTCTGTGAGTAGTCCCAGAAACAGGTCCCCAGACCCAGAGAAAACTGCAGGAACCTGATCTACCGGCACTGCAAACGTCCTTTCTGGGTCCAGACACCCTACGCAGTACATTGCGCCATCCAGGCTGACCGATGTGATCACGACGTACTGCACGTTGTAGAGATCGTAGAACCGGGTAACACTAGCGGTAAGCGAGTCCCAGTCAGAAATCTTGGTGTCTGTGAGCGTTTCCATCTCGAACTGGTTGGGTGTTGTAAGCGTGACCAGGCCGGCTGGATCCTTTAGGATGCGTTTATAGACAGGAATGAGGTTTTGGTCGACGTACAGCTTGTCGTTGTCGCCGAGGATGGGATCGAGCACCACCAGCGGTTTGTGGCTCAGTTTAGCTAGAATGTCAGCGATACATTCGAGATTTGGCACACTAGCAACATAGCCAACGATGACGGCGTCGTACTCCAGCCCGATCTCTACAAGTCCCTCAAAAATGTCTGCGATTGTGGCCGCGTCGGTCTTGGAGCCCTTGAAGGTTCTAAAGCCAGGATGGTTCGACAGGTTCGTTGTGTTGATGCAATCGACGTTCCATCCACGCAGGTTCAATGGGAACTGGATCGCTCTGTTACCTACCGTGCCATGGACAACATGGGAGGAGAAAGACAGAACGTTCATCGAAGATAAGGAAAAAAAATATATGCACTCAAGACTTTATAAATTTATTGTATATGTACACTTGCCGTAACTTTATCCCAAGCTTATTTTTTCAGACCCAAAGACAGACCTTTCTCTCTTCTGGCATGCGAAAGTGCAGCAATGATGGCGGCACCAACACCAGATCCGTCCTCGGCCTGTTTGATCTGGATAGGGTGGTCCTTCATGTCGATACCATCCCAGCCGAACACGTCGCTCAGGCCCTGTGCTGCCCTTTCTGGGAAGTATGGGTACTTGAGGAAGACGGATCCGTCAGCGGCAACGTGGCACTTTTTGTAGTTCATCTTTTTGCACACGGCAGAGATACCACAAATCGAGAGTCTGGCTGCTCTGGTTCCGATAAATTGCGACAGCTTTCTCACGTACAGTCTCTCCTCGAAAGTGGTGTCGATGAAGAGTTTGTTGGAGAACTCATTCGACACGACGCTCAATGAAGGGGTGTCGTCAGCCTCAGCGATAGACAGGAAAGATGTGTCCAGGAAGTATGGGGTTTCGAGGTTCTTGATCTGCTCCGAAGACTCAGTGTAGCTCTTGAAAATGAGTCCCTTTTTGTAGGTGTCCAGCATAATCATTCTGAGAAGTTCTCCTAGGTAGTAGCCGGAAGTCATTTTCTCGAAAGACTGTTGTCCCGGTCTTGGAGACTCGTCGTCGATTCTGATGTCGAACTTCGTTCTTGGAAGAACCTTGTGTGCATTATCGAAAGAACCGTATTCGCAGTTGATCAGCATTGGAGACTCTGGGTCGATATCGTCGTAAAGCTTTCCCTTCAGCTTAGGGATGTTCTTGATGCGGTCGTAGTATGCTCCGTTGACACCAGTACCAAAAATACAGCCCATCTCCGTGAGCTCGTCTGTGTATCTCGATGCAACAAGGGTTCCGCTGGTGTCGTTGATCAGGGCACCAATCTTGATAGGCAGGCCCTTCTTCTCGACCTGTTCCATCAGAAGAGGCACCACGTCGTGGCCCTCGACATTAGGAATATCAAAACCTTTGGTCCATCTCTGTAGAACACCCTCAAAAATGCTGTTTTGCGTGGCTGGGTACGAAAAAGTGAATCCCAAGGGGAAAACAGCGTCCGATGGAATTCCGTCAGGGTGTTTCGACTTAAGAAAGTCTTCCAGACATTGAGCAATGAACTCAAACAGCTCGTCTCTGTTCTTGGTTGTTCTCATGTGGCTTGGGATGTGGTACTTAGTTTGTTCGGTAGAAAACTTGTGGTCTCCAAGCAAGTGAGCAAGGACAACACGAAGGTTTGTTCCTCCCAAGTCGATGGCAAGGTAATCGCCGGTCTCAGAACCGTTCGGGTATTCCAACACCCAGGCAGGGTTCATGGGGATACCGGTAGGATCTGTTCCGTCCGCGTTACCTCTCTCGAGTTCCTCGATGAAGTAATCGATGATCTTGTGGAGAGTCTCGGTTGGCACCCAGAACAGCTCCTTGTAGGTCTCGATCTCTTTAGCCAGGTCTGCTGGCAGCGGTTTGTCGTCGATACTCATTATAGGCTAAAATATAATAATGTGGTATTATTTTTCAAAACAGAGAATAAAGCTCTTTTTATATTCTACTCTGGTGGGCCGGAAAAATTCTTTAGGACAACGCACCACCCCTCGGCATACATTTCTCCAGCGACCTCCACCTAACTCCACTTTCATCACTATAAGCATTTACTGGGGTAGTACCGGGGTCATACTACTGCATTATTCAACAATAGAAAAGTCTCCAGATTTATAAAGATGTGCACCGGCCCATGCTGAAAAAGTAAATCGAAATTTTCTAGCAAACAATAGCGACTGGCTTTTTTCGTAAAATTCGCACACGTTTTTCCGTGGCCATGCAGGTGCGACAAAAACAGTCGGAAAAAGTCGCCCATCTGATGTCATGTCAATCCCTCTTCACATGCCCGCCGTCCACGCAGAGCCGGTAGAAGTATGAGTCCGGATTTTCCAGCAACTTTTGCGGGTTGTCGAACTCTTGCACCTCGCCATTATCCAGCACCAGCACCCGGTCATTATCCATAACCGAGTCCAGCCGATGCGCAATCGTCAAGATCGTAAGTTTTTTGAACTCGGATCGGATCGTTTCCTGAATAATTTTATCGGTCTGCGCGTCGACGCTCGAAGTGGCTTCGTCCAAAACGAGAATTTTGGCGCGTCTCGTGCTCTCGTTACGAGACTCCTGCGAACGCAATAGCACGCGAGCCAAGCACATCAGCTGACGCTGCCCCACGCTCAGATTCATTCCGCTCTCACTCAGCATGCAATCGAGCCCCGACTCCACTTGCTGCTCTCTCGCCATTTTGGTCACGTGATCGGATAATCCGGCTAGCTCGAGGCATCTCCACAGCTGGGTGTCTGCATACTGCGCCAGTGGGTCCAAGTTGTAGCGGACGGTGCCGTTGATGCACTGGGCGTCCTGCGGGATTATAGCAAGGTTGCTCCGCACGTCATGCAGGCTTAGCGTGCTGGTATTGACCCCGTCCACCTCGATGTGGCCCTCGATTGGCTCGATGATCCGGAACAGCGACAGCATCAGCGAGGACTTTCCTGACCCCGTGCGGCCCACGATTCCGATTTTCTCGCCTGCACGAATGCTTAAATTGATGTTTTTCAGCACCGGGTCCAAGTTGTCCCTGTAGCGCGTCGAGTAGTTTTTGAACTCGATGGTTCCCTTTGACGGCCAGTTTGGCGGCGGGCTTGCGGGGTTTTTCAGTTTCTCTTCCGGCTCCAGCTTGCAATACTCGAACACCCTCTCGCAGCACACAATGTCCGACTCGATTTCCACCGACCGTTTAACAATAAAATTCAATGAGCTGGTAACTCTGAGAGCATAGCTCATCACCAGACCGACCAGACCCGCGCTGAGCGCATGACTGGTTCGCAGGGAGAGCAGGGCAAGTGTCGATGTGGAAAAAATCACCACAGAGCCGATGAACTGCAGTCTGGTGGACAGCCATCTGTTAACGGACTTCATGCAGTAGGCAGAGACCTGGTTGAGGTCGATGTTGGAGCAGTGCTTGTACACAAATTTCGACTCCTGGTCGTAAGCCCGGATGGTCTCTGCGCCGGCGAGCGACTCCTGGATGTGAGCAAAAATCGGGCTCTTGGTGATGGAGACAATTCGCTTCAGATCGCGCGAAACAATAATGTAGAATTTCTGGTAGTACAGGTAAACCACCGAGAGCGCAGCAATGATGAGCACGAACGGCGGCATCGTGGATCCGATGATCACGAGAGTGAATATAGTCTTGATGACAGAATTGAACACCGCAGCAAACACCCGTGGCAACGCAGAGTCGATCTTGGACATGTCCTGGCTGAACCTGTTGATGACTCTTCCCAGCGGTGTTGTTTCGAAAAACGACATTGGCGACGCCAGCACTGCCGTCGCCATATCGTTGTGCAATTTCTTCGACGCCCGGATCGAGCACCAGCTCCACATGATCATGGCTCTGAAAAGCGTGAATAAGCCCGAGCTAACTCCAAATAGAGCGTACACGCCCACGTACAGACCGACGTGGTCGTTGGAGCCCGTCTTGTCGTTGTGCTCACCCCAGTGCTTCAGCCAGTAGTTGCCACAAACGCTAAGCCCCACAGTGATGACAATCAGGCCACAAACGCTGAAAATCCCCGTGTAGCTGCACGCACGAGCATAGTTGCGGTACACTGACAGGCTCACGTGACCCTTCTCCTTCTTCTCTTCTGTCTGGGCTGTTCTGCGCTCGATCTTGGAGAGCGATTGCTTGCGCCCCAGAGACAGCACGCTGGCCGCCCCAACAGATTTTCGGGACGCCACCTTGACCAAGTCTGCAGGCTCGACTCCCGCGTACTCGAACCCGCCTTCCTCAATGTCCCTTTCTATCTCTGCAACCGTCGAGGCAGACGAGCTCCGTACGTAGGTGGAGTCCTCCTCTTCAGTGTTCTGGCCAAAGTCGGACACCAGCGCAAATAGCTGGCCTTTAGCAGCCATCACCTCGTCGAACGAGCCGGACTCGGAAATTTGGTTGTCGGAAATCAGGTATATTTTTTCTGCGCGACTCAGAACCTTGATATTGTTGGTAGCCAATATTTTGGCCTTGGTGGAGAGAATTCCGTCTGGACCCAAAACTTCACGGATCAGCTTCTGTCCAACGTGGACGTCGACTGCACTTAAAATGTCGTCCAGCAGATAAACGTCGGCCCGCATGTAGACGGCTCTTGCAAGGGCCAGCCGGGCCTTCTGTCCACCGGAGAGACTGATACCTTTCTCACCAACAAGCGTTTCATCACCGTCTGGCAAAATCTCGAGATCTGGTTTCAGCTGGCACGCCTGTATCGTCTTTTCGTAGAAATCAAGCTCAAATTTGTGACCAAACAGGATATTTTCCTTCACCGAAGCGTTCAAGATCCATGGGACTTGGGAGCAGTAAGCCACCGAGCCGTGGACTTCTAATTTCTGTTTCTTTTGGGGGTCCACAGGAAGCGAGCTCAGCTCTCCCAGAATGCACTGGAGGAACGTTGATTTGCCGGCTCCCACGCGTCCCACGATGCATGTCAAATGGCCCTTTTTCGCGGTGAATTTGACGTTTTTCAGTGCAATTTTGGTCTCGTCAATATTCTGCTCCTCGTCATAGTTATCCTGGTATTTTTGGGGAATTTTCGACCACAAGAAGTTGCAGTTGTCTATCTCCACGGAAACCGCTCCGATATTGGTTTGTTTTGGCAGTCTGGTGAACAGCTCGTTGTCTATCTCGTCGGCCAGCAAAAAATTCGTCAGTCTTTTAAGAGACACACCGGACTCAATCATTGCAGTCATGAGTGCCGGAATTGCAAAAATCGGATCGGAGAGAAGGTCAAAGAGCGACAAGGCCGGGAACACGATTTCGGGCGTGAGCGGCGTTTTCGAGGTGTACGCGAAAATTGCAAATGTGGAGCAAGACACAAAGAATGGAACACAGGTCCAGGCAAAATTCACCACGGCAGAAAGAATACCGATTTTGTTCAGGTTGCGCAGTTCTTTCTCGTTTCTGGCCTCCGACAGTCTCTCCAGCATTGGCTTTTCCCAAGCGTACAGTTTGATAGACTTGACATTTTGCAACAACTCGGCCACCAGCGAGGTCCGGTGGTCCTTGAGAGTCATCTGCTCACGGTGGAATTTCCGCAGACTCCGCACGAGGTACGCGTTGATTGGCATCATGATGGCCATAGTGCCAATTCCTGCCCACGTAGCATTGCCAAGCAGCGAATGGAGCGACCACAAACAGAGCACAAGTCTCGTCGGAGCACTAAATAGCGTCTGGACGTAGGAAGTCAGTTCTTGCAACCGTGTCACATCCACCGACATCAGATTGACAATATCACCGGTTGAGCGCTGCAGTCTGCTTTCTGGAGACAATTTGATCGATTTCGAGTAAACCAGGTTCATCAGGCCAGCCTTGGTACCCAGAGAGGCTTCAACGGTCTTTATAAAATACTGGTTGTACATCAGAGCTTCAAAGAGCGAGAGAACGAACATCGCAATAGCCAGTGAGAACCCAATGATAATCGGCGGATCGTCTGTCCTGCTGAAAAACCTGATCAGCTGTTTGAGCAGCTGTGGCTGGATAAAAGAAGTGATACTGTCTGACATGTCGTAGAAGAGCGAGATCATAACAGGGAAGCCAAACGAGCGAATCAGTGCCATTAGCAGTGATGGTCGGCTTTTTGACAGCTCCTTGCGCCACTGCTGCTCAATCTTGGGGGCTGCGTACGCAGTGGTGACCAAAACTGGCGGCGGTGGCAGGTCACTGTGATCCAAGCTTTTTTTCCGATATCCAGTCATGATGAGGTCATTCATCCAGGTGAACGTCATGAGAGAAACAATATTCACCTGGGTTGTATCAATGTTGTGTTCAATGCAGAAATTGATCAGCTCGTAGGAAACAGGGTGTTTCCAGTACTCGGCTGCCGTGATTGTCAAACCCAAAGCCACCATCAGGTCCAGTAGAATAGCGTTGTCGACGAGCTTGTAAGAGCTGAATCTTTGCTGGAATGCCATCATGGCCACGAGCAGGGTCTGAAGTGGCCAAAAGAAGAGCAACGGCCCTGGCTGGACAAGGAAACGGGCCGTCTCTATGCTATGGAGCAAAAAAGCTAAGCACAGCGTAATCAAATGCAGAGTGTACACGGCGGACTCCAGACTCGAGAAACTAAATTCATGGAACTCGAGCACATAGGCCACCACAAATGCAGCAACCAGCCCCAGCTTGATCCGCTGGTATCTGGTCGAGGCGCCCTTACAGCTAGCTTTCCGGATGCCCCCAAAGCAGAGCTGTTGAAGACAGCAAAGCCCAAAAATCAGCGAAAACACACACCACAGAAGCGCAACAAAACATCCGTTGAGCGCGCTCGACGTGGGACTAGCTAGCGGAGTGCGGAAACACTGGTCTAGCGAACGGTCCATAAAATAAATAATTTTTGTGAAAAAATGAATCCTTGCACCATAATTTTATAAATGTCTCTAAATGAACGTCCTAAATAAGAAGTGTCACCATAAAAATGGCAATCAGGGTGGAAAAGCTGGACCGTAGGTGGCTTGCACCACTCTGGCAGTCGTCATCGTTCAGCTCGTAGTACTCGTTGGAATTCTCGTCTAGGAAAATGTTGCCCTCCCTGTACTCGAACTCGGCAGCACTGATAGGAACGTCCTTTCCGTCCTCGATGTCCTGGAGAACCTGCTGGATGAGCTTGGATCTTCTGCGCGCCTGTCTCTTGTACTCTATGCTGAGAGTTGAGTTCTCCACAGACTGCTGCTGGAACGTGAGCTCGTCGTTGCACTCCTCCTCGTTCTCCACACAGTACTGGTCGAGTTTCTCTAGTTGCTTGAAAGTTTCGACGTCTTTGCCGCCTTTGAAAGCGTTTCTAAACATCTCTGCCGCAGTGTTGTGCTTGAGATATTCTTCAGTGGCGTCCAAAAACTTGTTCAGACGGCCCAGGTTGCCGCCTTCCTTATTGGAAGCCATATCGGCGCTCAGCATCTTCATGGCCTCCATGAAGTGGCCGTTCGAGCATGTAGCAAGGAACCCAGCGAATTTCTCCTTTCCCATCGCCAAATAGAGGTCTATCATATTTTTCACCTGGTCAACGTCCACCTCGTACACCAGCTGTCTCCCTTCTTTGTCGTAGCTCTGGTCCTCCTCGGCAACGGGCCCTTTGACAGGAACATCCACAGAAAACCCTGCGCTGGAGGCCTCAAGATCGCCGTCTTCTTCCTCCTCTTCTTGGTACTCTTCGGCAACGTACTCCTCGTCGTCCTCGTAGTAATTCTCGGCTTCGAAATCGGCCTCTTCGTAGTCTCTTTTCTCATAGTATGGAGCCGGCGCAAGAACCTGCTGAGTATCGGAAAGATGGGCTTGCAGAGCATCGGCTTCGGCCCGATGCTGAACCGACGCAGCGTCCACAGCGGCCATCTGAAGCAAGTGTGCTCCCAAAACGTAGAAGGTCCAGAACTTGCTGGAACGAAGCGAACTGACTCTAACCATGGTTGGATCTAGTGATATTATATGCAAGCATATCCAGCGGGACGTTCGGACTATTTATCCTGTTCTTAACCGCCGGTAAGCTTTGTGCTACCATCCAGCCGCCAGAATCTGTATTCGGGCTGTGCACATGCTAATTTTCAATGACAGGTTTAATATACAACCTGGCGGTGTTTATTTTCCAAAGAATCGTCTAGTCATGGCTAGCTCCAACGATTTGCGGCAGCTCATACGGAATTCGTACGAGTGCATGCGGAAAATTTTGGAGCTTGACACGCAGTCGACGCTGACCAACTTCAATGTGATGGAAACGCTCAACAACTCGACGATCCTCCGGTATAGAGAGCTGGAGCCTTATCTGGACAGTCTCGAGTCCGAGACGTCGAAAATCCGGGCGCTGGATCAGGAACTGGCCAAAAACAAACCGAAATTACAACAGTTAGAAGAGCGGACCAAAAAGCTCGCGCTGCTGGTGGAGCAGATGGACGAATGGTCTGCTGAGTTGGAGGTTAAAAGCCGACGTTACACGCGAAAGTGAGATTATCCAGGAAATTGGTCATGATGTTTCCATGTGAAAAACCACATGCGATTTTTCGCCTATGGGCGGGGTGCCTTTATACCAGGATATATTATCTCATGCCCAAGAATTTCCTAATTTATGCTATGATAAGTTTTCATATGCTTCTCCACAGGCTATCGGCAAATCGACGCGTCGCTCAACAAAAAAAAGAAAACTTTTTCCGTGCTGTAAATATATTAGCATCTGATTACCAGCTACCCCAGTTTTTGTACAAGAGCTGTCAGCCGTTGAAAGGGACTATTGAATCTTCGGGTTCTTGCAATCCAAGCTAGTTATTTATGTCAGACAATGGGCAGAACTTGCGGATCAGACCGCTCAAAATTGGCGAGCTGATAGACAAGGGAGACGATTCAGAGGACCCAAATGCTGCAGAGCTTCTGATGGCAGCACAGGCTCTGGGCGAGCTGAAGAACCGGCCAGAGTTATCTAAGCCAACGATCCTCGACAAAGTCACCTCCCATCCTCTTATATCCAGCTCTATCAATTACATGTTGGAGAAAACGATCAACACTTCAAGCAATATTGTTCTCCTCAGCGGCGAGAAATCCAAACGTGCTCGCAATGGCCAACAGACAGAGTCTGTCGGACCCGATAGGGACGACGCATATGAGCAGATCCCGCTCAAGCGGCCGAAACTGGAAAAGACAAGCTCTGGATCTCAGCTCAACAACCGTCTTCCGCCTCCATCACAGCCTCGATTCGCCCGCCTCAACTCATCTCTACGTCAGCAGGTTACCATATCGTCAGCCATCTCCACCCAAAAAAGTCTTCAGGATCTCACTGAGCTCAGTGTTCTGAATCTCAATATCGAAAGTCGCCGCAGACTCACCATGCTCATTAATTTTTTGAAGATCGGAAACACGCAACTTAGCGAGCGCATTGAGAACCTCATCAACGTCCTGGCAAATGAACAGAATGTGAGCAAATCTCGCTCATCGAGTCCTGATAATATACACGGTGGTGCTTCGACGCTTTCACTGCCTTCACTGGCCTCCGTGAGTAGTGCTGCGTCTCTGGCTAGTCTTCCAAATCCCGACGAAACCCCAAAGCTGAGTCCAGAGGCAGAAATACCTGTCCAGCAGCTCAAAAACGAGATAGTGGGCACTGTGAAGAAAATAGTGAATGTGGTTTCGAAAGTGTCTGCAAACTCGCTTCCAGAGCCTGCCCGCTCGAACGTCCGTGAAATGCTGTTAAAACTACCAACCAACTGGGCCATGTCATTGGAGCAAAACCTGTCGGAGTCGGAAGATGAGGACTCAGACGACGAAACAAAGACGATATACGAAGATTCCCTGGAATACCCGGACCAGAATACTGAATCGCAAAAACGCAAGTCCCGGTCGCTGGCACAGCAACTGCTGGCCAACCTGTTCAAGTACAGAAATAAAACGCCGAAGAACACAGGCCAGCCGAACAACTGGTTCAAGAAATCTATCCGCCACCAGATTCTGAGCGATCGAAATGGCAAGGTGCTAATTCTGGCTCAGGAGTCGCTCGACATGATCAACAAAATCATCAAGTTCTGCAACGAAAACCTCGATAAGGCGGAAACGTGGAATATCTCGAAGCAGACCCAGCAGGCCGCCCATTTAATGAACAAACTACAAAACATCACGTATGTGACGCCCGTGTCGAGCTCCGACGCCGACTCGAACTCCTCGAAAGCGCAAAGGGACTTGCAGGACAACGACGCTATAGTCGGTCGCGAGGATTCTCCTTCCAATTTATGATTTTGTACATCTGTACACCACAAACTACATGTAAGAAAAATACCCCAAACAAAAAAATATAAGTGTAAAATAATGAAGAGCAACGACTCGTTTGAGAAAGATCTGTTGCGGTTCAAGCTTGCCGTTCTGAACTCGCCAGGGTTTACTGCTAAGGATTTATTGGCTGGCGTGCCGGATGGCGACGCCAGCGTGTTTTCTAACAGGGGCAACAAGCTACTGTATAACTCCGACGGGGTCGACTACACGAATCTGAACTCCTACAGGGACGATCTCAAACTGGTTAAAATAGAGGAAATTGACCCTGAAACTGGTGAGAAACGGCCACGATATGTTATACGACGCAAAGACCAGACCGTGGAGGAGATAATACAGCGTGAACTGGACGCTGAGTTTGGCATAGTGGACGAAGACGATGGGTACAAGCAGGACTACGACTCTGTACAAGGACTATTTGATTCCGTGGACGTTGCTGAAATATTAGCGCCGATAACACATCCCACGAACATCGTTGAGCGCAAGACATTAGAGAGGATATATAAGAGCACGCATTTGGAAGAACTCGCCGAGCAGACGATAGAGCTCATAGAGAAGGAGCAAGACAACGTGATCCAGCTCAGCAAGCTGATGAGCGTGTTTCTGGGAGATTGTCCAGAAGACTTATTGGCAGACAATTTGAAGCTCCCAGACTACGACCACAACCTCGACCTGGAGAAACAGATAGCCGGAAGCGAAGAGAACGGGTTGAACAAGGACATGGATGCCACGCAAGAAGAGGACGATGACGAATGCCAGAACGGAAACGGCGAGGCGCAAGATTCCAGAAAGATCAATGAGCGTATCAAGGATCCGTTCTTCAAGCTTCCAGAATACAAGCGAGACCCAAACTTCGGGATCCGCAAGACGGAAGACGCAGAGGAGTCTCGGCAATTGATTCAGATAGCGCTCCAGCGGAACGAGGAGTTTATCAGATCGCTAACCACCATTCGCAACGGCTTTATCAGAGCAGACCGCGTGAAAAATAATATATATAAGTGGAGCAAGGAAATGGCCGAGGAAAATTACGACAAGAGCGAAGAAAGTGAATAGTATAATACACATTAAGCCAGTTCAAGGACTTGTTTGAAACTGCTCGAGGGCGTTAGCTTGCCCCCAAAGAAAGGTACCACTCCCTGTTGCACAATGCCGTCAAACAGCTCGTAGATCAGACCTTTAAGATCGTCTCCGGTTTGCTTGAAATCAGGGTAAGAATTTACCTCGAGCAGCGACACGTTGAGGTCTTCGTCCACCACGAAATCGATACCAAATGTCTCGAAGCAGTTTGGCAGAGGCTGGAAATTGACTTTGTCATTTGCGGCTGCTCTGAATAGCTCTCCAACTATTAAGTTTATGGACTCCCGGATCTGATTTTGGGAGAATTCCGAAAGCACACTTTTACCGAGCTCCACCACAACCAGCTTGTCTGTGTCGCCTTGCAAGCAAGTGTTGGTAAGATGGCCGTCAATATTGTCAAAATCCCTGTGATATGGCTTCTCGCTAAATAGCATCAACATTCTTTGATAAACGAGCACCCGGAGATCACCCACGCAGAGCACGTAGGTACGAATGTGGAACTTCCGGTTGTCATACTCTGGAAGCAGCAATGGGTTGGCAATATACTCCTGAACAATGAAATGGCGCAGCTGGGATGTGATCACGGCGTTTTCGTCTCCATTTTCCTCAGACTCTTCAAACGAGTCGAATATGTTCTGCAACTGGTCAATGGTCTGAAAAATCCTGATGCCCTGGCCTTTGTCACTCATGCTCGGTTTCAAAATATACGTTTTAGACAGCGTCTGCTCGTTTTGTTCCAGATCCTGACGCAGTTCGTAGCTTTCGTCTAGAGAGTCATCCAAAAATTCTGCATAGTCTAGCTCCAGCTGGTATGTCTCGGGAAAAGCTTGATTTAGTATACTCGATGGATTTTTCGAGGTGTACATTGCAATGGTGTTGGCCAAATAGTGTTTTCGAATCAGACCCTTCCGATAAATATACGAGTTGGCCATATAGTTCTTGTCACTCATCATCCTCTCGTGATCCAGATCCTCGTACTCTGCAAACACAAGCGTCTTTCCCGAAACCCTGCTGTTCAAGTACTTGTCCAGAGCTTGCTCTAAAGGATCGAAAAGATACGCATCTGCTGGGTAGCCAATGAAAACAGAATCGGAGCTACGTTTCGGAGAATTTCTATATGTTAGAATAGAACTCTGTCCAACTTACTCAATGATCAACTCGCCAGTGTTGAGATCATCGATCTCTTTGAATGCTGCCTTAAGAGCTGTAACGGAAACAAGCCCTTGGTCCACGGCTATAGCATCATTCAGAACGCTCCCATCTCCGAGGTTCTTGTGCACAGAGTCAAAGTCGGGAGTCCACTTAAAGGTCTTTCCGTGGGTAACGCTCTGGTCCACGATATCTGAGGCTGGCTGCTCAGGACTTTCGGATTTGGCGGTATACAGAGACTTTGTCCATTTGTTATCGAGTGTTGGGGTCATCACACACTTGGTTTCGCCGAGCTTCAGGCTCTTTCTCAAAGGAACATTGATGGTGTACAAATCAACGCGGTCATCCCACACTGAAACGAGTTTCTCGATGAGTTTGACCGACACCAACGAGGCCTCAGCCAGAATTTTAGGATCGTTGAAAGAGTCGGCTTCGAAAGCGTAAGACACAGCAATCGCTTTCTTGCCGTGCTGTACACCCTCCATTGCTCCTCCAATCGTTCCACTAGACAAGGAGTATAGTGCGGAACAGTTTCTTCCAACATTGGGCCCACTGATCACAAGATCGACGGGCTTTTTGGCAATATGGTTGATTCCAATGTCTGCGCAGGTGGCTGGAGTGCCGTCCAGAAGACACCACTCTTTCATGTTGGGGTCCTTGATAAGATCGGCATTCGGATACGAGAACGGCCCGTGGAAAGAACTATCTGATGGCTGGTCAATCGCAGAGTAGATATAGGAGGCAGAGATTTCTTTTCCTGCCAAGTGGGCCTTTCCAATCCAGGACTTTTGGGAGCTGGGCACGCAGATGGTCAACTCCCAGTTAGTCAACTTGTGAATAGCTTCGACGAGAAACTTAATGTATGGACTTGCGGTCTCGTGCGGAGCACCGTCGTCGTTGGTCAAAAGAACGTGCATTTTTTTCACTAGATTTTATTTCAGGAATAAAATTCCGTGCAGATGTGTTCCTAATTAATTGCCAGGCACAATTATATAATTAATACACACGAGTGCTAATGCGATACCTACTTTACGATATGAGCCGTCGGACTGTATACGGTAACGGTTGTTCCAGGAGAAGTTTAACTTTGGGGTGCAACCGAAACATAAAATTAAAAGATCGATAATTAATTTTCGCCGTTGATAGATATGGATATAATCTTTAGAATCTATGATTCAGAGGTCGTTGCTAAAGAAATTGGCACCATTTATTGGTGAGAGGTTTCCGACTTAGTTCTGATGTCGGGCGACAAAAGTAGAATACTCCTATCTTATCTAGTGAATTTCATTAAGGATCGGGTCCAAAGACTATATTCGGCAACTAAAGCTTATACCACGCGCTCTTTTGGCAAAATGTCAATCAGCAAGTCGTCTGGGCTTAGTTTCAAGTGCGACTTCTTGTATTCTTTGAGCAAATCGAAGTACTTGTCGAACAGGTAGGACGAATCCAAAGGACCTCCCTTGGCCTCTGGGTGGAACTGGGTCGAGAAAATCGGTCTGGTTTTGTGGATCATTCCCTCGTTCGACAGATCGTTCAGGTTGATGAAGTACTCTTGAAAGTCTGGATGTAGGGTCTTTGCATCAACCGCGTAGCCGTGGTTCTGGGACGTGATATGACACTTGCCAGAAAGAAGGTCCAAAGCCGGGATGTTGTGAGCTCTATTTCCGTACTTCAACTTCACAGTCTTGGCTCCAGAGGCCAATGCGAGCAGCTGGTGCCCAAGACAAATACCGAAAATTGGCAGGTCTGGGAACTTCTCCATGGTCTCTTTCAAATTTTCAACGGTGGCAGAACAGTGTGTGGGATCGCCAGGGCCGTTCGAGATGAAAACACCGTCAAACTTGTCGGCAGTCTTCTGGATCGGATAATTGTAAGGAAGAACAGTGATAGAGGCGCCACGGGACACCAGGGAGCGCAGAATATTCTCCTTGACACCACAGTCTAGCACAGCAACATGGTACTTGGCATTGGGCGAAGGAACATGGAAAGGAGCTTTGGTAGTGACCTTGTGCACCAAATTCACAGAGCTCGGGTCATCGAAAGCCGCGTCCTCATCAGCATCGTATGTTTCGCCAATACTCAGCTTGGCCAGACTGGAGCCCTGCTCTCTCAGATAAGTCACCAGTTCTCTGGTGTCGACTCCAGTGATGGCAGCAACACCCTCACGTTTGCACCATTGGCTCAGACTCTCGACGGCCGTCCAATGAGAGTATTGCAGAGCCACGTCGCTGACAACAATACCAATACATTGGATATGTGGCGACTCGAAGTACTTTAGCAGGTTGTACTCGTCTCTAGCAGTGCCCGAAGGAACACCGTAGTTGCCAATCAGCGGCTGAGTAAAGACAAGAATCTGGCCTCTATAGGAAGGATCAGTCATAGACTCGGGATATCCAACAAGAGAGGTGGTGAACACTGCCTCTCCGCTGACGTTCTTATCAGCTCCAAAAGAGTAGCCATTGAAGATTGGGCCGTCCCTGATAGTCAGGGTGGCTCTGTCTAAGCTCTTGGTCGACGATAGTCTGATAGAATTCCATCTGATGGCCGGGAGGGCCACCTTGGTGAAAGTTCTAAACATGGTGAGTCAGTTTATTTGATAGAGATCGTGAAAATTTTTTGTACAATTACCGCGTTACCCTTTTGAGACAACCACATCATTTGCTGTCGTTATTACCCTGCCTAACAACTTTTTTCCTCATCCCAGCTAAATTTTTCATCGTTTTTTTTCAAATTTTTCATTTCATTTTATTTTCATTTCATCATGTCCCACAGAAAGTACGAGCAGCCAAGACACGGTTCCCTGGGTTTCCTCCCAAGAAAGAGAGCTGCAAAGCAGAGAGGTAGATGTAAGGCTTTCCCTAAGGACGTCAAGTCTAAGCCAGTTGCTTTGACCGCCTTCCTTGGTTACAAGGCTGGTATGACCACCATCGTTAGAGACTTGGACAGACCAGGCTCTAAGATGCACAAGAGAGAGATTGTCGAAGCTGCTACCGTGGTTGACACTCCAGAACTTGTCGTTGTTGGTGTAGTCGGTTACGTCGAGACCCCAAGAGGACTGAGATCTTTGACTACTGTCTGGGCTGAGCACCTTTCTGATGAGGTCAAGAGAAGATTCTACAAGAACTGGTACAAGTCTAAGAAGAGAGCTTTCACCAAATACTCCGAGAAGTACGCTAACAGCGCTGCCGAGATTGAGAAGGAGCTTGCTAGAATCAAGAAGTACTGTTCCGTCGTGAGAGTTCTTGTCCACACCCAAATCAGAAAGACCCCACTGACCCAAAAGAAGGCTCACTTGGCTGAGATCCAGGTGAACGGTGGTTCTGTCTCCGACAAGGTCGACTGGGCCAAGGAGCACTTTGAGAAGACCGTTTCTGTTGACTCCGTCTTCGAGCAAAACGAGATGATTGACGTCATTGCCGTCACCAAGGGTCACGGATTCGAGGGTGTTACCCACAGATGGGGAACCAAGAAGCTCCCAAGAAAGACCCACAGAGGTACCAGAAAGGTCGCCTGTATCGGTGCTTGGCATCCATCCCACGTTATGTGGACTGTTGCCAGAGCTGGTCAAAGAGGTTACCACCACAGAACCTCCATCAACCACAAGATTTACAGAATTGGTAAGGCTGGTGATGAAGCTTCTGGTGCTACTGAGTTCGACAGAACTAAGAAGACCATCACCCCAATGGGTGGTTTCGTCAGATACGGTGCCGTCAACAACGACTTTGTTCTGTTGAAGGGATCCATCCCAGGTCCAGTCAAGAGAGTCATCACCTTGAGAAAGTCTCTGTACGGCCCAACTAACAGAAGAGCCCTGGAGCAAGTCAACCTCAAGTGGATTGACACTGCCTCCAAGTTTGGTAAGGGTAGATTCCAGACCCCAGCTGAGAAGCACGCCTTCATGGGTACCCTCAAGAAGGACCTTGAGAAATAGATATATAATTAGGTATATCCCTGTTTTTCACTTAATTAGTAAGCCGGGTAACCCAAATTTGCCCCCTTTGTGAAAATTTTTTTTTCAGTAGTAGAAAAGCAACGTGAAGATAGGATAAAAGGGTTAGTGTTCCCACAAGATTATTTCTTTATAGATTGTGGATTATTAAAAGATGTCATACGTCCCGCCACACAGATCAAGAGGAGATTACGTTCCAAGAGACACAGGGGAATCGTCTGGTAGAGGCGGATTTTCCAGCAGAGGCGGATTTGCCAGCAGAGGAGGTTACAACAGGGGATTTGGAGGACCAAGCAGAGGCTTTGGAGGAGGATCAGGTTACAGCAGAGGCAATGGATATTCCAGAGGCGGCGGCTTTGGCAGGGGATCCAGAGCTCAGCCAGGTCAAGGTTCTTGGGTTAACGGTGCTCATAAGCCAGCTGAGCGTAACGAGAGGCTCGAGCTAGAGCTTTACGGTAAGGCAGGAGATGGACAAACCCAGTCTTCTGGTATCAACTTTGACAACTACGATGAGATTCCAGTTGAAGCGTCAGGTGACGATGTGCCAGAGCCAATCAGTGAGTTCACTTCGCCTCCGTTGGATCCTTTACTCGTGGAAAATATCAAGCAAGCTAGATTCACCAAGCCAACCCCAGTGCAGAAATATTCGATTCCTATTGTTGCAAATGGCAGAGATTTGATGGCATGTGCTCAAACCGGTTCGGGTAAAACTGGTGGATTCTTGTTCCCAGTCTTGTCTGAGTCCTTCAAGCATGGACCTTCAGAATCTTCTCAAACAGACAATGCCTTCGACAGAAGAAAAGCGCATCCAACTGCATTGGTTCTTGCACCAACTAGAGAGTTGGTTTCTCAAATTTATGAGGAAGCCAGAAAGTTCTCTTACAGATCCTGGGTCAGACCAGTTGTCGTGTATGGAGGTGCCGAGGTCTATCTTCAAATGGACCAACTCAAGCAGGGTTGCGATCTTTTGGTCGCCACCCCAGGAAGATTGAACGATCTTTTGGAGAGAGGCAAGATTTCATTGAAGAACATTAAATACCTTGTTTTGGATGAGGCTGACAGAATGTTGGATATGGGTTTTGAGATTCAAATCAGGCACATTATTCAGGGTTGCGACATGCCGCCGCCAGGTGAAAGACAAACATTGATGTTCTCTGCAACGTTCCCTAAGGAAATCCAATTGATGGCCAAGGACTTTTTGCACAACTACATCTTTTTGTCGGTGGGAAGAGTCGGATCGACCTCCGAGAACATTACTCAAAGAATATTATACGTTGAGGACGATGAGAAGAAGTCCAGTCTTCTGGATATTCTCACGTCTACCGAAGACACGCTGTCCAATGGACTCACTTTGATTTTCGTTGAAACCAAAAAGATGGCTGACATTTTGTCCGACTTTTTGATTAATCAAGACTTCCCAGCCACCTCTATTCACGGTGACAGATCTCAATACGAAAGAGAAAGAGCATTGGAGAGTTTCAGATCAGGAAGAACGCCAATTTTGGTTGCCACCGCTGTTGCTGCTAGAGGATTGGATATCCCTAATGTGACTCATGTGGTCAACTATGATCTTCCAAACGATATTGACGACTACGTCCACCGTATCGGAAGAACAGGAAGAGCAGGAAATACTGGTGTCGCCACTGCCTTTGTCAACAGAGGAAACAAGAACGTTGTGAAAGACTTGATTGAACTTCTTAGCGAGGCCAACCAAGAGGTCCCAGACTTTTTGACTGTGATTGCAAGAGAGAACTCCGTTGGCAGAGGTCGCGGAAGAGGAGGCAAGACCCAGAATAGGGATTACAGAAAGTACGGAGGCAACTCTGGAGGCTACGGAAACGGCTATGGTGGTAGATCTAGCTATGGAGGAGGAGGATACAGCAGTTACGGAAACGGTGGAGGATTCAACAGCTTTGGTAGCTCCGCTGCATCAGCATCGTCGTCATCATCTCAATGGTGGTAATTTCATAATGGTGGGAAGATGAGAGAAGCAGGAGATAAAAGAAAATGAGAAAAAAAAACAAGTGTATCTGAACTTATTTGATTCGATCGCTTCTCGAGGGAATATAAAGATTGAGAAATAGACAAGAGTAAAGGACAACGTCAGTCCTTATTCGCCATTCCTCTGAGCGAGAAAGTTTGATATACTATTCATTTGTGCGCTGGACCGATTTATGATCTTTGACATGTTGTTCGTGATCATTGTACATTCAATTCAATTATTAGCATTTTGTCATTGTTTGATTTTATATGATAGAAATGTTTTCTGGTGCACTTAATGATTAACGGTTTTACAGTTTGGGTTTCTTCCTTATTTATACCTCCCTGTATATTGCTAATAAGTTAGTTTATGTTTGTTCCAAGGCAGTGTAATATTTCTCTACGGAGATATACCCCTGTTTTAAAAAAGTACGCCATATTTGACTTTTTTGTATTTGTGCCTTTGACTTGGCATCCTCTGTATTTTTTTGGCATCCACCTTTTTTTAGCCAAAATTCACCGATGCTGCCTTCTTTTGGCAAGTCAAAGAAGCATGGCAAACCCAGGCTCTCCAGAAGGGTTTCTGATGAGCATCGTCAATATACCGGCACCACTATAAATAAAATACCCATATTAGAGGATGACGAGAATGACGATGCTGATTTAGGGCCGCGCTTTCCTACTTTTAACAGTCCATCTGTGGACTCTCCCGCAATGATCTCCCCAGGATCTGGAGAGCATGGAACTGACAACCTCAGAAAAGAGATAGACGAAGATTTTGACGACGATTTCTACAGAGACGAGTACGATGTGAGCTCGCCTACTCCTGCGGCCAAAAGCAAGCCTACTCCTGCGATCGAAGTCGACCAAGAATCCTCTGAGGATGTTTCTACGGACGAGGAGGAGGACACGCGTTCTGGTGACGACGGTTCTGTTGCTAGTGTCCATTCAAACGAGTCGAGGGACTCTTTCAAGACACGGATTAAACGGCATTTCACAACCAACAGAGGCGAGAGACCTCCAGACGAAGGATCTCCCCGCAAGAAGCGGAGCGAGACCATAGTCTCGCGTATTTTTGGGCATCCGCCTCCGATGGGTGGCCTAACGCCCGGAGCAAGCAAGTCATCACAGGAGCGAAACCCGGACGAAGAGGAAAAAATTGAAAACGACATACCTCTGAAGACATTTGACGCAGACCAGTTGCAATTTGAGACCAATGACCTGGTCAATCAGCATTTCAAGGAGGCTAATGCTGGGTATCTATCATCTGCCTCGACCTTGCATCCGAATTCCAGTAGTCTATTTATGGCCCCAAACCCTGAGGCCACTGTTGGCGACTTCGACGATCTCAATAACGACGACTATGTCCAGTTCGACTCCGTTGAGTCGTTGGTGGACCGTCCGAAAAGGGTGAGGAAAGGTGTTGTCTCGAGTCTTCTGGCACTGTACAATCCACAGAATCAGCCAAACTACGCTGCGTCTGAATATTCTGGGACTCAGACTCCCAGGAGCGACTACTCGGACGTCGAAACGGCCACGAGTCCCGACGCTCTGGATCATAAATTACAGCTCATGTCCAGAAACGACAGCTATAGTATAGACAACGCGTCTCTTAACTCTGTGCCGGAGCTGGGCGCCAAAGGGACGAGTTCGAGAGACCCATCCATTTACAAACACAAAAAGAGGTCAAGATCGGCCTCGTCTCTGACCCACATGTTCAAGAGCAATAAAAAGGAGGAGTCAAAAACGAAGCCCAGACCAGAAGACAAATTTGAGCTGCCCTCCTTTGCCAAGCCGAAAAATGCAGATAAAAAACACACCAAGTTCATTCCGCGGTTTGATGAGAAAGCCAAGTCCAATAGGCGCAAGAAAATCAGACGGAAGTTCAAGAGCGAGCAGAGAGCTCGCATCACCGTGCACATTGCCGATGTGTTGCAACGCCAGCGGTTCATTCTCACCTTGTGCAAGGCTTTCATGCTTTACGGAGCACCGACGCACAGACTGGAGGAGTACATGTCAATGACAGCTCGTGTTCTAGAGATTGACGGGTCGTTTATCTACTTTCCAGGGTGCATGATTGCTTCCTTTGGCGACGCTGCTACTCACACCTCAAACATGAAATTAGTGCGGTGTGCTCAGGGTCTGGACCTGGGGAAACTGGATGAGACTCACGATATCTACAAAGATGTTGTCCACGATCGGATAGGTGTGGAGGAGGCTAGCGGGAAGCTAGACGAGATTTTGTCGCGCAAGCCCCGTTTCAACCAATGGTACTGTGTGCTCTTGTACGGTTTTTCTTCGGCCATGGTGACGCCATGGGGATTCGGCGGGAATTGGATCGACATGCCGATCTCGTTTGGAATTGGGCTGGTCATTGGGTTCCTACAGTTTATCATTTCTCCGCGGTCTGTTCTGTACTCCTCGGTGTTTGAGATCAGCTCTTGCGTGGTGGCCAGCTTTATTGGCCGGGCCATTGGCTCGGTCGACAACGGCAACAGGTTCTGCTTTGCTGCAATTGTGCAGGGCTCCCTCGCGCTGATTTTACCCGGCTACATTATTCTGTGCGGGTCGCTCGAGCTGCAGAGCAGAAACTTGGTTGCCGGAAGCGTGCGTATGTTTTACGCCTTTATTTATTCATTGATGCTTTCATTTGGAATCACACTGGGTGCTGCATTGTACGGATGGATTGACCACAACGCCACATCGTCAACAACGTGCACCTCGAACGTGCCGCCCGCCTGGAGGATCCTGCTGGTGCCTATGTTCACTATCGGTCTTGCGCTCATCAACCAGTCTTCGTGGACTCAGCTGCCGGTGATGATTGCCATTTCGGGCGCAGGGTACGTGGTGACATACTTCTCGAGTTTACATTTCAAGCTGAACACAGAATTCAATGCTACTCTGGGCTGCTTCGTGATTGGGCTGATTAGCAACGCCTACACGAGACTGCTCAAGTCGTTCAATAAGGTTTTCTCCAAAGGATCGTTCATGACCGTCTCGATCATGCTGCCGGCCGTCTTCGTCCAGGTTCCGTCTGGTATCGCGTCGCAAGGCTCGTTGTTGGTCGGAGTGCAGAGCGCAGACAACCTGGTCAACAACAAGACGTCGACGTCGAGCGGCAACTCGCTCTCGAGCCTGAATTTTGGAATGGTCATGATCCAGGTTGCTCTGGGAATCAGCGTGGGTCTGTTTATGGCCACGCTCGTGGTGTATCCGCTGGGCAAGAAACGGACAGGATTATTTACTCTCTAGAAAAAAAATGTTACCCTCCTTCGATAGCTTCACCAACCAAGATTTCTCTCAACTATTTGGGAGCTTCTTTTAAAAAGACACCACCAGTAAGAATGCCTAGCCCAGCAGAACTTCTTGCGCAGAAGCACAGGTCTGTTTCCGAGGACCCAGAGACTCCTCTAATTTCTGCCACCGAGTCCTCCGCTCCGTCGTCGACCGCCTCCGAGCCCACCACGTATGAGCTGGATGTCGAGGTTGATTCCGTGGCATCGAGCCAAGACAAAAAGGTGTCAATCGACGACGAAACATATTTCCCCGCCCTGGGGGTATCAATCGGGTCCGCTCCTGCCCAGTGGGGTCCGTCCATGTCCAATGGACGCACTTTCTCGTCGAACACCCCGTCCACTTTCAAGCCCGCTGTCAGGTCGTCCAACACCCAGCTCACATTTATCGTGGACGCTGCAGAACAACTGCCCGTGTCGAAGAATGATCTCTTTAGGATCATTTCCAAAATCAAGGCCGCCTACGACGTGAAGGTCGAGTCCACGTTTTCTGCCACCACCAACAAAAGAACTTTTCTGCTAAGCGGCCCGGCGTCGAAAATCCAAAGCGCGAAAAAAGACCTCATCAAACAGGTCACCAAGCCTGTGAAAATTGAGTTCGGCATTCCGTTCAAGCTCATATCCACGGTGATTGGCTCGCAGGGCAGAACATTGAAGCCGATCCTCGAGTCCACAGGCGTTAAAATCGATATTGCAAGGACCGGCAGCAACGAGGCAGCTGACGACGCCGACATCTTTTCCAACCTCGCCAAGGTTGTCGTTGAGGGAGACGTGGAGAGCTGTGAGGAAGCTAGACAAAAGATCATGTCTATAGTCGACCAACACACCCAGAACCTCACCGTCAAGGTTGACGTTGATGAAAAACTCAAGCGGTTTGTGAATTTGGAGCTCAAAAACCAGCTGCCTCCCGACGTGGAGGTTGATCTACCGCTGGAGAACTCCAGGGCCTCCTCCATCTATCTCTCCGGTGCCCGAGAGACTGTGCTGGCGGCCCGCGAGACCGCCAAAACGGTTATCGACTACCTGGCGAAACGGATTGTTGTCGAGGAACGCACAGTGCCCAAGATTGTCCATCAGTTCCTTGACGCAGAAAAGATCTTCAGCACCGTGGGGGTTTTAGTCGAGGTTCCAGAATTCGACTCTCCTTCGACCACGGTGAAGTTCATTGGTATTAAAGAGAACATCCCAAAAGCTGTAGCATTTGGAAAAGAGCTTTCCCAGGAGTATGCCACTGATTTCTTGGATCTGGCAAGGTCTCACGGTGGAAACTACATGCATGCGAAAGTGCTTACTGCATTCTTTGTTTATACCGGCATGTTCGACGCACTTTCGGCAAAGTACAACGTCAAGATCACTGCTCCAAGCTATAAGTCTCTTGTCGATGAGCAAACAAAGACAGTTATTTTGGAGTTCGTTTGCTCGAAATCCGATAAAGAAGCTTTAAAGTCTACTAGACGAGAGATAGTGGATGCTGTCAACAAGATCACACCCTCCTTTGTGCGGCTGATCGACGACATTGACACTCTTGCTCTTGATAAATTGGACGAGACCGTTGCGAACGAGAAGAGCGTGAAAATCGTTCCTCTGGGTAAGCTTTCGGGTGTTGGCAACAAAATAGTTCTCCTATATCAGGCAAGCGATGATGAATTCCTTCCATCATTGAAAGAGACCAATGAGATATTGGATGCTGTTGACCAGTCCCTGGATGAGCTCAGAATAATCAGCAGAGACATCACCTACGAAGTCCTGGACATGCCGTCTGCAGATCAGGAGAAATTGCAAGGTCACATCTTGAAGGTCTTGCTGTCTAAGTTTGGCTCAGATATACAAATCAGGCTCCACCAAAACAAGGATGGTGTGAGTGTCGACCAACTGGTGGTGGTTGGGTTCAAAAAGGATGTTCCAAAGGTGATCGGCGAACTGAAGCAAGCCATCGAGGATGTCAAAAATTATGAGACGGCTTCTAAATACAACCAAACTTTTGCATTCCCAACTAGCCAGCTCTCGAGACTCATTGGTCACAAAGGAGGGAACCTCCAAAGTTTGCAGGAACAGTATAACGTTCAAATTGATGTTCAGAAGGGCGAGGATGCCACCGTGGGTGACAAAACCCTTGTTAAGCTCACAGGGCTGAAAGTCAACGTTGAAGAGTGCGAGAAGAAACTCATACAGCTTGGCAAGAAGTGGGCTGATGAGAGAACGGTGGTGATGAAAATCGAACAAAAGTATCACCGCAAGCTAATTGGGCCTTCTGGAGTATATGTGCACCGGTTAAATGAGAAGTACAACGTGGTGATCAAATTCCCATTCGAAGATGCCACCGGTCATCAGGATGAGGTTGTCATCAAGGGACCTTCCAAAGGCGTTGCGAAGGCTGAAGAAGAGCTAAGAGAGCTGCTTCAGTACGAAAAAGACAATGGATACAAAGAAACAATCAAGGTGCCAATAGCCATTCTTCCGCGCGTGATTGGAAAGTCTGGAGAGCAGGTGAAGGACATTTCGGCAGACACTGGCGTCGAAATCAAACATTTGAGGGAGAAAAGTGATGGCGAGAGTGCGCAATTAGAGCTCACTGGTACCAGGGAAGGGATCAGAGCTGCAACCAAAAAAGTCAACGCCATTGTTGATCGTATTCAAAACAATGTGACCGAGTCGATCGATGTCGACTCAAAATGGCACAAGTATCTCGTGGGGCCATCTGCCTCGAAGAAGCGCGAGATCATCTTGAACGCATGTGGTCCAAACGACGGGGCCGATTTCAGAAGATTACTACAAGTTCCACCTGCTGGCTCTAATTCGACCAAGATCGTGTCACAGGGTAACAGGGAGGTCGTGGAGAAGATCATTGAGCAGGTTAAACAGATAGTATATGACCTCGAGAACGTTGTGGACGAGACGGTGCTGATTCCAAAGAAAAAGCATGCACTTTTAATTGGATCGGCAGGAATGGTCAGAAGAGGTTTGGAGGCAGAGTACCACGTCCGGATCGACATTCCGAAAATCAAGCACGAGTCTGACGAAGTGCATGTTCGCGGGTCTCCCGAGAACGTCGAGAAGGCCAAGGCTGCAATGCAGAAATTGATAGAGAACTAACAATAGCATATAAAAAAGCTTGTACATTTTTGTGGGACGATCGACTGTTGTAGCAAAATTAAAAGTGGTAATCAAAAAAAATGCACCTCCCATTGGTAAAAAGATACCTGTCAAAGATAACAAACAACGATTAACACTGTTCCAAAATGGATATGGAAGCAGAATTTGAGGATTTTCAGAAGAAGAATACCCCTTCCTTGATTGGGTCTTCTGTCAGAAACTCCAGCACTCCTAGTGGGGACTTAGACAAAGACGAGCCAGAGTCGATCATTTTAGATCGCGCTCGTTCCAGCTCGAGGCCCGTCATCAAATCCAATCCCTCGACCTCCCATATAGGATTTGTGTCCGTAGACGAACTCAAAGCGGAAGGTGGACTTCTAAACGACGAGGAGGGAGAAGTTCTTGATGAGATCCTTGACGAGGAAGGTCATTTGAAAAAAAATGCATTGCAATTAAAAGAACGGCTGAAGACCGAAGAGGAGGGAACTTCTAGCTACATTCAGTCTCCTGGCAGCGAGGTTTCCTCCGAGCCTGTTCGTGAAAAGGAGCACCTAGTTTTTGGCGGTGATGCGGGAAATTTTGTGGCGCCTGCTGCTGCCAAATCAAGTCACTTGACTGATTTCAAATACGAGAGTCCTTCTAGAGAGCCTCCAAAGCCAGAAGAAAAAAATCGCGACCTGATTGAGCCCGGAAAACTCACCACTGTAGACGACATACTCCAGAGAATCAACCAAGGAAGCGGGGAACTGACCGAAGAGCCGAAAATCACACCAAAGTCAGAATCCAAGGTGCCTCAGGACAATATGACAGAACCATCAGCCTATTCGAATGAGGTTGACCAGCTTCTGACAGCTCCAGCCAGTAGAAGGGAAGGATCGAGCTCAAGAATAATGAGAGAGAGACAGAGATCTCGCTCGCGTCCCGCAGACGGCTCCGGATCACCATTCAGGGAAGGCGTTGGAATGTACAAACCACATCTGGCAAAAGGTGATTCCTACCACAGCGGTATCTCTAACGACGAATATAGTCAAGGCAGCGTCAACGTCGATGCGCCTGTGGAGAGAAAACCAAGACACGATCCTGGGTCCGTTAGACTTTCGAGCTCTTCGTCTCTGAACTACTTGCGTTCCATTTCGAGATCCAGGTCAAGAGCTGCCAATGACAAAGATGCGATAGGCAAAGACAGGGGTATTGATCAAAATGAACTCAAAGAGGAAGGTGTTCTCATGCACGATGGAGATTTCTCCCAACTGCCCGATTATGAAGACGCAATAACCAATGCTTTGAATATTGTTGAGAATACTAAAAGTGTGAAAGACGGATCGAAGGTTGGGAGGCACAAGGAGAACATTGTGAGTGATTTGCATAATTCCCTCAATTCAAGGGATTTAGGAGAACTTAACGAAGCCGACGAGGACCGTGATATCCTGAAAGAGAAAAACAATGAGCTCAAAACAGCGAACAAGGGCAGGAAAGATGACAGCTTTTCAGCTGACGAACATGTAAACTCTGATAGCAAGACCATTGCTTTTAAGGATTCAAACGCCGACGAAGTTGATACCAAGAGCTCTGACTCCGTTCAAAAGTTGTCGGATGAATCTCTATGTGAAACGAAGCAGACAGATGTTTCGGAGGAAAAGTTACCGGGACATCCAGATACCGTTGAAAGTCTCGATCAGGAACGGCAAGAAAGCACCCATTCTGTGGAAACGAAGAGCGATGAAACAGAAGACAAGGATGTTCATAGTGAAGCTGCTACACTGCCAAAATCAGCAGAGAACAACAGGGACAATACGCCATCTCAAGACCTTGTTAACGCTGATGATAATCTTCCTATCAAAACGTCCGCGGACGAAGCTATTTTGGAGCAACCTAAAAAGTCTCTAGACTCGCTAACTACAAAGCTAGAGTCTAGCACGCTTGCAGAAGCACCAGAAAATTCCACCGCTGATATTGGGGGAACTGGCGAGGAAGGCATTGAGCAGGAGGCCACTATTCAGCAAGACAAACCCATCAAGGATGAAGTTGAAGCAATGGAACCTGTCAAAGAGAAAGATACGCCAGTCGAGGACACACAAGCGAGAAAGTCTGTTTCTAATTCATTCGACGACGATGACGACATTGAGGAACTGCTAAGGGCTGTTGAAAAGGAACAGCCAGCTGAGTCATCTACCAGCACGGCAAACAAAGATTCTGTGTATGTTCCCAAGGGAACAAAAATGACATTCGAGGACGAACCTGTGTACATTTACACATCTTTGGCAGGCGGCTTCCAAATTGCTACTCGAACAAACAGACTGCAGACTATTTTGACCGCCAATAGGGTCAAGTTTGGATTCAAAGACCTGGGAACTGACGAGCAAGCTAAAAAAGTTTGGAGGCGATACAGCGAAGGGAAAACTCTCCCCGGAATAGTTAGGGGTAAGGATGATTTTATTGGCAATTGGGAAGATGTTGAAGAAGCTAATGAGAATTATGCGGTTAGAACTTTGATATACGAGACATACTAGGGATGATTAAGTGCACCGAGATCTTGTGAATTGCAATATTTAAGTCTTGGTCGATTATTGTTCCTCATATTTATAATGGACTATTCTCCTTACAGTAGTCTGAGTACAAAATACGCCCACATTAAATAATTCAGCATTTTTTAGGAATTTTTTTTTTTTTCAGCATGTCCGAGTCTGATTATGAAGATGAATTAGGGGAGTCCAAGACGTTTCTCGGTTTTGTTGACGTTCCCATCTCCGAAAGTGAATTGCCAGAACTGGAGGATACCTTTATTGGTGGAAAGCCTATCTGGTTAAACCCAAATTCTCCACCATCAAAAGAGTTGCTTCTGTGCAAGAGTTGCCAAGAACCGATGCATCTTTTGCTCCAATGCTACGCCAATCTTGCCAACACTCTTTATGACAGAGTGATCTATATATTAGGCTGCAACAAGCCGCAATGCCGAAGAAAAAAGGGATCCGTTAGGGCTATCAGAGCAATTTCTAAAGATCCAGACCTTATCAAAAGAAGAGAGCAGGAGTTGGAGGAGTTTGAAAACAAAAAGAAAGCAGCACAACAGAAGGAAGAAGAAACGAAAAGTAAGCTGGAATCTCTCGCTAACAGTCTCTTTAGCCCGTCAGACTCGACTAACGGGCAGCCGAATCCGTTTTCAAATCCTTTTGCCCAAGAATCATCCAATCCTTTCGCACAACCGGGAAAAATGGAACCTGCAAAGCCAACTTACGCCGAGGTGACAAAGCCAGCGGAAAAGGCACGGCCACAGGTCAGCAAAGAACCAGTGAATCTTCCATCTTATCCTGGATACATATTGTATGTTGATCAAGAAGTTTTCGATCTGAAAAAGCAGAAGTTGCCTCCTCTTCCAGAGGTCGATGCAGCAGCTTCAGCCCAAATCTCACAGCCAAATCCTTCGAATCCTTCAAAAATACCAACTTTGGATGAAAACGTCTCGAAAATGGTAGATGATCCGACATTCCAGCATTTCTCACATATTGTTTCATTCAACCCTACACAGGTGCTCCGTTATGATCTCAACGGATCACCTTTACTGTATTCTTCTAAAGATGATGTGGCCAAACTGTTTTATGATTCCAACGGAAGACTCCGTCCACAAGCGCTGATCCCTAATCCTCCCTACAATCCGTCTTCAGAAAGGCGATTCGAACTACAGTTGATGCCAAAAGCTATAATTGATCTAGAAGCTGGAACTGACGACATACTAAGTGGAATGGAATGGGGAACGATTATTGTGGCCACAGACTCGATGGATTATATTCCCGACCACATGTACGACGAAAACCATGTTGGGTATGTGGAAGAATGGTGTGGAGTTCAATGGGAGGAAGAATTAAAACTATAAAATAGATATACCTATAATCCCATCAAACGTGTAATCCTGACGTCTTCAATCAACCTATCAATATCTTTGAAGTTATCATCGTTTGTAGCAAAATGCCTATGCTTATCCATGAGAATATGCTCGTCAAAGTCGTCGTACTTGACTCGACAATTCTCACAATAACCAGGCTTTGCTTCCGTTTTAGATTTGCGCACTAGAGGTAACTTGGTGATTTCTTTCGCTTTCTTCTGCTTTGGTTGCAGCGATTGTCGGAACAACTGGTTATTAATGGGGGACATCAGATCATTCTTTTCATCTTTGAGTTTCATTTTATCAGCTGGGGTTTCGATGATCTTGTTATCTGGTGGTCCAAGTTTGCAGTCGTTTTCCTGTTTCAAGGCTGGGCCAAAAGAAACGTCTACTGGAGTCTTAGATTCTTCCTTGTGTGTGTTCAAATCAGGAGTCTGCACTGGAGCATTAGAGTCTTTTGTTTGCGATGATAAACGTCTAGCATCCTCTGAACTAATGAACTTTGAATCTTTTTTGACATTGATGACCCGAATGACTCTGTCTTCCTTTCTGACTTTGAACACCTTTAATGGCGATTCCTTTCTCTGAGAGCCAGGTAATGGAGCAAAAGTCATCATTTTCTTCTTCTCATTCGCAATTTTCTTATTGAAAACCAAGGAATGCGATGGGCCCAAGCCATTGCCCGCTCCATTAACATAGCCCTGACCAGATATTGCATTCGACCCTGACTGAGTCTGAACAACACCTGAAGCCTCAATCTCACCGTACTCGTTTCCGACCTTGTTCTGCGAAACTTCAATCGTCGAATCGTCCCGATATAGATTTGCTGGAGGGGCCATAGGCTTCTTATTCACCTCTGAGTGCTCTGAGTTCTCGTTAAGTTCTTCGAGAACCTTTCTCTTTTTCTGCTCGGGCTCTATTATTGGGGCGCCATAGTAAGATTCTTCCCACATCCGTTTGTATTGCAGTCGTTCCTCGTAACTCAATGCAGGCTCGTTTGGAAGACAGGATGCTTCAATGATCTTCTGACGATAATCCTTTGTTTCTTCGAGATATTGAATGCGCCGCCTGTGTCGTTTCTCGGAGTTGCCCGAATGAGTGTCTTCAATGAATAAAGACCTACCGTTGGTTGATTTTGTGAGCCTTGGAAAGTCGGCAGCATTGGTAGGCCATTCTTTTATGACAATCGGCCTTGTTTGTTGTCGTAAATCATAAACGTAAAAGTAGTACCCTGTAAAGTACTTGATATCATCTCTTTTGACATTGGGGTCGCGGTCATTAGGGCCAAAAAGCTTTTCATTCTTCAAAAGAGATGACAGTTTTTTCTTGAGAGAGGACTCGTCTTCGGGAATAGGTTCACCGAGGTGATTCATGAAACGGAACACCTTCTCGTAGGTCCAGACCTTCAATTCATTCCTCTTTGCAATGCGAAAGATATCTCCCATTGGGTAATCTGCGTGTTTGTGGTATGGTCGTCTTGAGACAATGATTGTGACATTCTCGCTGAAGAATCTTTCTATGGTGGCACCCAAAGATTGTAGTGCTAATTTAGCTCGTTCCTTCTCTTTCTCGTTCCTGCCCTCGTCATTTTCAAAATAGACGACACTGGCTTTCAAAATCTTTCGCCAACTTTGTTGCCAGTCTTTTAATTCAGCGCCCGTCATTCGATTGGACTGCTTTTTGGCCGGTACCGGCGGCGCCGCAAGGCTTTTCATGGATTCATTTAGAGCAGGATTTGTGAGGTCTAGTTTTTGATCTAAAAGCGACTTTTTAGGTGCTGCATTTGAGTTGAGCGCGGATTTCGAAGACTCTTTTAATGGAGTTCGCTTCGAGCCTTGTCGTAAATCAGATGCGTGATTCATAATATGTATATGCTAGGAAGTGACTTTCACGAATGCTAATGCTGAAATGAAGTAATAAATGCTGCAATTGGTGAATCACTGTTTTGGAACTGCTTGTTCATCAAAGGAACGAGTTTCAATCAAGAAAGCGGTGTTTTCTCACCGAGAAAGTTGGGATGATCTATTACAGGATGGATATACGCAGTGAAGCTTATTCGGAAGCTTGTTGCTGGCGCAATCTCTAAAACTTCTTTGTCTCCAAACACGTTAAATAAACAAAGACGAAAAACACGCACCTTGTGTGTATGTTTTTTTACCCCCTTGTAAGAGGTGCTAGGTGTCCTTGATTAAATGATGCAAGGATTATTTAGGTTCCGAAACTCAATTATTTATTACAGACAACAGCTCGCAATGCTGAACTCAAAGAACATTTCCAACCTGTTGTCGCAGGTGCTAAATCCTGTTCCTGAAGTCACAAGCTCAAAACCCTTATCGATCTCGCTCTTATCGACGTCTTCTAAAAAACCGCTTGTTTCATGCTTCCAGAATACGCTTGAGGAAGATACAAAAGGTGATGAGAGTGAATTCCTTAATACTGGCATAACTCCATCGGACAACTTGCGAATAATGTCACTGACAAGTTTGAAGGCATGGGAACAACGTGCAAAAACGGAATATGACTGGCTCGTGATACGCTTCAACATGTATTATATCTACCTGTACAAGATCAACGACGAATACTTGGTAATGCTTTGTTGCGATTTACAATATCCAAAAGTGCTGGCCATCAAGAAATTAGAGAAGCTGAGCGAGGCCATGAGGGATAAATTGTGACTAGAACATATAATAGATCCCATATAAGTCGGCTTCAATTGGGCTAACCCATGCTAAACGACGCCGCTTTATTCGTCCGACTCAAGACCCTGGTCTTCCTCGTCATATTCCATGTCTTCATCCTCATCTTCATAGTCGTCCTCCGCCTCATAGTAATTATCCTCCCACCAGTCCTCATCATCCTGGCGCTCCTCTTCCTCTTTGAGGTTATGTTTCAGATCTTCAGCGTTAGGCATCACGAAATCCTTGGGGATATTAGCCTGTGATCTTGCCACCTCCACGGAAATACGCTTGCGGTATTCTTCTCTGTGTTTCTTAAATGCTATAGCTGCGTCGACATTTGCAGGGCTGGATATGTTAGGGTCTTCTAATAAGGAGATGATAGAAAGCAGCACGGACTCTACGCTTTGAGCTGGTGACCATGTCTCGTTATCCGGTTCGTCGTTCTGGTCGTTTCCCGACTCGTGTAAAATGGAAATACAAAGTCTCCCGTCATTATAAACATTCGGATGGTAGATTGGTGGTGTAAATTTGAATCCCGGTGGAGAAAACGGATAATTGGAGGGGAACTTGAGCTGGCCTTTTAAGTAAGCTCCGTTGTAATCTGCGTCTTTATCGATGACAATCAAGGCAACGTTCCATAGAAAAATGTTGTCGTCCTCGATTTCAACATGAACCTGTTTTAATCCGGTCCTCGGATTAGATATATCCTTGTATTCCTTCCAGAGTCGTTTGGCCGCTGCGTGTGTTGCCATTCTATTGCAGGTCCTAAGTTTACCGTGAGTGCCTTAGATCTGTAATTATAGCTTCAACCGTGTGTCTTGGGCCAAAACCACAGATCTTGCCTATTTGAGCGTGTGATCAATTTTTACTACAACACAATTTTCCAGGGCAAAATCTATCAGGAAAAACATTATCGTCGCGTCGATTACGTCTACCATACTTGAAGCTCCTCAAACAGGTCTATGCGCATCTCCTTGCCTGAGGTGCCAACCTTATGCGCCACAACATCCCTTATGGTATCAACAAGAATGTCTGAGCCGCAAACAACAATAGCAAGACCGTTCCGGTGGCCTTCCACCTCTGCCTCCTCCAAAACAGAAGAGATGAGCTTGAAAACATCGGGCCTCATCTTGTGGACGTTGTAGTCTGCAAGATGCTCTTCAGACAGCTGTCCCATAACGCGTGCCATCAGCTCCTCGCTGCTAATTGATATGAGTGGAGTTCTGGAGTTTGTCGGTTTTGTATCGCTCGACGTCTTCTGCACCAATTTATTTTCTCTTGTGAGATAGATATCTTTTGACACATAATTGTGTGGATCTTTTGTTTGGAGGTCCAGTAATTCCCGGCCAAACCACCTGAGAGCTGTGAAATATGGAGAGATCCAGACAAAATGTATTTTTTTCCGCCAGCCTTTGGATTGGGCTTGTTCCAGATGGTGCATGCAATGATAGTATGGACCAGGAACACCATTACCTCCTGCTAGAAGAAGAATATTATCGTAGCTCTCGAGGGTCGAGGCATGCCCATAAGGGCCTTCGACAGCGACCCGTAACTGTGACTCACCGGCTGCCAATAAATAGTTGTACAGTTTCTGTGTCATTCCGTCTTTCTTTTTGATATAGATCCGCACCTCATTCCCAACAGAATAAATAGTGAACGGATGGCTTTCCCATAGTTTCCAAGAGACAGAAGGTGAGAGAATGTATAGATAGACAAAACAGCCTGGGTATGGTTTCCAGTTGTCGGGCTTCGGGATGCTGACCACAATCGTTTCAAAATGGAGCTTGAAAGTGGCCTTTGGAACACCAAACCTGTAAATCTTCATGAGTCTCCAAACTCTGTCAATTGCCCACACTCCCATGCTGGCATACGTCCATTCCAGGTATCCGATGCTTTTGCAGTGGAAATACGCCCCCACAATGAAAATCAGGGCCAGAATAATGTGTACAGCCAAAAACAGTTCGTACCACCGGCTGCGGAAGAAATAAATGGCTTGCAAGAGAATGAGGACGCCAGCCTCTAATGCTCGACGGCCAAAGAACCAGAGCGTCTCCTGCGAGATTTTCTCGTAGTGGCCGCGAATAATTGAGTACTCTCTAAACGCATAGGCATGCAACGCAGCCAAAATCACCATTGCCCTTGAGATCCACTTGTGGAAGATGATGAATGTGTTGAACTGCAATCCGGTTAAATTAATGAGAATGTTGTTTCTGCCCCCAAACAAAAAGAGGGCAGGCAACTGTGCGAAGGCAAGAATGCCCGTTCTATCGGCAACGTATCTATAATACTGTAAATCTTTTGGTCCCAAAAGAGCACTTTGATCTTGCAGCGTGTAGCCGACAGAAGACGATATTATGACCATGATGCAATACAGGAAAACAATGATGGATTCCTGTGTGGTTGGGATCAAGCTGTCAAAGAGCTTGAAGGGGGCCCATTCGCCAAGAGACCCAAACATATTCCATGGCTGGAAGTGTTTGCCATTCAGCGTGGGCAAAGCGATGTAGCCCCTAAATGTGTCTATTATGCCTCCTTTAAGCTTGTTGTTCCATCGAAAGTGTTTGAAATGGTTAAAAATACCGATCAAGCCCAAGGTCACCACCCAAAACATGCACATTATGGTGGAAAAATCGTATGCCCAAGCAAAGTTTCCCGCAAACAGCGAAAACGAGTTCGCGTACGTCATCACAGTGGTGAGGTTCAGACGCACAGGAGAACGGATCGGCGTGCTGAGATTATGCGACCGGGCCTCATTTTCAGAAAGGATGTACTTTGTTGCGTTCTGATACCTCCTTTCGAATGTTTGTACGTCCAGATTGGCTCCTCCGAGTCGGCCGCAGTAGTCGGCAATGACGCCATAAGAGTCCTGTAAAAGCTGGTCCTGTTTGGTCTGGTTGGAGGTCAAATCATGGAAACAGATCAACAGAGTACCCAAGGCCGGCTCGTACTGGCAGTGGGGGCTAAAAAATTCATTTGCACCTGGTGGTGGCACGAAGTCAAACGGTAAGCTTTGAGACTGCGATATACAGGAGAAGAAGGGCGACTCCTTCTGACTGAGTGCCAATCCTCCTGGGGCGATCAGGCAGATCACAAGCCCGAGAATTTGTCTCATTTAGCTATAACGTTAATCTCAATCTTTTTTTTTATCTGAGATATCGGAGATGAAAAGAACCAAACAGCAGGCGTATTTTTTGCATCCTTATATATTAGCCACATGGTCATGTCGAAGAGCGAACTCCGTTGCCAAGCCTATGAGCCTGTACTGGGCGTCTGGGCGTCTGGGTGTTTGGACTCATGGCATCGCTGGTGTAGCGCAACCGATGTCAATGCTACCTGATCACAGCTAATATCGACGCGTCGTTTTTTTCCTTCTGTAAATTTACAATCGTCCATGGATGAACGCCATTTCACGCTTGCAGCCTCTGTAGTACTGTTGACGCTCCTGGCTTTAATTGGCCGGCTAATCTACATTCTTCCGAGCTGCCATAACACATTTGGCTATCCTCAGAAATCAGCGGCGACCTCAAAGTCCGTGCTGATTCTGCTGGGCTCTGGGGGGCACACTGGAGAGATGATCCGAATTTTGCGCCAGTTTGAGCAGTTCGATCTTCTCAAACGTCAATACGCAGTTGCTAATTCAGATGAGACATCACTCGCTAGCATTAGAAGTCTAGAAGAGTCTCCATCCGTCGTCACCATCCCCAGAGCCCGCAATATTGGAGAAGGCAAGCTTTCTGCTTTTTTCCGCTCATCAAGGGCATTCTTATCGACATTTCTTCTTTTTGCATCCATGAGGCAATATCCAGATGTGTTCCTGTGCAATGGACCGGGCACAGCGATTCCAATAGCGTATGTGCTTTTTTTCTTCAAGTATCTGGGTTGTTGCAGGACGAAAATCATTTACGTGGAAAGCCTTGCGAGGGTCAACGATCTCAGTCTCACAGGGAAGCTTATTCTTCCGATAGCCGATAGAATGTTGGTGCAGTGGAGCCAGCTCGCCAAAAAGTATAAACGATGCGAATATTACGGTATATTAGTCTAATATACATATTAATTTAAACCTCCAGGTCTGTTCGAAGACTAGTGTATTTCGAGGACGTGGTGCTTTCGATTTTGGACCTTTTGGCGACAGGGCTTTGAGCCTCACTTCCACTGCTCTTCTTCTGTTCTTTGGTGGCATATTTGATCATTTGGCGTTTCACAATAGTACGGACCTGTGCAATTTCTGTGGTCGAAAAAGAAGGGGTGGTAGTCTTTCCGGCCCAACATAGTCGAAGGGGCTCTCCCGCAACAGCCACCAACTTTGGGTGTGGGACCGAATTTTGAAGGCATTCTGCTGCCCTCTCGGCTGCCTCTCTGGAGGAGAACTCGACAAAACCAAATTTGCCCCGGTGGTTCAAAGTAACAGCCTCAACTTTCTTTTCGCCAACGATATCCTCAAAGTAGTCGCGCACCTGGTATTCGGCGAGTTTCTCGCCAAAACCAAAAAGGAAAAACGATTTGATTTTGCTGCTTTTAGGCGTCTCTAAACTGCCATTGAATGGCAGGTGTTTGCAAAGCTTGATCAGCTCCTCTTTGCTGACTTGCTCTTCGTCCTGCTCGCTCTCTTGTTTCCGTTTCTTGTTTTGCACAGCTTTGGATAGTGAGTCTACTAGTTTGCGTGCATCTGCCCGTTTCTGCTCCACCGTTTCAATAGCATCTTCCCCTGCAGCCTTGTATTTTTTTTCAAGTTGAGTAGCGGCGTAAATTTTAGACATTTGATTCTGAGGAGTCAGCTCCAGCGCGTGGCTTTGATCTGTCAGCTTTAAAAGCTGATCTCTCGTACGCAGATCAATCCCCAGTGTCAGATCCAACATGCACGACTGACAACAATTCTTGGCTCTTGCACAGGTCAAACAGCATAGTGTCTTTTTAAGTCTCTCGCCTTTCTTCACAGACCATCGAAAAACAGTGAACGGGCGAGTGCACAGCTTGCATTCTGCTCCGTTTCTTTCTCGTGTCATCTCCACGTACGGGTTGGGGCCCAAACAGTTTTCGCAGACCGCAGGCGTCTCGTCTGCGTTGTACGACATGGGTATATCAAAAAATTAATAATTTAGAATTTTTAAACCCATTTGAACTGGATTTGTTATTCTAGAGGTTCACTTACTCTCAGTACTCTAAAGGGTTCAATCACATACAAATGTAGCTTCAATTAGCTCGATGCCATATATAGATACACAAAAGAACGAACGGATACTCGCTCAAATCGCGAGCTCGCACACTTCAGTAGCGAGGTACGACAGCCACCTTCTTGTGTTAGTACAACTCTCAGTGTTAAAAAGCTCTGTCAAAGTTGTCTTTCCTCATGGTGTGTCGGTTGAAGAAATTCGTTGCAATGCTCATCATAAAGTTGTACTTACAGCTTACGAGTATGAAGAGTAAAAATTTTCACACTAAGAAATTTACAAATTCAGCAGTATGGAAAATATTTCAACGAATTGGCCAGGACTAACTGGACAGTAAGCGTGACGTTATATTTCTACTCCACCACGTCTTGTAGAACAATTAAGCATGCCGGTGTAGTCACACAGGGCACATCAAGATTCCCTCTGTTGATTTGTAGTGCCCGGATTGACCAAGAAGCGAATCCTGCACGATTGTGTCATCCTGTCTCATCAAATACCCCGGATCTAACCCCTCGCACCCCGGAATTGCTCAGCAGAAAAACTAATTTAGTTATCTCTCATAAGACTAATAATTTGGCAGGGTAGTATTCTAAGCTGCTGAGAGTCTTTTACCGTTGTCTGATAAGCCAAGAATGCCGCCTCCATCGCCGCCAGGTTCCAAACCGAAGATCATCAAAGCTCCGGGCTCAAACACTATTCGAGTGTCGGTTGCCTGTGATCGTTGCCGTAAGAAGAAAATCAAGTGTTTCTATGAGGAGGGAGAAGAAGTGGATCCTAATGGACGCACGCAATGTGCCAACTGTAAAGCCGTGGGGCTCGATTGCATTTTTACTGATAAGCTGGCTCGAAAAGCGTTTCCGAGAGGATATACAGAGTCTTTGGAAGAGAGGGTGCGAGAGCTGGAGTTTGAGAATAAAAAGCTGCACAAACTGTTGAAAATGCGTGCCGAAAACCCAGAAGTGAAGGAAAACTCTCCAGAGGAACATACACCTTCAACAACGCAGCTAAATGACGAGAATTTGTCTTTGCTCAACAAACAGAAAGTGTACAAGTCATTGGAAGAACATCTGCATGACGAGACGTGCAACTGCGGAAATTTCCCACATTCAGTCCACAACAGACCTGTTTCCATTGCTGGGTCTGTTGACATAGACAAGGGAGAACTAAGCGATGATGACGTGTCTCTGTACTCAGCATCGATGTCGTCCAATTTGCACTACACCCAGAACGTAGACGACCTGCGAAATCGATATGGCTACAACTCTTTTGAGCAGGTGAATGCTCCAGGAGCAGCGGCTGCTGTGTCTCTCCAAAACAAGCTGCGGACTAAGCATTTTCTAAACCTTGCAAACCTGATTGCAACATCAATTCCCCGGACGACCGAGGAAACACTGTTTATTCCTTCTTTGCTGGCCAAAGTTGTGAGCGTTCATGGATTCAACTCAAAAGCTCCATATCTCACTTCAAAGTCGATTGCACTGCTCAAGGAGGCATATGACGAGGATAAGAGGCATTCGCGTTTCCCGTCGATGTTCGAAAATGTCAAGTTCAACGAGCTTTCACCCGAGGACTCCAAAAAATTCTTTCAGGGCCTCAACCTCCCCAACCATGTCAATTTGGACCTCTGCATATCCATCTTTTTTGAGACATGGAACCAAGTGACCCCGGTGCTCAACAAGGATGTTTTTATGAGCAACTATATCAAGTTCAACAAAAGCCGCGAAGCAAACTTTGAAGACGGAGAGATGTACGGAATGGAGAAATTTGGTGAGATGCTGATAATCATCACGACGCTCGTGATGCTCGGCCAGGAGCGCAATACCATGTATGCACATAACAAGGACCCCGCGGCTAGTCACTCCGAGCTTTTGCAATTCTACGACCATCTCATCAAGCAATTCATCCATTCCAGCATCAACTCCCTCTGCTCCATTACTTCCTTGCAACTCACGACCCTTGAATTGCTATACTGTCTGACTACTGCCGACCTGAACACCAGCTATGAGCTTCGCGGAAAACTCATAACCATGGCTCAACAGCTACGGTTGCACAGATGTCCTGCCGCTGTGCTGGGTTACAATGGATCCAAGGTCTCGAAACTACAACAGGGAGAACGCAGAATTCTTTTCTGGTGTATCTACAACCTCGACTCCTTCAGTGCACTGATTCTGGGAGTTCCTAGGCTTCTGAAGGATCACGAAATCGAGTGCGCTCTCCCATCGTCCTCGTCCACTGATGGCACAGACATTAACCTTATCACTTTCAATAATACCCAGCTGTCTCTGGTTGGAAAGGTCAGTGACTTGGCTTTGAGCGTCATGAGATACTCAAAAGTTCTCGGGGCAATTGTGGACGCGATTTTCAAGCGGAGTAGCAACGAGCCAAAGCGCGCAAACGTTGGCGAGTCGTCTGCACTAATTTTAGAGGACCTGCTTGATACGTGGAGGAAGGACCTTGCACCGTCGCTGAGCTTCGAGAGCGATTTGAACACAACCGACATAGAGAAGCTCAGCGAGGGACAGTTGACCCTAATGTATCTCTACTTCCAGGCAAAAGCCCTGATATATATGCCCCTGATGGCGACGGAAACGACCAATTTCAAGAACTCGGCGTGCTACATTGCCATCCAGCAGTCTGCAACAGCAATTCTGGCAATCACCAAGACGCTGAACACGGAGAAATTCCATTTCTACCATTTGCCATTGCCTATCAATGCGTCCCGCCAGAAAGCAAGATTTGCTCTGTTGGCTGCAAAAGGAGCATTGGAGTACACCAGAGGCGGTGCGCTTTTCCAGGATGCCAAATCGCTACTTACGTCTGTTATCGCCGATCTAAAATTCGAAACTGACATCGCCTTCCTTGGCTGTTTATCTCGGCTGTGTATGGAACATCTGGAAAATGCAATTGAGGCCATTTTGGGACCTCCAAAGGCCAATTCCCCTTCGCAGCAAACTGCTGATAGCAAAAAGGAAAAGAAGAAAAGCTCTGCTTTGCGAAATAAGCTCTCGTCGCCGATCAAAAGGGAAGAAGATAACGTGGCTATCAACGATATCTTTTCGGCCAAAACCTCTCCTTCTCAGATAAAGCCGCAATACCAATACCAAACGCTACAGGACCAGCTCAGGGACCCCTCCCCTATGCAACAGCAGTATCCGCCCTCACAAGAGCAACAAGCGCACTTGTCCCATCTTTATCCAATGATGGGCGTTCACCAGCAAGCACAACAACAACAGCCGCAATTCCCGCTTCCTCCTGACCAGACAGGGTTTTCGCACCCAGAAACGAGGTCTTATACGGATTTGATGATGCTCAATGATTTTGGGGTGGATGCCTCGCTGGGATTATCATTACTGGATTTTGAGTTGGATGATAACTGGCAAAAGAAACAGAAGACAGACAACACCGTCAACATGCAAAGTGTGAAGGAGTTTGTCACGCCCGACGAGCAAATGTGGAATTGACTCGTGTATTATGTAATTTTGTTAGATGTATCAAATGCCGAGAATAAATACAGTATTTTATTTTCCATCTAGTCACTGATCATATTTACCAAACTCTGGGATCCAGAACTGTCTGAGAGGAGGCCTGTATTGGGCACCAATCTCAGTAATGGTCTTGACCTCTTCTGGAGTGAGCTCAAAAGAAAACACGTCTAGAAACTCGTCCAATCTGCTCTCCTTGGAGGTGGTCGTGATTGGAATAATTCCTTTTTGGTCCACCCATCTCAGTAGAATCTGGGTTTTGGTCTTGCCATATTTTTTCTCCAACGAGCTCAAGTAGTCGTCAAACTTCTTTCCGACCTCAGTCGTTTTGTCACCCTTGGTCAATGGACCCAAAGGCGAGTACGCCTCGAGCTCAATACCGTGCTCCTTGCAGAAGTCCACAACACCCGGGGTTTGGTTTTGCAGGAACGCGCTGTACTCAATCTGGTGGACCTCCGGCTTGACTGAAGCCTCTTTCAAAATCTCTTCAATGTCATCGACAGTGAAGTTGGAAATACCAATTCTCTTAGCCAGCCCCTCTTTTTTACACTGCTCCATGTACTTCCAAGCTTCCACCAGTGTAAAACCATGGGTTTCCTTCTTGATGAATGGGGAATGTAGGAGATACAAATCTGCGTAAGGAATGCTGACTCTCTCCAAGAAGGCCTTCAGGTGTAAGTATGGGTTGGCTTCCTTAGACCGAACAGAGTAATCCCCGGCTCCCGCAAAGTACTTTTCAGTGACAAAATAATCTTCTTTTGAAAGACCAGATTCTGCAAAAGCTTTGGCCAATTCTTTGTCTACATTGTAGCACTCGGCAGCATCGATGTGTCTAAGGCCTTTGCTCAATGCTGTCTTGGTGATATCGACTAATTGTTGATTAACGGTGTCGGAGCCGTACTTAAAGTAATAAGTACCGCAGCCAAAAGCCAATCTTGGAATTCCCGAGGAGGTGGTTGGAATGCTCATTTCGAATGCAGCCAACAATCAATTGAGCTGGTATTTATAGCCCAATTATCATTAATAATCACTCATGATCCCTGCGTCTAGAGGTTGGTCTAGACCACATCCGTGCACCAGACAAGACACGGCCCACGGAGGTAAAGGTGCCAACTCGCAAAGTGCAACAACCATGGCTCTCCAGCACGGTGCGTGGGGTAAAGACAATCTCCGGGAACCGATCCCGAAACCGAGAAAGAGGGTTTTAAGCGTGTGTCCTTTGCGGAGGCGGTGTAGCACTTCTTATTGTCCTTTGGGCCGCTCCGGCGGTTGAGCTTCCACAGAACATCCTTGCACGGACAAGCAGTCCCGGAGACGCCATGTTGGGTGATACCCACTTCTGGCTGTACAGAGCTTTATATCACCTTACCTGGCGCTAGAGTAGACCCAATTCCCGACTCACACCACCCTCACATGCAGAACTAACCAATAAGGTAATTAATTAACACGATATAGCTCGTGGTGAACACTGGCCCGGAGTAGTCATACGTGTAGGTTTTTGGCGTGATGAAAATCAGGTGGAGCACGACTTTTCGTAATGTTCGGGAGGGAGTGCTGCAAACGGTATATAAGGACCAGTTTTTCTCGCAACATTATCAATTGCTCTTTAGTACAAAGATAATATAGAAACAAAATGACCGCAAACGTTGGAATTAATGGATTTGGAAGAATTGGTAGACTGGTGTTGAGAATTGCCTTGAGCAGAGACGACATCAACGTCATTGCCATCAATGATCCATTCATTGCTCCTGATTACGCCGCTTACATGTTCAAGTACGACTCTACACACGGAAAGTTCAAGGGAACTGTTACCCACGAGGGTAAGTACTTGGTCATTGACGGCAAGAAGATTGAGGTTTTCCAAGAGAGAGACCCAGCAAACATCCCATGGGGTAAGGAGGGCGTCGACTACGTTCTGGACTCTACCGGAGTTTTCACCACCTTGGAGGGCGCTCAAAAGCACATTGATGCTGGTGCCAAGAAGGTCATCATCACTGCTCCATCTAAGGATGCTCCAATGTTCGTTATGGGTGTGAACCACGAGGAGTACACTCCAGACATCAAGATTCTGTCTAACGCTTCTTGTACCACCAACTGCCTGGCACCAATGGCCAAGGTTATCAACGACACCTACGGAATTGAGGAAGGTTTGATGACCACTATTCACTCCATCACCGCTACTCAGAAGACTGTTGACGGTCCATCCCACAAGGACTGGAGAGGTGGTAGAACCGCTTCCGGTAACATCATCCCATCCTCTACTGGTGCTGCCAAGGCTGTCGGAAAGGTCCTTCCTGCATTGGCCGGTAAGCTCACTGGTATGTCCATGAGAGTCCCAACCACCGATGTTTCTGTTGTTGACTTGACCGTCAACCTCAAGAAGCCAACCACCTACGAGGACATTTGCGCCACCATGAAGAAGGCTGCTGAGGGCCCATTGGCTGGAATCCTTGGATACACCGACGAGGCAGTCGTTTCGTCCGACTTCGTGACCGACACCAGATCCTCTGTCTTCGACGCCAAGGCCGGTATCCTGCTGACCCCAACCTTCGTCAAGCTCGTTTCCTGGTATGACAATGAGTACGGCTACTCTACCAGAGTTGTTGACTTGCTTGAGCACGTTGCCAAGGTTTCCGCTTAGGCTCGGCTCCATCTACATATTTACGGCTTAACTGATTTTTATAGTTAAGGAGAAAAAAAAGCTCAACATACGTCATTATTATCGTACGCTCTTTGGTGTTTCGAGCCTGGCTGCCATGTTCAAAAACACTATCGTTGCTTGCTATGTAAAAATTATTTGATTAACCTAGCACTTGATTCCTTTATAATCTTTGTGGTACCTCGTGGCAGGGACGTGGTCTGGAATTATAGTCCGTAACGTGTTACGGAGCCCGTTCTAAATTTAGGCCACCACAATTTCAAAAGCCGCACGCCGCTTCTAGCACATCATGAGATCCACGTCATGCATGGTTGTAGCAAGGACAAGGGGCAATAGCTTAGGACTCGTCGTATTCTGGACCCATGGGGATAGAGTCAATATCGGCATTTTTCTCGGCATGGGGGACCTGTCTGCTGCTCAATCACCTCTTGTCGCTCCCCGCTCAAATCTGTTTTTCGCTTGAATAGGACAAAAAAAAAAATCTGCCGAATTGAGGCTGATCGGTGCATTGAAATTTCCTTGTACGTGTTCCAGGTTTCAATTGAAACTAATCTCAATTTTAATCGTGCTGGTCATAGCTTTTTAGTCTACGACATTTACCTGCTCTCCAAGCGATTGGTTGCTGATTCTGGCTCTCAGACTTTCTCCTAAAACAGACTAATCACAACCAACACCGAAAAGGTGGACACGGTGTGTCCTACTACGTTTTATTGGGCTCTTAAGGTAGAGAATCTATGCTACAAGATCGAACACAGAAACACTCGCACCCTCGACAGTTGTCCAGAAACCCATCGCTGACGCTTGTCACAGGGCCGTCACACACCCACGGACCACCTCCGCCGCTTTTTGCTCCTCCATACGCGTCGTACACTCACCATCTCCCCAATGGCGCCCAAATTATCAACGTTCCGATGACTCAACAGGTGCCCATGTCGCCCACCACGCCGTTTGACGTCAACTACGCAAAGGGCATGCTGCCAAGACAGCTTCTTGTAAGCTCACCGTTTATCCAATCGCCCATGGCCCACAGCCAGGCTCCCCCTCAAGCAGCGCATGTGGACCGTGGATCGGCTAGAAACCCTCAGTCCAGCGTTTCTGCCGAGAACAGCACTCACCACCAAACTCCGCCACGAACGGGGTTTCGCCGAAGTTCATTTTCTAAGCAGCTGAAGTCCAAGCTGACACAGGAGGCCAGAGCTCCAAAAACTCCAGAGTCATCAGAGTCGTCTGAACAGGAGCACGAACCTGATGAGTTTGAAACGCGCTCTCTGCGGTTTGTCAACCTGAGACCGGACATTGGGCTGAGCGATTTTCTTGATCTCATTGAGTATGGCCCCATAGAAAATTGCTCTTTTGAACTGACGCCTCACGCCAGCAGCAGCAAAACAGTCATCCTCTCGTTTGTGAAGAATGAAACCGCGTTCAAGTGCTACTCCAAGCTCAAAAACATATTGGACGAGCTCCGTAGTGTGCTGGAGTCTCCTGAAATGGAATTGCTTCCGGCCAAAAACGTGCCCTTGCTGCCTGTGGTCCAATGGGCCATAGAGAACGATAGCGCGACCAGAGCAGTCTGTCTCAGCAATATTCCTTCGGGGCTCCCGTTGAGGCTTCTTTATCAAGAGCTCGAAGTGATGGGCCCCATAGAGCATATCAAGTACATCCCGAACAAAAACGCGGCGTTCGTCCACTTCACATCAATTTCCACGGCAATAAAATGCGTTGAGCAGCTAGCATTGAGCGAATCGATCCTTTCCACCGCCAAAGTGTTCTATAGTAAAGAGAAGAACACCAGCGTTCCTCAATCAAACGGAACAGCCAAAATTGAGTATGACTGCGAGGACAATCAATATTCTGACTTTTACTCTACTCCGTCGACATCGTTCTCGTCCCCCCAAAATGCCAACATCCCCCTCCATAATCCATCCAATCGCCATGCCACTGAAAACACGGTGTATGGTTCTCACTATGTTCAGTCGATGCAAACGTCTGCTCTCCATTCACCATACCCACCACAAGCAGAGTTTGTCGACTCATACAATGGTATGGTTTATTCTCAACAATCACTGCCGGATCTGACCGATCTGACACTTTACAGCAATGGCTCTGTCACTAATTTTTCGCTTTCAGCGGGCGAGTCTCCTGAAGCCTCATCAACACAATCCAAAACGCTCATCAGACAATCCAACTTTGGGAATCGGACCATCTATCTCGGTAACATTCACCCCGAAACTACAGCAGAAGAAATATGCAATACCATCAGAGGAGGCTTGCTGGAGTCCATCAAGTTGATTCCCGACAGACACATCTGCTTTCTCACCTTTATCGACTCCAGCTCTGCCGCACAATTCTTTGCTACTGGTACCAAAGAAAAAGTGATAATTCACGGCAGAAGAATCAAGGTGGATTGGGGGAAGCATCCAGGGCCTGTGAGCGCACGTGTGCTGGAAGCCGTCGAGAAACATTCAGCTTCAAGAAATTTGTACATTGGTACTGAACCTGTCTCTGAGGAAACTCAGGAAGAAGCCCGCCCAAAAATACCCGAAATTGACACTCTGCGACGCGATTTCTCGATATTCGGAGAGATTGAGCAGATCAACTTTTTCAAGGATGGACAGTGTGCATTTGTGAACTTCCTCCACATCGTCTCCTCGATCAATGCTGTAGAGGACTTTAATGGTGAAGGGCGTGATGCTGTGCACGCTTCTTTTGAAAACAGGTACAAGCCTTTCAAAATTGCTTACGGGAAAGATCGATGTGCCAACCCTCCAAAGGCTAAGAAAAACAAGAATCGCAATAGAAAAAAGAACCTGAATGACTCTCAAGAGAGCTTCATACAATCATCAAAAGATGTCTCCTCCACAGACGACGACACACTACGCAAAGTTCCTGCATTGAAAGGTATTGGCATATCATCCAAGATCTACGAGGAGAAACATGCCATTGTGTCTCCTGTGATTGAAGAGACTTTTAATGAGGCTGGCGACGCCATGGATGACTTCAGCTCTCATTCCAATGACTCCAACGTTGAGATTATTACTAGCAAGACTGATGCTTTGAAGCTTCCGGAGGAAACCTCCCAAATCAGCAACTCCCTGCCCGGATGCAACCTTTCCAACTTTTCATTTGAAAGCATTCCGAAAGCGGCCCCAGGGGCTTCGCGGAAATTCAACTCATCCGGAAACAGATATCGTGTTTATAACAACTTTTCCCGGTCGTCATCGAACAATTCAATCAACTACTTCAACCACTCAGACCACTATCCTTCACAACCTGTCCCATTCTATCCCTACTACCAACAACCATCTCCAATGTATCAACAGCATTATGCTCTCTCTTACCCGCAACCCCCTTCTGGAGGCCTCATGAGACAGAATTCCTCCAGCTCCCGTAAAACGCCATATCACGATCCTCCTTCGCCGGTTGCACAGCAGTTTGTGTATTTGCAGCAGCCGACCAGATCTCAGCAAATGTACTATAACTACCCGGAACATTATAGTTATCATCCACAAGCGAGCTTCTACATGGAGAGCCGCAACGATGACCCGGAGCAGGGTCCACAGGGCGAGTCTTACAACGAGGAAAATGCTCAGTAATAATAATAAACTCTAATGGATCACGACATTAAAAATGTATTTACAGAGTTCAAGGTTGCCCGGCTAGGGTTGATCTCTTTGTCTATGGCAATGAGCTCTATGAGGTGCTTTCTGATCACAGACTTGTCAATATTCCGGGTCTCAGCAGATAGCAGACACAAAATTACTCCGACCGAAAGATCGCATCCTGTTCCGCATAAAACCAAGATGCTCTTATTTGCGGTATATGCAGGCACCAATTCTTTCATGAGGGTCGGCAACTTGTTGCGTAGTTCTTTTCCAGATTTCTTCGAACCAGAAGTCAAGGGTAAATGTAGAAGTACTGGCTTCTCGTTACTATCACGTGACACAAAAGTCACCTTTTCGTCCAGCACCACAACTAGATCGTAATCTGGCAGAGACTGAACGTATTCGGTGGTGAGCTTTGCCTTGAACAGTCTGGGCCTCACTTCGAGAAGATTTGTGAATATTTGCGACGAACTTGGTTTTTCAGATTTAATGGACGCAATAATTTCGCGGAGCTCTTCGTCGTTTCGCTCTCTTTCAATAAAATAGTCCAAATGACTCCACAAAAGATAGGGGGTCAACCCGTTGGACCAAAGTTCATGATCATCTGCAGCTCCCTGAACATACAAGAAATTGTCCATGGACAAAGTCCCGTCTTGGCATTGAAAACTGGCTGTCACGAGGTAGATGGGAATGTAGGGTAGCTGGTCGGAACTCTGCACTTCCAGAGGAAGTTTGGAGCGAGGAGTAATCCAAACAGGTTTCAGTGGCTTGTCAAAAAGCGTTTTGAGATGCTGCTGGCTGATGACGTCCAATCGTCGTGCTTTTTCTACTAGCAGTGGTAGCTTCTCGCGTATACGTAAATGTTCTGAGCGTGCAATAGATTTGAGAGGAGTGAAAAGTTCTGAATCATGAGAGCCGTCTCGTATTGCGTTCAACACTGCACACCAGATAGGAACCGTTTTGCTCAAGGAGTCGGGAATTTTCTTGCCCCGCCTGGTAGAATCTACAATCAGCACACCCTTATGCTTTGCTATTAATGGTAAGATATGAAAATTCAGTCGTCTGGTACTAAAGTCCCAGTTATTGTTATGCCCATCTGTGGATTTGAAGTAGCATTTCTCGGTTATCCTCTGCGGAGGGACGTACCATGATCCACATCTTTCGTTGGCTACCACTGGAAAAGGATAAAGCTCTGCAACCTTTAGAACAAACCGCGAGTCATACAAAATAGAGTGGATGCGGTTTCTGGTAGAACGATACTCTTTTCGCAATTCTTTGTTTATCAAGTTGAATTCTCTATTGATATCCAAGTTCATGCGATTGAAACAAAAAAAAAAAACTCTTGGGATAAATAAATCCGTTATCATGTCTATAAAATACATAAAAGGCAATCTTTTTCAATTAGCCTCTGTCCCTGCTAGCAATCCGCTCTATCTTGCCCACGCTTGCAATTGCCTCGGTATTTGGGGTGGAGGAATTGCAGCCGAGTTCAAACGTCAATTTGCCTCCACTTTCAAAGTGTACAATCAACACTGTCTTGAACATAAAGCCAGGCCAGAGAATTTGCTGGGTACTGCATTGATTATCCCTGTGAGCCACCACGACAGGGGATTTGTGCCTGGAACGGGAGAAAAACTTTCTGTTGTCTGCTTGTTCACAAGCATAATGGGTCAAGAATCATCTGAGGAAATAGCTGAATACACGAGGCTGGCATTGAATGACTTAAAACGCCAATTGGATGAATCCAAACACAAGTATACGGTAGCCATGCCCAAAATCAATGCCGGAATATTTGGTGTTCCATGGAACCTGACAGAACAGGCAATAAAACAAACAGGGATCGACTGCGTCGTCTATGAGTTATGATTGCTTAAATAATGCTGAAATAAATTGTCACTCGCGGTGTACGAGAAGCCTTTGAAGTGGTCAGGCTCGTCTGAGGAGGCGGGAATGTTGATTGGTTGAGCTTCAGACATTGTGAACATCTGACTTGTAAACCTGGCGTCGAAGTTCTCGGCTTTCTCAGGATCTGTGATAGTTGGAATTATGGGGGCAGGAACCTTTCTGTCACAAAGATCTTGCCATCTGAAGTACCGGAAAAAGCGATGATTTGTGAACTTGGACCAATCTGAGTCTACGTCGAGCCTTTTCTGCGGATTTTTGTTGAGCAATTTTGCCAGAAGGTCTTTGGCATCAGATGTGAGATAAAATGGATACTTGGGTTTTTGTTTCAAGATTCGATCAATAATGGTTTTATGATTATTCCCCGTAAAAGGAGGTGAACCAGTGAGTAGGTCAAACATCACACATCCCAATGACCACCAATCTGTCTTTACGCCGTACTCATCTCCTCTCACAACTTCTGGGGAGCAGTACTCTGGAGTTCCTATGATTGAGTTGCACCAATTTTCTGAGCTTGTGTCAAGTGGTTGCTTTGCAAACCCAAAATCGGTAAGCACCAGATAGCCATCTTTATCCAGTAAACAATTTTCAGGCTTTAGATCTCTATATACGGCCCCCATCTCATGAAGATGTCTAAGGGCCAGAGCCATCTGTGCCACATAGAACGATGAACTTTTCTCATCTAGAAATCTGCGCTGAGCCAAGTGCTGGAAAAGCTCACCTCCTGGAATGTATTCCAGAATTAAATACAGTTTTTGGTCGTCATGAAGGGCATAGAACAATTTAACAATGTTTGGATGCGACGAAATGGAAGCAAGGATCGTTCGTTCTGAAAATGTGCGCTCGTAGGTTTTGGAATTAACCATGATTGAAGCTTTTTTCAGCTCCTTTTGTGCGAATAGACGGCCCGTATATTTGTTTTTCACCAGAAGAACTTTGCCATATGCTCCCTGGCCCAGAACCTTCAAGGGAGTGAAGTCAGAAACAGAAACCTTCGTATTCACACTGTCATTTATTTCAGGAACTTCTAAGCAAACACTGTCTTTTTCAGAGCCGACAGACATCCGGCGCAAAACGCTCGAACGTCGTCTGGAGCTCATGATTTATTACTGTATTTTATTTGACATTTTTTTTCCTTTCGATATAAATCTGAAACATGTACGACTATTCGGACATTGTGGTTGAAGAACCGGTCGATCCCTCTCCACTGTGCCAGATTCTTTATTCTGATGAGTTCAAACAGCTGATTGGCATAGCCAAAGCTCTGATGCGCAGCAACGAGCATTCGGAGAGAGCTTTGAAAATCACCGAGAGAGTGATCGAGAAGGTGGCTGCACATTACACGATCTGGTCGTACAGACTGTCAATTGTCAAGGGCCTCCAAAACTACCCTCTTGACAAGGAACTCGAGTGGTGTGGGCAGATTGCTGTGCATAACCCCAAGAACTATCAAATCTGGCATTATCGTTCGCTCATTATTCAGCTGATATTAGAGCGATTCGGTAGTTTCGATTTGAAGCAAGAGTACCCATTACTTGAGAAAATGCTGGACCAGGACTCAAAGAATTACCATGTATGGTCGTACCGTAGATGGCTTGTTGAGAGATTCGATTTGTTCAGAGATACGAACGAGCTCAAATATACAGGGAAAATGTTGGAGGAAGATGTGAGAAATAATTCAGCTTGGAATCATCGATTTTTTGTGCTTCTAGGCGACAAAAAGACCCTCACAAATGACCAAATCCAGGCAGAGATCGAGTACGTGACGGCAAAGGTTGATATTGCGCCTACCAACCCGTCTTCCTGGAATTATCTTAAAGGAATCTACAACAAGCTAAATATGGATGTCACGAACCTGCAACCTCTGGCGACAAAATACTCTAATTTGAATTCGGTCCATTCACAATACGCATTTGAGCTGCTTGCGGAGATATTTGAGAAGCAAAAGTTATTTGATCAAGCAATCGATGTTTATGCTTTGTTGGAGGAAAAAGATAGTATACGAAAAAGATACTGGAGATGGAGAAGCAGCCGTCTCAGTTTCTAAGCGCGCGGAGTCTTTCAGATAGTTTATCCTCTTCATGAGGGGCCTCTGTGGTTGGAAGCGAGGGCGTTGCATCCACGTTGGTATCACCAATCTTGTGTTTCAACTCCAGTCCTGCCTCATCTGCGATTTGATTCATCAACTGGTCCACCTGATCCTGTGGCTGGCTCACAGCATTCATGTCGTTAGACACAGTCTCGTAGTAGTTTGTACTACTTTCTAGGTCCTCAAACTGCTCCTCGAATTTGTCCATAACCATTGTAATTTTTTCTAAGTTCATCGTCTCCATTGCTTTGTCCATGCCCCTAACGACATGTGCCATATTGTTCGTGACGGATCTCATCGTAACAGCAGTCTGAATTCGTGAAGCAACAGCATCTATACGCGACGCAAGCCTTAGCAAGTTTAAACGCTCTTGGCCCTTGCGAATGGCATTTTGAGCATATATTTGAGCAATGTCATTGTTGCCTTGTATCAGTGCTTTCTTGACTTTATTCTTCTCAGCTTGCTCTTCTTTGCCAGTCTTTATCGACTGCCTAGTCAGCTGCTTTGCAGTGAACTTCAGTTGGAAAAGCGATTCTAGGTGTTAGCAGATCTAACAAACAACACACTTACTCTCTAATCCTGACATCAGATTCAACCTTAAATTAATGCTTTCATTTTTTTTCTTTTGCCTTTATCTACAATTTACACAGCCTTGTCTTGTCGCTTCAATTCAATTTTGGCTACCGTCTCGTCAAAGTTCGGAGTGTTTCGGAACTCAACACGTCCATCTTTGACCGTGGCATAGCTCATGTAGTCTTCAGAGGATCTCAATGGCTGAGAAAAACCGCCCTTTTTAATATATTTCTCCACAGATGAGACCGAGCTTCGGCTTCCGACGACGTATCGATCTTCGCCTGTGTTGGCCTGTATCAGCAAGATGCGAGGGCCTCTAACATTGATATAGCTTCCGTTACCAATGATCGTATCAAACAAAGACTGCTGTCTACGATGGAGGTAACCCCAACCCTTGGAAACGAATTCTTTGACCTTAGAAAAAACGCTTTCCTCTTGTTGTGTATGACTCACTTTGACCTCTGGTTCAGCTTGTAATTGCTTGTCCAAAGTTTGAGAGACAAAGTAACCGTCCGCTAAGTCTTGTGTTTGGGTTACGGAGGCCGCAAACAAATTGTCCTTTCTGACAAGAACTTCTTCGTCTTCATCAAGATTCAACTTGAATATAGAGCCCTCTCCAACTAAGGAGACATAACCTCGCCCTGAAACGTGCTTGTATCCAGAAGAAAACAATCCCGCAAGACCAGGGGTTGAATTTTTGGGAAGGCCAAATTTTCGCACCCCGGCTTTTGAGACGGACCTAGGGAGCTTTTGGCTAGTAATGGTCAGCGAGTTTCCACTGTATGCTTGTACAGAGTCAGGACTAAACAGAGCCCAGTCCACAGACCCATCTAGTGACAAATTACAGAAGGTCTTGGAAGTTTTCGATCTGCGAACGAGCGAGGTGCTGTTGTAGGCAGAAACCAACAAGGTCAAAGGAACAGTGGATATTAGTCTTTGATAAAGAAATGTGTGCCCACCATAGGCAAATCGTTTCAATGGCTCCTGCACTTCCAATCTCGATTGAACAATATCTTTCATGCTAGCCTTCGTCTCCGTGGCAGTGAAAAGCGCCATCAATGATCCACGCTTCACATGGACCGGCACAGAAGGCGGAACAGTAAGAGAAAGAGTAGATTGGTCATGTCCTATCGTGTCAAAGACAGCCTCGGTAGGCAATTGGTAACTATCTGAGGAAAGCTCGGAGATATTGCTGGAAACTGGCGAGACGTCAGGCTGTCTCTTATCTATAACAATGTTGGAAGCCTGATGGATCGAAATGCTACGCTTCAGTTGTCTATGCAACAATGCATTGGCAAGCGCGTGTTTTCTCACCATTTGTTTTTCTCCAATCATTATTCAAAAGAGCTGAATTATTTTGATTTATTCGGGGTGCGAGGAGTGGCCAACATCAATTCTGTAGTCCTCAGGATCAACTAGCACTCCTTGTTTAAAAGAATCAAGGACAAAAGAGGCATCAACAGTGCGGCAGAAATTGTCCTTCAAATCACTTTCCAGTTCTTTGGCTATTGCCTCGTAGGGATCTACCGCGACAATATACTCGGCGTCCCTCCAATCGTCAGCTATTCTTCCTCCTCCGGCTATTACCATGTTCCTGTACATCCTGTACCTATTCTCGTTTCTCCATAGCAGGTGAAAGCGCACACCATGGAAAACAAAAAGTTGGGTTATCTCACTGGATTCGGGGCTATCACTTGGACTCGATGCTATGCCTTCCTTGTAGTTTCTCTCGACGAGTTCTGTAAAACTCTGCACGGTGAAATCAACACAAATGCTATCTCCATACCTATCAATGTTGCACTTCGAACGTTGCCAAAGCTCGGGATCTGCTGCCGTAATATGCGAGGGCTCTAAATTGACTAGACGATTCATAAGGATGGAATCATCGCACCATTTCGCCTTAAATATGTTATAAGTTTGTTGGAGCTCTAGGACGTCCATTGTGACCTTATCCGCCAATATAATCAGCTTTTGCTCAGGACCAAGTATGGTGTTGGGATTTCTTACAACAGTTCCACCGTAAGTTTGTAAAATCTGGCCCAACTCGGTTTTCTTCAAAAGTTCACCTCTGAACATGCAATCCGTCATTATGCAGAAAACGTAATTTTTGAATAATTGATTGGAAGGATCTACATTGCTCCTGTAGCCTCGGTTGATCCGCTGAAGGATATCGTCCTTTTTAGTGCTAGCAAATTTTCTTTTTTTGGCCAACGTGTGACTAGCCTCATAATCGCGTTCTAGCTTAGAGTTCTGATACGTCTCCAGCGTATCTGCCGTCTCCCACGTTTTGTCTTCTCTGATCTTGGTACAGTACGCAGCGTACAATGTGGAGCCGGTGGCATAATTGTTCTCCGCTTGCACGCTGATTGAACTTGACTTCACTTCGATCACCACAGACTCTTTTGGGTCAATCCACATCAAGGGTTTCTTCTTTCCAAATTTAACATTTGTTGGTTGTTCCTTATCCCATTGATGCCACTTCCCAGCCGTCTTCTGCTGTATTTTGCGGTATTCATCAACAGAGAGTCCGTTCGAGACTCCGCAGAGCGTACTGAAACTTTCGCTGGTTTCAGAATCGCGTAACGCGCATATGTAAGTTGTCTTTGCTGCTGGTATCTGTCCAACGATAACAAGATCAAGATTTTCACCAAACTCGTGCAGATATTCGGGCTTGACTTTGATCCATGTCTCTGTTGTGTAATTTCCAATCTCGTATCTTGAGTTGGGATCCTTCAACACCAAGCCTTCAAGGTCTTTACGTATAGCTAGCTTCAGACTATTTTCGATATCTTGTCCCGTGCTTTTGAGCTCATAGGGCACCACCTCAACACGGTGGCGAACTGTTTTCATGACTCTTTCAAGAGCCTTCTTGCGATCTATCAACTTATAGTCCTCCAACGAGCACCCGTTTAAATGAAGAATATCAAAGACCATGTACATTGGACGAGGGTCATCTTTCTCCTGGGACTTGGGGTCTTTGAGAGCCGTCGGTTTGAGGGTTGACATTGGAAGTGTCATATCTTTCACAGGATCATAGCTGACCATTTCTCCATCAAGAATACAACTTTGCACACCGTCAACTAGAGCGTCTTTCAGAAACGGCGAGATGCTTCCTGTTGAGCTCGGATCGGAAGATCTACCATAAATAAGGGAGTAGTCAATGGCATTTCTGCTGAAAAACCTGTAATCATATCCATTTGGGGTTTTTTCGACGTGTAACTGAATTCTTTCACCATTGTACTTTTCTTCAATTAGAAAATGCCCCGAGAATTTCTGTGCTACCAAATCGTAATCGAGGTGTATTCGTTTTGCTCTCTGAGGAGTGAAGGGATACATGGGTCTTGAGTGTTTTCCTTTAGATTCAAGTCTTATTTTAGGGTCTGTAAGACCCCAAAACACATACTTTAGATCGTGTGTCACATCGAAGACGTCCAATGAGTCCGGATGCCAACAGTACATGAACAGCTTGTCGCGCCGAATAGGGTTAATTTTCAGCACAATTCTAAAGAAAAATCGAAGCTCGATATTGTTCATCTTGTCTAAGATCTCCTCAAACACTTTGGCTTTGCTATCGGTATCAGAATCAGCCAGCTCGTGCAGCTTATCGAGATAGGCGTTCACATCATCAACGGTCAATTGTGCCGTCATCTTGTCAATGCGACGTTTACTAATTATGTTGCTGAGCAGATCTGCAAACTTAAGGGAGGATTGGAGCTTGTTGAAGCCTATTTTTTTCCAACCGGCAATCTTCTTATAATCCTCATTTTCCTTCGAAATTCGCATGATGCGACAAATTATAAATCCCAGTCGAGTCTCTTTCGTCATGTAGACCCTGGTTTTGTCTTTGGCCGCTAAAGCGAGCCGCGCAACAGGAAGAATGTCATTCCCCACAACTGTCCTGTAATTTCGAAAAAACTTCTCGATAGTGACCCGCGATTGATATTTTGCAAGGTGCCCTTGCCCAGGATCATTTAAAGGCACAAATAACTGATTGACTAGATCCAGAAACTTGGGAGAGCAACCATGGTTGTGAGGCCTCTCAAGAGGACCAAGAGGATCAAACAGACCACTCATAGGATATCAGAGCACCAAAGACCCGAAGATGACTGTTGATATGCTAGTTCCTTATATAGAGTAGTAATTAAAAAATATTGCCCCCTTACACCATGTTAATAGCATCTAAATTTTAAACGTCTTTCTGGCGAACAACGCATTTTACAAGGGCACGTTTAGTTTATTTGTTATAATAAATTGCTCCAAACAATTTGGGCAACTTCGTTTGATTTCAATTCATCTCGCTCAGGAAACTATCTCAAGATGGCCTCTCCAAACCCGCTTGCATTCGAAGCCGCCACAGCAGCCCACGAGGTGGCAGCCAGTTACGTGACCGAGCACAAGCCGCGCAAAAACGACAACATAAACTTCGCCAATTTCAACCAGGACTTCTCGTGTGTGTCAGTAGGATATTCGAACGGCTATAAAATCTACAATTGCGAGCCATTTGGACAGTGTTACTCTAAATCTGACGGTAGTATTGGAATAGTCGAGATGCTTTTCAGTTCCTCCCTGCTCGCGATAGTAGGAATGGGCGAACAACATTCACTATCTCCCCGAAGACTGAAGATCATCAACACCAAAAGACAAACAACAATTTGCGAACTGACATTCCCCGGGGCCATTTTAGCTGTGAAACTCAATCGTGAACGACTGGTGGTCCTCCTCGAAGAAACAATCTACATCTACGATATCAACAATATGCGCTTACTACACACCATTGAGACTCCATCCAACCCTAACGGCCTGATTGCATTGTCTCCTTCAAGCGAAAACAACTACCTTGCTTATCCGTCTCCACAAAAGCTGGCCCCTAACCCGCAGACAGAAGTAACTTTACATTCAAACCCCCAGACGGTGAGGAACGGGGATGTGATAATCTTCGACGCCAAAACTCTACAGCCCACAAGTGTCATCGAGGCACACAGGACATCATTAGCGGCAATAGCCCTAAGCAAAGACGGCTTACTCCTTGCCACAGCGAGCGACAAGGGCACCATAATAAGGGTGTTTTCTGTGGCGACAGGTATCAAACTGTATCAATTCCGAAGAGGAACGTATCCAACAAAAATATATTCGTTGGCTTTCAGTCCTGACAATAGATTTGTGATTGCAAGTTCAGCTACAGAAACTGTTCATATTTTCCGTCTGGGCGAGGAAGAGGCTGCAAACACGATAAAGTCAGCTAACAAAAAAGCCAGACTTACGAAAGCCCAAGTTCCGAATCCTTTGGAGACGTCGCCAGATATATATCCGCACAACCAGCACACCAGCTCCGATGAGGACGAGGAGCTGAACGAAGACGAGGAAGACTTGGATGGAGACGAGGACGAAGATCTCGAAGATGATGCCCACGTGCCAGTGTCGTTACAGCGTGGTAGATCGTCCTCTTCTACTGGCTCTTTCCACAGCTCGGAGTCGATGACAGACAAACTGAAGGAGCCTCTGGTGGACAATTCTCGGAAGTCAGTTGCTAGAATGCTTCGTCGCACGTCGCAAAGTCTAGGCCGAAAAGCTGCAGAGAAAATGGGCACTTATCTGCCTCCAAAGTTCTCCTCTATCTTGGAGCCGAACCGGCATTTTGCATCGCTGAAAGTGCCTGCCTCCAAGGAGACAAAAACCGTTGTTGGAGTTGGAAGCAAGATTTGGGACGATTTGATTCCCAGCGTGTACCTGAAAGATGATGCCAACTCGATTACTGAGACGTCTGAAGACCTGGTGAACAAAAAATTAGTGCACATCATGGTGATCACTAGCGAAGGGTTCTTTTATAAGTTTGGACTCGACCCAGAGAGAGGAGGCGACTGCGTGCTTCTGCACCAGCAGAGTCTCTTTGGCTAGACTGACAAACCATGGTGATAATACAATCTATACTAGATATCGGGCTAGATACGGCAAAAATGAAATAAGTACACACACAATTATTTTTCATCAGACCCCTGGCCTGAAGGTGCCCCAGGATACTGATACCCGGTTTGATATTGGGACTGCGGAGCGGTGACGGATGATGATTGCGGCTGTTGTTGGCCGTAGTAGCCATTGTAGTAGTAGTTGGATCCTGGTTGTTGGGAGGCGGTTGCGTATGAGTAGCCAGACTGGTTAGCGGAAAGCCCAGAAGTGTTGGAGGAGGCTGTTGGTCCCGAAGAAACCGACGGCTTGGACGACAGCGAGAGTTGTCCGACTTGGCTGGTTGGCGTGCCCTGTTGGATCACTTTCTCTATGTCCTTGACAAACAACGGATAGAGCAAATCAATAATTCCTTCTCTTTCGGCCATGGCCAGGGCTCTATCGAATGGGATCCACACACCTTTCAGATGCATCGAACCGATCTTGACGACATGTCTGGTCTTTTCCGACTTGAGAATTCCGTCTCTGCGTCCTCTGGTCATCTTGGCGACGTTCAGCAGTTTGGTGCCGTTTATCATGCTGTTATCAGCCCTGCGGACAACACTCACACCGTTGGCTTCAACCTGGTAGCACAAGGTTTTTTCGTCTTCCCACATGGTGGTTGTGATCTTTGGACGAATTCCAGGAGGCTGGATCTGGCCCACAGAGGGGCTCACTGGCGGATAGTTCACAGAACTGTTCCTGGAGTGGGAAGACGCGCCGGTAGCCGCGTTAGGCTTCGATGACGAATTCACACCCGTGCTCGGCGGAGGCGGCAGACTGGTGGACGTAGACCCCGGTCGCGGATACGCACCGTACAGCGGGTACGACGAAGAAGGGTAGTTTCTGTAGGAAGAGGCATACCCAGCCTGTTGTGTCGTGCCTGTGGCCTGAGGTTGTGCCTGGTAACCTTGTTGTGGGTAGTAGCTCGAGTAGGACGTGGAAGAATATGGCTGCATATACTGCTGGGCCTGCTGGGCCTGCTGGTGGCCAGGCTGGTGGTAATCATTCTCCTGTGGGTGGTGAGAGTAGGAGAATTGTGTTGGATACAATGGCAAGCCGTACTGTTGTTGTGCTGCAGCGGACGGAGTCGACTGAGGTTGAGAATAAGCCGAGTTAGCCATTGAATAGTCATATGGTCTGGTGGATTGGGATTGGGGTTGGCCGTATCCGGAGTATTGGGAGTACTGGTAATGGGGGACAGAGTACTGGGAGTACTGGGATGGCACTGTTTGGGGTGTATTGCTTGAGGAGGAGATGGACGGGATAACGTTTGAGTGTTGTGGCCCTGTAGACGATTGGTTGTTCGTCGGGGTGGAAGAAGGATTATTGTGAGATTCAGACGACATGGGGCTTGACTCAATCTTTAGAAGGATTGTTTTTACCTTTACTATTTTATTTTTCCTGCTGAAAGAATTAATCTAAGTATGCGTATGCACTTGATGGCTTTACTCTCTGCATGCAGACGTATGTAGGATTATGTGGGCAGTGTGTTGGAGTGCGCGTTATAAAGTGCAAAGCTGTATGTTTTTGATAGGTGATGCTGTAGAGAAGCTGTGCGGATATGGCCAAAGTTGCGCTCTGGCGAGCGGACTCGTTCGACCATGTTAGCCCTTTCGATCGCACACGCCAACTTTAGTACTGTACACGACTCGTTTCTGATTGCTCAGAAGAGAGGAAAAACACCGACTCTGGTGCGAGGAGTAAAATCGATTTCCGCAAGATTCCAAGGTTCTCCACCGGAATGCTGGTTGGGTACAACAGGTGCAAGGTGTCGTTGCGTTTTTTCTCTATATTTTTTCAAAGTACAAATAAAGTAGACCGTAGTGGAACTTGAGGTCGTAGAAGATCTTGTCCACTCTCTTGTATCCCGGAACAGTGGCCGTTTTCAGTGATTCCACCCCTTCATTTTTATTGCCGTCCTGCTCCTCAACGTAAACCACACAGAACTTGCCCGGACGCAGGATCCGTACCACCTCTTTGAGCAGGTCGCATCTGGCCTTGCCAGGGTAATTGGTCTCAAACGATGCATATGACCAGCCAGATTCAGGGGTGATGTGGAGAGTATAATAGTAATCATTATCCAGGATGCTGTTAGACGAGAATCCGCATGGGGAAAATGCATACGCATCATGTTTAATGTGCGCATAGCCATTGAAGATCTTATCTAGTCCGCTACGGGACATCATTTTTTGACCGAGCAAGTGCCCGTAATCCTGAGTGGCAGGGTCCATTTCAGGACACTCGTTCTGATGTTTCGACAGCTGGAACATGTCACTGGACACAGGATCCAGCTCGGTCATAAGCAACTCGAATGTCTCATCATTGGAGGTGCCGGCACCATTGCTGATGCATGGAGACAAAGGATATCCAATTTCTTTCGAGTCTTTTGGCGATGAGCTGCTGTCATCGGCCTCTCCGTTCAAGTAGAGATACCAATGGTCTTTGGACAAATCTCCGACAATGTATGATTTTGCTTTCGAGGCTGAAAAATACTTGCTCAGCCACTTCAGCTCATTGTTCCAGTTGCGATGGATCTCATTTTGTTTGTGCGGGAACATGAAGCTCCTTCTTGAATAGAAAACTTTGTAGATGGACTTGAAATTATCGTAGATATACTCACAGTTCTCCACCACCATTTCCAGGAGTTTCGAAAGGCAGAACAGTGTAGTGGTAGTCCCGCAAGTCTTCAAAATCATTTTGTGAGGAAAAACAAACAACGATGACTCGGATAGCAGATACGCGTCCATGTCCTTGGTTGCTATCTTGGACAGGATTTTGCAATTGACTAGATCCAGCATTTCTTGGACTCCTTCTAAAGGAAGATCCCGAAGTGTTCCCTTACGGAAAACCGATCCAACGGAGGCCTCGGTCTCACAGAACCAGATCTCAAGCAGCTTTTCCGGGCCTTCAAAGGCGTTGGTCGAATCCAAGGAGACGGATAGATCGTGGTTGATGAATTCGGAATAAATTGATGGTGCCATGTTGAATAGAATTGAAACCCAAACAATGAATATACTAGCTCTACTTTTTATCTGGGTTTGGCGGGTCTGTTGAATCTGAAAGCCAGTTCCCTAGGCATATGAGCAGTGGAAGCTTGTCAACAAGAAAAAAATGACGAAAAAAAAATTTGATAGGACAGAATTTATGCGGTTCTTGCTTCCATCGTATTCCATAGGGTTGCGCAGAAGATATGAACTCTTAAAGAGGCGATTTTCGGGGCCAATTAATATGAAAAGTTGCTGGGAAAAGCAAGTCACTGGAAGTAGCGTAGAATGCTTGAGCAGGAGGCGGCAGAAGTCGCTTTTCGATAGCCCGTCGTCATCCGTGACTATTCCTATCAGTTACACCTGGCACCGATAAACTCTCAAATTCCTGGTTTTGGATTTACTAGGCGATTGCCGCGCTCATACTTGGCCGGGTAACCCATTCAGTATTGATCCGCTGAACCAATGTGTTGGGACAACAGTAGCTCAATTTCGCCTCACAGCACCTGGAACTACGTTTCTGTATACCTAACATGCTCAATTCTCTTTTGAAACTGGCAGTACCGGCGATTTTGGAAAGTCTTCCCTAATACTATAAAAATTAACTCCTGTTGAATAATTTTTCAATTTTTTCACCATGTCTGAGCTCTCTCATCCAATGATCAAAGATGGCTGGTTCGCCGAAGTTAGTGACACTATGTGGCCTGGTGAGGCCATGTCACTGAAAGTGAACAAAATCCTCTACTCTCAAAAATCAAAGTACCAGGACGTGCTGGTTTTTGAGTCTTCAAATTATGGTAATGTTTTGGTCCTGGACGGTGCTATTCAAGCCACGGAGAGAGACGAGTTCTCATACCAGGAGATGATTGCTCATCTTGCACTCAACTCGCACCCAAACCCTAAGAAAGTGCTTGTTATTGGAGGTGGAGATGGAGGTGTTTTGAGAGAGGTTGTCAAGCACGAATGTGTCGAAGAGGCGGTTTTATGTGACATTGACGAGGATGTCATTGCGGTGTCCAAGAAGTATCTTCCTGAGATGTCCAAATCGTATTCTCATCCAAAGGTCAGAGTGCATATTGGAGATGGTTTCAAATTCCTTAACGACTACAAGAACTGCTTCGATGTGATTATCACTGACTCTTCGGACCCTGAAGGACCAGCCGAGTCGCTTTTTCAGAAGCCATACTTCGAGCTCTTGAAAGAGGCATTGACAGAAAAGGGCGTGATCTCGACTCAGGCAGAGAGCATCTGGCTCCATTTGAACATCATCAAGGACCTCAAGAAGACGTGTAAGGATGTGTTCCCTGTTGTCGAGTACGCCTACTGCACTATTCCAACCTATCCATCGGGCCAAATTGGGTTTATGGTGTGCTCCAAGGACCCGAAAGTTGACGTCACGAAGCCATTGAGAAGCGTCGATGAGGAGACTGAAAGAAAATTGTACAAGTACTACAGCAGCGACATCCACAAGGCTTCATTCGTGCTACCAAATTTTGCCAGAGAGGCTCTGCAGTAACGGTTTGTATAACTGTATATACGTCACTGGTGAATCTACTGTTCTCTAACTTCTTGCAACACCTCCTTCAATTGGGTGATCAAGGTTTCGTTTTCTTCTTTCGTTCCAATGGTGATTCTTAAACAGCCCTTGCAACCCAGCTCATTGCCTCTAAATCTCACCACCACGTTTCTTTGCTCGGCAAGCGTGAGGTAGACTTTGTTCGCGATCTGGTTGTCTGGCTCGCCTTCTTTATTGAGAATCTCCATGAGAACGAAATTGGAGTCCAAGCCTCCAATATTTCTTCCCACTCCAGGTAGCTTGGCCAGCTCATCGACAACAATCTGTCTCTGCTCTTTAATAAGATCAACTCTTTGTCGCATCTTGACAAGAGCGTCTTTCGAAGTTGCTCTCAAAGCAACGGAGCTTGTCAGATTGCTGATGTTGTAAGGGTACTTCATAGAGTTGAGCAACCGAGAAACCTCGGGAGTCGAGAAACAAATACCCAGACGTATACCAGCAAGCCCAAAAGCCTTCGACAGGGTCTGAAGGACAACAAGATTAGGGAATTTGTTGACGAGAACAGATACAGAGCTGCCAACTTCGCAGAAGTCGATGTAAGCTTCGTCAACCACTATCAATCCGTTCCATGTAGATTGCTGCACCTTACTAAGCAGTTCCTCAAGTAGCGCAGGTTTTATCTGGACCCCGGTCGGGTTGCCTGGAGACGTGATGTAAACCAGTTTAATTGATACATCTTTCTCTAGCTGGTCCAAAATCAGGTCTGGCTGAATTTGAAAGGTTTCCAGATTCAAGGGCACCTTGACAATTTCAACATCGTTGACAACCGCACATATACTGTACATTCCGTAGGTTGGCGGACATATCAACAATTTTTCTTTTCCCGGCGCAACTACACATCTGATAAGAGCATCGATGGATTCGTCAGAGCCGACACCAAGACACAAATTCGACACATTCAGAGGCGTTTTCTGGCCAGCCACCATAGGAAGTTTCACAGATGCGGAACTCAACGAGGCCTCTGAGTTTCTAAAGTCGCATATCTGCTGCTTAAGTTGCTCTTGATGTGGGTCGGGATATCTGTTCAACTCCAAAGCGGTCTCTTTGTCGGTCAAGTCCGGCACAGAGGGTCCATGAGTATTCTCGTTGGCGTCCAAAAGAACACCAATCTTATAATCGTCTCGTGCACAGCGGTAGGGCTCCAGCTTGAGGATGTTGGGACGTGCAATCTTAGTGATATCGAACATACTGGTGAGTCAGAAAACAATCCAAGACGTTTATTTTTTTTAGCATTGCCACGAAAAATCATGCCTGCTAGTTGCAGGGAATGGATATACAACATAGCGCAGTTTTTTAGGTTTAGATTCCAGGAAATGCCCGAAGATCAAGAACAAAAAGAGGGAGAGGCACTGTACAAGATTGTGGAAAGCTTTTTTGACAAGCCCATCTCGATCGAAAAGGATCAAAAGACCATCGAGATCAATGTTTCTCCCATACTTGTTGATGATCTCCCACGAATCCAACGGAGCCAATGTTTGTCCCTTGTTAACGAGAACCTGGGTGCTACACTGGCCTGTGTATTTGGAAAACACTGGAAAAGAATGAAATCGGAAGAGATGTGTGACCCTGGATTGGTGTATCTTTTACTTCATCACGATACAGAGTTTGTAGGGTTTGTTTCCATCAAAGCGGTCGAAGACAATGAATGTCATGTACTGTACATCTACGAAGTACAGATCGTGAAAAACTACCGACGTTTGGGACTGGGCACAAAGCTATTGGGGATGTTGGACCACATCGTGGGACTTGTCAATTCGGATCCTGCATACACCCAAGATTTCGGCAAATTGGAAGGGCTTTCGCTCACAGTCTTCAGCAGTAACGAAGGAGCGAAAAAACTGTACTTTTCAAAAGGTTACGAATTCGCGTCGCATTCACCTGAAATCAGATATTTGCGAAACCGGAAAATTGAGCCCGATTATTTTATCTTGGTGAAAAAGAATTTTTAGAGGCTTTATCGAAAATGATCATTCTCAGCGATAAGCTTATAAAACAACTGTTATACGGACTGAAAGCTCCACAAATCCAGGAATTCCAGACGGTGCTTGCAAATTCTCTGATCGACTACCAGAACGACCATTCCTTAATTCCCCCGAGAATAGTTACAACTACTCCCTATGCAACGCATCTGTTTATGGCTTCGACCGGCAAGATTGTTGGAATGAAAGCTTTAACAGGTTCCAAACGGGGGTTTACAGGGGTGACTACGATATTGGACAAGGAAGTCGGTTTTCCCACTGGTATTCTTAACGCTGCTACCTTGACTGCTTTTAGAACTGCGCTTTGCACCAGTCTTGCTCTGGTCAAAACTTTCCCTATTGGATCTGTTGGAGCTTTTAAGGAAACACTCATTTGCGTCGGAGTCGGTGCTCAAGGAAGATGGCACACGAGATTGGCTTTGATTTTGTACCCTCAACGCTTCGATAACGTGATTTTTATCAACAGATCTATTGATAAAGCTGAGGAAATCGCTAGCGAGTTCCAGTCGGAATTTCCGTCGATAAAATTCCAGGGAGCAAAGTCTGATAGCAAGGATCTGAAAAGCTTCTTTGAAAAGGCATCATGCATATTCACCTGTATTCCAAGCACGGAACCTACCATTCTCAAAGACTACGTGGTCAATAACTCTGTCGAAAAAGTGTTTGTCGGAGCTATTGGATCGTACAAGCCACACATGATCGAGATCGAGGGAGAACTGCTCAAATTTTCCCTTTCGTCAGATACGAAAATCCTTGTTGACTCGATTGGCCACTGTTTGGAAGAGGCCGGCGAATTTATCCAAAATGATATTGGGGCATCTTCCTTAATTGAGATATCGGAGCTTTACGCGGATTCTGAAAAGGGTCGGGAGCAACTGGAAAAAATGGCCGCTTCTAAAGTTGTCATTTCCAAAATTGTTGGCCTGTGTATCATGGACGTCTCAGTCGGTGCCCAAGTGGTCGAGAAGGCCAAGGAACAGAACATTGGTGTCGTTCTAGATGAGTTCTAGATAAAAACAAATAGACGCGTCTATCGACGTGGGGTTTTGGTACAACTTCGTCCAAAAAAATACCAAATATTTTTCAGTGTTTTTCAGTAGCTCAATGTTTCCTCGAAAACCCGTTATTGTCCGCAACTATTCGCGGGCTCTCCGATTGGTCAGGAAAGGTGAGGATAAGAAGGCCTCCCTCGTCAACTATGATGATATGAGCGTTCTGAAGAATTACCTAGATCGACTTGATCTAACGCTCCTTCGACCCCGGGAAACTGAGCTATTTCCGAAGTTCAAGCATACAGGGCGCAACCTTATATCCATCATGCAGTCATCGCTTGCTTCATACGAGTTGTTGGAATCCAAGTCTTTGGAGCCAAGTGCACACACAACAAACACGAAAGATCTCAACCGTTTGAGACATCTCTTGCATTCCCCGAAAGATAGAGAGCTATACGAGTTCTTGAAAAGATCATCAACGCGCAGCAATTTCACTCTATTGATGAAAGATCTGTCTCCCCTTGAGGTGTCCTTAGCTGTGAAACGTCTGACAAGCTTAATGGACAGAGTTGTCAAATGGTATATTTTGGAACTGCAGTATATTTCAAGAATCAGTAAGGACGCGGATCTGGACCGAGTTTTGAAAACAAAATCGGAAATGTACTCGTCTATATCTAAGATTTTTCGCCGAATTCAAGAAAGCTGCGATCTTACCACCATAGATTACGAAAACATGGTTAATTTCCACGCACACAATTTACGATACCTTACGGCTATTAAGCTTATATCTGAAATTGAAGGGAAAATATTAAAGGGAGCAGAGAATCTACAATTTACGAAATCCTTGTGGATCAATAAACTCAAGATACTTGGACATGCAGATGAAAAAGCTTGGCGCATTAACCGGTACCATTACAAAGAGGCGGAAATGGAACCACTCCCCAAAAACTATATTTATCCGCACCATGGTAGCAGCGTGCAGCAGCTGCTACAAGAGCTTAACAATTCTGGGCTCCAATTAGATATTGAGCTCTATGAAACGATCATTCTGAGTCTTGCAGGTGCTGGTGAAATAGACTACCTTCAGTCCTTGATAGACAAAATATGGGGAATAGGCGGCAAGGCCAATGGGAGCGTTGAGCGCGGTTCTACGCTCTATCCAACTTTTGGTCTACTAGAGAAAATCATTGTTGCGTTTACCTACAATGGACAATTCATGAAAGGTTTGCTTATTTGCATGAAACTGATCGAAAAATACCAACTGGACCTGCGATATTCCCAAAAGTATTGGACGGGAGTGCTTCGTGCTTCTGGAGTGACAACTGCAAATATTTACAGAGACATTCAGACCAAGCTTTGGGAGAAGGGGGTCGATGAAGAAAAGTATAAAAGAGAGTTTGAGCTCCAGCATGAGATATTTGACCTGTTGTGGAGGAGCGCGATGAGTGTGCTGGAGACTCCATCGAAGGATATGATTAAGGTTCGTTTACGGTACTCCAGCTTGGAATCGCTTGTGAGAGATCTTCCCCAAATTCACGAACTAGCCGTTAATGCACACAAAAACACCTCTGCTAGTGAGGCCGCATATCGTGAAAGTCTCTTGCTGCGATACCTCAATATTTGTCGTGTGAAATTGGTTCAACGAAGGAACTTTTACGAGGCAGAGATGCTTATTAAGAAATTCTCGATGAACCAGAGAATGGAAAGTGCTCTTCTGTTTAGGCTTAAGCGGTCCCAGCAGAGATATCTCCGCGACACGACTGTCAAAAAGGCAGAACAGCGCATTCTGGAAGATGAAGACGAAGATGGGTTTGGTATTTGGTAAATATGCTATATAACTAATTCGAGCTCGTTGCAATTCATATATCTGCTGAGGAAAATCCACAGCCATCTGTACCAGACAATTTGAGAGTAATGAGCGTAAGTCATGGTTGCCAGATTCAGAAACCAGGAATTGAAGTTTGCGTAGATCTTGATGGCCTGGCCCTGGTCTGGGATGTACTTTACTAACGATGGCAAATATCTATGGATTGCAGAGCAGTTCTTGAAAAGTCTTGCAATCAGTTCAAGATTGGTAATCACGAATGCGCTGTATTTGGCAGCCACTGGCCACGACTTGAGCTTGAAAAATCTAAGCTTGTGTTTCTTTGAATAATCTTGGACACCATAGTACAACGACTTGTGGTTTGGATGTCCAGAGACACCTTCTTCATCGAAGGAAACCAAAATCTGCTCTGATTTGTGGAGCGGTAGCTCCTTCAATTCTTTGGCCAAAGTGGCCGCGACCGCACTTAAATCCCATTCTTCGTGGATATTATCAATATAGTCAAGTGTCTTGTACGTCTGGAATCCCAGTATTCTGGCTGCCCGGATCAATTCTTGCTGCCTGATCTCGCCAAGCCCATCAAAGTTTCCGTCCGAGAAGCAGATTAGATGCAGTGCGTTGTTGTATTTGGCCTTTGAAAGCTCAACAATGACCGGACTGAAAAACATAGACTCGTCGTCCGGATGCGCAGTGACAAATATCACGTCGGCATCACGAAGAGAATTTTCTGTCACTGTGGCTTGATTCAGTTCGTATAAGGAATCATATGGCGACTTCACTGCGTTCGGGGCGCTGGCAACCCAATAAGGTACAATAGTCGACAGTATGGCCCAAGCCATTAACAGGCACAGATACTTTCTCAAAAGTTTGCCAGAAACCCTGAATATGTTCATGCCAGAGATTAGTTCACGTCGATCTGAGTAATTATAATTTTTTTCCAGTGCGTCGGTCGTCCAATTTTTTTCGCTCGACATGTATTCACGGTCAAGGATGCAGATTCGTCGATTCAAGACCGGCAGCCGTTCAGCTTCGGACCTGACACGTGCAGAACAGCTTCTTAAGCTTGCCACTCACTTGAAACCACCCAAGTTTGCTCCAACACTTCCAGAAAAGATCCCAGTTCCTCATTCGCTCGAGGAGAAAGAAACCTATCGAAATCCATTTGTGCGATTTCGCCTCAACGACGTACTGCAGACATGTATACATTACCAGTTACCAGCAAAATATCGAGATTTGATTAATGTGAAAGAACCGACTCCCAGAGGCCCCCAATTTCTAGAGACAGATCTCGTGGATCTTTTCTTGACTCGCACTGGAGGCCAGTCTCGCAGGAAGTTCCGCACCATCCAGAGCCCCGAAGCTTCTCCAGCCATTACCTTCCCTCCACAAGTTTGTGAAATAATTCAAGATATGTCGTCCAGCTACGAAATTGATCAGATCATACAACATTTAACCACGGAGCTGAAAAAATACTCGCATTTTGATATAATCTGCGGACTTTTGTCTTTGAGCAAAGCATTACCCCAGGAGTCACAGCAGAAAGTGGTTCAATACAGTCTGAAGACTCTTGAGGTTATAGATCAATCTGAGACTGCCGTGCTGTTTCAGGAGCTTATGAAGTTGGAAAATTTCGACTACATCCAACAAGCTATTGATACCTTGGATAAATTGGATGTTTCAACAGACTTTCCTAGAGACGCAACCCCCGAGCTTCAAATACGGTTGCTCGAGTTTTCTATCGAACATCAGAAGTTTCATCTTGCTGCTCAAATGCTCGCCTACCTGCTCGAAAGTCAGCTTGTTCCGTCGCCAACTGTACTTGAAAAATATTCAAAACTTGTGAAAGACACCGCACTTTCCATCAATGCCGACCTCACCAGCCGCAGAATTGTCTTCATGGCCTATGCTGCCCCACTCGCACTTGCATTACAACATCAAACTGACACCATAAGCAGAAACTTAGTCCAGAACATTACCTCATGGCTGAGCATCCAGGAACTATTTTGGTTCCTGGAGTTTCTGAAACACACAAATGCAGAGGTCAACGGGATAAACTCCGCTGTCATCAGGCAGTACGGGCGACTGGCAAATAAGCCGCTTGCCATAGACAATGCGGTGACGTTAACCTCGTTGATAGGCCACTTGAGAAAACACAAGTTTGAGCCCTTTGATGATAATTGCAGAAAGTTGATCATTTCGCTATATTGCAAATTTAAGTCTCCAGTTGCAGCTCAATGGTGGATTGATTCGCTCAGAAAACCGCTGTCTGCCGACGAGATTAGTCGAATCATAGATGAACTGAAAAAGTCTCCTTTTACAGTTGACGAAAAGGAATTTCCGTCCCAAGGACAAAAACACATAGATGCATTCATAGAGAAACTCTCAACTTAGAATATACATCATCCCCATTTTTCAGCAAACCGACTTTCAATGCCCTCAAGGCAGCTCTTGAAAGGCACTATTTGCAGGTTCTCGAGCTCTGCTTTGAACTGTTTGTCAGCCGACGGACCTGCGCCAGCTATTGGGGGCACCATTGGTTGCTGCTGCTGCTGGGCCATAAGCTGATTCACAATGTCACCATCATCAAGAAGCAGCGAGTATATACTCTTCAAACCAAGCAGGTTCACAAAGTACCAGGAAATGGAGCTGACGTACGTGACGTCCAGATCAGTTGTGTCTATACTTTGTTGCAACATGCTCTTGAAATTGCCGGTAAGATTAAATGGCAAACGCATTACCACGTAACCCTTAAAGAAGTAGTTAACCCACCACATGATCAAGGTCTGGGGCACGTAGTTGGCGAAATTGTTTTTCACCATTTGCAACAAGAGGTCCGATGAATTGGCATCTGCTAATGGGTTCTTGATTTCATTTGGGTCGCTAGGAGGCAATTCCTTCAAATACTTCGTGCCAGAGTATTCTGAGATGAAAAAATCGATTCTATTCTGAAGTTCCTGCTTCGTCCAGAAGATAGAGTAGTTCCGTCTGTAGGTCCGTAGTCTTGCCAAATGCTGTTGTTCTCTAACGAGTCTATAGTCCTGCAGTTTCATTTTTGGTTGGAGTAAGACAGAGATATAGCTTCGAAGAATACCAACCAGAACCATCACCACAGAAATAGGTAATAATACCCATAGTTTAAGGGCTGGATCTAAGACTAAGTCGGGCACAGGCATGGTTTAAATATTGTGAGTAATAAAAATATTTTTTACCAAAACTCCAATGCGCTTGAGAATAGCAGCCATACAATTGAACCCGTTACTGGGGAAATTTGAGGAAAATGCTTCTACAGCTCTGAGGCTTGTTGACCAAATCCGAAGCAAAAAACCTGACATTATCATCTTTCCCGAACTGGCACTTACAGGATACAACTTTGCCGGGCCCAAGCAGATCGAGCCGTACCTCGAGGAACAGGGAGGGGGCAGATGTTTTGAATTTGCAAAGAAGGTCTCGCAGTCTCTTAAGTGCCACACGATATTGGGATATCCAGAAAAACATTCCTCCACAACATACAATTCTGCCATGCTGATAGGCCCTGACGGCTCCCTTGTTCATAATTACAGGAAATCATTTCTATACAAGACAGACGAGATATGGGGGGCAAAGGAGTCCCCTACAAGCTTTGAAGCCTTTGACATTGTGATAAATGACCGCAAAATTAAATCTACTATTGGCATATGCATGGATCTAAACCCTTACAAGTTTGAGGCGCCGTTTGAGGCATTCGAATTCGCCAACTTTTGTCTTGAAAAACAAGTACAACTTATATTAGTGCCAACCGCATGGATGAGCACAAGCTGGAGCGAAGACTGGAAAGATCAAGCTAAATATACAAAATTATTCGAGCAGCAGCTGCCCTTCGAAATCAATATGGAAAGCTCTGCCGCGAATGACATCATATTGAATTCATCGGAAGAGGCTTACGATCGCACAAAACCAGACAAGCGAACTGCTCAATACTGGCTGATACGATTCCAGCCACTATTCTTCAAGAAACATGACAAGATGGTTCTTGTAGTTTGCAACCGGTCCGGCGTTGAGGGAGATCTCATGTATGCCGGTTCATCCTCAATTTTCCGCTTCAATGGCAACGTGTATGAGGATGGGGTCGACTTGGATGTGTTTGGAACGCTTGGACAGGGTGTAGAAGGTGTGCTGCTCAGGGACGTGGAGATCTAAAGCTCTTATTTTTGCAACTGCTTCTTCAACTCGGCAAGCTCCTCCTGGACGGAATTGTACGCTCTGCGCCAGCCCTCCGCTTCGCGGTACGTTTTTTCCAGCTCTGCTTTCAGTTTCTCGTTCGAATTTGCAAGCTCGCTAACAGCCTGATCGGTAATAAGCTTTTCCAAGGTCCACTTTTCAATGTTGGAGTCCTCGTTCTCTTTCAACCTCTTAATATACTCAACAGCACGCTTTAGAATCTGGGACTTGTTGTGGTCCTGTGTTGGTAGCAGTTCCTGCAATTCTTTAATACCCTGGTTAATCGTCTCTCTCCTTCTCTTTTCCACCTCCTTATGGTTCTTTTTGCGCCATGTGTGCCACTCTTCTGATCCTGCTGGTGGTTTCAACGGTGTTGGTTCCACAGGTAAGGTTGTGCTTTGAGGAACGGTCATAGTGGGAAGACCCTGTCTAACAGGTTTTTCCGCGTCAGTGGCGTTCTCTGAGGACCCCTGGGACTGATTGGTCTCCAGCTTGATGCGCTTGGCCTTCTGCTCCTCTTCGCTGGACATGAAAACTAAACTTAATTTTGGAGTTGTTTATTTTTTGTCAGGTGAGCGAAACACACATGACCGCAAAATTGTGGCGGTGTAATTATCCTCTCCTTCCAGCACTTTTTTTTTCCCGTCTCTGCAGAAATCAAAGTCCGTTATCAAATTTCTTCACAAAAATGTGTCGGGTTGTTGAGTGTGGAAAATGCCATAGGAGCGCCTGGACGGGCTGCGGGAAGCACATCGCTGCTGCAATGTCCACCGTGCCAAGGGAGGAGTGGTGTATCTGTGAACATAAAGACGACAAATTCCCTAAAGAGTTTCCTCCGAGAATTGAATCCGCTGGTACCATTAGTAATTAGAAGAGTATATATGAGTTACGTGTGAATAGTGCACATAGTGCGACTATTTTTGTCTCTTGTAAATTTTGTTCAAGAACGAGGTTAAGACCTCACCCTTGAAACCTCTAGACTCGTCCACATTGGCAATTTTGGAGCGCAGCTCAGTGGCAATCCTTTCCTCGTATTCGAGATATAGCTGGTCAATCTTGAGATCTCTGAAGATTTGCTTGCACTTGGCCTCCTTGGCGGAATCCTTACGGCCATAGTTCTCATCCAAGATGGCTCTTTGTTCTGGTGTACAAATCTTGAGGGCGGTATTGATCACCCATGAACATTTGTTGTCCAGGATATCAGTGCCGATCTTTCCAATGTCCTCTGGCTTTCCAAAACAATCCAGGTAGTCGTCCTGGATCTGGAAGTATTCGCCAAGAGGAATTAGGACGTCTTGGGCTTGCTTGAGGTCCTTCTCGTCCGCAACACCGGCCATGTACATCGCAAGAGCAACAGGCAAGTAAAATGAATAGTATGCCGTCTTGAAAGTGACGATGAAGGAGTGTTTGCTCAAAGAAAACTTTGACAGGTCCACATGGTCTTCTGGTGCGGTCAAAAGATCCAAGAGCTGGCCCAGCTCTGTTTGGAACGTAACCTCATGAAACAGCTCTAGTAGATCAACATAGTATGATTCTTTTCTGAAGTATTTCTTCAGCAGAACGTAAATGGCAGCCTCAAGCATAAATGAGTCGTTGATAGCGATCTCATTAACCCCGTCCACTCTGTACCAGCAGGGCTGACCTCTTCTAGTGATGGACTTATCCATCATGTCGTCAGCAACAAGGAAATATGCTTGCAACAGCTCAACAGCCCACCCCAAAATGGCAGTTTTCTTATATTCCTCGGGCTCAAAGTCATCAAAGGACTTATACCCTTTCAAAAGGGCGTAGGTGTCGACGACAGACAGGCCTCTGTTCAGTTTCCCACCGGGGGTGTTGTAGCTCAGATTGCGTTTAAACCATTCAATTGCATCCTGAGGCATACCATACTCCTTAGTGACCGTCTCGAGATCGCTAACGAGCTCAGGGAAAACATCCAAAAACTTAGATCTAGCGGTGCTTTTGTCCATCGTTGGTGTTTCGTTTACTAAATTAAAAAGAACGAGCGACCCAAAACGGAAAGATTGAAAAAAAATTTATATCAAGAAAATATTTACATAGGATGGGAGAGGAATTCGAGAGTACTGCTTTGAGTAAAAAGGAGCAGCGCAAACTGAAAAAGCTTCTGCGCAAGGCCAAGAAGGAAGAGGAAGAAGACGACCGCTTAGATTTAGAGAAACTGAACGAAAGCGCAAGTGAAGAAGAGGAAGTGGAGTTGGATCAGGAATCTAACAGCGAGGACGAAGAGGAGTCTGACATTCCGCTTTCTGAGGCAGAATTGGAGCCAGATGCAGACGTTGTGCCGCACACAAAGCTTACCGTGAACAAAGTGGCTGCTCTTAAACAGAGCCTTGCAAGTTTTGCATTGCCATGGGATAAATTACCGTTTGATGAACATCAATCTGTTACGTCATCAGAGAGAGTGGATACGCAAGTCAAGGACGTTTTCGACGATACAGAACGCGAGTTGGCGTTTTATAAGCAGGGGCTGGAAGCAGCCAAGATCGCCCGCCAAAAGCTTCTTGCATTAAACGTTCCCTTCACCAGGCCCCCGGACTATTTTGCAGAAATGGTGAAATCGGACGCACATATGGACCAACTGAAGGTGAAGCTGATCAAAGAAGCTTCTGAAAAGAAGGCTAGAGAAGAGGCCAGAAGACAGAGACAATTAAAGAAGTTTGGTAAGCAAGTGCAGAACGAAACCCTGCAAAAGAGACAGAAGGAGAAATCCGAAGCTCTTGCTAAGATCAAGTCTCTGAAACGTAAGAAGCAGAATCATGAAATTGATGAGGAAGAATTCAATATCGCAGTTGAGGAAGCTGTTGCTGCTGCTCCTGAGCAAGGACGCAGAGGTAACAAGAAACAGAAGGTGGAATCGAAGTTGAACCGCAAGAAGCCTCAAAGGCCAGGAAAGAGCAAACGACACAGACGGGGCAAATAAGTGACTAATATTAATATCTTCAAGTCTATATAATTCCAGCGCTCTTTAATTTTTCAAAGACTTCGTGGGTAACGTATTTCTTCATAGACGGCTCGTCATCAAGACCTTTCATTTTCCTTGTTTTCATGGTAAAGTCGCGCGACAGGGACTGGATTGGTGCAGGCTTGAGCACAGGAATGAAACAGTCCTCGTCCAGTGGATCTCCAGGAATGATGGACCAGTGGCTGAACACAAGTTGGCACATTGCTTGGCCCCGACTGTACAGTCGAATATCAGTTTCCAGTCCCACAGACTCGATCACTGGAATATAACCATACACTTTGTATAACGGAGTGCCTTCCACGGGTTTATCGTTGGTGATTTGGCCTCTTCTTCTATCGAGTAGCTTGTTCAGCGCTGGTAACACCGACGAAAAACATAAAATTTCAATCTCGTAAACCGGTTCGAGTAACCGCGGAGTAGCAATCATCATTGCCGCGTAGCATGCCTTCCGTGACATCTGAATGATTTGTGCTCCGTTTGATTCCATAAAGTTTGTAGATAGTTGTGCACCGATAATCCTGAATTTTATATTTCTCACTGGCTCGTCGCAAAGAGGACCTTCTCTGGTAGACCATTTGAAACCCTGGATAATCAGTTCTTTCAGCTCCGCAAGCCTTGATTTATCTGTATCCTCAGGCAGCGTGTCTTCGAGAAGTATACACGTACCCGTTTCATCAGGACCAAATGCCCAAACAGATCTTGCAGCCAAAGCGTCCCACCCATAGTCGTTTCTGAGCCTCTTGGCAAGCTCCCTAGGGGGAAGTGATGGCGCAAGAACTCCAGCTTCTATGTCTCTGGCAATATTCTCTTCCAGAGGCTCCGCTATGACCGTAAGACTATTTTTCATGTTGGCAGATTCGGTAACCAGCTTCACTTTGGACATGTCCAAACATGTCTCTGAAAATCGGGCCACAGGATCACTAACCTTGATATCCAATTTAGCATACAACAGACGCAAATCGTGGAGCAAACAATCCAAGTACAACTCCCCGAATCCCAAGATCACGTGCTCGCCTCCTTGCTCAACTCTAACCTCTGATCCCACATAAGACCTAGTCAACTTTTTTAGGCCTTCGGTGAATTTTGAGAGCTCAGACGGGTTTGCAGGTTGCACAGCAACTTTGAAGACTGGTTTGGATATTTTGTCGAATGGCCTGAATATGTCGAGTGACGCAGAATTGAGCTTTTGGTCGAAAATGGTGGCAGTTTTGCTGATAAACACGTCAATGTCGTGCCCTGATATTAACCCTATAGATCCTGCTGGAATACCTTCCACTGGGATCTTGTAGCGCGTGCAGCTGAAAAATGCGCGCCGCACGTCTTGCAGTTTCATGTCGTCTGTAAATTCGGGGCTGTAGTTCTCACCCAGTAGCAGAACCGAATTCCCCGTTTTCAGTGTGCCTGAGAGCACGCGTACCTGAGCATAGAACCTGGCGGCACTAGCTGAGTCAACGAGCTTTGCCACATACGCTATGACTGGGCCGTTCGGATCGCACTTTTCAATATGTGAAAGCAGTTCATCAGTGGCCTTGCCTTTGTATAGTGAATTGAACTTATCAACGTTCATGTCCTCTGGGGAAGGCATATTCTGTATCAGGTCGACAAACGGTGGGCAGACGCCACCGAAAAATGCAAAAAAGACCTCTTTTAAAAGAAGTTGGACATCAAGCTTGAATTTCGAAGGATGAATACTGGATATTCCATGGGACTCCTCGAGATATTGTTCTAATTCTTTTGGACTTTTCGTCAAAGTAGCGGTGATCAGCTTATATATCGGTTCCAAAACGAACTTGATGAAACTTCTGGATTTGGCATGAGCGGCCTTATCTGGAGGCTTAACAGTAAATTTTCTATCAATATAGTAAATGTCTCCCCAAAGTTTGGTAGCAAATGCGTCAATATCCAACTTGGAATTATTAAGGTATTTCTTTGCAATACTTCGCAAAGTGAAACAGATATTGAGGTTGCTGGAGCTGAAACAAACATTTCCAAGAGCAGGCGACAGAGTCGTTTGTCGTGTGTAGCTGCCATTTTTGACGTGTTTAGATGACGAAACATAGTCGTTTATTTCGTGAATAACGCTGCGAAATTTATAGTAGGCGTCTAATGGCGGTAGTCTGAGTTCCAAAATCAAGCGTTCAAACTTGGAAACGTTAAGACAAAAGGGAGTGTTCGTCAGCAAAATATGATCCAGAGCCAGCTGCAAACCTTTGGTCAGACCTTCAACCACGTCAACAACTAGAACTGCAACATCAGCAAGTCTTACTGCGACAGCCATTTCGTCGACAAAGTCAACGTGTCCAGGGGCGTCAAGAATGTGGGTAACGGTGGATTTTTGTTCGAGATCGGGCATCAATAGTGACATGGTAGATGTCTTTATGGAGATTCCCCGTTTGATTTCTATTGTATGATTGTCAGTGTATCGAAAAGGCTCGTAGCCTTTCGCTTTAACGTAGTTGATGTTATGAGTTTCATGGACTAGTTGGTCTAGAAATGCAGTTTTCCCTGAGTGCAAACCACCGACAAGAGCAATATTTCGCACTTTGGACGGGACGAACGTCATATTCCACAAATAGTCCTTGGAATAAAATGTCTCAGGAAGGTCTTCCTCTTCTACTTTGAACTTTTGCTCTGTATCAGGCTGAATAATAGGCTCACTGATATCCTTTGCATCAGATGTCGCTATAATCGTCTCGACATCTTCTCCAAAAACCTCTTGTAATCCAGGCTGTCTAACAGCGACCTCCGATTGGTTGACCTCCATTGCCTCGTCACTTGAGCTCTCATTCTCTGGAACACCAATAAGGTTTCCAAACTCATCGTAGAGTTCTTCAGACATATTCAGGCTTGGTTAATATTTTTTAACTTTTATAGACAAAAATAAAATAAAAACTATAAATTCGATATTATCATGGACAACCAACAGCCTGTGATATATTCGCTTTTACCAAATTCCGAGCGTCTACGACATATAAGAGAGCATGTTATCCATGATATTAATGATATCTGGCAGGATGGAGATGTTTCCGAGCAGATTGAACACTTCAAATACAAACAGGAACTCAAAAAGAAGTTCTCATTTGGCTCCATTATTGGTCTGGGGTTTTCGCTCATGAACGTTCCATTTGGAATCTCGTCGACCTTGTCAATTGGGCTTGTTTGCGGCTCCAGTTTTACCATACTCTGGGGTTGGGTTCTTTTCTCGTTGTTCACCCTCTTCATATCGCTGTCCCTGGGTGAGATTTCGGGGAAATTCCCCAGCTCTGGAGGTGTTTATCATTACAGCAGTATACTTGCCAATGAAAAATACGCATTGGCAAGTTCTTGGTTTACTGGATGGTATCTGGTCCTAGGAAACTGGCTGATGTTCATCTCGTACGCATTTGGAGGGAGCCAGTTTATTCTTTCAATCTTGGGTATCAAAAGTCAAGACTACAAGCACGATGACTTGTTCGTTCTGTTGCTCTACTTTTTAATTATCACTCTCAGTGGGCTGGTGAATCTCAAATTCCAACGACAACTTGAGAAGATCAACAAGTTGTGCATTTACTGGACTATATACACGGTTCTGGTGATGGATTTTCTGCTACTAATATTCAGTACAGATTTCCACGATGTCAAATATATTCTAACTAATTTTGATGCTTCCAGAAGCGGCTGGCCTGCAGTGATTGCATTTTTTGTTGGTGGTATTCAGTTTTCCTCGCTTACGTTCAATGGTTATGGAATGATTGTCTCCATGAGTGAGGAAGTGCAAACGCCTGAAAAAACGATCCCACGTGGTCTATTGGTGTCTGTGTTGGTCAGCAGTCTGACGGGGCTCATATTCATCATCCCAATTTTGAGTATTCTTCCTGATCTCGAGCTTCTTCTGGATCAAAACCCCGATATCTTTCCTATTGATATCGTGTTCAAACTGTCGACAAAATCTATTTTGGTTTCATTTGTCTTGGTGATTCTCATTATCGGATCTTCAACATTCGCTACTATTGGCTCGCTCACCATCGCCTCTAGAACTGTTTACGCCTTGGGAAGAGATCGTGGATTACCATTCAATCAGCTTTGGGAGCAAGTTGATACCATGTCGGACGAGGAAATAGTTCCCAAAAATGCTCTTTTGCTTTCTGTTGCAGTCTCGTTTTTGCTTGGCACGTTCTCAATGGTCTCCAGTACTGCATTCAATGCGTTTGTGGGGTGTGCTGTAGTGTCGTTGAATGCTGCTAATGGAATACCCATACTCTCTTCCATTCTCAACAAGAGGCGCAAAATCCGTGGCTCTGCCTTTAAGTTGCGCAAGCTGGGCTATGTCATCAATGGCTTTAGCGTGGTATTCATTCTGCTGACCATTGTTGTTCTGTGCATGCCTCCTTCAAGATATATCGATATTACCACTATGAACTATGCTGTCGCTGTCTTCGGTTTGTTCACCCTCATGATTGCTGTTTTGTACTATGTCTGGGGAAGACACAATTTCCACGGTCCTCTACTCGATACCGATGAACAGGCTGAAATTGCAGCTCTGGCCACGGCTCTCGAAAACGTTCAGCCTACCCAGCAGCAAGATCAAGACGATGATCAGTTTGTTCTTGAAGACAGCGAGTACATTTCGCATAAAACTCCGCCTCTTGATGATGACACTGATACCCTCTTTGACATCTCTCAAAGCCAAGCGTCCTGTTCGGATCAACAAATATTTGATCCGAAGCCTAAAAACTCCAACTAAAGCTCCGCATGCATATAATCAATGTAAAGTACTTTATTGTATCTTTCAAAAATCTAGCCGACTCGAACGGTATTATTGGAGAGTCTTAGTGATGGTAGAATTTTGATCTCTAGCAAGCTCCAACCGAGGGCTCAGATTTGAGAAACTGATCATCAAGAATGATCCGATGACCATCATAGATCCTTTCGAAGACAGCACCCGGATCTGCAATTTACGTTTTGAGACTTGAGAGTTGTAATTTAAAGTAGTCAACTCATGGTGGTCTGCTTTTTCTCAAGGCGCATTCGTCTAAAAAACAACCGGCCTGATTACATCCCGCATTAAATATTCCCCCAAAATATTTTCTGGGAATTATTTGAAAAATTATAGACCAATTAATGTATTTGAGGACCTACCAAGCCCGTTTGACGCGGACGATCCTATGTCGCTCGTCAAGTGGTTTTAGATTTTCCTCTTCTGGTGTGCGCCGCTCTCGATTTCAAAGACCTTCCTTAGGTGAAAAACAGCAGGAGCAGACAAACAAGCCTTCCGAGACCAAGCCCAAGGTACAAAATAATACTCCCAAACCAGTTTCAAATAATGTGGATCAGAATCGCACTCCAGAACGACAGGAGTCTGCATCGTCAAATCGAAAGACAAATGATAGAAAAATCAATGACCATAGACGCCAACCGAAACAGGCTGCGCAAACACCACCAACAAAGAAAAAACCAGTACAGATCAAGGTTAAATACAAGCCAAAGCCGAAACTGGATTCTTCGAGCAATCGTCCGAAACTAGACATTCCAACATTTTTAACCGTTGCCAACTTTGCGCAAATCCTTCGAGTCCGAGTTCCTGACCTACTACAAAGAATGAAAGAACTTGGATTTGAAAACATGACCAACGACTATATTCTTGATTCTGAGACTGCAGCTCTCATTGCAGACGAGTACGGCTTTGATGTGAATACGAATGATGATACTGGTGCAGATTTGTTTCCGTCGCCTGAGCCGACTGATCCCAAGCTACTCAAACCTAGAGCTCCTATTGTTACCATTATGGGCCACGTTGACCATGGTAAAACCACGGTTCTTGATTATTTGAGAAAGTCATCTATTGCCAAAGGTGAACATGGTGGAATCACCCAACACATAGGTGCTTTTGTTGTGAGGACGCCAGTGTCTAAGAAAACGATAACTTTTCTGGATACACCAGGACATGCAGCATTTCTAAATATGCGAGAACGCGGGGCTAACATAACTGATGTTGTGGTTTTGGTTGTCGCTGCTGAAGACTCTGTGATGCCGCAAACAAAGGAAGCTATTCGACATGCAAGAAATGCAGGTGTGCCAATGGTTGTTGCAATAAATAAATGCGATAAAGAAGAGGCAAATCCGGACAAAGTTGTTGCAGATCTCTCAGCAAATGGCGTGGAAGTTGAAGACTATGGTGGAGACGTTCCAACAGTTAGAATCTCTGCCAAGACAGGTATGGGTATGGAAGAGCTCGAAGAAACCATCGTGGCTGTTGCTGAGTTGCAGGATATTAAAACGCAGGAAGACAAAGTTCCAGTTGAGGGGTGGGTTTTGGAGTCGCAGGTCAAGAAAGGCTTGGGCAACGTGGCTACCTTTTTGGTTATGAAAGGTAAATTGAAACCAGGAGCTGTGTTGGTTGCTGGGCAGACGTGGTGTAAAGTTAGAGCCATGAAGGACGAGTATGGCAAACCAGTAAAGGTTGCTGGGCCTTCCACTCCTGTTGAGATATCCGGTTGGAAAGACATTCCAGATGCTGGAGATATGGCCCTCGAGGCATCCAGCGAAGCTTTGGCTAAAAAAGTGATTTCGAACAGAGAGAAACGAAAACTTCTGTTAGAAGAGGCGTCTCAAATCGAGCAAATGAATAAGCAAATGTTGGAGAAAATGGAGGCGTCTCGTCGTGAGGAGAAAATCCAAGACTACCAGCGTGAAGGTCTTACGATGGATGAGATTAGAGAATTGGAACCAGATCTGTTTGACGATGAAGAGACAAAGTTAATAGAGGTTCCATTCATCATAAAGGCAGACGTTAGTGGATCTGCCGAAGCTATATCGCAAAGCATTTCAGGACTTGGAAATGACGAGGTGCAGTCGACTGTTTTATATGAAGAAGTGGGTCCTCCAACAGAAAGTGATATTGAGCGTGCCAAACTGTCCAGTGCCCAGATTCTGGCATTCAATGTCAAGGTTTCTAAAGACATTATCAATCTTGCATCTCTCAATGGTGTTGAGATCAAAGAGTTCAAAGTCATCTATCACTTAATCGAAGACGTTATGGGATATTTGACCTCAAAGTTGCCAAAGAAATATGAGACAAAAATACACTCCACTGCATCGGTCAAGCAGATCTTTGAGATCAGTTTAAAGAATAAATCCAAGATGAAAATTGCCGGATGTCGTGTTGTCAGTGGAACTTTCAAACGGAGTGCAACTGTGCGCTTGATAAGAAATGGCATGGAGATATACAGAGGAAGAGTTAGACAACTGAAACACGAAAAGGAAGATGTCAGTGAAGTCGCTAATGGTGTCGAGTGTGGTGTTGCCCTGGACGGAAACGTAGAATTGCAAGTTGGAGATACGATCGAAGCCATCGAGGAGATAGAAATACAGAGACATTTGTAATCAGGATTTGTAAATAGCATGAAAAGCCTGTAATACATCTATTTTGATAGCAGTTGACGCCTTTCAGAACCATAAAAGCTATCCGCTAACAAGTTCTGATATAATTTGTATATTATGGCTAGTTCCTTGTTGTTGCTAGTTTCAAGTTTGGCGTGGTATTTGTTTAGAAACGCGCGCCTCGATTCATTGAATTCCAATTTGCCGACCAAACTTTGTAACAAATGTAGAGAGTCTGGCTGTTCCTGATCTTTAATCAAATACTGCAAGAGCTGTATGTCTGCACCAAACAAGAAGCTGATGATCTGATCAACCTTCAGGCGGTCAATTTTGTAACTGTCTAGTTTGAGCACCAAGTTCTCCAGTTGACTGCCGTAATCAGATGTTATCTCTGTTGAGGCGTTGGAGCAGCTGTTACCAGTGATCGACTCTTCTGAGTTTGCCTCTTTTATTTCCTGTTTAAGCTCGGGGCTAGTGATATGAGCGTATTTTTGGTCCAGAACCAAAGTTGCTGGCAAGTGAAGCAAGCTTGCATCTGCTCCTGGAGCCAGCTCTCTTTTCCGCACCCAAACCCTTCTCCGAACAAAATTTCCAAACCTTCCTACTCCTTTCCATTTGCGGCTTCCAAAACGGACCTTAGAATAAACCCAACCTTCTTGATCCACATCTTGGATCATCAAAATAAACCAGTTGTTCCAACTCCAACGCCAGCTTCTACTGGGCAAAGGATACAGATTGAGACTTGTAATTGCGTGCCCTCTTAACGTCTGGAACTTGGGAGGATCTAGAGGATACAAAAGCGATTCTCGACTGTACATAGGTATTCCAAGTAATGTTGCCCCTCTTTGGTTCTCTATGATCACTTCATACTTGTACGTCTCCTCTACTCCATCAAATTGGCTCTCGAATCTGCTGATGTCGCCCAGGTCCACATCGTTGCCACTAAACTGTGCCAAGCAATCCAAAAATTCCCTGGAATCTTTGAATTGTGGAAGTCTTGTTAAATGCTTTTCTATATTGTCGTAATGAGAAACCTGGCCCTCCAGTAATGACTCACTTAATCCATTGTTTGTTGTGTAGCGGCTGTGAAGCGCAGAACTAACGACAAATTCATCCCTGGATCCGTGTTTTTCGGCTGCCATAAAAAGGGAGAACTAATCCATTTATTTCCCTCCAAAAAAATAAACATATTTTCCAATCACTGGAATACCTGAAAAATGTCGAGATCGAAAGATACATCGGCTTTGGCCACTCCTCCTGCAGAGGCCGGCGGAGTGGTACTCTACGACAAAGAACCCGATGCAACACAAGAGGCTTTGACTACCTTTCTCAACTTGAAGGACAATATCTACTGCGATAGCATCAAAGATATCTATTCTGCAGCTGACGAGTTCATGGCCTGTGATTGTACGGAAGATGTGGGTACTGACGGAGTCAATCATGCTTGCGGTCCGGACTCTGATTGTATAAACCGACTCACCAATATTGAGTGTGTTGACGGACAGTGCAGTGGTTGTGGAGAGAAATGCCAGAATCAAAGATTTCAGAATAACGAGATCGCACCTGTTTCCATCTTCAAAACGGAACACAAAGGCTACGGAATGCGCGCAGATGAGGACATATATCCACACACGTTCATCGTTGAATATAAAGGAGAGATTGTTGACAACGAGTTGTATAAAGAGAGAAAAGAGCAGTATTCCAACGAGGGCATCAAACATTTTTATTTCATGATGATACAGGACAATGAAATCATTGACGCAACCAAAAAAGCGAGTATTGGCCGTTTTTGCAACCATTCGTGCGATCCCAACGCGTACGTCGAAAAATGGGTCGTCAACAAAAGATTCAGAATGGGCATTTTTGCCAAACGGAAAATCGTCAAGGGAGAGGAAATCACCTTCGACTACAACGTGGACAGGTACGGAGCTGAGCCGCAAAAATGCTACTGTGGTGCCTCAAACTGTCTGGGTGTTATGGGAGGGAAGACGCAGTCTGAGAGTGCTAGGTTGCTTCCGCATGTCATTACTGAAGCTCTTGGAGTTCGTGCGAACGTTGAAAAGAGATGGATCAAAGAGCAGAAGAAACTGGGCACCAAAGTTACGCAAGACAACATTGACTCGAATGTCAACGTTGAGTTTGTCAAATCTTTGGAACTTGAGCCGCTACGCTTAGCAGATGTGTCCAAGGTGGTTAGTTGTTTGCTACAACCAGACCTGGATTTTATCGTGATATCGAGGGTCATTGAGAGGTTTTCCCTTTGCGACAACTATGATGAGATCGTGAATCGTTTTTGCAGACTCCATGGAATGCAAGCTTTAAGCACTGCACTTAAAACTCTGTTGGGCTTATCCGGAGACAAGTTTTCCAATGAAGAGGAGGAATTGTTTACCTCCATGGCCAAGATTCTTCAGCATTGGCCCCCGTTGCGAGCAAAAAATACGATTGTCAGCTGTAAGATGGACGAGATGCTGCAGGAGGCCGAGTCCAAAACTAGCAATCCAGATCTGAAAAGCTTGGTGTCCCAGCTGCTTTCAAATTGGAAAGATCTCGAGTTGGTCTATCGCATTCCAAAAAGAAGTGACCTTAAAAATGCCTCCGACACGGCAACTAAATTGGACGACCGCAGAGCAAGATCAACCTCCTTGCCGGCTTCTGAGGTAGTCGACCCTGCTAAAACGGCAATAAACGGCGTGGCATTGCCTCCTGGATGGGAGTGGGCAGAGGATCCTAGCACCAAAACTGTCTATTATTTCAATAGGTCCAAGAATATCACCCAATGGGAACGCCCTGTGAGCACTCCAACGGGACCTGGTGTTTCTGACGAGGAGGAACGTCGGAAAAGGCGAGAAAAGGAACGGCAGAAGGAGGAGGCCATGTACAAGAAGTTGGAGCAGGAGCGTCAATTGGCACGACAGAAAGAGCTGGAAGTCGAGGAAATGCGCATGAACAAGCTCTCTTTGATTATTGCGCAAGCATCTTTGGAAAAACCAACTACGCCGGCAGAAACGCCGAAGAAAGAAGAAGAGCGCCATATCAGTGCTACGGAAAAACAGTGGACCAAACTTTTTGCTTCTGCAGTGCCCAATATGCTGAAAAAATACGAAACGGAGATTGGAAGAGACTCTCTAAAAGCCTGTGCTCGTGATATTGTGCACACCCTGGCTCAGAAAGAGCTCAAGAGACGCTCCGACAGCAAGCCACCTTCAGAGCTGAGTCATGAGAAGAAGGCCAAAATCAAGCATTTTGTGAAGGAGTACATGGCCAAGTTTTTGGTCAAGCTTGAGGAAAAGAAGAAGCGGAAGAGTTCTGGAGCTTCTTCCGAATCCAAACGCACAAAATCCCAATAAATCACAAACCATATAGAACCTGTATCATAATTTATTTTGCTTTGAAAAGCCCTTATCAGGCTGTGCCAGAAAATTACACAACCAAATTATCGCAAGATGGATGCAGAAGCGGTATTGGCCAAGCATAACAATGCTACAATTCTTCTAATGGGCCTCAGACGGTATGTATAAACCACATTTTTGGTGTCTAACGATTCCAGGTCTGGAAAATCGTCAATTTGCAAAGTGGTGTTTCACGACATGCAGCCTTTGGATACGCTGTATCTCGAAAGCACAACTAAGCCAACTACAGAAAACTTCAAGTCTCTGATTGATCTAGCAGTGATGGAGCTTCCTGGACAGCTCAATCTATTCGAACCTTCGCTATACGACTCCGAAAAGCTGTTTTCGTCGATCGGTGCTTTAGTGTACGTCATCGACAGTCAGGATGAATATTTGAGCGCACTCCAGAATTTGGCGGTCATTATCAAGTATGCCTGCAGCGTCAACTCTAAACTCCACATAGAAGTGCTAATTCATAAGATTGACGGTTTGTCGGAAGACTTTCGGCTAGAAACGCAAAGAGATATTATGCAGAGAGTCGGAGACGACTTGCTGGACTACGGCCTCGATGGTGTGCAAATCTCGTTCTATCTGACATCCATTTTCGACCATTCGATCTACGAGGCGTTCTCTCGAATCGTCCAGAAACTCATTTACGAGCTTCCAGCACTGGAAAACCTCCTTGATCTCCTTATGCAATACAGCACGCTTGATAAAGTTTTCCTTTTTGACGTGAACTCAAAAATATATGTGGCCACGGATTCGTCGCCCGTCGATATGCAAACATACGAGGTGTGTGCTGAGTTTATTGACGTGACCATTGATTTGGACGGTCTTTACGAGAACTCCGGACAAGAAGCAGACGGAACTGTCAGAAGCCAGCCAACCAGGTGTGTATCAAAATTACAAAGCGGGTCGGTACTTTATTTACACCAGATGATTCGTGGACTGGCCCTGGTGGCAGTTATGAGACTGGAAGATGACAACGATACTAACGCGCTGGCTGTGATCGACCACAACGTGTTGGTGTTCAAAAAGAGCTTGGAAAAGTTATGGGAACGGGCCAGAATAAAATAACACAGCTCCGCATTTTGTATTCCTAATATACACTAGTCATCTCTATGATTTCTCTGCCTCTGTTTCTCATTTTCAATCTTGTTGTTTATCAGCATTATTGCCTGTTGGATGGCGAACGGGCTTGTGCTCATTAAAGTGAGTTTTCTCTCTGTGGCGCCGGGAACCTCGTCATTGACCTTGACATAGCATCCGGTTATAGTACGAATATCTTTGAGATTCTTCCCGCCTTTCCCGATCACTAGCCCTATGTGCATTTGAGGAACGTAAATGTCCTGGTTGATTTTTTCCTGTCCTGATTGTGCTTGCATTGGAGCAGGGACTGGTGCAGCAACCGCCCCAGCAGCGGCGCCTGGGATATATTGTCCATAAGATTGTTGAACAGGCTGGCCCATGTAGGGGCTCTGCATTATTGGAGCCGGAACCTGCATTACTTGAGGAGGATATCCGTTGCCGTAGGCCATTCTCGAGACATTGCCGCCGACTGGTGTGCTAGGCTGGTTGCAATTGGCCGGATTGTAGAACACAGCCTTGGCCAGATGCTGTTTGTGCTCTATCACTGTCTGTGCCACATAATACGTGGCTATGTGGATGGCGTCCGCGACTCCAGTGATGTGGAGGATTCTGTCTGTCGAAGCAGGGAGAATCTGGTCGCTTGCTTTCAACGCTGCAGCGGAATTATCCTCGATTTCCCTGAATCTCGCTCCCCTTTTCCCTATGATGTAGCCAATTATCGTGTGGGGGAACAACAGCTTCAAATTAATTTGTTTTGAATCCACGGTAGAAGCCTCGTTGAAAGGCTCGTCCATGATTGCCCTTGTGATAAGCCCAAACGCTTTTGCAACATACTCTGCAGGTCCACGCACGGTGATGACGCGTTCGGGGATACCCTTCAAATTTTCGCTGACGTTCACTCTTGCACTGGACATCTCCTTAATTCTGTTGATTGTCTCGCCGCCTTTGCCGACAATGGCAGCAGTTTCGTTAATTGAGCAAAGCATTCGAAAATGCACATAGGTGGGATCGTCATTAGTTGGCCTGTGATGCGCGACGGGCTCCGGAGTCTCAGGCTGCGGTACCCGTTCTTGTGACTGTTGGTCGCTATCTGCACGTTGATCCGTCTTAGAAGGCTCCAGTGAGTCTGCCTGGTTATTGTCCTCGGTCGGCTCTTCCTGGTCAGCATTCTCGTTATCAAGGGCTACCCGCTTAGCAGCAGTTGCCTCGTCCTCTTCGTTCTTGCGCTTCAACATGTAAATAAATAATGTCTCTTCTTTATCTCCCTCTAATTTTTCGTCGATGAAGTGTGCGGCGGCGCACGACCTGGAAAATAAATTTCAAGCTTGAATAACACAATGACTGAGGAGCAGAAGAAGACATTAGAAGAGTCCATCGCAGACTATCAGGAGTCGGAGGATGAAGATTACAACCCGGAAGCTAATGACGAGGGTAATGACGAGGAGGAAGAGTTTGAAGATGACCCAAAATATCGACAGCTTGAGCAGGGAGGGTTGATCCAGACTCGAAGGCAAAGACAGGAGGAGAGACGCGAAAAAGCCTATCAGAAGCCAGCAGAATCCACAATTGATGTTGACTCCATATGGGAGGAGCTTAATAAGCCAAAGCAGCAACCCAAATCGGAACCAAAGAAGGAGGATTCGATCCCATCATCAACGGAATCCGCAGACACAGAGAAGATAAAGATCACAAGGAGGTATGAATTTGCCGGCGAAATGGTGACAGAGGAGAAATGGGTGGATGCAGACTCAGAAGAAGCTCGTGCTCACTTCAACTCTACGAAGCTCAAAGAGTCGAAAGAGTCGAGTCCTGAGAAATTATTACCAAAAAAGAGAGCACCTAAACGTAAAAGGGCCAGTCTTTTGGATGACGTTATTAATAATGCCTCGAGTGCCAAATTAACTACACTGGAGAAATCGCGACTGGATTGGGCCACTTATGTGGACAAGGCAAAAATTGGAGACGAGCTGAAGTTCGAAAATAAGGGTGGATACTTGGACCAACAGGACTTCTTATCCAGAGTGAGCCACAGGCAGGATAAAAATTACAAAGAAGCCAAGAAACAAGGCTGATGCGTGTCATTCAGTGTATCTCTCTTCTGTCGTTTAGCCAGTTGAGAAGATCGAAATACATATTGGTGGTGGTTTTGTTGGATGGGTCCATTGCCCAGTCCTTGATGCTTTCGAAATACACCTCCAATAACTCTGGAATTGTGCTTTTATCGAAACTCACCATGCTTCGCACGATATACAGTGACAGTTGGTTGCAAGCCAGCGAGTGCGCACGGAATTTTGATTTAGTGGCCGCTCTCTCTTGTATCCCTTTCAAGCCGGCTATCAATTCGGACTTGTTTTGTTTAGACACCGCGATAGGACTTTTTGTAATTAATTTGATGAGCTTATGCGCTTTTTCGCCTACCTGTTTCTCCAAGGTCAAGGCCATCAGATCCAAAAGCACAATAGCGATTTTGAAAGTAGATATGTCGCCTGGTCTCTTGGTGCAGAATATCTCCAGTAGGTCCAAAACGCGGTTTTTGAAAAATATCATCAGTTCACGGGCATTTTGCACCTCTTCTTTTCTCTGGTTGCCAGACTTTGTCTCTAAGGCCGTAAGAGCCTCTCGACGTTGTTTGAATATTCTCGACAGCGTCGAATCGATAGCCATCATTTGCTCGTCAGACATGCTTTCCACATCCGATTCCGACTCGTCCGACGAATTGCTTGAGTCGCCAGAGCTATCATCACCATTGGCCACCCCAAGAGCCTGTGCAAGCTCGTTAGTGGTCTTCTGGTCAACCTCGTCAAACTCAATAGGATCCTCAGAGTCGCTCATCACCACATCCACAGACTCATCTTCAGAGTCCGATCCAGATTGCTCAATCTCCTCCGAGTCTTGTTCACCGGCCTCGCCGTCATTGCTGAACAGTTTTTCTTGTCCCTCCTTGTTTTCTTTAGTGAGCAAAACCTCAAAGAGTCGCTGCAGCTCCGGTTCTTCAATTTTATCGATCAGGTTCTCCCACACTGTAGCGGCCACCTTTTTCATCAGCGACGACTTTTGGGTCAAATATGAAAGCACAAGATCCACCAACGTGTCAATCAGCAACTGTTCGGTGCTAGAATCGGTATAAGTTTCAAATGCAGCTTTCAAGTCAGTTAAAATTGATGCGGACTCCTCATCGCCCGAATAGAGCTGTAACAGACCAACAGACAGGAGAATCTCAAAAGATTCAAGCAACTTAGAGTTTTCAGAGGCTTTCAGCTCGCAAATCGCCTCCACCATCCGAACACAGTCCACTTTGAGGTCTTTCAGATCGTCCTCGAATTCCTGTCTAAGGACAAGCTTCGAGTCCGAGAGACTGGCGTCTTTTTCAACAAGTTTGTTCACGGCATAGTAGGGCCAAGACATTTTGCCCTTGTTGTGCTCACTTGACATAATTTCTAGAAGAACAGAGTACAGTCTTTCGAGCGAGCACGTGGCCATTCTATCGGAGTATCTGTCATCAGACTCTTTCTTCACATAGCCGTGTTCGATCAAGTAATCAATGATGTTTTCGTAGATCTCAGTTTTGGAGATGATAGACTTCTTCGCCCTCACTAAGTGCAACAGAGAGTCAAGTGCGAAAATTTGGTACTTGATGATGTCTTCGTTGACAGAATGTTCGAGTGAAATTAAGAATTGGGCGATCTCCTGAATTGTATTATCATTATCTGCAGACATGATCAGCTCATTCGTTATCTTTGATTTTGTCAGTCTATCAAAATTCAAGGAAACTCTAAGTATGCTTCTTAAGGTAGGAACTATTCTGTTTTGGTTCATGGCGCACGTTTTCACTAGGTGAGAAAGAGTGTTCCTAGCCAATTTGTTGAGCAAACGGTCAGGGTTCGAGCTTTGATTAATGAGCGTCCGCATCAGATTGGAAGACAAAACAACCTCAACTTGATCTCCTTTGAGGGTGTTGAGATCAAGAACAGTGTTCAACACTTCGAGGCCTTTATACTTCCGTTCTGGAGAAGCTGCTTGTGCAAAAAATTGGTCGTCGATGCAAGCTTTCCAAAAGTCTGCTAATTTGATGAGTTTGCTTTCGGTTTTTTGTTTCTTCGACTTGCGCTCCTTTGATATGTGTTCCTCCTTGTTAGAGTTGTTGATCAATTCGGCCAAAAGAGGCGTCCAAACAAAATGAAGTGCTCTGGTCCAGTTACCTTTCTTTCTTGATTGGTCTTCGTCATCTGCGACCACATCAATATCCTTCATTATTTTGGACAAGGTTGGCAAATTTCCTTTTGCAAGTGGGTTCCCATGATGCCATTTGTCTATCTTAGCAAGCCCCATTAGATTTTGGCGTCTTTCTGGTGGAATGCTCAATGCAACTAACAATCCCTCGGTCGTTAGTGTGAGACCCGCAGAGTTGGTGCTTTCCAACAAGTCTACAATAATATTCGTGTATTTTGGGTTCTGTGGTATCCCAAATGACAGTAAAGAGCGGTAGACTGTTGCAAAACAGGCCTCTCTGATCCATGGCCTGAACAACGATAAATCTATCAGTTTCTTGATGATCTTTGTGTAGCTTTCTGTATTTCCCGATTTCAAGTCCTGCTCCACAACCCTGGAGTTCAGAAGTGACTGAAGACCGAAAAGCTCTCCGAAAATTAGGCTCCTGGCGTTCTTTCCTGTATTCTTGTTGCTGACAGAGCTTGCTAGTTTCTTGCTTAGATCTGCCAAAAAACTTTCCACGCTGTATGACTTCTTGACTTCAATGAGCTCGTATAAAATTTCACTTAAACACAGTGAGAATCCCAATCTGGCTCCCGCTCTCGAAGAAGCGAGACCCCTAATCAGTCTGTCGAGAGCATAATCCCACTCTTTTTGCGAGTCGCTCTCACGGAGCTCCGTAATCAACTCGGAAGCTGCCAAGATTCGCTCATCCTCAAGCTCAGATGCGAGACGGTAATAATGATCTCTGGAGACTGCCATGAAGATCTATAAACAATGTCTGAAAAAATTTAATTTAGTTCAGCAAAGTCGATCGACGCGCACGGTATGGATTGTCGACTCATGGTTATGCAGCCTGGATAAATGTCGAAAAAGCTTTTCTTAATTGGACTAAACTGTTTCTAATATTTACGCTAAGTTGCAATAGAACAAGTGAAACATGTCATCGTGGCAAAAGGCTGGAATTTCCTTCAATAAGTACTTGGCAATTGCTGCCAGAACCGTTCAAAGGTCTCTTAAAAACGATCTAAAAGTTGCAGCCGAGAAGAGATACATTTCCGATGCCAAGGTCCAGAAACTCGAGAAGGGTAATGTTGTCTCAACTACCGACCTGGCATCCAACAAGTCTGCTTAGATAGATATGAATAAAACATGACATTCCTTTAGTGGACGTATCGGAATGCAGCGGACACAATGTTATGACAACGTGGACACGATAGAGATGAGTGACGAGGACTAACCAAGCCACGTCCATCTTTCTCCAGTTCACTGCCCATACTTGTCATACACTGGTGATCCGCCAGACTTGGTCAAATCTGTAGGTTTTCGTAGCTGTGAACAGCACTTCCGTTTGAACGAAACTCTCGGTGCAAAGGTGTCATGTCTAGTGAAAGAAATAAACTCCCTTCTTCACCTCTGCTTAACTAGGTTGTTCTGTTGTTGAGGAACAGCAAACAGATTTATCGACTTATTTCACATGATTTTGATAGCACGATCGTTAATGGTTCGTGTGCCTTCAAGGCCGCTGTTGGGAACTTTTTTCGTTCGTTCGCTTCCGGTAACAGGAATGCTGGCAGCACGAACTCGATCTCTACCAGAGCCTCTTTGGCGTCCTTCGTTGGTCCCTGCAAGCTTCCACCGCTCCTTCAGTGTGTTTGCGGCACGTCTGCAAAGAGCAGAAGTGCCCGAAGAAGCTGTCAAAGAGAAGAAGCCAAGGACTTTAAGAGAACGCATTTTGGGTGTGGCAGAAGAAGAGCAATCTGAGGCGGGCTTCTCGGAAGTTAGACGGCTGCTCAAGCTTGCACGAAGAGACATCAAGCTTTTCTCTGTAGCAATTGCCTTGCTATTCATCAGTGCGTTCATAGTCATGTCGCTGCCAAAGGTCACGGGGGAGATTCTCGATTCCACGAGACGGTACTCAAACCTCGAAGAAGCCCGATTTTATGGTCTCACGCTATACCAGCTTCTCTCGGTGGTTGGTGCCATGCTCTGTGTCTACACGGCGGCAACATTCGGCCGAATAATTATATTGAGAGTCTTGGGCGAGAAATTGGTGGCCCGACTTCGGTCGAACATTATGAAGAATGTCTTGAGACAAGATATGGAATTTTACGATAAAAATAAGGTGGGAGACCTTATATCGAGACTTTCCAGTGACGCGTACGTCGTTTCTAGATCTGTGACCCAGAATATGTCTGACGGTATCAAGCATTCCATTGTTGGAGGGACCTCCATTGGTATGATGTTCCACATTTCGCCGACCCTTTCTATGATTCTGCTCGCATTTGGGCCTCCCCTGCTGCTTGCTTCCTACGCCTACGGAATGAAAATCAAGTCTATCAGTAGGATGTTACAGAAGGCGACTGGTAGTCTGACCAAAGTTGCTGAAGAGCAGCTGAACAACATCAAGACTATTCAGTCGTTTACAGCCGAAACGAAAGAATTGCACCGTTATGACAATCAGATCAGGAACGTTTTCAAGATCAGTTATAAAGATGCCATGACGAATGCCTCATTTTTTGTTTCCACCGGAATTCTGGGCCATGCTACCTTTTTGCTCACCTTGGGTCTGGGCACAAATTTGGTTTTCAACGGAAGCATGACCGTTGGTGATTTGGCAGCTTACATGATGTACACAGAATATTGCGGAAATGCAACTTTTGGTGTGGCCACCTTCTACACCGAGCTATTCAAAGGAGCAGGTGCTGCTTCGAGACTCTTCGAGGTTCAAGATCAGGTGCCTAGAATTGACCAGGTCGTGGGCCCTAAGATTGCTGGTTCCAAGGGCCACATTGAGTTCAGGAATGTCACGTTTGCGTATCCAACGCGTCCAGACAATAAGGTGTTTGATAACTTGTGCTTTGAAATCAAAGCAGGCTCCAACGTGTGCATAGTTGGCCCTTCAGGAAAAGGAAAATCCACAATTGCGTTGTTGTTGCTCCGGTTCTACACCCCGAATTCGGGTCAGATCCTCATTGACGGCGTGGACATCACCAAATACTCTGTCCATTCGCTTCGTCAACTCCTCGGATACGTTCAGCAGGAGCCTGTTCTTGTTCCAGGTACTCTATCAGAAAACATCACATATGGCTTGCCACGGAACGTGAAGGTGACCGCTGACATGGTTGAATGGGCGGCTGCCAAAGCTAACTGTGATTTTGTCTACCATTTCCCTGACAAGTTCAACACTGATATTGGGCCTAAAGGGTCGCAACTGTCTGGAGGCCAAAAGCAGAAAATCGCCATTGCGCGGTCTCTGATCAAAAACCCTCCCATTCTTATTTTGGACGAGGCCACTTCTGCCCTGGACTCCAAATCTGAGAATGCCATAAACCTGACAATCGCAAACCTCATGCGAGACAGGTCACTCACCACCATCTCCATCGCACATCGTCTCTCAACCATAGAAAAATGCGATGAGGTGCTCGTTCTCGGACATGACGGCCGGCTGGCAGAGGAAGGCAAGTTCAAAGACCTATATCCTAACCGCAACAGTATGCTCTACAAGCTGCTAAACGAACCACAGAAGAAGAAGAAGAAAGAAGACGAGCATGAAGACCACGAGGCCCAGGAAGATGACCACGAGGCCCCGGAAGACAAAGAAGAAATGGAGCCTGAGGCTGACCACAACGAAGTGACAGGAGACGAGGTTACACGAGGTGCGTTCATGAAACGGCGTGCGGTGCTCAATGAGGAACATGAAAGAAGCGAACATAAGACTCTCACCTAGCACGACGACATGACTAATGACATATATAGATGAATAAAATGGATTCCGACCTTTTTTTTTTACCAAGGCCGATCGGCGCGTCTATGACGTTATTTTACGCTGTGAGAGAAAAGGAATTAATGGTCAAAAAAAAAACCTAGTTGATTGTAATTTCATTAGTGAGCTATACTCCATATTGTGGTGGCCTCTGACATAACCCGTCAGACAAGTGTACGAACTGCTATCATGAGCGCAGCGGCGATTTTACAAAAGGAGCTCAAGGAGCTTACCAAATCTCAGCCATCGTTCCGGATCGAGCTGGATTCAGATAACATCTTCCTATGGGATATTGGCATGTACATCCCTAATCCGCATTCCAAATACAACGGCGCGTACCTCAAATGTCAAATGCGTTTCCCTAATAATTATCCATTTTCGCCGCCAGCATTCAGATTCACGCCACCAATCTTCCACCCTAATGTTTATAAAGATGGTCGGGTTTGCATTTCCATTTTGCATGAGGCTGGTGACGCTTTCAGCGGAGAGCCTTCGAATGAGACATGGAGTCCCGCTCAGTGCGTTGAGTCTGTGCTTGTCTCGATTATTTCGCTTCTTGACGACCCAAATATCAATTCCCCTGCTAATGTGGACGCCAGTAAAATGTTCAGAGATCACAAAGAAGACTACTACAACATGGTTGCCAAAGACGTCGAGCGGTCCAAAAAGGACATCCCAGACGATTTCGAGATTCCGGACGCCACCTCGCGTTCAGAGGCCGACGATTACGAAGACGAATGGTTCTATCAAGACGACGATGAGGACGACGACGAGATCGACGAAGACGACCAGAGCTTTATCGACGACGAGGAGGTGGAAATGAGCGAAGATTACGGAGAGGACACATCCAAATAGACAAGTTTGGAGTGCGCTTAATAGCTATTACGATTGATATCTGGTGTTTAGGTTAATTTTTGATATGAGTTCCAGCACTGTAGAAATTGTAGAAAAAATTCGTCTGGTTCTCTGATGGCCAAGAAGGACAAGAAGAACAAGGAGGCAAAGAAGGCGCGGATAGCCCAGAAAAATGAGAAGAATGCCAAGAAGGCAGGTGAGAAGCTGAAAAAACTCTCGAAAAAGGCCGGAGACGATCTAGAAGACGACGTGGATCTGGATGAACTACTGAAGCAGCTAGCTTTAGAACAGCAGGAATTTGAGGAAGTTCATGTTGAAGTTATTGATAGGTCGTTGAAAAGACTGAACGCCACTTTTGCTGCAAGCAACACTAACGGCCGTCGAGAGTTGGTCCTGTTTGGAGGCGAAGTTAACACGGGCCAGACAGTCCATTTCTATAATGATCTGAATGTTTTCTCCGTTGACTCGAAAACTTGGAGACGATATGTGTCCAAAAACTCGCCACTTCCGCGGTCTTCCCATGCCATGTGCTACCATCCGTCTGGCATCTTTGTGATGCATGGTGGTGAATTCTCGTCTCCTAAACAGTCCACTTTCCACCATTTTTCAGATACGTGGATTCTGGACTCTCAGACCAAGGAATGGGCCAAAGTCGATGGAAAGGGTCCTCCAAACCGTAGTGGACATCGTATGGCGTGCTGGAAGAATTACGTGATGCTGTTTGGTGGATTTCGTGATCTTGGTTCCCACACCACGTATCTCAATGATCTATGGCTGTTTGACATCACCACGTACAAATGGAAGCAGGTGGAGTTCCCGGCGTCGCATTCTGTCCCAGATCCACGATCGGGACATTCATTTATGGCCACGGATTTTGGTGCTATAGTTTATGGAGGTTACTGCAAGGTGAAGGCTGGTAAGGGACTTCAGAAGGGAAAGATTCTGACCGACTGCTGGGCACTCAACATGAAGAGCGATCCTGCGCAGATCCGGTTTGAACGCCGTCGGAAACAGGGTTTTCAGCCGTCGCCGCGTGTTGGATGCTCCATGCAATACCACAAGGGCAGAGGTATGCTCTTCGGGGGTGTTTTCGATTACGAGGAGACAGAGGAGACTCTGGATTCTGAGTTCTACAACACGCTCCTTTCATACAACGTGGAAACTAACAGATGGTCCAATCTGTCTCTGCGGTCGAGCAAGAAAAAGGCCGCAGCTAAAAAAGAAAAGGTGGATAGAACCCGACAACTAGAGGAAATGCTCAACTCTATTCTTGCAAAACATAATCTGGCAGACGACGAAGAGGATGAGGCGCCTGTTGCGGAAGAAGACGACGACGAGTCTGACGAGAGGCTGGAGATTCGCAACGAATTGCCCCATGCTCGTTTCAATGCCCTGACCTGTGTCGTGGATGACACTTTGTACATTTACGGAGGCATGTACGAAGCCGGAGAACAGGAGTTTAATCTGGACTCATTCTACTCGATCGACCTATCCAAGTTGGACGGAGTTAGGGTGTTCTGGGAGGACTTGTCTGAGTTAGAGAGACAAGAAGCGGAAGACAGCGACGAGGAGAGCGACGACGACGATGAAGACGATGAGGAGGAGCAAGACACGGCAATTTTGGTGGCAGAGGAGGAAGAGGAGGAGCTGGAGGAGGAAGAGCTGGAGGAAGCAGAGATTCCTGACGAGCATCCTTGGCTGCCTCATCCAAAGGCGTTTGAGTCGCTTAGAGCGTTCTATTTGCGTACTGGTCCAGATTTCCTCACGTGGGCCATCAGCCAAAATCCAGAATCTCGTGGAAAGTATCTGAAGACAAAAGCTTTTGCTCTGTGTGAGACCAGATGGTGGGAACGGAGAGAGGCTGTCCAAATGGAAGAGGAAAGTTTGGAGGAGAATGGAGTTACCGATGTTATAGAGAAAGACTTTTCGAGAGCAGAGAAAAGAAGATAGATTGATAATAGATTAATAATAATACACTATGCAAAGTGGATTCCAACTTGATGGAAAGCGTACAGGAGCTTTAGGAAGTCGTTCTGGTCCATCTTTGCCGGTCTACGCTCACCAAAACCGGTTTCTACCAGCACTTTCGTGACATTTTCCTTCACCACAGCGGAAAAATCTGTTTTAGCATCCACCATCATCTCGCCCCTTTGCTCGCTCAAAATGGAAAGGAACGTCTTGTAGTTGTTTTCCAGAATTTCCAGGATCTTGCTGTTCCTAAACGTAGCGTTGAGAGTCTTATTTTTCCTGTTGAAACAGAACCTCAATAGTCCATCCCACTCGTTGTAGTCAAGATCAGGACGAGGAAATTTCGGCTCCACTTTCACCACAGACGATTCCACCTTGGGTGGGGGCCGGAAGTTGTTCTTTCCCACTTTCATCACATGCTTGACGTTAGCCCACATCTGGGCGTTGGCACTCAGACGGTTGTATAGGGCATCGCCGGGACGTGCTGTTAGGTTCATTGCAAACTCTCGTTGGAACATGAGAACGGCGATTCTTGGCGGTCGAGGCATACTCAAGAGCTTGAAAACTATACCGGACGAGATTTGGTAGGGAGTATTCGAAATGCAGACATCGAAGTACGGCAAGGTCTCAAGTTTCATGAAATCGCCCATGATAATCTCAAGCTTCTTCTCATACGGAGTACCCTGAACTCTCTTTGTAAGTTCAGCAGCCATCTTTGGGTCCACTTCAGATGCAATAACTTTCCGGGCCTTTTCTAGAATTCTGACCGTTAAGTTACCGGTACCTGGGCCAATTTCCAGTACCACATCGGAGGGTCTGATTTCTGCTTTGTCAACAATACCTTGGGCTATGAGAGGATTTTTCAGTATATGCTGACCAAGATCTGTATTGAATTTAAACACTTTGTTCATCTGGTCACCGGCAGGAGCTGGCTTGGCGGCGAACTGCTTTCTGGCAGCTTTAGGCATGATCTATAATTTTTGCTTTTTTTTTTTTAACCTGGAATATTTTTTCAAATAAATTTGGCGGGCTGTGCAAAAATAAAATGGGGTAATTGAGTTTGTCGATATGTCAAGCAAGAACACCAAACAGAGTTTTAATGTTGATCTTAAAGATCTGGCTCGGATTAATGCGTATAGAAGAATCGGAGCAGGCCTGATATTCATGGCTTTGCCAGCTATCGAAATATACAGGAGAATCTACCTCGATAAAGAGAGAAAGATACAACAGGGAGAGTACAATCCGAAAGATGGTACCTTGAGACTTTTCTCTGAAGAGGAAAAGCTCGAGAAATTCAGGAATAGCTGGATGACGAAGATATTTGGCGAAAAGTAGTATTGCAAAATCTACTATACAATTGAAAGTGATACTATCCTTAGAGGCTGCTCGTCGAGGATCAGTAATTCATAGGGACGACGTCGCTCGAGCTCTCTGTTTGATCACTCGTAACGGTGTTGGCTGTATCATCATTGTCGGGGACTTGTGTATATCCAATGCTGACAGCGGGCGTGTGCTAGTTCTCAACGGTGTTGAATGAATTTTGTTGAGCAACGTTAATCGTGGAATACAGCTCGAACTCCGCATTGGAGGCTTCGTGTAGTGCTCACCCTTTATTATAGAGTTCAAAAGAGACTGGCGAGATTCGGGACGCATGGGAAGCGGAATCCTAGTCAGGTGCGACTTAGATGGCTCAACCTGTCTTCTTAGGGTTTCGTCTCTAGTAGTTGGCAACGGAACTGGTAAGGGAACATATTTGAGCAACTTGGTTTTCTCGGTTTGTTTCTGGATGCTTGGCCTGTGAAGCTTTGCATTTGGCGTGATAAAGGGATCGGATTGAGAAAGAGACCTTATACTTCGTGGCGAACGCTCTTTGATGTCTAGTTGCTGCAGCTTTCCAACAAGGTTCTCGTCTGTGTTTCTAGATGTCTCGTTCTCTTTGTCCTCGGCTTCATTCATCAGCCGTTTGAGAACGGAACTACCTGACGCGGTGGTGAAAGAAACCTCGGATTCGTCGTCCTCTAAAATATCAAACTTGAGAGGACTCCGTTTCTTTGCAGATGTCGGATTGTACTCGATCAACACTGGCTTGAGCTTGAGAGCGTCAAAGAGTGATCCCTTGGACTTCACAGGTGCTGAGGAGATTGGCGAGCATGGTGAGCTTCTTTTGGACTCAAAGTGCTGTTCCTGGAGTTTCACGTATTGTGCTTCCAATTCGTTTTTCTTCTCAATCATGTCTTTTTCGGAAATTAGTCTTTCGCCTACTGCACGCTTCAAAATACCCAACGACTGGCCCACGGTTTCCAGCTCTCGCGCACTGGACGGTCCCAGACAGTGTTTGACCAGCATTTCGTCTTCAAGGTCCTCTAGCGCTTGAGAAACCTCTCTCATCAGGGATTGAAAAATGTGCTTCCAGCGACGGTCCACGAGCTCGCTCGAGATACGCTTCAAAGCAGATTTGAGCTCGTGCACATTTCGTACAAGGCCCTCGTATTTGGATATGAGATGCATGATTGACCCTGGACTCTTGTGCATCGCCACCTCTCCATAACTTTCAAGGGTCTGAGGCACAATTAGCACGGCAGCCTGAATAGGATCTATTCTGCCTTCTAATTGCTGGTACAAACCAAGCAGTCGCTCATCCAGACAGGTAAATGTGGGCATTCGCAGCCTAAAGGTCTCGCTTTGTGTCATTTTAGCATTAATTTCTTCCAATTCGAGCTTGGGAAGCTTCTTAACAGGAGTGGTGAGCAGCATTTGTTGGAGTATTCTCATATCCTTGGAACAGTCCGCAATCTCGTTGCTGATCGACCCTAGCACTTGTTCATCCAGCTCTGTGAATCTGACCGCAACATGCAGATTTTCCAGGTAAGCCGATATGTGTTTTTTAGCTCTAAGTAGATCCTCGCACAGCGGTTCCAGCTGGCTAAGGGTGGTTTCCAATCCAGGTTCTGATTCCAGATTTGATTCGATGGCAGTCACTAGTGCAGGCAGAATCTCGTCTATTTTGTGGATGCACTCATCTACTTTGGTGAGAATGTCTTTGTTCTGTGCAATTGCGCTCAGGGTAGATAGCGTATCGTTCACAGCCAGGAACTCGTGTATAAACAATCGGATACAGTCTGCGGCGGCTTCCACTTGTGCTCCATCATACAGGGCTATCTCCTCTATTTGGAGCTCCTGGACGCCGCCGCAGCATTTCTCCAGTTGGTCCAACCGCTTCATTGAATTGTTCAAGTTTATCAATCAATTTTTTCCCAGCTATATTTATTTACTATTTCCCTAAAATAGTTAGGCGGCCAAAGATTTCTGATTTGAAATATTGTACACTATGAAGTTTGGTTATCAGCTAAGATGTGCCTGTTTCTCGTACATCTCCACTATCTGCTCGCTTGTCGTTGCATCCTCAACGCTCTTGTCATCTCTTATCCGCACAAACCGTGGAAATCTCAGTGACACTCCTTTGGAGCCGTCTCCCAAAAAACTGTAGCCGCATTTGTAGAGAGGACTTTCGGTAAAGTCCGCCACTTTCACCTCAAACAGCGTTGTTGGTTCAAACCAGATATCTGGGGCTGCTCGGGGATTCGTCTTATCGTACACGAACGACGCTTTAGGCTTGTCCAACTGTGTTGGCTTGAGTTTCTCAAATAACGAAGCAAGCATCTCTTCACTAAAGCCGGTGCCAATTTTGCAGATAGCCTCAAACTCGCCACTGTCTGGGTTGTAGCTAGCGAGCAAAAACCCGCCGTACCCTCCAGTGCGCTTTCCCTTGCCAACATATGCACCAATGACTACCAGATCCAGAGAGTCTCCGACTCCCTCCAAATAGTCTTTCTTCAGCTTGAGCCAGTTCCTCGATCTTTTGGATGGCTCGTATAAGCTGTTCGTCCCATTAAGCGTTTTGATCATCAGCCCTTCGCAAGAGTCCTTGACGGACTGGTCAAGGAACTTCGTTATGACGTCTAAATCGGAGGAGTCGAGTTTCTCAGAGAAACGAAACTTCCCAGGGATAACCTTCAGATTGTCGTACATGTATTGTCTGCGCTCTTTCAAAGACTTCTGGAGTAGGGACTCGCCATTGTACAGCAGAATGTCAAAGGCAAACAAACACACCTGCACCGTTATGTCTTCCTCCTTCACGTCCTTGCGCTTTCTGGTTGACAGGATCTGGAACGGGAGGATCTTTTCCTGCTTCTTGTCCCATGCCACACACTCGCAGTCCAAAATAAACGATTTCACTTCTGGATTAAGTCTCTGGAGCTCCTCCATGACGGGAATTAGGTCTGGATATCTTTGGGTCATGTTTTCGGAGCTCCTAGAGTAAACTCTAAGCGTTCGGTCAGGTAGCAGGTGAACCTGTGCTCTTTCGCCGTCGTATTTGTACTCGCACGTGAACTCCTGGTTCTCGAACTGGTTGAGGATCTCCGTGATCGACTTGGTTGGTTTTGCAAGCATTGGCTTGAGGGGTATTCCTGGCTTCAGCGTGCAGTGGTCCATGAGCTTGAGAGTTCCGTATTTTATCGCGCTCTCGATGATCAGCTCGTAATTGGGCGTCTGCGAAAATGCCTCCTTCATCTGCTCCTCAGCCTCACTCAGAATTGCAGGAGTCACTTTTTGGCCCCGCTGCTTCATCTCGTGCTCCACCAAAGCCTTGGCCAATGCAACCACCACCGATTTCTCTGCAAACTGGATGCGCAACGTGCCTTCCAACGACCTCATCAGGAATTTGGCCTCGCGCGAGTCACAGGACGTCAGCATTCTGTTGATCATGGCAATTTTTTTGTTCTGCGAAGAGGCTCCCGACATGCTTGCAATTTCCTTGAGATTTTTAAATACTTGAAACACTGTCAACGGTTGCGGCTTGAACATCAAACTTTGCTTGGATCTCGATTTTTGAGCAACCAGACCGATGTCGCCATACTCTCCAAGATCTTTTTTCAGCTGCTGCATCGAACGGCCTGTACCTGTGGCCAGTGCTTTCATGAGAAGAGTCTCGCCTAGTCCCAACTCAAGCCCCTCGTAATCTGGGCACACCCTATTGATAGTCAGGTAATTGACCTCAACAAGGTTTCTTATCTGGTCTTCCTGATTCTCAGATGTGTCCAGCACGTGGGAAAACATCTCGGAGGCGATCTCGATGCACTTGAGTCTGCCGGACTCTTTTTCTAGGGCCTCAAACACCTCGCACAATTTGCTATACAGGATCGGTTTCCCGACGGCCATGTCAGGTACTTTGACCTCCGAGTCCATCTTCAAAAGCTCTTTGGCGTCTATCAGTCTCTCCTTCGCGTCATCTGCAACATCTGCAACAGAATCGTCTGGCGTGCTCTCCTTTGTGTCGTCGCTTTTGGGGGCCTTTTTAGATGAAGCGGGCGATGGACTACGCGACCGCTTCTTGGCCATGCAACGCTCGCCCTGAGAACCAAAAAATCGAGATAATGTTTGCTGTTTTTGGGTGGCCGTCATGCTTCTTATTCCTAGTCTCGCAAACATGCAGATAAGTGAGCAAATCTTGCGGTTTCGCGTTTGAGTCGCGTCGCGTCGCGTCGACCAACTTTTTTTTTTCCTATGTCTCCAATTAAATTATAAATTTCTATATATTATGCTGACTCGTAATGCTCCCAGTTGTCCAGAATAGCCTTGATCTTCTCAGACCCAGTCAGTTCGTAGACATTTTCAAAGTACTCTTTCGTCAACTCAAATGGTTTGGCAGTCAAGTTTGGAATGTACTTGCCAATCAAGCTGGCTGGCTTCACAGCAGACTTTGGAATCTTCTTCACCAAGAATCTCTGGAATGGCTTGACACCAGATCTCAGGTAAGAGGAGTGGAATGGAACAGAAATGCCCTTCAATGGGATACAGGCGTATCCTCTTTCCAGGTCGACTGGCTGTGGCTTGGCCAAAGACTTCTTGGAAACCTCGTCGACGATCTCACTCAGGTGCTCGGCAACCTTTTCGAGCGACATTGTCTCCTGCAGCTTGACAATGTCGATCTTCTGGATCTTAAACACGTTCAACGTGTTGCTCAAAGTATCCAGAGCTCTAAGATCTCCGGCAGCAACGTATTGCTGGTTCTCCACGTTGAAGTTGACGATCTCCAACAGCCAGCCGGTTTGCTTGCTAATGTGCTCGACAACGAATCTCAGGGCAGAATCGTTGAAGGTAGGAGAGACTCTGGATGGGTTCACAGCGCACATACCATAGTTCGATCTTCCTAAGCTGTCCCTTGGAACAGCAACCTGCATGGTCATACCTCTGTAGAACACCACATCGACCAGGGACTCGATTGGCATAACGTCTGCCAGAGATGACAAAGCCGAGTACTCACCAAGAGAGTGACCAGCAAACATGGACTCGCTAGGCACCAATCCCTTGGACTTCATATCCTCGAATGTAGCCTTCTCCATAAGAGTAAGAGCTGGCTGGGTGAACTGCGTAGCAGAAAGCAATCCCGTTGGCGACTTGAAAGTATAAGTGGTGGTGTTCTCGTCAATGTCCTTGAAAATTTTCTCCGACTTAAGATTTCCATCCTCATCGATGGTTTCAAACATCATCGTGATGTAGTTCTCTCTGATCTTTCTTCCCTTTGGACCACCAAAGTGGACTGTCAACTCGTTAGGGTTGTTCTTGACGATGTCCAAGATCGAGAATCCGTAGTTGTCAATAAAGTGTCTGTCGGCCCTATCCCAAACGTTCTTGGCAACCTCAGACGAGTTGTACAAATCCATACCCATACCCTGTTCCTGAGAACCTTGACCGGTAAAGACGAACGTGGAGACCGGTTGGTCAATTTCTGCCTCACCAGAAAGCACAACATCGCCGGTGTCAGCCTTCTTGGTCTCGATCTTGATGATCTTTCTTCCGTTGATCATGGCAACGTGCTCCAACTGAGTTGTAAGCTCGTCGTTTGGCAGAACCATTCCAACAAAGTTCGCCTTGTAGGCCCTCACTCTTGGAGCAACACCGTTGGCAGCATGCATTTCGACAAGAGACCTGACCGAAGCAGAGGAGAACATACCATGGGTGATGGTGCCTGGCAAGCTTGCGTAGGAAGCAAAGACTCTTGAGACGTGGATAGGGTTGTAATCACCAGAAACGGCGGCGTACGTCTCGTTGGAACCTGGAGCCTTGGTGACAAGTGCACCAGACAGAGGAACGGCGTGCTCCAGCTGAACTGGCTGCTCGATTGGCACTCCGTTCCTGCTCAAGTAGTCAACCACAGGGTTACCGTGCGAAACACCAGCCTTGTAGTTGATCTCGGCAACCTGTTTGATTTCCTTCGACGGCATCTCGTAAAACACGGCACCAGTGGTCCTCACCGAGGAGTAAACGTTCTGGTTCTTGAAGTAGTAGACGGATTTGCATCTGAAGGTCAGAGTCTTGCCGATCAGGTCAATTGGCTCAGAGCCTAGATGGAACCACTCCTTGGACTGCAAAACAGCAACGTCCATAGCTGTCTTCAGATTGACCTCCATCGGAGTCTCGGTAGTCTTCTGGAAGGTGTTCTCAAAGTCTGTGTAAATGCCTCTGTAGAAGAAAGCGGAGGTGACCTCCATGATAGCCTTTCCATCTCTGTAAATAGTACCAAGAACCTCAACAGTCTTACCTGTTGCACTGTTGACCACAGAGACGATCTGGGCATCAGAAGAGACCTTGTCACCGACTTTCAATGGTTCGGCGCCTGGCATCATTCTGTACGCGTTGGACAGGTGAACAAGCTTCAGAATGTCACCGTCGACAGACTTAGGGAAGATTGCTTTCATGATAGCTCTCCATCCAATAACAATAGCAAAGTCCATAGGAGCCAATTGGTCTCTGCCAACTCTTGGAACGAAATATTCACAAGAGTTTCCAACAGCATGTGTCAGTTCGGCAATGGCCTGTTGAGTGATTTCCGTGGAACCACCATCGATCGTTGAGGTTGCATTGAAGTCCAGCTCAACAGGAACATTGGAACCGAACCACAATTTCCAGTAGAACTTCTTGATTCTGTCGTTTCTGCTATCCATGACTTCCTGAATTGGAGCAAATCCGTCGGACTTCTTGTATATGTAAAGCAACTCCAATGGAACAGGAGTTCCATCAGCCGTTCTGTGCTCAATCAGACTCATCTTGATGGAGTTGCCATCGGCACATATTCTGACCACTTCCTTGTCTTTGCCTTTGATGGACTCGAACAGGGAAATAACGGTCTTCGAGACGTCGTCTGGGTATTGGATTCTGACAGAGATGTTCTGAGCTGGAGCCAGGACCTTCTTGGCTGGGTTCTCAACGTGGTTGTAGCCCTGAACGCATCTGTCAGCAGTAACAAATGCGTGTCTCCAGTTCAGCTCAGAGCCAGCTAGAAGCTTGAACCAAGCGTCGGTCTCTGGCAAAGAAGAGCCAATAGAATATGTCACAGCATCAGCAGTCTTATTGACTTGCACACCTGGAATAGAGTCGATTTTGACAGTGCTCTTATCAGTGAAATACTCAACAACAGGAACTCTAGAGATGTTTCCACCATAAACGTCGTCCAAAAGCTTCTTGATGTGGCCTTCATGAATATTGTCCAAAATCTCCTTGATTGGCTCGTCCACCTTGTTGGTGAATTGAGCAGCAACGGGACCATGCAGTATACACGTTCTTTGAACATCCTCGTCAACAACGGCCTCGAGATCCTCAGATTGCCATAGAGAGTCTTTCTTGAAAAACACCTCGAATCTCTCGTCCAAAACTGGGACGAACGGAACCGGCTTCTGGCCTGGATTAGAGCACATGGCAATGAAATAGTCGCAATCTTCAGCGTTAACCAATTGGCTCTTGGCTTCTGGATATGCGTTGAAAACGGCTTCCAAGCAGGAGTCTGGGTTCTCCAAAAGACTAAATGTCTGGATGAGTGAGAAAGTCTCCTTGCCAGCAAAACGTTCCTCGACTCTTCTCAGGAACTTGCCGAGGAAGTTTCGCAAACTCACGTCGATCCATCTCTTTGACTTTCTCACGTACATCAGCTCCACGCATCTCTTGGCAACCTGCTCGTATGTCATGTCTTGTAAGTCGCAAACACCCTCGTCGTTCTTTCCAAACCATGGCTTTTGGAAGTCGGCATTGAGTTTCTTGATTATGTAGTCCTTCTTTTTCTCCAAAGCTTCCAGCATTTTGGCCTTAGGAAGTGAGAAAATAGTGTCGTCCATCTCTTTCCAGAAAATAACGGCTCGCGTGGCAATCTTGTGGATTGGCTCACCCATCTCGGACTTCACAGTCAAAATACCACCTGCTGGCTTCTTGTAGGTCAGTTCCCATTTGCTGTCGTCAACACCGGTACAGGCAGCAATGGCCTTCTTGGCAGCAGGAGAGGTCTTGCACTCCTTGGCAACCATGACTCTGGAACCAAATAGCACACCATCAAATGGCATGTGTGGGTAGTTGAACTTCGTAGCCCAAGCACCAGTTAGGTACGGATAGGTATCCTCAGCAGAACCAAAACCAGAACCGGCAATCAGAATGATGTTTGGACATTTTCTGAGCTTGGAGTACATTTGCAAGATTGGCTGGTGGAAATCCTCAAATGAGTGGTGGCCACCACCTCTTCCACCGGTCCATTGGACCACAATTGGGAAGTTAGGGTGTGCCTTGGCAATGGTGATACACTGGCTGATTGCGTCGATGGAGCCTGGTTTCAAGCCCAGGTGAGTCAATCCGAGAGTTTCAATGTACTCGGTGGCAACCTCAAGAGAAGGAACACCAGCACCTATGGTCAAAGACTGGATTGGGAAGCCCTTGGCCCTGAGGTCTCTGATTAAAGGAATACCCCATTGAAGCATCTTAGGACTAACATAAATCAAGTTGACTCCGATACCGGAACCTGGAGTGATGTTTTCAGCGATCTTGGTCAAAGCCTTGGTCATCATGTCTGGATTAAAGTAGCCACCACCTGCTAGTTCGATGTGGTAGCCAGCTTCAATGGTGGCAGCAACGAAATCGGGCGAGACGGTACTCGGCGTCATTCCAGGGACCATGAGTGGTGCTCTTCCCAGCAGTCTGGAGAATTTCGTATCGACGTATATTTTTCCTTCGGAAGTCTTGATCAGTTTAGGCTGGTAGTTGTGAAGCCAATTTGGAGCATATATTAGAGAGGAAGCGTTGATATCAAACAGCTCCTGTTTGTAGCCGAACTCCGAATCTTCGCCAGGAACGTTCAAAGCGCCGGCAATAATAACTCTGGCTCCAGTGCCCTCCTTATTTCTGTGGGTGAGAACTCCCAAGCCAGAAGCTCCACCAGGACCGAAGTCAATGATGTGGGTGGCCTCGAATTTGGTGGCCACTTCCCAGTTCACAGCCAGGAGAGTGATAAGCTCGATCAGTCTGGAAGTGATGGATCCGGTGTAATTTCTGAGATCCGAGCCGTCGTAAGTATCATAGACTGGCATTTTCAGGTCCGCAGTATTAAATTCGAGATTAGACTTCTCAAGGTCTTCTTTGATTTTTGGAGATGCTGGAGCAAGCAGATGAGAGTGGAATGGAGACATAATCGGCAAAAATCTCGAGGAGAATTTGAGTTTTCTTTCGCTGTAAGGAACACGGGACTGCTCAAGCCCAGAAGGTGCCTTGGCCTTTCTGAGGTTCAAATTGAGACCGTACAGAGATTCTGGTGGACCGGTGACAACCAGATTTCTGGCACCGTTAACCAAGGAAATGCCAATCTTCTTGGCCTCGGGCAGATGCTGGTTGGTCTCGTCGACAAACTTGGTGACCTGTTCGTAGGTGAGGTCTCTGATGGAGAGCATAGGACCTGGAGTGCCTTCACCGTTTTCTTCTGAGTCCTTGACGGTACTTGGTGCAAGCGAGGTTGATGGGTAAGCTTGGAGACATCTGACACCAAGGTAGAAAAGGAACTCGACGGCCTTCAAAGCCTGGACCTCGAAGGATTCCCAAGTGTCGGCCGAGGCAATGGCAATTGCAGTGGCAAGACCTTGCGAGTGACCTGTGGTACCGCTAGTGAGCTCATTGAGCTGGCCAGGGGTGACACCCAAAAGTCTGCACGTGATGGCGAAGTGGCACAGCTGAATCACGCAGATTAACGGACATGACACGGGAATCGAGAGCAGGTGTTCTGTGTTTGGAGTCTGTTCTGGTTTCTCGAGCCAGTTGATGAGGTCGAAACCATGCGTGAAAATTCTGTCGATGTCGGAGGTGGAAGATATAAGAGATTGCAGCTTTGACTGCACGCTGTACAGGAATGGCGCCACAAGTGGATTATACACGTCGTAGATCTCTCTGAGCTCCTCGAAGTAGTCTTCGGTGTTTCCCTGGCCACCGAAGACCGTGTAGATGGAGGCTTTTTTGTCCTTGGCGGCCTTGAACAGGGCAGACTGGACTGGTGCAGGATCCAGACCAAACTTCTTGTCCACATAGAGCTTTCCAGAGTAGTAGTTTTTCAAAATGTGGTTCTTGACCTTTTCTAAGGTTGTTGGGTTGGTCTCAGACGCGAGACACTCGGCTGCGAAAGAGTGGATATCTTTGTTGAGCAGGAATCTGGTGTCGAACTCGTCAATGACAAGCTTGATCGCGTCCAATTTCTCCGACTCCAGAACACTAGACCTGACGATGTATCCCAAGAACATCGTCAGCAGTTCAGCCTTGGACGCTGGCTCGTCATCGCCAGCGTATCCTTCGGTAACCTCTGGAAGGGACTTATAGAAATCTGCGGTCAATTGTTGGTACAGGAGGTAATTAGTTGGAGGGGTCAGGATGGTGGTCTCAATCCCTCCGTGGGTTATAACTAGCGGTCTATTCACCGACATGACAACAGCTGGTTAAAAAAAAATAGGCTGTTGAAGACAGTTGATATAGTTGAAAAGTTTACCTACGCAGCCACGACTCGTCAACAAAAAAAAGAAAGCGCTCTAAGAGACATTTGTGGCTGCGCCGTGCTCAGATCAATAGCTACACAATACTGAAATAATAGTACGCCCAACAAGACTGTTGGGATTTGGAATTTGTTGAGAGCAGGGTAACGTGGCTGTGAATTGGGGGTTGCACAGCCGGAATCTGAATTTTCTGGGAGTTTTTTTTTTTTTTTGTTGTTGTAAATTTCCCGCGTCCTACTCTTGCACAGCCCGACTACTCCTGGCCTGCACAGCCAAACTACGCTTTCCATCTTTTTCTTACACAGCCAGGGACGTCTTCACCAGGGATCATGTCGCAGTGGTTGCTAGTCCTCCCGCAGAAGCTGGTGTCCGGCGTCATCAACTTCCTAGCAACATCTCTCTACCTATTTTCGGCAGTTCTGTACTCGATAGCGACCTACTTGGCACAGGTCGCCCTTTCGTTTTCCACCGTCCTTTTAATTGCAATTGTGGTCTCTCTAGCCACCTATGCCTACATCCATTACAGATATTTGACTGTTTATTCGCGGCTTCCTGAAGACCCAAAGCGACAGGAGCCGTCGATGGACACGTTTCTGGAGACGTCTGGCAGAGAGCGCAAGGCCCGGCAGAACTATCTTGACGAATTCTTGTCTGCAATAAAGATCTTTGGCTATTTGGAGAGCCAAGTGTTCAATGAGCTGACAAAGAGCATGCAGACGCAAAAGCTGGACTCCGGCGAGATTGTGTTTTTGGACGAAAACTCGGGGTTCATGATCTGCGTCGAGGGCGAAATTGAAGTCTTTTGCAAGATTGGAAGCTCAAACGACGAGAATGCGGTGTTCACCAATGAATCCTCCTCTAACTACGTTATTGTTGACGATATTAGGTACAGACTTTTAAACAACGTCAAAAGTGGTGCTCCATTGTCATCGCTAACAAGTGTGTTGAACTTACTCACCGCTTCGGATTTAAATATTCCAGACAGACAGGCTTCTGGTATTTTACCTGTTCCTTCCGATTTTGACCTGGACAACAAGGTGTTTGCGGACTCGCCGGTGCCACAGCCACCGTCGTCGAACGAAACGCCAACACTGATTGCTATTCCAAAAAACAACTGCACCATATCCATCATACCCAAAGATTCGTTCAGCAGACTCGCCTATAAATATCCCAAGGCCACCAGTCACATTGTTCAGATGATTTTGACCAAACTGTACCGTGTCACGTTTCAGACAGCCCATGACTATCTCGGCCTCACCACAGACATCATGCGAACAGAAATTAATCTCAACAAGCAATGCTCCAATGTGCTGCCCTCTTATCTGAGCAACAAGGTTGTGGAGCATTTTATGCCAAGACTGTCTTCTTACAGTACACTCAATGAGTCGCACTCACTGTTGAAAAGAAGCCAGAGCTCGAAATTGATGAGATCAGAGCCGATTCATCTAGACCCTGGTTCCAGATCTGTTTCTCCAGCTGGCCCCATTTCCATCCATACGGCTCCCACTTCTTTCATGGCAACACTCAGCTCGGATGCAGACGAAAGCAACCAGAGCGACGATATGCTTGCCGTGCCACGGTCGCGTATCAAGGCCCGTAGACCAAGAAGTGAGGTTTCGGGCGCGAGAAACTCGTCAAGACACTTTTCGTTGGCTGCTCGAAACTCCACTAATCCCGGAGACCTTGTTTCGAACGTTCCGGTGTCCCATTTGGATAAGATGGCAAGTATTGGAAAGACAGATAAGGGCCACTTACACGACAGAATAGTCAACGGTGAAAATGAAGAGCCTGCGGAGATGGCTGTTCGTGTAGCCATCGCAGAGAGCATCTGCGAAAGCATCGGTGTGGATCGGGGGTCACTCCAGGTCTCGTCTCCGAGCAGAATGAGTTTCTCGCCTTCGGTGATGAGCTCGCCGATGGTTGCAGGCATCACCGAAATGAACACTAAGCCAAAAGGCCTTGGCATCGGAACGAGATCAAAAGTTCGCACTTTTTCATCTCACAATCTCGGGACTCCCAACGATGATGAAGACGGAGCCACAGGAAGTCAGAAGAGTTTTATGGATTTCGAAAACATCAAGTCTGACCTGGCCAACTCCATCAATTTAAAACACGTATCAGCCGGAACCAAGCTGATTGAAGCTAATGAGCACACGCCAGGAATTTACTACGTGATAGATGGAGTTCTGAAAGTTACTTATATGAACGAAAACACCGACGGAGATCCTACAGAGGAGTTTGTTTATGAGGTCAAGCAAGGCGGTATAGCTGGATATCTGGGAACCTTGATTGGCTCCAAATCCTTTGTGAACGTGGTAGCAGCTGTAGACTGCTATGTGGCATTTTTACCTAGAGAGGTGTTTGAGATCTTGAACGAGCGTTTCCCGTACCTTCAACTGGCCATTGCAAAAAATCTGTTGCGGATTCTCGACAAACGTTTGCTCCTGGCCGACTACGCTATGGAATGGGTCCACATTTCGGCTGGTGACTCCTTGTACACTCAGGGAGACCCTGCCAATGGTATTTATATTGTTCTCAATGGACGGTTCAGATCGATGAGGACTCCTGAAGGAAGGGATGTGCAGCCGGTCATTGTGTCGGAGCATGGACAGGGCGAATCTCTTGGAGAGGTGGAGGTGCTAACCAAGACTAAGCGGGATCTGACCTTGGTGGCTATCCGCGACTCTGAGCTTGCTCGTATTCCACGGAGTCTCTTTGAGATGATTGCTCTCAGCAATCCGTCAATCATGGTCAAAGTCACACGTATTGTTGCCAACAGATTCATTCATAGCAAAGAGCACGATGGAAATTTTGAGCTGGCAACTCCCACAGCTACAATCAAGGACGACAACTTCAGCAAAAACTTCAACAACTACCGAACAATCACCATCCTACCAATCACGTACGGTTTACCGGTCGTTGAGTTTGGCGAAAGGCTTACCACTGCGCTAGAAAACGTCAGTAAGACTGCCAAAATGCTGACCCAGTCCACGGCACTGAGTCGTCTCGGAAAACATGCCTTTGACCATCTTGCCAAGTTGAAACAGAGTGGTTATTTCTCCGAGCTAGAAGACAAATATGACATTGTCATCTACGTTGCCGATACGCCAGTTAATTCCTCCTGGACAAAGACATGCATTCAGCAGGGAGACTGTATCCTGCTCCTGGCGGACTCTCAGCAGCCTCCAAATATTGGTGAGTACGAGCGGCTGCTGGTGAAGAACAACACTACAGCTCGCACAGAACTCATTCTCCTTCATCCTGAGCGCTACGTGGAGCCTGGCTCGACTAATAACTGGCTGAAAAACCGGATCTGGGTTCATTCGCACCACCATGTTCAGCTTTCGTTTGACTCGAACTCAATGCCTGCTGAAGTCGACTTTGGCCCGATATCCAAATCTGCAAACACGAGCAAGCTTCTTACTGCCACCACCGCCAAGCTGTCCGCTAATCTACGGCATATGCTGAGTAACAATGAGTTTCTGCAAATGATCAAGCAAACCAGAGAGGCGTTCAAATCGAAGAGGTATTACCGGCCCATGCAAGAGCATAAAGATGATTTTATGCGACTTGCACGTATTCTCACTGGACAGGCCGTTGGTCTCGTTCTGGGAGGAGGCGGTGCTCGCGGCATCAGTCACATTGGTGTCATTGCTGCTTTGGAGGAGAAGGGTATTCCTGTTGATTTTGTTGGTGGTACTTCGATAGGTGCCTTTGTTGGTGCTCTTTATGCGCGTGAATATGACCTTGTTCCGGTCTACGGAAGAGCAAAGACGTTTTCGGGACGCATGGGCTCTATATGGCGTTCATTGTTGGATCTAACTATTCCGTTGACTTCGTATACCACCGGTCACGAGTTCAATCGGGGAATATGGAAGGCTTTGGGTGATTCCAGAATTGAAGACTTCTGGATCAAATTTTACTGCAACTCCACAAACATAACGGAGTCGGTAATGGAGATTCACACTTCGGGCTACGCATGGAGGTATGTGCGTGCTTCCATGTCGCTTGCTGCTCTTTTACCTCCGCTGACTGACAATGGCAATATGCTTCTTGACGGAGGCTATATCGATAATTTGACGGTTGAAGAGATGAAAAGACGTGGGGCACATGCCATCATCGCGTGTGACGTCGGCTCGGAGGATGACCGGTCCAAGATGCACTATGGTGAATCACTGAGTGGTTTGTGGGTGCTGTTGAATCGCATAAATCCATTTTCAGCTCACCCTAACGTTCCTACCATGACAGACATCCAAATTCGACTGGCATACGTGGCGTCTGTCATTGCATTGGAAAAATCCAAAAACTCCAAAGATTGCGTTTATTTACGGCCTCCAATTGAAGGGTATGCCACGTTAGACTTTTCCAAGTTTGACGAGATCTACGGCGTGGGATCCAAGTACGCGGCCGAGGTCCTCAACAAGCTGCAAAGCAAGGGCGAGCTCCCATCCTTTAAAACTAGAAGGCGTGAGTTGAGTAAACATCCGACTCTCCAAAGAAGAAACTCGATATAGACTTCTAATTAACTGTGGAAATTAAATTTATCCGTATGTATTTATCCCCAAGTACACTTTATTTTACACGTTTGCGGCGTCGGAAACAAGTATCACCGAGTCGCCTCTAATGAACACCATATCGCTTTTCTTGGTTCTCGACTTGATCTCCGGTGAATCTTGCTCGGTGTAAAAAATGGTCTCTGTAGCGTCGCTCAACACCATGTTACAGTGCATGTCGTAAGCCTCGATGTTAGCACGACTATCAAAACTTGATACTTACATGTAATTTTCCCACCATCTCTCTGCTTCCTCTAAGCTTCACAAAAACTTGCTCGTCAAGACATAGCCTGATAAGGTCCAGAGGCTCCGAAGACGTCGAATTGGATTCGCTCATTTTGCCGTGGGAATAAAATTAGATTATTTTTTTCGTGAAATAATTTCCAATTCTTGTTTTCAAGCATGTCAGAAGAACTCAACTTTCATTGCTTGGGCGGAGGAAACGAGGTTGGACGTTCCTGCCACATTGTAGAGTATAAAGGGAAGGTCGTGATGCTTGATGCTGGCGTGCATCCGGCCTTTTCGGGCGCAGAGTCGCTGCCTTTCTACGACGACTTTGACCTTTCCAAAGTCGATGTTTTGCTGATTAGTCACTTCCACTTGGATCATGCGGCATCTTTGCCGTACGTCATGCAACACACGAACTTTAAAGGCCGTGTTTTTATGACATACCCAACAAAGGCGATCTACAAGTGGCTACTAAACGATTTTGTGAGGGTGACTAGTATTGCCGACGACAACGACGAAAACTCTGCCAACTTTCTGTATACGGACGAGGATCTCAACGAATCTCTTGACCGAATCGAAACTATTGATTTCCATTCTACAATTGAGGTCGAAGGTATCAGATTCACGGCTTACCATGCGGGCCACGTTCTGGGAGCAGCTATGTTCTTTGTCGAGCTTGGAGGCCTCAAATTCCTGTTCACTGGAGACTACTCGAGAGAAGAAGATAGACATTTGAGCTCTGCTGAGCTCCCGCCATCTAGACCAGATCTTCTGATCACAGAGTCGACCTTCGGTACTGCTACTCACGTTCCTCGAGTGGAGAGAGAAGCAAAGCTAACCCATGTTATACATTCTACTATTCAGCAGGGAGGCAGGTGCTTGCTGCCTGTGTTTGCTCTTGGTCGGGCGCAAGAGATTTTGCTCATATTAGACGAATACTGGCAGAACAACCCAGAATTACAAAATGTTCCTATTTATTATGCTTCCGATCTCGCAAAGAAGTGTATGGCTGTTTACCAGCGGTATGTGAACATGATGAATGACAGTATCCGGAAAAAATTCACAGAAACCAACCAAAATCCGTTCCATTTCAAGTACATCAAAAACATTACAAACATTGAGAAAATCAACGATTTGGACTCGTCTGTGCTTATTGCCTCGCCAGGTATGCTGCAAAACGGCATTTCGCGGAAGATGTTGGAAAAATGGAGTCCTGACCCTCGTAATTCGTGTATTTTGACCGGTTACTCTGTGGAAGGAACAATGGCCAAAATATTGCTCACTGAGCCTAGTGAGATCCCCTCCATAATAAACCCAGACGTTATGATACCGCGAAAAATCAACATAGAGGAAATATCCTTTGCTGCGCACGTTGATTACGAACAGAACTCCAAATTTATCGAACTGGTGAATCCAAAGGCCATCATTTTGGTTCATGGTGAAACAAACCAGATGGGTAGACTCAAGTCTGCTCTACTGTCCAAATATCAGAAGTTCAAAGGCACGGAAAACGAAATCAAGGTGTACAATCCGAGAAACAGCAGCAAGCTGTCACTAAGCTTCGAGGGAATCAAGGTGGCCAAAGTGATGGGCCAACTGGCCACCTCTCTTCCAAAAGAACATGATACTATCAATGGTGTGCTCGTCCAGAAGAACTTCGATCTGAGCTTACTGAAAATCGAAGACCTAAGAGAGTTTGCGGGATTGACCACCACTGTAGTCCGACAGAGACAATCACTAAGATGCACAGCTACAAAAAGTCTTATCAAATGGCAATTGACACAAATGTTCGGCTATATTCAGGAGTTGGTCGATGAGGACGACGAGTATGTAGTGAAGGTGATGAGCGCAGTCAAGATCACACTGGAGAGCAAAGAGTCAACTGCCACTGTTGAATGGAATTCGGGCATGGTTGACGATACTATAGCAGACTCTGTTCTTGCCATTCTGATGAGCTGCGATTCGTCGCCTGCGTCAGTGAAGATCTCATCCAAATCACACAGCCACGATCATGACCTCAAGCAAGAGGAAGATGTCCTAGACGAGTATTCACGCGAAGCCCGGCTTGCAAGAATATCCAAACTCTTATCTGCCCAGTTCGGAGACTCGTTCAAACATGACGCTGAGAAGCAATGTGGAACGATACAAATAGGCAAGAACTCGGCCAAAATCGACTACTCCACATTCGAGGTCACTTGCGCATCGGGAGCTCTGCGTGGCAGAATAGAAGGTATTTTGAACCGGTCGTTGGATCTGGTTGCTCCGCTTTCCAGAAATGCATAAATAAACTTATTGAACAAGGAAATCTTCGAATTCGAAACCGCTTTTGTCGACCCAGCCACAACCGGTGTCGGGCTCCGGCCCTTCTAAAGGCAGATCCATAAATCCTGCCTCGTACTGATTGAAGTCGATTTCGTCAACTGGTAGGTCGTAAAATGGAGTCGTAGGAAAATTATTGCTGTCACTGCTATTAGACGTGGCGGATTTCTCTTCAGGGACCACGGGATCCACCTCCACATGCGTATGCGACTCAGGCAGACTTGCCTGCACTTTAACAAATAGTTTTGGTGATACTTTTTTCAAAGTATCTTTGATATGCTGGACAAGTTTAGACGATAATGCCCAATGTCTGGAAATCTGAAATATTCCTCCCAGCTCGAGTTTGATGTACTCGGTGTACGTTTCCAGCTCATCTGCGCTGACACTGTCACGTAACAAAGCGAGTCCTTTAGTATTTTTATTGACCGCAGACAGGCTTGTCTCAACCCAGGAGTATGCGCTCAGGTGAACCAAACAGGAGAACGCTAATGAACAAGCAAAAAAAGGCGTTCTGTCCAGGATCTTAGCTGGGTTGGTGTCTAGGAGTAGTTTGACCACAGACGAAGCAGAATCAATTGTTCTTCTGGTCTCAATGATTTTTCGCGAGTCTGCTTCGTGTCTTGCGGGAGCATCAAGATGAGGCTCTTTACCATCATCTTCCCCATCCTTTGACTTTCTTGTCACATCCGTTCGCCAGAGATAGGAGAACGGTCTGTGCATGAAAATTTTTGCGTAGTTCACAAGCATGACGGCTTGGTGAACACCTTCATTGACGAATCCGCTAGAGTTGACCAGGTACGGCGAATTATACGAGTCTGGATCCTCAATCCTCAAGTCCCAATTGCCTATGGCGGCCTTCATGTGTTGCAAGTCCTTTTTGTAATCTTTGTCGTCCTGAATGGCCATATTAAGTTTGATGGAGTCATTCACCAATTTGCAGCATTCAGCTCGGCTTTTGAAATCAAACACCTTCTGAGGGATATCCTTGGGGAACAAGGTAAGCACCGTTTTCGTTGAAAGAGCCGAAGTCGTTCTGCCGGAAGCGGTGCCACTTATCGTGTCAAAGAAGTACAATTCCCAAAATGTTCGTCTCGCGGTGTTTTCCATGACGGAGCGAGATATTTTTGATGTGCGGGAGGCCGAAAGCAATTTTTCAATTACATCCAGATGTCCATTCGTTCTCGGGTCTCTTTCCGTAACGAAGCCATTCACGTCCATAAACACTTCGGGAACGGCATCGCGGTCAACCATGTTGAGTTCGAGCTCCAGGGCAAGAGAAACGACACACTGCAACAGACTATGACTGATGTCGTGCAAAGAAGATATGTGGGATGCCATTGCTAGCAGCAAAACAGACTGCAAGGTAACGAAATCTCGTCCAACTTGCTTGGAGTAATCAAGAATATTGGTCACTAGGTAGTTCACCGTTTCCACATCTTTCGCGTAGGTGGTTTGTGTTTGGCCATCGCCGATGAGTTTCATCGCCAGCAGAATGTCAAACTTATGTGGAATGCTATCCAGATACTCTCTAATGTCTTCTTTTTGCGGCATGAAGGGGTGGCAGTAATGAAATCTCGAGTAATAATTGCTGATGATCGTTTCAACATCAAGATTTTTGGTCAACGTGGGCGTGATGTAATACTGGTCTGGCGTAGTGAGGTACTTCTCATCGAACAAAACGTCGAGTACCAATCTGTCTTTGGACGAGTTGAACTTCGGGTAGAAGTCAACCTCTTCATGACGGGCACATGGAAGTAAATCTTTTGCTTTTCCCGAGCGACACTTTTGGTCGCAGTCCACCTGGTCGGCCATCTTTCCACAAGGAAGAACAATATCAATATCTGGCTCTAGCTTCACCTTCTGTTTCTTAGTGCTTACTCCTTTCTTTCTTGACCCGCCTCGATTACTCTTGACAAAGAAGCATTCTTTCCCCAATTTTTTGCATCGCGTACAGACAGGCTCTATTCCGTCACACTTGAGGTGTCGCTGTCGACATTCCAAACAAGCCCTTGAAACCGGTTTGAGTGGTTTCTTGAGCATAATGTAACACAAAAAATTAGTTTTTTTTCTGTAGCCTTTTTATGAATTTTATTATAGATAACGGGTCCTACGAGGTAAAGCTAGGACACACGGGCCAGGAAAAACCTCATCACGTACCAAACTGCCTGGTTCGGACGAGCGATAAAGAGGTACATTTGGGGGAAATCCTTAACTCTGTGGGAGCCATTGATCAGTCGGGTATACAGTTCAAAAGACCAATAGAACATGGCCAGTTGTATCAATGGACCATTGAAAGACAGATATGGGACTCGTCTTTTGTAAAACACTACAAGAATGAGGATATTCTGAATGGGGCCAATCTCGTATACTGTGAGTCGCCTGTCACATACTCCAAGTTTCAGAACAATACCGACCAAGTACTCTTTGAAGAATACGGAGTGGGGTCTCTTTACCGTGGATCTGTGGCGTCTGTGATTCCGTGGATCACCAAAGATGAGGGATACAACGACTTCCAACTTGTAGTGGACAGTGGCTTCGACGCAACCTACGTTGTCCCGATGATCAACGGACTGCCGTACTGGAAAGCTGTGAAGAAGATGCCCATCGCTGGTCGATTCATCAACGGATATTTGCGAGAGGTAATCTCTTTTAGACACTACAACGTTACAGATGAGCCTGTGCTTGTCAATAACATCAAAAAAGCAGCTTGCTATGTGACAGATGACTACTATGCAGCGCTGGCAAGAATAGAAAAGTTGAAGAAATTAAAACCAAAGCAATTAATAGACGAGCCAAACAACATCTCTACCAATTACGTCCTGCCGGACTACAAGACAACGATGGCTGGCTATGCAATTTCAGATAAGGATATGTCAGCCAGTGTGCGCGAGAACCAACAGATTCTAAAGCTATACGACGAACGTTTTGCTGTGCCCGAGGTGCTGTTTCAGCCTGAAATCAGCGGGGTTCACAAGGCAGGCTTGATTCTAACAATAAAGGAGTCGCTCAAGTCCGTTCCTGAGCTTTTGCGTCCACTGCTATGCGCAAATGTGGCAATCACTGGCGGAACGTGTAACCTGGCAGGATTCAAGGAGAGACTGATCAACGAGCTCAACAAGGAGATCCCCGTGGATGACGAAGTTAGAGTTTACAATTGGGAGGGCGACTACGCCGAGCTTGGGTGGCACGCTGCCCAAAAATTCTTTGAAAAAGGCGCTTTCGAGAAAGTGGCCGTTACCAAACAGGAGTACCACGAATTTGGTCCCGAGTACACACAGGAAAAGTTTGGACACAAGTTGATGAAGTAGATGCTGCATTCTAAAGACATGAAACTAAGGATATGATAAACAGTATTGTGACAATGATGAGACTGGAGTAAACCGAGGCCTGGTGCCACATTGGGGCATTGCTGTAACGAGTCATAAGGAGGCACACAGAGACCCCGCTAAGGATAAGACTCAAAACCAGACAGCCCATGCCGAAACAAAGCAGCAGGATCATTCCACTTGTTTGATCCAGATCATCGCCGGATTCCAGGGTTGAGAAAATGACACCCAACCCAACACCGGTTGTGAGAAAAGACACCAGCATTGCAGTTAGGTAAAGGAATGACAGAATGCGATCATGGTTTACCTGGGCCAGCAGGTCATTCGATCTAGCTTCGCCGTAAACAAGAGATGGTTGCCGACGGCGGTACGAGCGCTCGTTTTCGACTTGTTTGCCGTTTCGGTGAATAAACAACTTGTGGTCGCTATTGTCTGTGTCGGACTCTGTGTCATTCTCCAACGGAGACGTCCCGCTGATCACTGATTTATAAAAATGCGGCCTCTCCTGATGCGCTGGAAGTAAAGGAGAAGACTCGTCATGCTTGAATGAGTTGAAGATATGCGTGAGTTTGCTCGAAATCCTATTTGACAAATTCAAAATTGCTTCAATTCTCGAAGACGTCAAGAATCCGAGGCCGACAAAATTGCCAAATGGCGTTCTTGAGTCCGAGAGCTCGTAGTCGTCGTCAACATAGTATCCCTGGTCATCGTCCGGATCGCTGCCATCATCAAACTCATTCCAGTATCTTTTGCCTTCTAGTAGTTGCTGCTGGAGTTCTTGCTGCTGTTGCAATTGTGTCTCATATTTGTTCAACAGAATACCCTGCGGTGATGATTGTTTGGGAGCCTCCTCGGAAGCCTTCTTGGCGATTGATGGAAGTTTGCGGATATCTTTATTTTGTAGATGATCGAACCAAGGAGCGACATATTCCAACATGGCCTCGTCTGTGAGTGAATCCTGGTAGAACTTGGATAGGATGTAATTATTTAGTGAGAAATTTAGATTGTCCACTCTGTAAACAAGATGAGAGTTGATGAGAGACTGCACGACCGACGGAAGAGCTTTGAGCGGGGAATCGTATTTGATTTCAAGTATCGAGTGAGGGAAATTGATACTTTCTTGTGGCATATGGAAGTTGACATCCTTTTGCGATGTAATTTGGGAAATCTGGATGTCACTATCTAAAGTGATATAGCACTCCACTTTAGGGGATGTGTCTGTATCCGTTACGCTGATAAATCGGAGCCTGTTGAGAGCAACTTTGGCCAAAGGAACCATTTTTTTGTCGATGCACCAGTCAAGCGATAGCTGAGCCATCTTAGGGTTTCCAAAAAGCCCCGACTCACACCATTCTTTCAAAATCTTGTTTTTAAACACCTCCACAGGCAGTTTTGACGGACTGAATAAAGAATGGATTAGCGAGTCGTTGAGGCTGATCATGGCAAACTGGTGAAGACCACCAATAGGAGAGATCAAGAGCGGCCTTTCAGCCCGCTTGGAATTCGGATACTGCATGTTGTAGACCTGCGCAACCCATCCGCCAGAAAGAAAATTGTCTGACGTGGAGAGGAACCCGACGCCATTCTGGGATGTCACCAAAGGATCATCGAGATTGTTGAGCCAAATGGATATGACTTTGGTGTCCGGGTGGAAAGTCGTATCAGAATCTTCAGTGTGCTCTGTGAGGTCAAGTTCGGAACGAGTGTGTTTGAGGTGGACTGAAGAGTTTTGCTCTGACATACGTTGATTTTCGTATTGCCGGACCAAACCCTCCTGTTCGTGTTCTTCATCCATGATCCCTGAATCGTCAGATATAAGTTTGAAGCCACTCAGAAGCTTGAACTTCATCTCGTCTAAATTGTCCTTATGAACCCAAAATCTCTGGCACACTGAGCCTTTTTTGTGCGAGATGAGGTCGAAAGTGGTCGCCCTGGAATATATAAAATCTTTTGAACGTCCATCTGTGAGAGAGGACAGTCCAAAGGAGTCAACAGTGGCAAATGACTGCTTGTGATTGTTCCCGACGCTGGTACCCGCCTGTATCTGATTCGCACGGTAATTGTTGATCACGTCAAACATCAATGTCAGCTCCAAGGCGGCATCGTTGAGATACAGATTGACAAACGAATTGGGGTTCCCGTTGAGGCATTCCGTGGTGATCTTGTCGACAAGCTCCTGTTTGTGGGGGTAATCGCTGTGTTTGATGAATTTTTTGAAAAGCTTCTTCACTGCAATTTTCTGCAAGAGAATAAACCTAGAAAGATCCTGTAGCTCGCCCGAAAGAATTTCCAGCTCTTTCTGAATAAGCAACAAACGTCTTCCTTGAAGACGCTGCTGTAGTGCGCTAGCGTTACTGTCCGAGTCGAGCGTCGAGTTGATGAAATTGTTGAGTAGACTCTTAGTGGCGAGAATTCTTCTGGATATTTCGCCGTACTTGGAATTGACGAACAGAGACGTAAACTCAATTTGCTCCTTGAAAGCCTTGAACAATTGTTTCAAGTGCTTCCTCATCTTCTTTTCCTGTACGGAATTTGAGGAAAATCTCGAATATGCCGTGTCGCCGGTATCGTTACTGTCATTGTCCGAGAGACTTGAGCTCGAGTCCTTAATTGCAGTTGTGGCTTCTTTGATCTTGCGCTTGATGGCATTATAGTCAATGTTGTAGTTCCTCCATTTGGAAACAGATCGGTCGTTGAATTCGTCGCCGAACTTCATCTATTGTGCTGACCGTAACCAAAGGTGAAATTCTTATCAGAAATAAAACAGGATAATGAGATTTGCAGAAATGCGTTAGCGAGAGACTTTTATGCCAAGATTTAATCAGAACACTTTAGGAGATGCAATTTTGTGTCGCACTCTTTTATCGTAAAAAGCTAAGCCGGTTATTTATATAGCCTCTTGCGTGGTATATGCGCGCAGACCATGACGTCCGGTGATGAGATCCGGTTCAAGATTAATTACACTTAAATTTCCAAACAATAATGTTCCTATAACATACTTGGCCGCAACATATTGTTCGCGCACCCCCTTTATTGTTCTAGCTGTTTCTCACCTTGACTTTTTTCCCACGTGGGCAGCCGCACCGGGGTACAATATACACGAGTTTTCTGAATGGCCGACGCCAAGAGAGCTCGTAGGAGGCGCTTGTGCTTGTCAGGACGTCTGATTTCGCAGCAGCACCCGACCAATTTGTACATCACCTCGCGATATATCACAAATGTGCTCGAAATTCTCGCCATCTATGCATAGCTTTTTGCTTCTCAGGTCACACGACCGAAAATAAAAATTGGTATCCTTGCCTATTCGGATGTCCTGTCAGCTGTAATTAATTGTCTTGTGCGCCAAAGAGAAAAAACGAAGCGGCTCAAAGTCGGCCTGCCGAACATATTTTTTTCAAATCAGCTACTCGTCACATTGACAAGCTGAAATGTAAATCAGTCCTAGCTATAAATGCTCGTAGCTCACTCGCAAAACCTGTATGGCTGACATCCCTAGGAAAAGGCCTCCAAAACAACTTTCCAGCGAGAGCCTAAAAGAAGATTTCGAAGACTCACTGATAAATGAGTTCGACCTGCCAGCAATAGATGACGCCGAAACGGACTTCGGTGGCGGCGTCGAGCTACTCTACAATCGCAGATCTGAAGGCTTGCGTCTGGAAGAAAATTTCGACGGCTTCCCAAACGCAGCTACCGAAACAGAGCTGGACTCGGTGTACCAAAAAATGGCCCAGGCTTTGGAATACAGAGACAAGCTGCTGGTAAAGGCAGTCATTCGGGAACTGGAGAAGGAAATGGCCGCCAAGACGAAAAAAATGCAGGAGCACAAGTACAAGTACGAGCTGCTGAAAAAAGTATACAAGCTACCAAGCGTCTCAAACTTGGCCGAGTTTCGCGCGGAGAAATCCACACCGAAACCAAAACGCTCTAGACGCCATTCGATGGCTGCAGCTCGCACACACTTGGACCCCATCACTGAGGAAGCCGAGAAACGCGACGACCCGATCCTGGCTAGGACCCAGTCACATGACCCAGGTCACGAAAAGAATCGGAAGCAGAGCACCAGCTCCAACGTTCTCCCTATTCCGATCCCTTCGCTGAGTCCCACATACAACCGCTCTTCCGACCACAGAGACCTTCGCATTCTTTCGACTATCGAGCTAATTTCCATCAAAAGCCGGATTCTCAATCACACTTTCCCCGACGTTGGCCGGATCACAGGTCTGGTGCTCAAATTCGAGCAGAATGCAGATTGCAGGCCGGGAACCCGTAAATCCCTGATAATTCGAAAGCTTAATAACAGAACACTTTTGCAGGAGATCGAGCACGAGCTAGCTGCTCGGGGCGAAATCGCCAAAACTGTACTGCAATAAGCTAAATGATTACAGATTGATTTATTATTTTTACTAGGTTTTTGGCTTCTTCTTTTGAGGTTCATCGTCCTCTCCGTCTTCACTGACGCTAGCATCAGAGTCAAACTCCTCTGCAACATCAGAGCCAGACATGTCCTCGTCCTTGAAGTCCTCGTCTGGAGATTCGTCGTCGTCGGCAGATCCCATGTCCATGTCGCTGTCACCATCGGACTCTGCCATAGCAGATGCCAACATCTCCTGGGCAACCTTCTCATCGTTTCTAACCTTGAGGTTCTTGCTTTTGAAGAAGTTCTCAAGAAGCGTTTGCTCACCTCGGTCCATATTTCCAAAGCTATGCGAGCGTGCTCCATTACGAAGGTTCACCTCCATATCAAAAGTTCTCGATGCACCTGTGCCAGAGCCAATTCTCGAGAACACGATGTTGGTGATCTCCGAGTATGGAATCAGAACTGTTGGTTTGGTGACAAAAAGCAAGCATTTTTCGAGCGGATAGAGCTGTCCCTCATTGGCCTTGAGAGAGCAGGAAATCGCAACCTGCGAGTCTTTGGACATGAAATTGCCAGGAACCACAACACGTCTCTCGGTAAATCCCTTCAGTATACTGGTCATCACCATATACGTGTTATTATTGTAAGTTTTGTTAAGTCGCTCTTTGTACTTGCTTTCGTACTCGTCGTCGTCCAGGTTCAGCTCAACCTCAATCTCTTCCTCGGAAGACACTTGAATAGTCAAGAAGGAGTATCTGGTTTGCCCTTGTCTTAGTGGGGGATCGACTTGAAGTACAATCAAGTGGTTCAATTGGTACAGTTTTGGAAGCGAGAATATTCTCTGAATCTGCGAATATTGTAGCTTGTAGTCATACGTCTTACCTCTGAGACGCATAAACGTATCGTACATGTCCACATCGTAACGACCTCTTGGAGTGAGAAACAAGATTTCTTCAAAGGAAACAATTGCCTCGCCAGTGACCTGGCCAACGTCAGCCTTTTCTCTGAGCTGGTCGCTGAACACTTGAGCGAGCGACCTTGGCTCCGATGCCTCGTTTTTATCGCCTTCCTCGCCTTCTTCTTCCTCCTCGGATAAGGTTCCTGGAATGTACAGTTTCATTTCCACCAATTCGTCTCCAGTACGTTCTGGTTCGTGTTTCTCGCCCAAGTTCATCTCTACCGTAACCTCATTCTTTCTGCTCAAATTACTGTTCGTGATGTCCGAGTACGGGATCTCAAAAGCGGGTCTGTTATTGACATTGAAAATTAGCTCGTTTCTCGTGAGCTGGGTCCTTCCCCAATTCCATCCACGCAACGAGTGTTCCCTAACTTCGAGCTGAACGCCGAAATTTCTCTGCAATTCGTTCTTCAGGCCGTTCAAATCCTGCTGATCAAACCCGTCAAGCATTACAACACCCTTATTCTTGGTGTCTATGCGCAATTCCCAGCCACGAGATCCTCTGGACCAGTGAGCACTAGAGATTTCGTCGCTGGGCAGGAGGAACGGAGTCGACTTCACGGTGGATCCAGGAGCAGTTTGCGCCTTCCATCCCAGGCCGGAATCGGCAATACGCATTCTGCCAGCCTGTTTTGACTGATTCAAGTATATCTTCTCGTACTCAGTGGACATTATGGCACAAAGAATATTCAAATCAAAAATTCAACCTAGTTTACGTGTCAAAAGGTTACCCTGCCTAAAATTTTCCCTTTTGGTCGACGAACACCAAATGGCAAAACCATTTCTTGAAAAACACCATTACAACATGTCTGCCGAGGGAGAAGAAGAATTATTGGACTACTCCGATTCCGAAGAAATCAACGTGCAGCCAGCTCAACAGGCTGCCGCTGGCGAGGAGGGGAAGGAAGAAACAGACAAAAAGGGTTCTTATGTCGGAATCCACACCACTGGTTTCAGAGACTTCTTGTTGAAGCCTGAGCTTTTGAGAGCCATTGCTGACTGTGGTTTCGAACACCCTTCCGAAGGTAAGTGCGAGACTCTAAGTTGCCACTAACAATTTCAGTTCAACAGGCCTGTATTCCTCAGTCCATTCTTGGTAATGACGTTCTTTGTCAGGCCAAGTCTGGTCTTGGTAAGACTGCTGTTTTCGTGTTATCCACCTTGCAGCAACTGGATCCTACACCTGGAGAGATTTCTACGGTTGTGATTTGTCACACCAGAGAATTGGCCTACCAAATCAAGAATGAGTATGCCAGATTCTCCAAGTATATGCCTGAGGTCAAGACTGAAGTGTTTTATGGAGGTGTTAACATCAAACAGGATGCTGAAAAATTGAAGAACAAAGATACGTGTCCACACATTGTTGTTGGTACCCCTGGGAGATTGAATGCCTTGGTCAGAGACAAGCTGATCAGACTGAACAACGTGAAGAACTTCGTTATCGACGAGTGTGACCAGGTTCTTGAGCAAGTTGACATGAGAAGGGACGTTCAAGAGGTTTTCAGAGCCACACCTTTCCAAAAGCAGGTGATGATGTTCTCGGCCACCCTGTCACAGGAGATTAGACCGATCTGCAAAAAGTTCATGAAGAACCCATTAGAGATCTACGTTGATGACGAGAAGAAACTCACTCTACACGGTTTGCAACAATACTACATCAACTTGCCGGAGGAAAAAAAGAACTTGAAGCTGGCTGAACTCCTGGACTCCCTGGAGTTCAACCAGGTCATTATCTTCGTCAAGTCGACTAAGAGAGCGACCGCTTTGAACAAATTATTGTGCGACTCCAATTTCCCATCTATTGTCGTCCACTCTGGTATTCCTCAGGAGGAAAGAATTGCCAGATACAAGTTGTTCAAGGAGTACAATAAGAGAATCTGTGTGTCAACCGACGTGTTTGGAAGAGGCATTGATATCGAGAGAATCAACTTGGCTATCAACTATGACTTGCCAAGTGAGGCTGATCAATACCTTCACAGAGTCGGTAGAGCGGGTAGATTCGGTACTAAGGGTCTGTCTGTGTCGTTCGTGTCGAACGAGCAGGACCAGGAGATTCTGAACAAGATTCAAGAGCGGTTCGACGTCAAGATTCAAGAGTTCCCTGCCGAGGGAGTTGACCCATCTACCTACATGAACACTTGAATCAGGCGACCAAAAGTTGTACTAGTGTATTTTACGTATTGAACTACAAAGATATATTATAGCCTGCTGTTAGGTCGTGTGCGGTGTGCGGAGTGCGGAGTAGCATATGGAGACAGGCATCTCTCCTGCATGGTATATGCATCCTCGGCATGACTGCCAACAAATGTAAATAATTATTGACTGTATTAACGTTAATTAACGAGTTACATATTATGCCCATTTTCCGAGCAATGCCATGAGTCCTGCCCCGACGCACATGATCACGTAAGCGATAACCATCTTCTTAATGTTCTTCTTGCCCTTGAACTCGTCACTAAAGAGGAATTCGTGAGCCATCAGCTCTATGAGACCAGTGTAAATCAGAATTCCTGCCGAAATCGAGTCAAAGACACCGTTGGTGATGAGGGCTCTACGGGAGTTTGGTGGGTATGATTCACGAACTCCAAGACCAATAGCAATGGCAACAGGAGTACAAATACCATAAGCACCAGCAAGCAGCCATGGAGTGAATCTTCTCTTCTTTTCCCAGTTGACCATAGCAATTCTGGTTCCAAGACCCAATCCCTCGAACAGTTGGTGGAAGACGATAACGATGTAAAGATTAACAAACTCGTCACCAGAGACAGCCAAAGTCAAACCAACAAACACGGAGTGGAAGACAATACCAAATTCCAGAACGAAAACGTTGAGCAACTGTCCGTAGTAGTTTTCTTTAGCCTCGTCCTCGGCAAGGGTGCCAATGACCTCTGGGTCTTGGTGTTCCTTCGCATGCTGGTAATGGCGTGGAGACATGTCCAAAATAGCGGTATAGTTGCCGCCCTGAGTAGTAGAAGGATCCTGAAACTCTCTCACATACTCTGGCTCGTTCTCGCTCTTCAAATCCTCGTCGTTGGTCTTCTTGACAAACAGGTCAGTTTCACCAAAGTGAGAGTGGCTGTGACCACCGCTCATACCTTCGACATTGGCTTCCATCCATTTGTAAGCCATGAGTTCGGCGAAAAACATCACCATCAAGGTAATCAAACAGATACCAAATGCCATTGGATAGCCAGTGAAAGGCTCTCCCAAACACTCATTTCCTAAAGCATCACTGGCTGGCTCCAAAAGATGAATCAAGGAGGTGGCCACGATGACACCAGAACCAAAGTATTTAGCAGTAAAGAAACACCATGGGGGAAGTCTAATAAAGGAATATCTAGATGACAGAATTGGGAAGTAGGCACCAAAGCAGGAAGCCACCAAAACAACAAAGACAGCACTAATACGTGCTCCCCAGTGTTCTCCGTCATAGTCGTTGTCAGAAACACAACCTTCGTCCTCGTCACGTCTCCAGAGATCCATTGCTGATGACAGTTATCTTACTCACAGTCAGGCGAGAATCCCAGTTTTTAAAGGAAATTCGTTTTCACTATACTGGTTATGCACATGCAGGGTGTAGTTCATATTGGATAAAAAAATTTTATACACCCTAGTGGTGACTTATGTAAGCATGTAGTTTTATGCGCTTTTATAATTTAGAGGCGGGCTCGTCCTCCTCGTCCTCCGGGTCTCTAGAGGACGATGCCAGGGCAGCCAGACGTCTCGCACGCTCCACCTCCGACTCCTCCTGATTGTAGCTGTCCGTTCGGTTGGACGAGTCAGAACCTGTAGATGAGTCTGTGTTTTTCTGCGATGACGAAGGTGGAGAGCTTACGCTAACTTTATGCGAATCTGCAGTCAGGAACTTTTTAAGCTTGTCCTCCAGCCTTTTGTCCTGTGGTCCCGCATCCGTTGGAATTAGGTCGTCATTCGAGACTTCATTCTGCTCAACGTCTCCGGCTTTTTCCTTCAACAATCCAACCATTTTTAGTGCCTTGTCGAGGGTGTCGGCCTTTGCAGCTGCAGGTTTCTTTTTCTGATTTATTTTAAATCTCCCGACAACTTCTCCGTCAGCATTCTCGATCAGAATGTTGTCGTCAATGCGGAAACCATGGTATCTCTGTGAAGCGTGAGGTTTATTATTCTTGTCACGCTTGATCTTTTGGCCCAAAAGCATTTTGTGGTCTGAGTCGGTCTTGTTCACCAGCTGATGAATTTTCTCTTCTGGGCGCGAGAAGTCCTCGATCTGTATTTCCTCTCCGTCGTTTGTCCGAATCCGTTTTTTTCTTTGCAGGTCTGCAAGTCGGTTCTTCAACGTGCTTAAACTGTGCAGACTGTGCATGCTCTTCTGATCATCAGATTCTGCACGCGGTGCATTAAATGTGCGCAGTATTTCTCCGTTCTGGTCCTCAATAATAAGCTGTGTGCCGTCTCTATAGCCGTACGTTGGAATTTTCAGCTCTCCGTCTATCTCAATTGGTTGTATATCTTCGTCAGTAAGCTCAAAGTCTCTTTGCAGTTCCGCCATTCTTGGCGATGTGACCTTCATTAAAGGAGGACCCATAGCCTCTTCGCCGTGATCGCTGGACTGGTCAGAACGGCCCATCTCCTCAACCTCAAGACGGGTGGTTGAACTCTGGTCTGAACTCTCCTTCGTTGGCTGGCTCTGAGTATTGTTTTTGCCAAGGTCCAGCGTCTCCACAGCAGGAGGCGCCCGTCGCTTTTCTCTGATTTTCCTATGCATTTTTTTCTTTTGCTTCCGTCTCTTTGCAATGCCTGCCGGTTTAGCAGAGGCCGCAGTGTCGCCCGCATCCACATTAGTCGAGTCGCTGGTGTAGGTTTTCTCCAAAAGTCCGTTGTCGTGGCTTGCCTCGGAAGGAGCCATGGTATCAATTCTCTTGATGGAGAAAGAGGTACCGCTTTTTTCCAGCTTTGGAAGTCTCGAGATCCATCCCCCGCCGTCAGTCTCGACTTTGGTAAGTGTCATAGTGAACGTCATTGTTTGCAAGTGGCGGCCCAAGGTCATCACAGCAACAGAGGAACCGTGCACTATAATACTGCTGAGCACCAAGAAACAGACAGTCGGCCAAATAATCCTTATTAGCTGATGGTATTCTTCCTCGTCTGGGTACTGGGCTGTGGGGCCATGTTCAAGGTGCAAGACGTGGGCCTCCAAATCACCTACGGCCAGAATAGACGCAAAGACAGCCCCCACCCCGATGGGACCGAAATGGCCCACAAACAAAGCCTCTTTCCAGTTCTTGATATCGGGACTGAATGGCTTGATCGCCAGCACTGCCGGGATTCGTCTTAAAAATATCACCACGATAGCAATGCACACAAGTCTCCACCAGTCAAGGCCGAGCGATTTATTATTAAATTGCTCCCAAGGGATAATGGTGCCGAAATAGACGAAGTAGGCCAAGTTGAGCAGCAGATCAATGACCGAGGAAACGTGCGACTCTTCTGTACGCTCAGTGAAACGGCCATCCCAGGCAAAAGTGGCGCCGGCGGCAAAAGACGCCAGCAGATCGTCGACACCGAGTATAGCTCCAAAACCTGCGCACAAGAGTGCCAGCATAACATAGAACGCCAGGAACGACTCTCTATCGATAAGGTCTTTGTCTTCCGCATACTGGATAAGTTTTCGTCCAACAAACCCAATGATTCCGCCTAGAATGCAGCCAAAAAGACACTCGTATAGAACTGTGACTGTAATCCAATCACGCGCGATGGCTCCCGCGTTAGAACCATGTATAATGATGTTGACCGCAAGGTAAACAAAAGGCACAGACACGCCGTCGTTGCATGCGGATTCGGCGGTGAGAAGATTCCGCAAATGCGCAGGCACTCTTCTTGCAAACTTACCCTTACCAACAACTGCTTGTGCAAGAACAGGATCTGTGGCGGTAATGCAGGCGGATATCAACAGGCCGTACCCATAGTGTAGTCCGGGGATAATGAGCCATATGAACAGTCCTATAACGAGCCATCCGATGGTCATCACAGGGATCAGGAGCAGGAACACCCCGAGCCAGTGTTTCAGGATGTATTTCTTCGGAAGTTCTACAGCGACAGCCACTATTTCGATGCACAGAATGACTCTGCTGATTTCCAAAGTTATGTAGTCCTCATTCCCCCACGAAGAAGGGTCGAACCAGTCCAAACAATGTGGACCAACTATGAGACCGTATATTGTGGCCACAGAGGCCTCACCAATATATAGTCGTTCCTTGATGAAAAGCGAGCACAGTGAGAAAAAGGACGAAAACACCGCTAGAACGGCGTACGCCACATGCGCTTTGTCTGGATTTATATGTTCCCATACCATTTCATGTCAAAACACTAAAACTTGCTTTAATATATATTAAAGAAAAAAACATGCTTTATCTATCTGCCAAGAGGTTGGTTATGAGCGTATAATGCTGAAAGGGTCCGGATCTGATGGCTAAAACGCTTTTGGATGAACCATTTGCGGAAAAAGCGTGTGAATCTTCGACTTTCGTGATTGAAGCAAAATTATGAGTTTTCATCAAGATGTTCTCTCCCCGTCATGCCCTTCGTCATGTTTGAGCAGTAGTAAGTCTGGCGTATGTGCTTCACGGATTTGAAAATAAATTTAAAAAAAAAGGACTCCTCGCACCTTAAATTTTTATGGCCAAAAAGAAGTCCAAGCAGACACAAACGCCCCCTCCAAGAGAGACGCCGTCCGGAGAGACAGGCAAGAAAGGCCCCATAGATGCTGCTACCCGTAAGGCAGGTCGAACTGCGGTGGCGCAATCGTCGAGTTGGACAGGCAAGCTTCCGGGATCATTACTTCACGAGCACTGTCAGAAACAAAAGTGGCAGAAAGTCGAATACGACATGAAGAAGACCAAAGATGGGTTTATTGGCATTGCCAAGCTCTCATGGAAGAATCCGAAAACCCAGGAAACGATGGAGGTTCGAATGGTTCCGAGTCAAGTGATTAAACCCCAGGAGACAGCTCTGGAAGCTCGACATTACGCTGCCACCTACGCTTTGCACCGCATTGCTTCCGACAAAAACATTCATATGGTCTTACCGACTAATCACAAGCAGCTGTGGGCAGACTTGGAAGCCGAGCGGAAGAATCTCGTCAAGCAAGACCCAGAGAAAGCCAAACGTGAATACTGTTCAGACCCCTTTAGCATGATTCTTGAGCAGCGCAAAATACAAGAAAAACGACAAAAAGAGCAAGAAGCAAAGAAACAAGCAGAGCTGAAAAATAAGAAGCCAGTCATTTCCATCGGAGTCAGTAAACCTAAGTCTCCGGTTTCTAGAACGGAGAAATATGTTTCTGAACAGATGAGGTTTCCTCGAAAAGTATGGGACAGCACTGTTTTTATTGATTTAAAACCAGAAGTCAGAGCCTTGGTTGAAGACTGTATCCGACACCACATCGAATGGTCGGAAGAGAATATAGAGGGTGAAAGGTTTAACGTTGATGCTGGAGCGTTGGAAGCACTAGGGTTCAGGAAAATGCATGTTGAAGAATCTCTGAAGTATACGAGTACTTTCACCGACGCTTTGGAGTGGCTCATATTTCACATTCCTGAAGACGATCTTCCGCCTCTTTTTGTGAAGGACAGTAAAGACTCGAACGTGGAGCTGACTATTAGTAAAGACTTCAAAAAAGAGAATCTTGTCAAAAGACTCCGAGAGGGAGGATTCAGCGTGAACCAAATAGAAACTGCCATTAGCGCCTGTGGATACGACGAGATTCTTTTGGGGGTCTATTTGACGTCGACGCTTATCGACTTTGAGACCGACGCTCAGGAACCGGACTCTGCGGAAATTTGGCAGGAGGAACTCGACGGACTCGTCGCAATATATGGAGACGACAATATCAAGCTGCCCAAGAAGAATATTGCCGAAATTTCGCTGCGTCCAGAGGGCATGGACGAAGGTTTACTCGCGCTAAAGGTGTACAAAAGCCCCAATTATCCCCAAACACTCCCCGGCCTCCATTTGGTGGTGAAAAACAGCTCCTACAAGCTAGCCAACTACATTAAGATTTCCATCATTACAGAGCTCTTATTCCACATCGTAGAAAACAACGTTTTGGGCATGCCGATCATCTTCAATTGCATTGAGTGGTTGGAGAAGAACATTCTTCGGATCGTGGAAAATCCTGGTCCTCTGGTGAAAACTAGCGTCAAAAGAGAGCGCAAGGCAGCCGAAAGCACTTCGTCTTTGAAGACCACCAAGAGACAGCGCGCAAAGGCATCTAGAGACCTGGATCGTCTTTCCTTTGACTACGCAACCAGAATTCAATTATGCGAGTATAAAGAGATGGTCAGACAGCGGTCCAAGCTGCCTGCATGGCATAAAAAAGAGCAGCTTGTTTCTGTCATCAATAGCAACCGTGCCTGCCTCATCACAGGTGAAACTGGTTCAGGTAAATCCACGCAAATTGTGCAATTTATCCTGGACCAGCTCAATAGCCAAAACGACTTTTCCACCAACATAATCTGCACTCAGCCGAGAAGAATTTCAACCATTGGGCTCGCAGATAGGGTATCCGAGGAACGTGTCAGCACATGTGGCAGCGAGGTCGGATACATAATCAGAGGAGAAAATAAAACATGCAAAGATACTCGAATCACATTTGTCACAACGGGAGTTCTCTTGAGAATGATCCAAGGAATTGTTAGCAACAAGGACGCAAGCAATACGATCTTCGAAAACCTGGGCTACATCTTTGTTGACGAGGTGCACGAGCGTTCTGTCGACGGAGACTTTCTTCTGATCATCCTGAAGAAAATCCTCAAAATGTATCCAAAACTCAAGGTGGTGCTCATGTCTGCCACCATTGACATATCGGTATTTGACAAGTACTTTGGGTCTGGAGTTTCTCACGTCCACATTGAAGGCAGGACGTTTCCTATTCAGGATTATTATCTGGACGATATCCTTGATGATTTGCAGTTTACAGTGACAATGAGGAACGGAGACCAAATTCAGCCAAAGGCGGACTCTAAATATTTTGAGCTGGGGAATATTAATTACGACCTGATTGCCGCCTTGGTGGAGAAAGTTGACGCCGATTTGCGTGCGCAGTCAAACAGCGGGTCTATACTGATATTCTTGCCAGGAGTGATGGAAATTAGCAAATGTTTGGCAAAAATAAACGGTCCTTTCTGGACTCTGCCTTTGCACTCTGCCTTGAGCTCCAAAGACCAGAAACGGATTTTCAGATCCCCTCCTCAAGGAAAAAGAAAGGTGGTGGCCTCCACAAACGTCGCAGAGACGTCGATCACGATTCCTGATGCTGTGGTGGTGATTGACACGGGAAGAGTGAAAAGTATCCATTTTGACTCGGCTTCCAATTCGACGAAACTAGTCGAATCCTGGGCTTCGCAAGCAGAATGTGGACAAAGACGAGGAAGAGCAGGACGTATCCAGAATGGGCTCTGCTACAAGCTCTTCACCAAGGAAACAGAGACGAAGACTATGCGCAAATACCCTATTCCTGAAATCAAGCGCACAAGACTGGAGAATTTGTACCTGGTGGTCAAGTCCATGGGCATCAAAAATGTGCACGAATTTTTGAAAATGGGTCTGGACCCGCCAGACGTGGAAAATGTCGAGAGCTCGAAACAGTTGCTGACAGAAATGGGGGCGTTGCACAACGATAACTTGACAAAGTTGGGATCATATTTATCAACATTGCCAACAGACCTCAAGTCTGGAAAATTGCTTCTCTTCGGCGTTCTGTTCAAGTGTCTGGATAGTTGTCTCACTCTTGCGGCCATTGGAGTCACAGGAAACCCGTTCATGGTAAGAATGGAGAACAGCGACGAGGTGAAAAAAGTCCAGAACAAGTTCTCTAAGGGCTATGGAGACTTCATTGCCATTCTGAACGCTTTCAACGAGTACCAGAATCTGGAGCCGAAAATTCAACGCCGCTGGCTGGAAGAGAACTATCTGTCATATTTGACGATGAACGAGATTCAGTCGACGAGAACGCAGTACATTTCTGCTTTACAAGATCTTGGCTTCATCCCAATGGACTATCCTAAATCCCAGTCCTCGTCGATTCTTAACAAAAACTCGGGTAACTATCAGATACTCTGCTCATTGGTATGCTCCTCGTCCTACCCTCAAATTGCCAGAGTGCAATATCCGGATCCCAAATACATGGCAAGTGTTGCTGGATCGATTTCTATAGACCCCGACGCAAAGAGCATCAAATTCTGGATCAGGAACGAAAAATATATCAAGAACCATGACGACCAGCTTCCTGCTACCAGAGCATTTTTGCACCCCTCGTCAACGCTGTTTAATGTCAAAACCCCAGCTGGATCGGGTGGAGAACCGCTTGTGGAGGATGAGAACGGTAATGTTATCTTCACACCTACAAAGTCCAATAACTTGACGTCCCATTTTCTCACGTACGGAGCATCGCACACCACAACCAAGCTGTATATCAGAGATGTGACTCCTGTTTCCATTCTAGCCGTTCTGCTATTTGGTGGCTCTATATCGTACGATCTGAGTACCGTCTCGTCCGGCAAGCCTTCTCCAGGTATCGTGATGGGACAATGGCTGCCTATAAGAACATGGTGCAAAAATGCTGTCTTAATCACGAAATTGAGACACCTGCTTGACGAGGCCCTAAATGAACGGTTCCGGCAACCGCATTATGACCAAATTAATGAGTTCAGCGACGAGGTGCTGAGAACTGTGGAAAAAATCATCACAATGGAACTGAAATGATCACTCGTTGATTTTATAGGTGTTGATGCCGCAATCTTTTAAAACGCCCTGTTTCACCCAAAATAACAGTCCCTCGCTGACCAGCTTTAGCGACATTTGGAGTTTCATGCAAATTATAGCAAGTTTCACCTCACTGCCCTTTGGAATATCTAGAAAGGAATATAGAATAGAAGCCTTATCGGCAGAAACCTTGAAATTTCTCACCTGGTTGCCAATCTCGACATCAATATCCACGTATGTGAGAGACGGGAAAATGGTGAGTTTGCGTCCTTTCTTCTTCCTTTTGAATTCTTCCTCGTAGTTTTGCAAATTAGTTTGTATCTCATCAGGAAGTTTGAACTTCTCTTCTGGCAACTCCGGCCAGTACATATGCGAAATTATGGATGCGTGAACTTTATCTGAATTGATAAGCTTGTCCAACTTGCGGCTCTGAATGATGTCTTTCATCATAACGTCCAAAGACCCAAACTCTGAGTTGCCAAATCTCGACTTTAGCAGCTGAAGCTTACCGTAGACTTCCCGAACATCATAGTTTGTGATGCGAAGTAGTTGTTCGGAAAACACTTTAGTTAGCTCACTCATGAACACATCTTTTGAGTCGAAAATTGATAATAGTGACTCCACCACATCTTCCACCACTCCTTTACGGAAGTCAGGTAGAGCATCTACGGGATCAGGCGTCCAGTCCAGATCCCGCTCCATTTCCTGTGTGAGATGTTTCTTTTTGTCTGACTGACGAAGCTCAATAGCAAGCTCAATCAGTTTATTGTCGGTTGACGTATCGAGTAGCGCAAACACAATACGCTCAATTGTGTCTTCTCTATCTCTAAGATATGCTCTAATAGGTCTGCACACTTTGTCCAACAAGACTCCTCGATGATCGATTATCAGAAACGAGCGAATGGTTGAAATATAGCACTTGATGATGTCGATGGTATTCACACCCGCATGGAGTAACCTCTTTCTTGATAAATGGATGAAGGTGTTCACCAGTTGAGCATTTTGTTCCGGAGTTGACATGCATGCGCGCAGTTCCTCAAGAGCAAAGGTGGAATCCGGATAATCGACCACTATGTCAAAGCTCTCTCCAACTCTGAGCTTAACCAGCTCATTCTTGACTAAAACATCTAGGGATGAGAGATTGCAAGACGGAAGAATATCTCCAAGTTTTGGAACAAGAATTTGGTGGGTCCATTTCGAGAGATCCTGGAGCACAGGTCTATTCCAGACCCTTGAACATTTGGTCTGCACGTGCAACTTTATCCGGTCTTTGAATAATTCTATCACCAATTGAGTCAATTCATCGCCAAGTTCTATCTGAATGAGTATCTGCGCTGTTTCGACCAGCTGTTGGTGGGATATCATGCCTGGATCTGAAAAGAGTCCGGTGTCGTACCATTCTCGAAGATTCGCAAAAACGACGGGATCCAACGCCGTGGCCTGAAAAATAGCATTGATACAGCGCGTCACTAGTCTGACATGGTCGGCAATCAGGTTTGTGACCGACGCAAAGTACATTGTTTTTTGTCTCACATTGATAATCCACTCGAATAAGCCAGAGACGTTACGTATCGTTTGGGACGACTCGGCAATGGATTGGACAAGTTGTCTTCCTTGCTTGTTCAGATGAAATCTCAATAATCTCAGAAGCCCGTCAAATAAGATCTCGTTGCCGGTACCGATGTTACGGAGTGAGTTGCGTACCCTCAGCGGTGGTTCCTTCAGATCAGCATTTTGCGCGTCCAGCACTTCTGCAATCCAGTCCAAAATCTGAGAGCTGTTCGATGATGGATCCTCTTGTTCTAGAGACGACGAATTTGCAGACGGCAAGGCAAAGACCTCCAAAAAGTTCTGCGCGTTCAAGGACAATTGCATTAAAAAGACACTAAATAAACAAAAAAAAAAATACAAATAATATATATAGTCGGATCAACATGTCTGTCAGACCCGCTACAGTCAAGAAGTTTTTGGAGGTTACAGGAACCGACTCAGAGGAGGTTGCTGTTTTCTTCCTACAGAGAAATCAACAAAAGCTTACGCATGCCATCAACGACTTCTTTGTGAACCCGCAACTGGCAAAGAACATCAAGAAAGAAAAGGTGACAGTCAGGATCGACCCTAAGGTAAAGGAGATTTTTGATCAATATAAAGAGCCATTGCCAGACCCTCTGGGAAAGTCCTACATTGGCATTGACGGCACCGTGCGGTATATCTCCGATTTGGGATATGAGCCGGAAGACATAGCCATGCTCGCGCTGGCGGAGTTTCTGGAGTGCCCGTCTGTTGGAGTGTTTAAAGAAGATCCCTTTGTGACGAACTGGTCGAGAGTCAAATGCAACACCATTGAAAAAATGAGCGACTACGTGAGAAATGAATTGGCAGTCAAACTGTCAGAGGATGAAGAGTACTTCAAAAAGGTTTATCAATTCACCTACAAATTTATTCTCGAGAAAAATGAACGCAATGTGCCAACAGAAACCGCGGTAGAGTACTGGCATCTCATGTTGCCAGAAGCCTATAAAGCAGAGCTGGAAACGTTTGTCAGGTTTCTTGAAGAAACAAACCGCAAAAGCATCACCAAAGATCAGTGGAACATGCTGTATCCGTTTCTCAAAACATACCACGAGGACAACAAGCTTTCAAACTACGACGAATCGCAGTCGTGGCCCGTGCTTATGGACTCGTTCCACGATTGGCTCCTGGACTCCTGATCTACCTTTTGGTGCAAGGGTGCTCGCTAGATGAGAAAAAAAATTTAAGAAAAATATTGATCAGATTCAAATATGGTGAAATCGTACCAGCGTTACGAGCAAGCCGGTTGGATGGGCGTTATTGCCTCGCAGTCCAACACTGTGTTTATTGGTAACAACGATTCACGGAAATCTGTTGGTCAGGTCATCACGGGCGGCTTGGAAGACATTCTCGTCTGGGATATCAAAACCGGGGAGCTCATCAAAAGGCTACGAGACGGCGCTAATCCGGGAGCACTGGACTCGTCGACACAATCAGCCCCGGCACATGTGGTTAGACTTGAGCACGAGCCGCGCTCAAACATCTTGGCTGCCGGCTATAGCGACGGTACCATCAAAGTTTGGGATCTAACCTCGAGCTCGGTAATAATCAATTTCTCGGGCCACAAGTCTGCCGTCTCGATGCTGCGATTCGACCGTTCGGGAACACGTCTTTTCTCTGGATCTAAAGACACTGCGATTATTGTGTGGGACCTGGTTGGAGAAACGGGTCTTTTCAAGCTGAAAGGACATAAGGATCAAATCACTGGGTTCAGTCTTTTGTATGAGCCAGAAAATACTAATATCGACGAAATGGAAGACTGGCTTATTAGTACCTCCAAGGATGGTTTAATAAAGCTTTGGGATCTAAAGTCACAGCAATGTATAGAGACCCATGTGGCGCACACCGGCGAATGCTGGGCTTTGGGACTCAACACCACCAAAGAGCTTTGCATCACAGCAGGCATGGACACGCAATTAAAGGTTTGGAAGATCGATCTATCTAAAGAGGACAAGAAACTTATCGAACAGGGGATATACGATAAGCAAAGTAAGAGCAGATGCACAGAAATTGGGTTTACGGTCACCAACCAAGGCGAATTTTTCTTTGCCTCCAATACCGACAGAACGGTTGAATTTTTCCGTTTCAGGCAGGAAAAAGAGATCAGCAGAGCCTCGGCCAGAAGACAGGCTAGACTGCAGGAGAAAGGTATGAGTCCCGAGGAGATCGAGCGCGCATTGGACGATGCCAAGGTCAACATGTTGATTGCTCCTTTTACGACGCTTCACACAGAAAAGTCTAAAGTTCGCTCCACTACGTGGGCCCTCACCAGCAGCAGAAAACTCGATGTGGTGGTGACACTGACAAATAATGCCGTTGTCTATTACAATATCCCTATTCCGGAGGCAGTGCGCAAACACAATCCAGTGGACAAAATAAGTGAAGCAAAATACTCTTTGTACAACCTGGGACACAGGCAAGATATCAGAGCTGTCGACATTTCGGACGACGACAAGCTGCTGGTCACCGGTTCGAACAACGAGCTCAAAGTGTGGAATATCAAGACCAAGTCCTGTATTAGAACATTCGAAAAAATTGGCTATGTTTTGTCGACTTGCTTTCTTCCAGGAGGAGCTCTGGTGGTGATAGGAACAAAAGAGGGTGCTTTAAGGCTTCTGGATCTCGCCACCTCGACGGTTCTCCATTCGCTGGAAGACGTTCACGACAGCAAGGCTGTGTGGTCGATCGACCTCACTCCGGACGGAAAGACGATCATTACCGGCTCTGCCGATCAAACGGTCAAATTCTGGGAGATCCAGGTGGAGAAAGAGCTTGTTCCGGGAACTGCCAACAAGTACGTCAACCGCTTACAGCTGAATCACACTAGAACGTTGGAGGTGAGCGACGATGTGCTTAGTGTTAAGGTTTCTCCAGATTCCAAATACCTGGCTGTTGCTCTGCTGGATAACACCGTCAAGATCTTCTTCTTCGACACGCTCAAGTTTTTCCTCAGCTTGTACGGACACAAGCTTCCTGTGCTTTCGATTGATATCTCGTTTGACTCGAAATTGATAATCACGTCTTCCGCAGATAAAAACATAAGGATTTGGGGACTGGACTTTGGAGACTGTCACAAGTCGGTTTTCGGGCATCAAGATGCAATCATGAAAGTCAAGTTTGTACCAGAATCCAAAAACTTTTTCAGTTGCTCCAAGGACGGAATGGTGAAGTACTGGGACGGCATCAAATTTGAAAATATCCAAAAGTTGGCTGCGCACCACTCTGAGGTTTGGAACCTTGCCGTCAGTAACTCTGGTGAGTTCATGGTGTCTGTGTCCCACGATCACAGTATCAGAATATGGGAAGAGACTGACGATCAAGTCTTCCTTGAGGAAGAGCGGGAAAAGGAGATGGACGAGCAGTATGAGGGAGAGCTGCTTGATTCCTTGGAAGGTGACAAGGCGGTGGACCAGGACGAAGACGAGGTGGGTCGGGTGTCCAAACAGACGATGGAGACGCTCAAGGCCGGTGAGAAACTGATGGAGGCTTTAGATCTTGCTACCAAGGAGCTGGAAGAGACCCAGCAGTACAAGCGGGAACTACAGGCTTTCAAACTCAAGAGGTCGGCCAAACAGCCTGTTCAGCCGACGCGGAACCCTATACTGCAGGCATTGAACTTGTTGCCGGAACAGTACGTTTTGGACGTTCTCACCAAGATCAAGCCATCGCAGCTTGACGACGCCCTGATTGTGCTGCCATTCTCGTACACGGTGAAGCTGCTACGTTTTATTCGAGTTTGGACAGCTGGCGACAACTTCAACAAGAACCTGACCTCGATCTCGGTCATCTGCCGCACGCTCTTCTTCGTAATCCGGTCCAACTCGATGGAGCTGGTGAGCCAAAAGGACGAAGAGCTGCGCAAGGAGCTGGATGACCTACGCAAGGAGCTGAGAAAGATGCTCAGACAGACCAACATGGAGGTCGGCTACAACATCAGCGGTCTGAATTTCCTGAAAACGCAGTGGAGCAATCACCACAGTTTCAATTTTGCTGACGGAAAAACATGGGAGGAGGAGGGTAAATCGAGAAAAAGAGTTTACACTACCTTGGCCTAAAAAGAAAAAGCACACCACCATAGAATTTAAAAGATCTCCTGACCGTTACTAAATGTGGCAACAGATAAGAAGTGGGGCCACGCCTCAGTAAAACGATGACTGCCGCCCTTCTAGGACCAGGGTATAAATAGCATGTAACCAGAAGGTTGTAATTGTACAATTTAATTAACTCTAACAATCTATCATGGCAGTGACTCCAATGAAATTCTTTGCCGGTGTGTCTGTGGCGGCAGTTCCCGTTGTTACCATAGCATACTTCGCCAGACCAACCTTCTCCAATGCCATCAAGTCGAAGCTTGACCAGGAAAGAGTGGAGCTCAAGAAGCAGCACGAGTATAAGACCGACTTCTACCAGCCAAACGAGAAACAGGACAGGCTTCTGGTGAATTATTTGAAACGCACAGATAAGAAAGCCGGTGCGTACACGCCGGACCTCCCACACGTCTGATGCGAACGACATATTCAACTATAATGAATGATGAAACTATTATATTAAATTCGGACCGTTGTAGACTCCGCTGCCAAATGGATTGTAGCCCGTCTGGTTTTGTGCAAATGGATTGTAACCCGTTTGCTGCTGACTCATTCCTGTCATCTGGGCTTTGTGCTGTGCAGCGGCCTGTTGTAGCTGGAACACTGCCTGTTGATGTGCCTGTTGCTGACTGGACTCCTGCTTGGTTTCGGGGAACACAGGCACGGTTGGCAAATTCTCTAGTCCGCCTGCCGTTGGCTGCCTTTGCACCGGCAGCGCACTCACAGAACCCGATCTGAAGGGATTCGTGCCTGTACCAGCGGCCTCCAGCTTGGCGAATGGGTTGTTGCTGGAACTGGACCGCTCAAGAGCAAACGGATTGGTGGACTGTCTCTTGAGGTTTCCTCTGAGGGAGGACGTTGTCTGCCTCTGAATCGGTGGCTGCGGACTATAGCCACCAAACCCTGTTCCTGTGAACGATGATGTCAGCTGTGGGTAGACGTTCTGCTCTGCAGGAGGTGGAAGCGCATCGAAAGTTGAGCTCCGCTGCAAAGTGGCTGTCTGCTGTGGCTGGAAAGGCTGGAAAGTCGACGTTTGCTGGAGCGGCTGCGTCTGCGACATGTGGATTTGTTGTACAGGCTGCGACTCTGGGATTTGTTGCAGTGGCAGTGTCGTCTGAAAGTTCTGCTGTGAAACAAATTGCGGCTGTCCCGAGAAGTTGCCATTGACGGGTTGATTGCTGAAGCCTGTGGCCATCTGAGTAAATCCGGCAAACGGATTATATCCCGTCTGCTGGAACACCAGGCCATCGCTGGGCGACGACTGCGTTGCAGCCTGAGGCGGAGGCACGGTCTGCTGCTGCTCCTTGGGCTCGTCGCGTTTCCCGCTTTTCTTGCTCTCTTTTTCCGCCAGATACTGTCTTCGGTTGATGTCGAAGTTTGGATCGTGCAGATACTCGTCCAACGAGTCGGTGAGTCCCGTCTGCGCGTGCCTGATCACCGGCACGTGCAGCTTGGTCACGTGCTCCAGATGTTTGGCGACCCGCAGAAAGGCCACCACCTGTTCGGTTTCCTTGGTGAAATGTTTATAGATCTCAAAGGCTCGCTCGGCATCATACTTGCTGAGCTCGAAAAAGTGTTCTAAGATGTTAACCACACCCTCGTTCAGGGCCTGGTACAACGACAGCAGGTCGTTGACGAGCATTCTGAAGCTGAGAATGATAACGTCGTTGTTGACCTCGGCCTCCGCGAATCGGCAGCGTACTAGTGCGTCCACCTGTTTCTGGACGCTCTCGACCTCTCGAAGAAGCCCCTTATCGACGCTCAGCGACCGCAGACGGGAACCGGTGTCCTTTGTCGACCAAGAGCTCACGGGCTTCTTCATTTCCCGAATATAGTCGTGTTTCACGTTCGCGTACTCCTTGGCACGTGTGGTAAGGTACTTTGAGTAGTTCTTGAGTGTTTTCAGGTCGCCGCCGTTGGAGATGAAGGTGCCGGACTTGGCGATGTTGCGACATTCGAGCATATGCGGATTTTTGGCAAGATACGAGATCGTCACGTCCTCCTCACCTTCGCGAATCATGATGTGGGCCACGATCAGTGCCTTGTACACAATGGACCAGGCTGTGTCGTCTAAGCGAACGGCTAAAGAGCGCATGATGACCCGGAACTTCTCCGATTTCTCGCCGCCTGCCGTGGCCATCAGTATGGGCTCAATGTACTTGGGCTTTGGGGGCGCCAGCTTGATTTTCGTGGCCCCCTTGACTATCTTTTCGTACGTGGTCATGCGACGGAATAAGTTTCCGGGTGGTGAATAGAAAACAATATTTTCTGGTTATGTGCCCCAGATAAGCAGGTGAAATATTATGAGCCCTACCAGCTCAGGGGGACGAAGTGGGGGATGCAGAACCGCAAAGGCCGTGGCGCTCAGGTGTGTGCCAGTCGCGGCGCGCTGGGCCAATACGGCCGTTGGTGGTAGGTGTTCTGACTGTCGGTTGTGGGGCTATCTATCTGCTCCTGCTCCTCTGTGCCGGACTGGCTGCCCATGTGCTCTACCATGCGCTCGCGCCGGGACAGCTCACGACTGGCGTTCATCATCAGATTCACCGTTCTCTCTAACCGTTAGCTTGCTGGCTCCCAAATCCACTTACCATGCAATTCGGACGTGATTCTGCGCAGCTGGACCTTTTTAGAGCATGCCGCTGGCGTCCTGTCCGGTGTTAGCAATCCCTCGCATATACTCCAGCCGGCGCCTGCCGCATCCAGCTCGTCTCTGCCTCTTTTCCTATCAGCCATACGCGTAAATAAAATAATAATTATTCTGGTGCAAAGTGTACCCATCTATGCTTTTTTGCTAATGACCAGACCAAGCACACAAGCCCTTCTCGACGAGGATATTTCTCTGGAGCAAACGCTCACCTCTGAGCTGAGAGCTGACCCTGACCAAGACATGAGCGACCTGTACAACCCTATCAGGTCGACCGGCTACATCGTGGTGCTCACGCTAATTGTGGGGGCCCTGCAGCTTGCTTGGTCCACGGAGTTCAGCGAGGCCACGCCGTTTCTGCTGTCGCTGGGTGTCTCCAAACATGCGCTTGCCCTCATATGGCTGGCCGGCCCGCTCTCGGGCACTTTTGGCCAGCCTATTGTCGGATTGCTGAGCGACAAGTGCAACCTCGACTGGGGCAGAAGAAGACCGTTTATCATCGGAGGCTGTGTGGCCACGGTGCTGTCGCTGCTGTATCTGTCGCATTCCGCCAACATTGTGGGCTGGTTTCTGCCTAATCGAGACCAAGACACCGTCAACCGGTACACGGTGCCCTTTGCTGCGGCTGGCATCTATATTCTGGACTTCTCCATCGCCGTCATCCAGGCCTCGTGCCGCGCGCTGATCGTCGACGTGGTTCCCAGTGTTCAGCAGCAAATAGCCAACGCGTGGGCCGCGCGCATGATTGGTGCCTTCAACATCGTTGGGTTCTGGATTGGCACCTGGGACCTGGCCGCGCTGTTTCCCTGGCTCGGGAGCTCGCAATTCAAGGTTTTGAGCTGGCTCGTGGCCACCATCATGCTTGTTCTTACGGCGTTCTCCTGCTGGGCGATCAAGGAGCGCAGCCCACGCTACGACCTCGCTATCCGCATGGAACGCAAAAAACAGGAAAAGCGACTCAAGGACATGGGCATCGACGAGGAAAACGCCACGGTGCTCACGGTGGTGAAGTCGTTCTTCTGGCAGGTGCTGCGGTCGATTGCACGGCTGCCGCGCCAGGTCAAGATCGTGTGCTACGCAGAGTTCTTCGCCTGGATTGGCTACTTCCCGATGCTCTTCTACACGTCAACCTACGTGGGGGAACTTTATTTGTACGAGAACGGCTACAATAACCCGCTTAACCTGCCGGCAGACGAGCGCCAGCGGCTGCTGGACGAAGGTGTGCGGCGCGGAACAGCAGCGCTGCTCGCCCACGCAGTCGTGACGCTCGCGGTCGACCTGCTATTGCCGTACCTCGTCGACAGGTTTAGGGATAGCGAGTGGATCAACATGCGTCGGTTGTGGATCTACTCTCACGTGGTGTTCATTGTGGCCACCCTTTCGACGTTTTTCATCGCCACCTCCGTCCAGGCCATCGTGCTATTTGCGTTTTTGGGGATCCCGTGGGGGTGTGCCGTGTGGATCCCGTTTGCCTTGATCAGCGAGGAGATTTCGCGCATCAAGGACATCAAGGCTGTCCAGATCTATGACCAGTACAGAAAACAGAGCGTGCCGTCGTCCGCCGAGTCTGAAAACACGCTTGTCACGCCAGAAACAAGCTTCTATCTGTCAAAAGTCATGGTTGCAAAATACGATCATGTCGTCTACGACTCGGGCATTTTGCTAGCAATCCACAACGTCTTTGTTTCAGCCCCGCAGATGCTTTCGTCGCTGGGCTCGTCGTTCCTGTTCAAGCTACTTCAGAACAGCGACAAGGACTCGTTTGACGACTCATTGGGCTGGATTTTCCGCGTTGGCGGCATCGTTGGCATCGGCGCGTTAGTTCTTAGCATCCAGGTGAAAACCAACGCCGAGCTCTACAAGGAGGACAAGGCCGAAGCGCTCACGATGCCCGAGTAACAAAAATTCAACTTAAAAAAATGCATTTATTTTCATTTTTTAGCTCCCTAAAACGAGTACTCTCCGAGCTCGTACACGTAGCCCAAACACAGCTTCACGTGCTCCGCTATGTGCAGCATGCTCAGCTTGTCGATTGTGTCGGCCGTCGTGTGCACGTACGGGTTCCAATACTCGCGCTGGGCTTCTGCTACCATTCCTGCTGGGAACCCGTTCATGTGGGCACTGTAATGGTCGGAACAGGGATAGTCGCACGCGCTCTCAAAAACAGGGATTCGGCAGTACGTCTCAATCACCTGCCGTAAAAATTCGTTCAGATACGGCGACGTGTAGTCCGCGATGAGTCCAAAGTGTTCCGGCCGTCCTTTGCGAAGCGATTTTGCAACGTAGCCCGTCATGTCCTGCTGGAGCATGGCGACCACTTTTTTGTGCAGAAAATACGCGTTGAAAATGTCAAGCGAGCCAAGCATGCCGCCCTCCTCCGCTGCGTAAAAGTGAAACTCGATGTGGTTGGGGAAAGAAAGCCCGTGCTCCGTCACGATCCGCAGCGTTTCCAGCAGCGTCACCACACCAGAACCATCGTCGTCTGCGCCCGGAGCACGCAAAAACGAAGGTAGCACCAAATTCATGGAGTCGATGTGTGCTCCAAGAACAATGGTCGGGGTTTCGACAGAGTTGTTGGTGCCCGTTATCCGCAAAATGTACGACGATTGCGGAAATTTCTCGTGGTTGACCACCGTCAGGTTGTAGTTATCGCTGCCAAGCGCATAGTCTAACAGCTTGTTGTAAACCCATATAGAGGAGTCCAGGTATTTTTCAGACTTATAGTACCGTGACTTGAACGAGCTCAGCTCTTCCAATGTACCCTGGATCTTTGAAGGATCGATGTCGGCGAGAAGCGAGTTCACCTCTTTCTCGTGGAACTCGGACGCATTAGGGTAATTGTACACAATAGCTGGCTTTTCCAGAGTAACCCTGACTGATTGTCCTTCTCTCATTGGCTCCAGCAACGTGGGGTAGCTCGCTGTGAGGTCCAGAAATCGGGTGTTTTGCTGCTTCAGCCGCCACAGCTGGGCCTCCGTCACCTTTGTCAGTTCATTGGGTTGCAGAGAAATTAAATGGTATTGCTGGCCAAATAGCGGCAACGCTGCTGCCAATCCTACAAAAAGAAGCCCAAAAATCATATAGCAATTTTATTTATTTTACAGTATTTTTTAATTTCTATGTACATTGAAATATTGGCACAGCGTAGCATGGCGGTTTTCAATCTGCTCGTTGGCTTCGAACCGCGTCCCGCACTGGTTGATCTCAGATTTGGGCAGCAGGATCGTGGACGGATCCACGTCGTCCGCCAGCCTGCGCGGAGTATCGCTGCCGCTACCAACGGAGATATTCGTGTCGATGGTGTCATAATCAACACTAATGTCAATCTCTGGCTCAGGACAAACATCGAACCAGCGCCGCAGAATCAGAAGACCACGCTCCTGTAAACGGAGATCGTCTGAAAACACAAAAATCGACGAGTACGCCTGCACAAGCTGAACGTCCAGCTTCACCTTGCGTCTTTGAGCAGCGCGAAATTGTTTTTCTGCCTCCCTCACCGCTTCCGTGTAGTTGTTGCTGTAGCGCAGACTCAAAAAGTACTCCGTGTACGTAAAGGAATCCGGTTTCACGTTGTAGTCCTTGAGTCTGTTGAATATCCGAATTGCGAGCTCGTGTTTTCCCGCGAGTCGGAGTGCTTTCATGGCTGTGTTGATGTGAAAAATATTAGCTACAGGCTCCTGTTTGCAGAGCTCGAGCAGCAGAAATTCGTACACCAGAACAGCCTGGTTTTCGGTTATTTTGGGTATGTTTGTGTTTGGATGCTTGGCTTTGGCAAAAGCGTCGAAGAAGATGGTCAACATACGTCCGTCAGGACGCAAACCTCTTTTTTTCACATGCTGGTTCAAGAGCTCCCAAATCATGTTCAGACGGCCCTCTTTGGCCAGGAACTTCATGATCGTGCCATACGCAAAGACACCATTTTTGCCTGCCAGATGAGCCATTTCCATGGCGCGCGCCAAGTCTTCTCGATCAAGAAACTTTTGCGTCTTCTCGTTTACCACCTTTGAGTCTTGGAGCTGGACAGCGTTGGTGCCCAATATATTGTACTTGAGTCTTTGAACTTTCGTCTTAAATAGGCTCTTCAGCTGTGCTGGACTGAATGCGGTCATCGAGTTCACTTCTGGGACTTGTTCTAGCGGGATCTTGAGCATATTTGACACCATCACTCTGGCAGAATGTCCTTGTAGCGGCTGCGAGTACTTGGTCCTCATTTTCTTCTTCCACTTGGCCTCGAATTTCTCCTTGTCGGGCAGAACTACGCCCTTTTTCACGGCCGTTATCAGCTTGGTTTTCGTCTTGACGGCCTGCAAGACTGCACAGGGTCTAAACGGCCCAAACATGAAAAAATATCTATTTTTTTTTTGTCTAAACCATGTATGTGGACCTTTATCTTGACAAATACGAAAAAGGTCCGCTGTACGTGAAACGATTGGCGTACATATGCCAGGAATTCCCCGTTTCTGCTGATGTGGTTCACAAGCTGCTGGACATGATAGTGGACCCAGAATCTCCTTACAAGTATTTCAAGGACACTCCCCGTCTGCTGAGGATCACGGGCAACGGGGTGTACCTGCAGCGTTACAACGAACTGCAGGCGACAACTGACTGGAAGCCGAATTTCGATGATGAGCTGTTCAAACTTTCCAAACTGGAGCCCACACAGGCCAATTTCGAACGCATAGTCGATCTCTTGCATCTGCGCACGGTGCACACACTCATGACTACGGCGTCGAGCGATAACGTTGGTGATAACTCGGGTTTTTACTATAACTTGGGTTCAGAGTACTCGGCTATGTTTCGAAAACGCTCGTTCAGAGAATTGCGGAAGCTGATTGTCTACAAGGCCTACGACGGCAATCTGGCATCGTCCACGGTATTCCTGCGGCGTAAATTGCAACAGGTTTTGGAATACGAGCATGACGACGAAAGTGACGATGATGATAGGATGGATTCTGACGAGTACAATTTGGATAAAGAGGAGGCCGTTGCATACTGGACTTGTCGATGGTATCTCCTCTATGCACTTTTCTTGGGCAATAACTACCAGGCAGTGGTTGAAGAGTACTTTCAGCTCACAAAAGAGCCAGCTGTTTCCGGTTATACTGCTTTGGACGTGCTGGCGAACGAGTACAGCAATGAGCTCATTTTCAAAGAGTATCTGCTGCGTACTGTATGTTTCTCCGTCTTGGTGGCAGAGAAAATGCAAAATCTGGAGACCAGATGGACCGATATGATCAGAGAGTCTTTTGCCTCGGATCCACCGTTACGAAAGCTCATAAAGCTTTATACTGGATGCCGTTTTTCGGATCTGAAAACCGTCCTCACGGAGTTTCAATCGGAGTTCGACTACGACGAGCAGCTTTCGCATAGCTATAGGCTCTGGAAACGAACATTTGAGTACAAAATATGCGTATTCTATCTGTCGCTGGTTAAAAGAGTGACTTTTGATCATCTGGAAGCAGTTTTGGGAACCACAAGCGAGGAGATTACCAAGCTGATCAGTTTGTTCAAGCTACGAGTCAAGATTGATCAGAAAAACAACCTTGTCGAGTTCCAGGACACAGACAGCTACATTGAGCTGGACAAACAAATCCAATCCTTGAACGATGCAACTGTGGCCGAAATGAGAGCGCTGGAAGTCAACAGGATGGTTAAAGAGGCGTTCGATTGACAAATCTATGTACAGCTCCAAACATCAACAACTTCATCCTCAAGTTTGGTGGTCACGCCTCGTTCAGCAACCGTTTCAATGTCTATAATTTCTTTTGCTGCCTCTGCTGTTAAGACCACATAGTTATCATTTCCAACAGCAATGTCGTCTTCAATTCTAATTCCCATTCCACGATAATGTTTAGGCCATCTTGGATCGTCTGGAACATAAACACCGGGTTCTATGGTGACGACCTGACCCTTTACCAAAGGCGCTGCCCGAGACTGTGATGGCACGTCGTGGACGTCTAAACCCAGGTTATGGCCAATATAATGCGGATACAAATGGCGCATAACCTCATAACTGGTGAGCCCGTGGAATCCACAGTTGCGCAGCTCACTTGTCATGATACGAACGCTCTCATCGTGTATGTCTCTGAGGGAATAGCCTTGTTTCTGTGTGCAAAGCTGAATACATTTTTGCTCAACGTTCAAAACAGCTTGATATAACTCGGCCTGCGCAGAACTGAATTTGCCATTGACGGGCCAGGTACGGGAGATGTCTGCACAGTATCCACCCAACGATCCACCAGCGTCCACAAGAACAAGCTCGTCTCCCTTGAAGACCTGATCATTTCTTGTGTAATGGATACATAGGGCATTTGAACCGCCTGCCACCACAGGGATATAGGCGCTTTTGTCACAGCCTCCAGAGATGAACCGGTATTCCAAAAACGCATGGAGACCTTTTTCCGTCTTGAATCGTTTAGCATACGCTTGGTTATACGCTCTACCGGATATCTTACCAGCCATTCGCATAACGCGCAATTCTGCATTGGACTTTATAGCTCTTAAGTCGGTCAAGTAGTTCTTCAATGAGTAGACATGACAATTCTGGCTGTGTAGAAGAGACTCGATCGACTCGCGGTTTTTTGCTTCTTTGTCCGTAGTACTGAAAACGCGACTGAAAATCGACTTCTTAGAGTCCCCGAAATCATACAGCACGTTTTTGTAGTCTTTCAAGAGCGTACGCAGATAGTTATGCAGGTTGCGGTTATCAGTTGCACTGTCTGCATTGAAAATTTCCCGCACTCCGTCAACACCCGTACGGGTGCCCTCCCATAACTCAGAGTTTTCGTCCTTTGGCGGCACCACCATATGGAAGACCAGCGAGTCCGGATCTTCCGTAGGTTTCTCCAAAATGCACACTGAATCCGGTTCCAGCCATCCTGTTAGATAGAACAAATCGTTATTCTGCTGAAAGTTATAGAAAACTGCTCCTGAGGCGTATTTGACTGTGTTACCTGGAATAATGGCCAGAGATTTGGCAGGCATTTGTTCAGCAAGTCTGTACCGTCTGTTGAAGTACTCCATTGCACTGATGCCGGTGGTGAGCTCGCCTGCGCGAACCAGATGTGGTCTGGTTTCATGAATCGGCTGTCCGGCCTGAAAACTGGCATATCGCCGGAACAAAGCCCTTGGAAATCGAAACATAATTTTTTCAACTGCAACTCAGATTAATATATAGAAATTGCAGGAGAGCGCCATAACATTACCCAAGATCCATAATCAGCGTGTTTTTTCGCGTACTAGCTCCCACAGAGGAGCCAATCTGGCAGCTCGTGGGGTTGTTTGCTTCTCTTTGGCTGCATTAGTTATGGCATAACTGACCTTATGCCATTAACAAAGAAAACAGCCTGGCTAGCTCAATCGGTAGAGCGTGTGACTCTTAATCACAAGGCTGCGGGTTCGAGCCCCGCGTCGGGCTTTTTTTTCCTCTGATCTCACCTTGCATATTTTTCTCTATATTTTTTAAATTTTTTTAAAAGAATTTTGGTCCTACAATGTCTAATACCAAAACGCAACCCGTGCGCGAGCGCAAGCGTGAGCTCGAGACGGCCGACGAATCGTCTTCAGAGGATGAATTACAGGTGGAAGGCCTTTTGGATGGGGCCGAGAGTGAGCAGGAAAGCGAAAGTGAGCAGTTCGAGAGTGCTGACGAGGACCACGACCAGGAGTCAGACTCGGACTCGGACGCAGAGTTTAACAGAATCCTCGCAGAAGGATCGAGTGGCGAGGATGAGGATGAGGACGAGCCAAAGGAGCCGTCGATCACAGACAAATTATCGGGAATCAAGATTCGGACGCTGAGCTCGTCAAGCTCGACAAATGGAGAGGTGCTAACCAAGTTTTCTGACGGGCGCGAGCGGATTCTGAGGCCCGAAATTGACCCGGTCTACGACTCAGACGACTCAGACAGAGAGGAGACCAACACGATTGGAAACGTGCCGCTTTCTGCGTATGACGAGTATCCGCACATTGGCTACGACATCAACGGAAAGAGAATCATGCGGCCTGCTCAGGGCTCTGCTCTAGACCAGCTGCTGGAGAGCATTGATCTACCAGAGGGCTGGACCGGCTTGTTGGATAAGGAGACGGGAAACTCGCTGAATATCAGTGCCGAGGAGCTGGAGCTGATCAGAAAAATCGAGCGCAACGAGAACCCGGACGAAAGCGTGAACCCGTACGAGCCAACTATTGAGTGGTTCACGAGTAAGACAGAGACGATGCCGTTAACGGCCGTGCCCGAGCCAAAAAGACGGTTTGTTCCATCGAAACACGAGGCCAAGCGGATCATGAAGATCGTCAAGGCTATCAGAGAGGGCCGCATTGTGCCGCCGCATCTTAAGAAGCAGCAGGAAGAGGAGGACGAGCTGAACTTTGATCTCTGGGGCGCGGACATCGACAACACCCATGATCACGTGATGACGCTGCGTGCCCCGAAACTGCCTCCGCCAACCAACCAGGAGAGCTACAATCCGCCTGAGGAGTACCTGCTGAGCGAGGAGGAGCGCAAGCGGTGGGAGGAGACGGACCCTAGCGAGCGTGAGCTGAATTTCCTGCCGCAGAAATACGGTGCTCTGCGCAAAGTGCCTGGCTACCAGGAAAGCGTGCGGGAGCGGTTTGAGCGGTGTCTGGACCTGTATCTGGCGCCACGTGTGCGGAAGCAGAAGCTGAATATTGACCCGGAGTCTCTGATCCCAGAGCTGCCGTCACCAAAGGACCTAAAACCGTTCCCTGTGCGCACGTCGACCGTCTACGAGGGCCACACCGGCCGCGTCCGCGCACTCTCGGTGCATCCTAGCGGCAACTGGCTGGCCACGGGTGCCGACGACGGCACCGTGCGAGTGTGGGAGGTGCTGACGGGCAGACAACTGTTCCAGTACGCCATCGTTGAGGATGACGAGGACCACGTCGAGGCGCTCGAGTGGAACCCGAAGCCCGACGTTGCGCTGCTCGCGGTCACGTGCGGAGCGACGGTTTTCCTGCTGGTGCCTCCTGTCTTCGGCTTTGAGCTCGAAAATAGGTCCAAGCTGCTCGTCGAGGACGGCTGGGGATACGCCAAGACGGGCCACGACACTGTGGAAGGTGAGGACGGCGAGAGCTCGGGAAAGTCGGCGGCCGCCGTGTGGCACAAGCCGAACGAGGAGCAGTACGCGCACGGTGTTTGCGCCGTGGTGCGCACTTCTAGAGGCGGCTCTACTGTTGGCACGTTCAAAAGAGTCTCGTGGCACCGTCGCGGCGACTACTTCGTCACCGTCTCACCAGAAGGAGGCAACAAGACCTCGGTTCTGATCCACCAGCTGTCCCGCCACGCAACCCAGTCGCCGTTCAGAAAAAGCAAGGGAATCGTCATGGACGCCAAGTTCCACCCGTCCAAGCCGGTATTAGTCGTCATGTCACAGCGGTACATCAGAATCTACAATTTGCAGCAGCAGCAGCTGGAGAAAAAGCTGCTCCCGGGAGCCAGATGGCTCTCATGCCTGGATATCCATCCGCGCGGCGGCGACCACATTCTCGCCGGCTCGTACGACAAAAGAGTGCTGTGGCACGATCTCGACCTGAGTGCCACGCCGCACAAGACGTTGCGGTACCACGAAAAGGCCGTCCGGGCCGTGGCCTTCCACAAGGGTGGCTATCCGCTGTTCTGCTCTGCCTCGGACGACGGTTCTGTGCACGTGTTCCACGGAACCGTCTACGACGATCTCATGAGCAACCCGTTGCTCGTGCCGCTGAAAAAGCTCACCGGCCACAAGGTGGTGAACAATTTGGGTGTCCTCAACGTGTGCTGGCACCCTGCACAGCCTTGGCTTTTCACCGCGGGGGCAGACCACACGGCCCGGCTGTGGACAGACTGATTAGATATAAACCGGTTCTTAAACTACGTAGTAGCGTTAAATGGATGCATTCAGGTTCTCACGTCCGGCTCCTCCTTACCGATGAACTCCTGCAGCTTGAGAAACTTGACAACGCTCTGGATGTCAGAGGCAAGGAAATCGGAGGCAGACTTGGCGAGGTTCTCGTCAGACACGTCACCAGAGTGTTTCTCCAGATACAGTCTGATCGTGGCGCCCGACGAGCCCGTACCGGAGAGTCTGACCACAAACCTCAGGCCAGAGTCGAGCTTCACGTACAGACCTTGTTTGCTAGAGACAGAGCCGTCAAGGTCGGTGTACGAGAAGTTGGCGGCTTCAATGACCTTACCGGAGCTCCCTATCGTAGAGCCGATGAACTGCTGGCCCTGATCGACCTTGTCCTGCAACAGATTAATCACCTTCGCTGCATCAGCGCTATCGCACTCCTCGTAGTCGTATCTCGTAAAGAACGTTCTTCCGTATTTCTTCCAGAATGATTTTTGGATGTTGGCGATCGTTGGCTCGATTTCCGGGTGATCCCTTTCGAAAGCAGCCAGCAGGTTCAGCCAGGCCACAATGGCCCACAATCCGTCCTTCTCTCTGATGTGGTCAGAGCCAGTACCGAAAGATTCTTCTCCGCAGATGGACAGTTTCTTGGCGTCGAAAAGCGCACAGAAAAACTTCCATCCGGTAGGCACCTCGTAGATATTCAAGCCCTTGGCCTTGGCAACAAGGTCGAGTGCTCCAGAGGTAGGCATCGATCTCGCCAAGCCGTGGACGCCGTTTTTCTGGAAGTATGGGATGCTTTGTGCGTGCTCCGCAATGATAGCAACCGAGTCTCCAGGGGAGACAAAAGCTCCAGCTCCGTAGATCATGTTTCTATCTCCATCTCCATCAGAAGCCGCACCAAATGCAATATTTTCAGCGTCCACTCTGTCCACCAGCGTCCGTGCGTAGGTCAAATTAGGATCTGGGTGTAATCCGCCAAAGTCTGGCTTAGCAACGTAGTTTTGAATCGAAGATTCTGGCAGTCCCAACTCGTCCACAAATATAGCCTTGCCGTAAGGACCTGTGACTCCGTTCAGCGCATCGAACAGAATTTTGAAGCCCTGAGGCGTCTTTTTAGCAATAAACGACCTGATGAGGTCCAGGTCGAAAATCTCCTTGATCATCGCCACATACGCAGCGGTGGAATCAATGATCTCGACTTCCAATTGCCCATACGTCTTTGTTCCAATAGTAGACAAATCCACCTCCGGCAGGTCCTTCACAATCTTGTAGGACTCCAGTTTCAGAGAGGTCTCGTAGATCTTGTTGGTGACAGACTCCGGGGCCGGTCCTCCATTGCCCAGGTTATACTTGATTCCACAGTCGTTGTTTGGTCCTCCAGGGTTGTGCGACGCAGTCAGAATGATACCTCCGGTCACCTCCTTGCCGTCGCCGTTAGGACCGTACGTTCTGATGACCCGGGAGGCAGCAGGTGTCGACAGAAGCCCGTTCTGACCAATTATCAGTTTCTTCACCTTATTGGCCGCGCCAATCTTGGCAATCAATTGCACAATGTGGTCGTTGTAGTATCTTCCGTCTCCACCGACAACTAGAGTCGACCCCTCGGCACCTTCTGGAATGGAGTCGAAGATGGCCTGGATGAAGTTCTCTGTGTAGTTTGGCTGCTGGAAAACCTTGACCTTTTTCCGCAAACCAGATGTTCCTGGCTTCTGGTCAGTGAATGGCTTGGTAGGCACTTCTGAAACTGCAAACGACATGATATTAAATTGCCAACAATTTGTGGTGGGATCACTGTATTTAACAAGAAACCGGATTCTGTGGTGCAGGGGTGTTGTTCTGTTGGAATATTTTTTCTCTATTTTTCTAAGCCAGATTTGTGTAGAGATGGGTGACAGCTACGGGGGGCTAGAGCCGAGCAGGGTGATATACATCGGTGGCATCCCGTTTGACCAGACAGAGGACCAGATCCTTGACATTGCGCGGTCCGTGGGGCCTGTGGTGTCGTCGAAGCTGCTGTTTGACCGCGAAACAGGGAAATCCAAGGGCTACGCTTTCATCGAGTACCAGGATATAGAAACGGCGAGGTCTGCTGTGCGGAACCTCAACAACTACGCGATTGGGAACAGGTACCTGAAATGCAACTTTTCGAGCGAGCAGGCGGTCATCAACACGATGAAGTCGCAAACGTCCAGCGAATGGGCCGAGCTGGAAAAACAGATCCCACCGCTGCCACCAGGGATGCTCATGGCGAACTCGAGCATGGAGAGTCTGAACCAGCAGATCAACGCGGCGCTCGCTACGCTGGATAAAAACAGATTACATAATCTGGTAAAAGATGCGAAAATCATGTCGGACAACCACCCGCAGCTGATGGCGCTGCTGCTCGAGAAAAACCCGCAGTTGCTGTTTGCGCTGGTGCAAGCCACGATGATTCTTGGGCTGAGCGACGCGGAACAAATCAAAAGCATATTGGTGGAGCAGAAGGAACAAAAACAGCCAGACTCGGCTCCGGGAGCCGAGGCAGAGAACCCGCTCAGTTCATTGGACGCAGACCAGGTGCAGGCTATCCGGACGATTTGTGCGATGAGCGAGGCGGAGATCCAGCAGGTCGCGGCGGATCAGCAAGAGCTGTATCGGGAGATCCAGAAGCGATACAAAATGTATTTGTAGATAGTAATGGAAAAAATATAGCCACGACAGTCACTGTGTTGCGGGTTGACTATTTTTTATTCGGTGGACACGCGCAAGAAGATCCCTCGCTAAATTTTTCATCGAAAAAAAAATTTTCCAGTTTAAACAAAACCAGTGAAAGAGTTTATAAGTCAGCACCAGGAGGAAATGTACTATTGAGCATAACAGCTAACATTTTCCTGTACTGACATACGACGCGATTCACTAGTTAAAACACAAAAACACATAGAGATTATTGCCAACGCCGATACTTCTTTGCGAGGGGATCCTTGGAGGGCCAATTTGTACATAGAACGAATCTTCACCATGTCGACCAAACCCCAACCGCAAGCCGCCAACAACAGCTCGTGCGTGCTGTACTTAGGCGCTATTCCTTACAATTGGGACGTCGAGATCATCAAGTCCGTCGTCTGCGGGTCTGGTCCTGTTGTTGATGTGCGTTGTATGATGGACAACGCTTCGAAAAACAAAGGGTTCTGTTTTGTTGAGTATGCGACGCCGGACGCGGCTGCCCGCGCGCTGCAAATCCTGTCCAAAATCAAGATTGAGGGCCGCAAGAAGCTCAGAATCGAACTTTCCAAAGAGGGCCTCAGAAACCCCGTTCCGGGCCAGAAGCCGGAGCTCCAGCTCAACCGGAACTTCCTCCCATCCAACGTCATTTTGCCGCAGGAGATGTTGACTGCAAACCCAAACCTACCGCCGCAGTACAACACCTACCAGCAAGCCGTTCCGTCGTCGGCCGCTTCTTCCAACTCGTCGGGTTCGACGCCTTCCGGCACTGCCAATAATCCGTTTGGAAGCAGGTTTGCAGGCCAGAACAGCGATATGCTGGCCACCATCTCCTCCAACCCGCAGTTGCAGCAGATGGTGAGCCAGATGATTTCTAACGGAATGGACATGACCCAAATCGGCAACGTGGTCCAACAGTTCAACAGACAACAGTCGACCACCGGTTCGCAGGCAAACGGGTCGTCCCAGTTCATCCCCACCAACCTGTCGATGGCTTCCCAGTTTTTGCCACTTCCGCAACAGTCCCAGCAGCCAATTTACGCCAAGGACAAGGTCTCGGAGACCTTGGCTACTATTCCTCCAGGTATACTAATTGAGCTGCTGGCCAAGTTGAAACTCATTGTGTCGGGGCCTTCGCCAAACTACGCCGAAGCCGCCCAGATCCTGCACTCCAATCCAAAATTGGCTGTGGCTGCCGCCCAGTCGTTGCTGCTGATGGGCGTTGTTGATCTCGACGTGATCAACCAGTCGATGTCTGCACAGCCCCAGGCTACTTCTGCGGAGCCGGCTGTCGCTCCGACGGCCGGTTCCAGCGCTGCTCCGCCTACATACTCTCCGTTCAACCCAACCTCGCACCAGTCAACACCGTCCCCTGCGTCTACTCAACAGGCTCCTGCTACCACCCCTTCCCCTGTCAATCTCGACAACGTCAACCCTGACTGGAAGGATTTGCCACGGGAAACCATTAACAAATTAATGCATATCAACGAGCAGGAAGCTAATCTGATTGTCCAGGTTTTGAAGCTGACACCGCAGCAAATCGACATTCTGCCAGATAACGAGCGTGTCATGGCCAACCAGATCAGAGCTCAGTACTTATAGCTTGCACTTCGCCTCTGCCACCCGCCGATTCTTTCGCAACTATTTAGTTAATATAGCTATGGTAGGCCAGCTCGCTCTCTGTCGACGCGTCGACAGTCTCTTATTAATTATTTTTTCTAGAAAAAGCTATCGACTAGTTAAATAAAATAATTGGAGCTAAAATAAATTTCATTAAAATGAATAACGACAATAATCAACCGCAACCTAACCAAAACAACCCCCCGGGCATCTCGTTTGCCTTTGACATCTTCCCTCTGGAGTTTAATCGCACGTCTCCAGCCCCAGGCTCCGCAGAGTCGCCCATTGCCCTGATGATGCGCAATTTCGTGGAGATCCTCAACCGGCCTTCCAAACACAAGCATGCCACCAAGGACGCCATTGACTCTTTGAAGCCAATTCCGCTCGCAGAACTTCCAGAATCCGAAAAACAATGTCCGATCTGCTTCGAACCGTTCGAAGAGTACTCAGAGAAACGTGAGTCTAACACAGAACAAAAGAAAGCCGTCGATTTGCCATCCTTCTTCGACGGCTACGACGCCTCCGACCCCGACCTCACATTTCCAACAGATCAAACAGCCACGCACGAAGTGGCGTACAATCCCGGAGAAGAGATTCCTACACAGCCGGCTGAGAAACCCGAGGACAAATCAGAAGATGCACATTATCCGGTGAAACTGGATCAATGTGGCCACATATTTGGCAAAGCGTGCGTGGCCGAGTGGCTGAAGAGCAACGTGTCGTGCCCGCTCTGTCGTCGCGAGATTGCGCCGGAGATGACCGAATCGCCAAGCACCAGCTTCAACCTGGTGTTCTACCCTGTCGCCTTGACCGAGGCGTTTGTGCCTATCAGCTGGTCAGGCCCGCTCAGAATGGGCTATGCTTTAAGTGACCCACCAATCAACTTCCCTGCGCAGGGAGAGGGCTTTTCTATGGGCAGACGCACGGGGCCCGAGGCGCCTGCTCCCGAGCCCCAGGAAAGAGCACAAACACCAGATAGAACAGGGTCCGGAGGGCCCACGCGCAACAACGCCTCGCGAACGGTAAGATCGCATCCTTACACGCGTCCCTCGAGCAACTCGTCAGAAAGCGAGGGCTAATTGGATTATTTCTATGATATATTATTTATTCATCATCATCTGCAGCTGTTCCAAAGTCTCTCTGTCCACCGACGAGATAAGTTGCTGATATCCGTCAATACCCGCCAGTTGATCCATCTGGTACTTGAGAAGCTGTTTGCTGCTGACTCTGTGCACGGGGTCCAGCTTGAACACCAGCTCGTTGAAGCGTAGCTGCTCTGCCGAGGGAGGCAGCTTGAACTCCTGCGCATACTCGTTTTCGTCTGGCTGGTCTTCTATCAACGTGAGATCGTCGTCGTCGTACGACGATGGCCTGTGGTACGCCTCGCAGTCGCCGTCCGCGTTCTCGTTGACCTCTTCGAGCATATGTGTGACAAGAAACATGACTCTGTTGAAATTTTTCGATAGCACCAAATTTATGCCCGTTTGGCTCTCGGAATTGAGCAGCTGGTACTCCAGGTCAACACTGGGATCCTGAGCGCAGTACTGTGTGAATATAGGCGGCGCATAGAGCGCCAGCAGCGCCAGCACGAAGATTTTCCTGATTTTCTCGTCGTACACCAGCTTGAGCAGGTTGACAACCGAGTCGACCAGCTGCGCGAGCTGGACGGCAAGGCTGGAGTCTGAAACGGTGCCGAGCATGCCGAGAAGGTGGACGGGGCCTGCGTGGAGCAGACGCAGCAGGGGCAGCGCCATTTTTATCTCGCAGTTGGGTGTTTGCGACTCTCTGGTCAGATATTTCACCATCTCGAAAAACAGTCCGCTTTCCGCCAAGTTCGCCACCAATTGCGACCGGCTCGGGTCCGGGACCTGCAGAAACAGCGTCTCCAACAGCGACGACGTAACGTACACGGCGTCGTCGCGCATCGAATTGAGGTAGCCGCCCAGGATCTTGAAGATCTCGAGCCCGGTCTCTGTCTCATATAGCTGATAATTCAAGATACCGTACGAGCGCGCAAGCTTGAGCACCGTAGGCAGGATTTCTGTCCAGTTCATGAGCGCCTTGACGCTCAGCGGGAACAGTCTTAGCAGCTCCACGGGAGCCGGCTCCGCCGTCGGCAGGTGTTTAACCACCGCCTCCCACAGCTCGAGGCCGTCCTCACACAGTAGCGTATACATGTCGGACTTGTCGTCGCAGCACAGCGCTATCAGCGGCAGCACGATAGGATGCGCCTTACTGCTGTTGCTGTTGAGCGCGCCGGTCAGGTCGCGGAGCAACCGCATCAGTGAGTTCTTGATAATCATCTCATTCGCGTTGTTCGACTCATCCCACATGGCCGGAACTATCGCCATGACGTCGAGCAGCTCTTTTTCCGGCACGAGCGGATTGGTGCGCTCCAGAATGAGCGACAGAACCTTGAGCACGAAAATCTTGGATTCTGTGAACTCGAGATTCCGGAGCAGCTCGAGCACCAGGGCCACGGTTTCCGACACAAACGGCTGGAAGTCGCGCTTGCGGAATTCCCAGTCGTCCACGAGATGCTGCAGTGTCTGCACGGCCGTCAGACGGACCACCTTGTCGTTGATGTCTGTGTTCTGCAAAAACCGCAGCACCAGCCGGTAAACCTCGAGCCTGGTCTCTTTGGAGCACTGAATCGACAGCCACTCGCTCACAATTAGACACACGCGCCGCTTGACCAGCTTGTTCTCAACGGGAGCGTCTTTCAGCGCCTCGGGCAGGAAATAGCTGCGGAAAAGCTGGTCGAAGTTGCAGTTTTCGCTGATCGCGCTTGCGCTCAGCTGGAACACCGCCAGCACCGCGTCTTTGGTCAAAATGTCCACAGAGCTGTCTGCAAGCGTGCTCTCGATTTTCCGCAGGATAAACTCGCTCAGCTGCGGCTTGAAGCACACAGCCAGGTCCTGGAAGTAATTTTCCGCACACGGCCTGATCTGGTACTCCCAGCTGACCTGCAGCTCCTCATTGACCCACTCCTCGGGCTCCAGCGTCCACGAAACCACGTCTGCCGGCCGCAGTTTCAGATACCACGTGATCAGCAGGTCGACAAGGCTCTGCACGAGCTGCGGCGGGAAAAACCGTTCTGTTGCGGCTTTGGCTGCCGCAGCCACCTCCTGCTGGTCGTTTCGCTGCTTGAGCATCACAGCGCCTTTCTTAAATCCAAAAGCCGTCAGTCTCTTCAGCACAAGGATCATCTTAATGGCCAGTTGCTCCCAAAATTCATTCTCCTCGCTGTTGTATATATCGCTGGCCTTCGACTCCAGCAGCGATAGCATCGTCATGAATATCTCGTACGAGTTCGGCATCAGGACAAACGCAACAACGTTGTCGCTCACCAAGTTTGCGTAGAGCTTGACATACGCCTTGATATATCTTTCTAGCAACGGCAGCTGCGAGCTCTCGTGGAGCAGCAGTAGTTTCTGCAAATGCTGCAATGACACCTCGTAAAACTCAACCACAAGACTGTCCCGGTGAGGGTACTCGTATCCGTCTACCACGGCCCGCCGCAGGTTCTTGAGACACAGATATCCGACCTCCATGCTTGCTGCGTCGAAATTCCCGTCTGCGGTCCAGTGATTGAAAAATCCGTGATACAGGCGCACCAGGTGTGGAACTAGCACCGACACTTTGTTCTGCAGCGCTGCGCGAGCTCGGCCTATCCGCACCGAGGCAAGAGCCTTGAGAACCTGGTTGGTGATCAGCAGCATGTTGTGCACTTTTACGATGTTTGTGGTGGCGGTATCCAACACTGCGGCAATCTCCTCGAACACGGTGCTCCACTCGGCAGGGAAATCAAGTCGGCAAACACGCGCAATGGCATGAGCGTTCTGGATAGTGAGCTGGTCGTTTGACTCCTCCAACGAGTCGAAGAAGTGTTTTCTGATCTCTGCCTTCTCCTCTTTGGATATGGCATGCACCCGGGTCGACCGCCAGTACCTGTCGACGCCGTTTTTGAGACAAATGATGGCGAGCCAGCGAATTTGCAGAGGATGGTCTGTGTTTAGGTACACAGACTGGAGCAGAAAATGGTATCCCGGAACGGTCTCCCATTGCTTCAATTGCGCCTCTGCGGCCTGCTGTTCTGCGCCACGCTGTTTTCCTGAGGCAGTGGTGAGAACGGTGGCCAAGTTATCGAGGTTGAGGTCCATGGATTAAAAAAGATCGAAATTATTCAAATTATTCAAAATTAAAAACTAAAAATATTTAAACCACAATTGCGAACCGTGGAACCCTGAAATCCAAAATCCGAACTGCCCGGACGGAGTGACATACCGACTAGCTACTATTTAGTGTAACCAGTACACCAAGTATTTGTTTCGACATACCATCCTGTTGAGGTTGTTTCTGTTGGCCTTCCTCCATCGGTTGCCCCCATACTTACACCCACAGGTGTCTCCCCACTGATGTTGCGACCAGCCCCCACTTTCCTGCATCACGGGGCGTGTGGCGTAGTTGGTAGCGCGTTCGCTTAGCATGCGAAAGGTCTTGGGTTCGACTCCCAACTCGTCCATCTTTTTTCCCGATTGAATATTTTTTTTTTGAACCCTTGTCAAACCGTCCTTTCAACTGTCCTCATCCCCATTGATGAATACCTACGCGTTCACGGTCCCTGCGCGGGTCAAGGCCCAGGTGGTTCCTCAGAACGGCCTTGACAGCGCTGAGTTCGCGACGTGTTTGTCCTCGCTGCAGCGGATCGCAGAGGTCAGACTGGTAGACGTGATGCCGTGTGCCGGGCTGTTCAACCCGCAGGCGTATCCCCAGGGACACGTGATGTACGACTTCACCACGGACGATCAGGATGCCTCGCAGCTGTTTCTGCTTGATTTCGAGCCGTTTCGCAAAGTGTTCAATACCATAGGCATTCTCAAGTGGACCGAGGAACTGGACGACGGAAAACTATCATCTCTGCACAAAAATCTCAAATCCCAGCACCCCAGCTCTCTGGGCCACTACAGCCTTGTTTTTGGGGCTCCAAAGGACTACAAAAGCGCCGTGCCTAACGTTTTCGCGGTGCTCGGCGACTTGGCCAACATCGAGACGGTGATTTGCGACGTGACGTCTAGCTTTCTCGGAAACCTTTCTGTCTACGTTTCTGCGTACCAGCACGTGACTCTAAGGTCGCCTGGGATTGCCAGCGGCAGCGTTGCCAACGGCACGGCGAAAAAGCGGATCTCGTCCTCTTTTGAGAGCCAGGACAAAATCCGGGCCCATAGAAACAAGGGCCGGCGACAAAAACTGTATGCGAACTTCTACCTGCTGGCCGGCAACCTCAAGAACGCATTGGCCGAGTTCTGCGAGAGTATTTTGAATTTGCAGTATGCTGGCGACTATCTGTGGCTGGCGTCTGGGTTAGAAGGACTGGGTCTGTGCATGGCGCTGTTGGTGAAGCTGGAGGCGCCTTTCCAGCTACCGACAGAAATTCTGGCACTGCTGGACAACGTCAAAAAGACGACACAATCGCCTATCGTCTCGCCTCGGCCGTCCTTTCAGTCAGCAAACGGCTTCCCGACCCAGCCATCAAGTGCCGTGTATTCCGTCGAGGCGGTCGAAAACCTCATCATCAAGGCGATCGGCAAGTCCTTTGCGTACTACAGACAGAGTCTGCAGACGCCCGAGGACTACGCTCCGCAGATGGTGCTGTGCGAGAGCAATCTCCGGTATATCGACTATCTGAGCTCCGTCAACGTCCACGACAGCGTGGAGCTGATTTGCGGCATCACAAGCGATATTTTCAACGAGCGATTTGTGCACCTCCCGCCTACACAGCAGTACCGGATCTACAACTCGATGATTCACGTCTACGGCAGGCTGAATATGGGGAGAAAACGGGCATTTTTGATTCGCGAGCTTCTGGAGCTCGTTCTGAAGCACCGACTGATTGCAGAAGAGTCGTACGATGGACAGCTGGAGGAGCTGCTGGACTCTGTGTTGCAAGTTTACGGAATTGATCGCCAAAAGCCACCAAACCAGATTCAGAAAAAAGTGCTCGTGTCAGTGTTCCGATTCTGCCACCACATCAAGTACCACAAGGGAGTCGCAAAGTACGGCTGTTTTTTGCTGCGCGACTTCCACGTGATGCTCTCAGAAAACGAACAGTCGCATATATTTGGCATTCTGTGCCAGCTCAACCAGGCGTATCCCTACTGGGATGACCATCTCGTGCAAAACATCAGTCTGTACCAGAAAGACAAGCTGATCCAGGACGAACTGTGCGAGGCGGCGATTGTGCTGCAGAACCCGTATTTATTTGAGCTGGAGGTGAAAAATATCAAGGTTGCAACCAACGGGTTCCCTGTTAAAACACAGCTGAATCTGAAAAGCAGGGTCACTGGCACGTCCAATACGTCGGTTACGTTAAAGCCGCACTCACAGACCACTGTCTCTGTGTTTGTGGTCCCTCTGAACCACGGAGACATGGAAATTACGGGTATTTCTGCCGTGGTGAGCAATTGCAAGGAGAGAACGTTCGAGTGGCTGGAAAAACAGCCTACAACGGCGAAAAACCCCGTCCCAGCGTGCAAGCCCCGGTCGTTGACGGTACCGGTGCTCTATGAACAGCCGCTGCTGAGCCTAGTGGACGTCAAGCTGCCCAATCGCTGGATCATGCTACTCGAAGGCGAGTGCAAGCGGTTTGACATCGTGATGAAAAACGCCTCGAATGTCGAGATCAACCAGCTCACGACGAAGTTCCTGGACTCGACAATCGAGCCACTGAACCAGCTGCTTCAGAACAAAAACCTGCCCCCCAACGAGGTGTACGAGATCGAGTACTACCTGATCAAAAAGAAACCGTTCAAAATCCTGAACAAAAACGAGGTTGTGCGGATCGGGCCGGGCCAGGAGCTCAAACTCGAAATGGAGATATGGGGGAAGCGGGGCGTGAAGGAGGCCAGCGTTATTCTGGAGTACTCGCACAGAAAACAGGCTTTGCCAACCAATTTCTTCCGCAAGCTCACCATTCCCGTCAACGTGACCGTCTATCCGAGCATCGAGCTTGTTGGCTGCGACATCATCCCGCTCTCGTCGTCCACGAGGATATCAGAGTCCAACCAGGGCGCCACTTGGAAGTATCTGGAGAAAATGGTGGGCCAGGGCCACCAGATGTCAGACTTCTGTCTGCTTGCGCTGGACCTGATGAACTCCTGGACAGAGGAGATGACGGTCACTTTCCAGTGTCTTCTGGAAGGTTCGAAAGACCACGAGTTCCAGCAGTCGAACGACGCAATCGAAAACCCACCCGAGGACACCTACACGACGACGATTGTGCTGCAGAGCAAAAAAAACGCGCGAACCTTGATCCCGATAAAAAGAATCAATTTCAACTACGAGTACCTCGATCAGCGGGTCCCAAGTCTTCGCAACAAGCAGTTCATTCTCGACACCAAGACGCCGGAACCGGAACAGCGGTTTGTCAAGCACGCGTTCTGGTACCGGCACGAGCTGCTGCAGCGGCTGCGCGCGCGGTGGCAGATCTCACAAACTAACAGTAACTCGATCTATGCCGGAAGAGGAGGCATTATTGACATCAGAAGCATCCGGTTCTCGTCCAAGATGGTGAGCGCATTGGAGGTGGAGAAAATTGGACTGGTTTTGGACGTGCTGGACACCGAGGACCGCATTGTTGATCCCGAATCGTTGGAGCTGAACCAGTTCTACAGTATACGCCTTAAACTCACCAACAGGAACTCGTGTGCGGTGGCTGGCATGCTGCGACACGTTCCTGTGTGCCATTCGCTATTTGCATCAATTGACAAAAAGATCCTATACAACGGAGTGTTGCAGTTCAGTATCGAGAAGCCCGTGCTGCCCAACGAGTCGCGGGAGTTTATTCTCGGAGTTGCGTTTCTGGAGAAGGGCGAGTACGAGTGGGGGGCCATCTTTGACGAAATGAACGGCTACGAGGGGGGAACTATCTCGCTCAAGCATCAGCATCTGCAAAGGGAGCAGCTGAAAATAAAGGTGGACTGACCGGGCCAGCGCACTTTCCATGTGCTGCAAAACCGCCCGGACCAGATATTTCTGCTAGAGACGCTACCCTGCAGCCTTGGGTACGCGAAAAGTGAAGATCCAGGAGCATCAGCTGTGGAAAACGTGCTGGGCCACACAGAGCTGATCACGTGAGTCGTAAATACCGGTACATGTTTCTTACATAAGCGAAAACACTCTAGTTACACAATGATAAATTAGATAATTAATAGATAGATACTTACACACCTGCCTTTTCGTACATTAGGATGTACGCGCTCTTACCGTTGGTGGCCCCGCCGCCATGGCCGTTTTCGACAGCATCCTCGGCGCTGATACGTGTTACAAGGGTGTCGTCCACACGAGTCCAGCTGTCGTCTGCTCCCAGAACATCCGCAGTGTAATGGCCCTCTTCTGTGGAACGGCCGTGGTGGTAAACCACGGCCGTGAGCCGGTATGTAGGCTCCTCCATGACGTTTGGGGATATACAGGAGGCAGGCAACGTGAGCCTGTGAGGGTATTCAATTTTTTTGTGCAGTTTTTCAATGCGGCCGCCTGTTTCAGGGGTCTTTGTATGTGTAGGGACAGGCGGTAAAGTTTGCGATGCAGAGGTTTTGTTCCTGCGCTGTTTCGAAGAGACGATCTCGTAGTCGTTGAAGTCCTCGTTGCTTTCGTCGTTGGCCACAAACGAAAACCGCTTGAGGTGGATGATGAGAACGGTTGGGAGCTTGTCGATGAGGTTTTGTTTCTTGGCGGTCTGGTCTCCGTACGAGATCTCTTCCACCGTGGCAAACTTTTCAAACGCAGTGTACAGGTTGTTGATGTCCTTGTCGCTGATTTCGAGCTGCACGTGCATGAACGGGTCCAATGTGATGGACGATTTTTTGCTGTTTGGCACCTGCAGAACAGAGCGGAAATGGCCGCCAAACATGTGCACAACGGGCGACGGCTTGACATCGACTTGTCTTTTCACTGCCATCTTCTGGTTCGCGCCGACCTCCATCCAACCATTGTCCTCTTTCTCTGTCGATCCGTTGATTTGGCCCGTCTTGATCATTTCCAGCGCAGAGTTCAAAGTCTTGAGTGTCTGCGGGTCCTTGATGGAGGCCCTCAGATCGGCGATGTCGCTCTCAGCCAAGCGTTTAATGCTGTCCACAAACTCCTCGTGCAGCCCGTCCAGGAGATACCCCAGGAACTCCTCTGCGTCTTCCTGTCTGCCCCACTTGAGATGGCTGAACCGGGGCAGTCTGGCGATGCTGGCATAGAATCCCGTAGGCGTGAGAACCTCTGGCGAGGACTTGTTGAAGGCGTCGTGCAAGGCCACCAGGGCGTCCATGATAGGCGTGTGCGACTCGAGCCGGCCTAGACTCAGGTGACGGACAGCAGTGAGCATCTGGCTGAACGGCCTGCACGCAAACAGCGCCTGCAAAATTGCGTTCATGTAGCAGATGTTGCCGTTGTTGGCCAGGCCGTGCGGCGCCAGGCCGGCGTACTGTGGGAGGTGTTGCGTATCGTACATGAACCGTAAAAGAACAACACCCAGCGGTTTCAGGGTGGCATCAGCGGCGATCGACGCCGGCACCGCCCCATTGGGCTTCTTGTTGATCTCAAGGCCTTCCTGGACCACAGAGCTCCACTTCATGGTGGCAGGTTTGACTGTGGCGGTTGTGGTACTCCATTTGGGCTTTGGCGGTGGTGCAGTGACCGCTCGTCTGTTGGCGAACGCCCTCCATCGAAACTTGGTAAACTCCTCCTCGTCTGTGCCAAAATACCTTGGGAACTCGATTGTGTACCGCTTTCCTGAGCGCGTGGAGCACTTGAACCGGAAACTGCTGGATCTGACAAGATGGTCCTCAAACTTCGCCTTGTCCGGCTCTGATAGGTGTGCAATGGGATCAGTATGGTGTTCGGACATTTTCTGCTATGGACATGCGAGTGAAGATGCTAATATGTGAAAGTCTGTTCTATAGATGCAATCAAATTCCAATATTTATTACTGAGAATTAGATATTTTGCATGTTTGGGTCCCGTTCAACAAGAGATTTTTCAGTTTTTTTGGCTTGTGGTGGGTCGAAAATTTTTCAAATTACCACACCTCTACACAGCCAAACACAGAATTATAGGTACCCCTACGGTGCGCCCTTGGCCAGGCTCACCACGCTCTCTACATGTAGCTGGGCCCACTCGCCCAGATCCGCCACGTCCCTTTCCGCCACCAGATTCTGCGCCACTAGCTTGTCTCTGTGTATTTTGGCCAGCTCGCCACAGACTAGATGGCTGCACCAGCTCTCACGCTGGGCCAAATCCTGCTCGAGTTTTTCCCGACAGCAGCAAAACCGGCGTTCAAGATCGACCAAGTACCGCGCATTGCATGTGATGACGACCAGTGTCTCGCTCCGGAACCGGCGAATCTCGCAGTTGCCGTTTTCAAGATACGACAGCGCGGCCAGCACAGTCTGCGGCCCCAGCGCGAGGCAAAGCGTTATCCCGGCCTCCTGGTCGACGGTCAGCGTGCCGTCGTCGATGTCGAGCAGCCGCACGAGCTGCGAAGACACCAGAGCTGAGGGCCGAACGTTCATGAAAAACCAAAACACCACCTGGGTGATTACATAAGCAAGGGGCGAAAAATGGCTCAACCTGAGCAATGGAGTAGTTACAAATGGTCATTAAGGGTAATTAATTAAAAACGCTTATTAAGGGTACTATAGATTTAAGATGCTTAGAGCAAGAAAGCAGCAGCACCGGCAACGGCAGCCAAACCAGCAGCACCAACCTTAGCACCAGCGTTCTCAGCAGTGGAGATGACTGGAGCAGAGGAAGCAGCAGCAGAGGAAGTAGCAGAAGAAACTGGGCAAGTGGTGATAGTGGTGGTGGTAATGACCTCCTCCTTGGTGCATGGGCAGTCGGTGATGGTCAAGGTGGTGGCACCAGTGACGGTGTAAGTCTTTCCGTTGGTGACAATAGAGGTTGGCTCTGGGCAGTAGGTAGTCAAAGCAGTGACAACCTCAGAAATGGTGGTCTCGTAAGTAATGGTAGAGACGGTGCCGTTAGAGTAAGCAGCGAAAGCAGCGGAAGCCAAAGCAAGTGGAGACAAAGTTCTGAATTGCATTTTTAATTAAGCGAAAGACGATTGAATTAACAAAGTTAGTTGAGAATTTACCTAGCGGATGCTCCCGTTTTATACCTCCCAAAACATTGGGCTTCAGTCCCTTTCTGGAAAAAGCAAGAATTTACCTGTGCCTCGAAAGGTAAACAAATAATCGGAGCAGTTGATATGAACTGAGATTTGGTATTGTTGGAGTATTATTGGTGGGCTGAAAAGAAACAACGCACTATTGTTCGAGACGCACTCTCAGGGCAGATTGCTGGGTTCTGCACGACAATCTGCTATAATTAGTAGTTTGAAGAAATTTTTTTACGATTCAAAGAGTCAGGACCGGGTCGACATCGATGTTTTGATGCTATTTTGGGCGACAAGAATGCTTAGTCGCAAAATTCTCCCACTTATCCAATTACCGCATTGGGCAGTTTTGCTCGAGTAATTACTTATTTTAGACATATTTTAGATATTTTGGGGAATATCCCCCCACGTATTCCAGAATTGACACAATCGAGGTCTATGTTTCAGGGAGAACATACGAGTTTCCCCAATCAGGCACCATCGAGGGACCATGATTGGTCAACACGCCTCGGGTTCTGCCAGTGGTGTGCTTGACAGGCAAATGCGACGACGATCCGGGCACCAATTTGGGCATAGTAGTTACAGGGCCGATGAGCAAGCAATCTTTTAACACCAGTTATGGACAATGTGCGGAATTCGCAATACGAAGCAATCGTATGTACGTACGCACTGTAATTACTAGAAATTCCGCCATGTGAAAAACATAGTACCAGGCCTCCCGCACCTGTGACCTGAAGTAATGGGTTATTGGCAGCATCATCCAGCAGAAACATCACCCCGACACCGCCATATCAGTTAGTCGTAATCCTCATTTCGTTCCTGAAAATTCTATTTTAAGTTGTATCACCACCAGCCAGATTGAAAGGTCCGCTCTCCATTGCCCGAAGTTATGCACAGAAATTGTGGACACACACGCATCTGGCCTTTCTCCATCAACTGTATGTAGTCCACAATGGTCAGAGACTTGTCCAGGCCGGCCTGGCTGCCATTTTTGACCCAGTCTCTATAGAGCACCAAACGTTTAGCGTACTGGCCCGACCAGGGGCCATTCAAAGGAAGTATCGGCACCATAATTTGCTGCAGAACCGAAGTATCCTCTTCTTCTTCTTGCGACGATGCAGGCTGCGATTTTGAGAAGAATCTCTGACTCATGTTGACCATTTTGCCCGTGGTTATGACAATTACGTCATGTTTTTGGCACTCGTTACTGAGGAAAAGCAGCAGATTTTGGATAACCAGCTGTAGCTTTCGCGTGGGACTCTGCTGTTCTTTTCTATGTCCGTTGGCATCTCGTTTGTAGTGCTGCTTTTCGCCTCGGCGTTTGTCTCGGAGGTTGGTTAACGCAAACTGATACAGTGAATGAAAATCATCGATAATAACCAGTTTATACTGACGGAAGTCGAGGTTTTGCACTAGGAAAATCAGCCTGGTGAGAGTGTCAACACGGTAAAGATCGACGTTATTCCTATCTCCATTGAAGTTTTGCCAAGGAATATGAGAATGGGCGCTGATTACCGCAGACTGGGTATTATGATCTAGAAGACCGAACAGTATATCCCATTGCGCGGTGGTACCCGGCACGCATGCGATATCATACAACTTGCCCGGCGTGAAGTCGACAACGGCATCCACAGACTCGATTCGTGTCCTGCGGGGCTGTTTGGGCTCCAGCAGGGATAACAAAGTAGTGCCCATAAATAAGTCGGGAACTTTTTTCTATTTTTTGTTTTTTTTAGTCGCGTCGCATTAAATAATAACTAAACTAAGCGTGTTATCGATTATTTATTGTCTATAGTACATCGTTCGGAACCTTAACATAATAGCTCTGCAACGCGCGCCGAAGAGCAGGAACAAGCTTGCGCCATTCCAGAACTCTCACCTCCTTGTCGAACCGACGAGGCTTTCTAGTTTCATAACTCATAATTCTCTGTGCCAGTTCGTTCCGGAGGTCTGCGTTTGTTTTCCCGATAAACTCGCCGTGCGAGTCGGACGACATCACCTTCTTTGAGCTGATTGGTTTTTTCGACCAGAATGGTACCAAATTCGATCTGATGCGTCCTCTTTCTGCCCGGCGCTCTTTCTGGTTGGTGCTCTGGCTGCCTATAAGCAGCTCAACAATCTTGATAACCTCCACGCTGGTTATATAAAACTGGCGGCTCAACGACTCCCCTCCGCCTCGCGTCACCACCGTGGTGTCGTCGTCCTCCGAGTAATCCAGATTTTGGTAGCATTCTAGACACGACACCTCCACGAAATCGACTCCGTCCGGCGCCGGCCGTGTCTCTTGCTGCTCTGCAAGGTTAAGAATGTGGAAGCTCATTATAACTTCGTTTATGCGCTGACGACGCTCAACTCGGATGATGCGACGCTTGTCCTGCTTCTCGTGCTCGCTCCATTCGGGCAGGCACAAGTTCTCCTCGCCGCCGTCCAGAATCGACAGCTTGCACTTGAGATACCGCGACCGACCCGTTCTGTCTGGCGGAGGGGGTTTGGTCGTGGACCCACCGCTATTTAGACCGCGAACGAGAGGATACGACTTCGACTCGATTGCTTCCAAATCGACCTCGAGCACCTCCTCGTATTCGTCAACCTCGCTCAAAATAGTCAGCTCATCCTCGCCAAACGCCTTGAAGTCAAACTCGCTGTCAAGGCTTTCTCTTCGCGAAATACACTCTCCCATTCTTTCGGGGGAGGTGTGCATGCGCTCGCAGGCGGAAATAACGCAGTCTGGGGCTTGATGGATTCTGTCGTTACCACGGTAGACACGCTTTCCCCCTGCGAGGAATAGTCGCTGGAACGCGCTGGAGCTGTAAAACTGGGGTTCCTGGTCGGGTAACGTGGCTGCCAGCAGCTGGAGAGGCAGGTGGGAAACCACGACCTCGTCCTCAAAGGAGAACCACTCATTGGGCAGCTCATACTGTGCGAGATTGGAGAAATCTTCAAAGGGATTGTAATTGTAGGCCACACCCGAAGACATGATGATAACGATCCTGAGGGTGGGGCGTGTAGTAAATTTATATAGCTAATTTAAATAGCGTGAGCGGGCAGCCCTTGCTTTTAGTTTATGCCCTATGTGGTTAGAATGCCTATCTCTGCTGCCGGCATGCAAGAGGGAGTTCTGTACATACATTCACCTGCAGATGTGTGTATTGTTGAAATTCCTTCGCAAATAATACTGGCAAGAGAATGCTGCGCCTGCAGTGGCTTTGCCTGTCAGGTAGTTGGCAAGGTTAGTCTCTGCTACACCTCTTGTCCAGAAGATGGCGTTGCTCACCCTCGTGACGTAGGGCCTGCGGCAGACTGGTTGCTGCACTGCAACAACGACCCGCTGTGGCGCTTCCACGCGTTAACTTATTGGGTCCGGTTTTTCCTTGCACATATGCAGACTGTTTTTGGGGTGGGAGGTGTGAATGCCAATTATCTCCACCAAATTCAGCTTCAGCTATTATAGGAAACACGTCTCTCGCGCTCACAAAGATCTCAATTCTGAAGTGGCCACAAGAGAGAAGTCAACGTTGGTGAACCAGTGCCCTTTGGTCCTAGGTATGTCGCTTGTTTGCACAAAACGCCTCGTAGGCTGTGACGCCCATACGCAAATTGGGTTACGCCAACACGAACAACCTGCAGCTCTATTATCTTGACAAGTGCCCGTTTATCATTTTTTTTGCACTTGCCGCATATGCATGATCAAATAGGGAAATCCATGGAACACGACGTCTAGTGAAGGTATGCGGTGGAACTCTCATCCTTAAACGCGTACGCTGGTGATCACCAGCAAGTGCCTCTTCCAAGTTAGGAAACCATTGTTCCTCGCATGCGTCTCATTGGGGATTTTTAACCACTTCCAAGGCATGCGACGATCATAATGCGCATTTTCTGTACCTTGCTCGGTTGGTTCTCGGCCTTTCGGCATTGTTATCTTGTTTGTTACACCGGTATGCTCCGTCTGTTATTGCCGCAACGCTGTGCCAATGTTGGAAACTCGTGCAACAACCACGATAGCCTCTTGCCGCAATATACGAGCCACTTTTATTCATGGCCCCTCTGCCATCTTTGCAGCTGTCTTGCCAGTGCTAATCTTTTCTGCCGAATGCGTGCCTATTGTGCCACAGATTGAGGAGAACGTTCACTCGCTGTGACCGATATTATTTTCACTCACAACAACCCTGCACGCGGCCGCCCATTAATTTTAGCTCCGCCTTGGAAAACCCTACACCGTGAAGATCCCTCTTATCTCTTGTTCCATACCATGTCGAAAAAGGGCGTCCCTACGCTCCGTGCGGGCAACTCTGCCATGTCACGCATTGCCGATGTCCCCATACAGTGTCTTGCCACATGCTCAGTCCTTGAGGCGGCGTGTTTGATGAACGACGGGCGCAATCACTGCATTATAATAAACGATCCCGCTACCGGTAAGCTTTGCGGTCTGGTCACCGCCAAAGACCTTGCTTTTCGAGTGGTGGCCAGCCAAATGCCCTTTACAACCTCCGTGCGGCAGATTATGACTCCGAGTCCGTACATTATGTCGGCGCGGGCAAGCACAAACGAGGCCCTGCGGTTGATGGTTACGAAGAAAATACGTCACCTGCCGCTGGTGGACGACAGCGGCAGTGTTGTGGGGGTGCTAAACATTACGAAATGCTTCTACCATGCGATGATCAGGCTTGAAAAGATGGCCGACGAGGCGAAAACGCTCGCGTCTACATTTAATGACCTAAAAGAGGCGTCTCTCGAGCTGGAAACAAGCAAGTATTTGCTGGTGCAGCGCGGAGACGGCGAGTCAGAGACACAGGATCCATCAGAGACTTTCTCAAGCAACGAAAACTTGATGGATCTGGGCATTTTGCGCCGTAAACAAAAAATTGTCAAGGATTTAAAGAGACTTATCGATGTGATGACGCAGCCCAATCTCAAGAGTGTTCTCGAGGATCCGGATCTGGAAATATTGCCTCCGCTGCTTATTGGCACGAAAACCAGCGTTTTGGACGCTGTCAACCTGCTCAAGGAGAAAAATGTGACGGCGCTGCTGGTTTGCGAGTCTCCGTCCGCTCCTGCCCACTGCAGCCACATAATTGGAATCCTCACCAGTAAGGATGTTGCGTTCCGGGTGCTGGCAAGCCATATTGACCCCAAGTCCACGAGCATAGCACGGGTCATGACCCTAAGACCCAACTTCGCCGACGAAACGTTGGAAATCCACACTGCGTTGCGACTAATGTTCGAAGGAAAGTTTCTGAATCTGCCAATCAAGAATTCCGATGGCTATGTTACCGGCCTGGTGAGTGTTTTGCAGCTTACTTACGCCCTGCTTAAAACTCTTGACGGGTCCACCGAAACTGCCGAAGATCTACTAGAGGCAGACAATACATCTATAAATTCTCTCGATAATGGGCCCGCGTGGAATCAGTTTTGGGGATCACTGGACCAGCCGCTGAGCACCATGGAAAGCACCGAGAAGTCATCTAGAAGAAGCTCCTACCACTTGCCACGCAAGATGACCCGCACCAACTCCAGTAACGATACGCCAATTCAGAGTGTGCCGTACATTGGACCCATCAAACGCAATTTATCCGAGCAGTCCTCGTTTGAGCGAACGTTGCCGCCTCCACAGGCCTTCAGCAACGCTTCGTCTGCAACTGTATTTGAGCCAAGTGCACTAATTGATGCTCCAGAAACTTTGAAGTCAAAACCACGGGAGGCCAAATACAAACTGAAAATCAAGGAGGACTTGGGTCTGGGCTTTAATAATAAAATATACAAGATCAAAATTGATCCAGACTCAATCGGCAGCGTTGCCGACCTCTTCCACACTCTGACACACAAGATATACCATAAGGTGAATCTCAGTCGCTCAGAATATAAGTTCGACCTTGGGTACATCGACGAGGATGGAGACTTGATATCTGTCGAAAAAGAGGAGGACTTTGAGAATATTATTGAGCCCAAACGCATCTACTTTGTCCTGGAAATCCGCAGGAAGTATCCAAACCCCTCTGTCGATGCCATGACGCTGGCGCTGGCCGCTGGATGCGTGGTGATTGGGCTCTACCTGGTGAGAAGATATAGCTGAGCTAATGTTTGGTTGACGCACTACTACCGGAGTACTAATGTTTCGAATATATTTTTTTATAAAGAAAAAAAAATTTGCCCTTATAAACCTTTAGCATGTCGACAGCCGCACAATTACAACTGCCTGAAGAGACGTTTCAGCAGCTGAAGCAACAGCTGAGCGCCAAGCTTGCCGAGATGAACGTGACAGAAGACTCTGAGTACGTTGCAGAGTTCATTTTAGTGCTGATATCAAACGACAAGAGTCCCATGAGCATCATGGAAGAGTTGAGTGCTTTATTTGGTGACATCATCACGTTGGAGTTCATTCAGAGCGTTTTTGGTGAGATCCAGCGATTAAGAAATGGCGGAGTCGCCCCTGAAGAACAACCACAGCAACCTATACAAGAACCAACCGAGAGACAACAAGTGCGCTTTGACGAGGCTCCTCCATCAGAAGGCATGGAGGGCGTCAGCCGGACAAGTGCTCCAACAGGACCGCGCTCATTTGTGGAAAGAAAGAATGGAAACGGAATCTCAAAGTCCGCCAATACAAACGGAAAGAAGAACTTTGCGTTGAAAAATCAGAAGAATTTCATGCAGGCAATGAACTTGGCGATGATGAACAACGGACAGATGGCCAACTTTGCCACGCGCAAGGCGAATGGTAGATGCAAGGACTTCCCTCATTGCCCGAACAAAAACTGCCTATTCATGCATCCTACAAAGCCATGTTTTGCTTATCCAAACTGCCCAAATGCTCCAGGCACATGCAGCTATTTACATCCTGGTGAGGATGATGAGCTGATGGCTGAGCTGGAGAAGACGAGACAAGAGAGACTGGCGAAGTTGCAGAACGGCAACCAGAACAGGTTTATGAACCAAGTCTCGCAGCAGATTGGCATGCAACTGCAAAATACGGGGATCACGCTGTGCAAATTTGGCGCTGTGTGCCAAAAGGAGCTGTGTCCGTTTGGACACCCTACACCTGCCAATAAGGATGCCAAGGTGATTGTCTTGCAATGGTGTACGGACAATAAGAACTGCGCAGACCCAGAGTGCCAGAAGGCCCACTCTTCGCCAAATTACAAGCCTTCCGAGGCGCAAAGTGCCGCTGCTGCTGGTCCAGAAAAGACGTTGGAACAATGCAAATTTGGAGCTTACTGCAAAAACTTCCGTTGTCCAAAGCGTCATGCTACAAGTCCTGTTATCTGTCGTGACGGCGCCAATTGCACGCGGATCGACTGCTACTTCACCCATCCTATCGACGAGGACTGCAAGTTTGGAGTGAACTGCAAGAATGCAAAGTGTCCGTACAAACATCCCGAGGGACGCGAGCTCAACTTGGCCAAGAAGAATAATGTCTGGGTGAATGAGCACGTGCATCCGAGCCAGCGTCCATTTGCTGTTCCTGAAGACCAGGTGATGGAGCATGCGCAGACCTAACGAGTGTATATTAGCGTAAGAATATTTTTCGATGGATTCCATCATCTGTCATTATAATGTTTTGGCTGTCACACAGGTAGAAAGCATGGCCGTTATACTTTTTCGATTCAATCAAGTATATAGGATAATTTTTTTAATTTTATTTTATTTCATTTTATTTTCAGGAAATCACTGAATTAAAGGCAGACAACGAGCCGCAGAGTTGGTTTTTTGCAAAGCGGCCACCTTCTACAGCTCCATCTAAACAGAGATATTACCCATACTTAGTATCTCTTCTTGGTAGCCAGAGCCTCATCGGCGTAGACGTCCAATGGAGAGTCGGTAAGAGCGAACTCCTTCCACAAGCTAGGAGTCAAGAAACCGTAGGTAGAACCAATGGCAGCGAAACAAGCCTTCAAAGTGTTCTCAGTAGTTCTGGTAGAACCAGAGGAGGTGGTGTAAATGTCCTCGATACCGGCGAATTGCAACATGGTCTTGACGGCTGGAGAAGCAACAATACCGGAACCTCTTGGGGCAGGGATCAGTCTGACGTTGACCGAACCACACTTACCAGAACACTTGTTGGCAATAGAGTGAGGAGCACCAAGGTTGGAGCCCCAGTAACCTCTTCTGACTGGAATCAGAGCCAGCTTGGCAATGATGATGGCACCTCTGATGGCAGTGGCCAACTCCTTGGCGACCTTGATACCAAGACCAACGTGGCCGTTGGAGTCACCAACGACAACGACGACCTTCATTCTGGTTCTTTGACCAGCTCTGGTCTGCTTTTGAACAGACAGAACCTTCATGACCTTGTCCTGGAGACCTGGAACAAGCTCATCAATGATTTGGTACTCCTTAACTGGCAGGGAGTGGAGGTAGATCTCCTCCACGGAGGTGATTTTCTTGGCCTTCACGAGTCTTCCAAGCTTGGTGACTGGGACCCAGCTCTTCTCGTCATCTTGACCTCTTCTGCCTCTTCTTGGGCCTCTTCTTGGACCGCCTTGTCTTGGTGCACCGGACATGACTATAAGTGTGTTATTGACGTCGGAATGTTACGTGGAAAGCCGGGGGTAGTGGTTTTCAATCGACGTTGATGATAAAAAATAGGATGAAAAGCTGAAAAAAATTGCACCGGAGTGGACTCTCAGGTCGAGTCATGTGACTGGTCTTCAGGGTTCGCGTGCCCTGCGAAAAAAAATTATTCATTTTCTTTATCACATGACTACTCCTAATCGACTGGACGATCGACCGTGACTAATTACAGGAAACCCTGAATAATTAATCTTAAATTATTACCATGACGTCTCCAGTTCCGATTTCGATGCTGAGCAACTCGCTCAAACAGACTAGCCTCGCCACCTCTCCCAACGCGGTCTCTACCTCTCCAACCAACTCCTATCTCGACCAATACCGCCCGAGAACCAAATCCATCACCAAAAGCACCAAGACTCTGAAGCCATTTTCCACAGGTGACATCAAAATCTTGCTTCTCGAAAACGTGAACCAGACAGCCATCGATATCTTTGGCGCCCAAGGCTACCAGGTCGAGTTCCACAAAACTTCGCTCGGTGAGGAAGAGCTGATCGAAAAGATCAAGGACGTGCATGCCATTGGTATTCGTTCCAAGACCAAATTGACGGCCAATGTGCTGAAACACGCCAAAAACCTGCTTGTTATCGGATGTTTCTGTATCGGAACTAACCAGGTGGACCTTGAATACGCCGCTGAGGCCGGTATTGCGGTGTTCAATTCGCCGTTCTCCAACTCCCGTTCCGTGGCAGAGCTCGTGATCTGTGAGATCATTGCTCTTTCCAGACAGCTCGGCGACCGCTCGATGGAGCTGCACAATGGTGTCTGGAACAAGGTCAGCGCCAAATGCTGGGAAATCCGTGGAAAGACTCTGGGAATTGTCGGCTATGGCCACATCGGCTCCCAGCTGTCTGTTCTCGCTGAGGCTTTCGGTATGAACGTCATCTACTACGACGTGTTGATGATCATGGCGCTCGGCACGGCCAAACAGGTCTCTTCTCTGAACGAGCTACTTGCCAACTCCGACTTTGTCACCCTGCATGTTCCAGAAACTCCAGACACCAAAAACATGATCTCGAGTCCCCAGCTGGCCACCATGAAGGACGGTGCGTACCTGCTGAACAACGCCAGAGGCACGATCGTGGACATTCCAGCTCTGATTGACGCCCTGAAGGTCGGAAAGCTGGCCGGTGCCGCCTTGGATGTGTATCCGCACGAGCCCGCCAAAAATGGCCCTCTGTTCAACAACGAGCTTAACGAGTGGACTTCGGAGCTGCAGTCTTTGAAAAACGTCATTCTCACCCCGCACATCGGCGGCTCGACAGAAGAGGCCCAAAGCGCCATTGGTGTCGAGGTGGGCACTGCATTGACCAGCTACATCAACGAGGGCTCCTCGATCGGCGCGGTCAACTTCCCAGAGGTCTCCTTGCGCGGTCTTGATCTGGACCAGGAGAACGTTGTCAGAGTGCTGTACATCCACCAGAACGTGCCAGGCGTCCTGAGAACTGTGAACGAGATCCTGTCCTCGTACAACATCGAGAAACAGTTCTCCGACTCGAGAGGCAACATCGCCTACCTGATGGCCGATATCTCGGGCGTGAATGTGCAGGAGATCAAGTCGCTGTATGAGAAACTGGAAAACACCCCATACAAAATTATCACCAGACTGCTGTACTAAACGTACTGAGTGTTTATAGACGTTTGGCTAGAAAATAATTTGACTCTCAATTTTCTTTATTTTTAATTTTTTCAGTGGCAAAATGACGGCAATCACTTCTGCGGCCCCATACCTCTCGCTTCTGGAAGAACACGATCCAGACCTCAAGGTGTACGCTTTGAGGTCGCTGAACAACGTGGTCGACCAATTGTGGGCGGAGATTGCGAACAACATCGCCGAAATTGAACAGCTGTACGAGGACGAGCAGTTCGCCAACAGACACCTTGCTGCGCTGGTGGCCTCGAAAGTGTACTACAATTTGGGCGACTACGACTCCTCTGTGAAGTACTCACTGCTTGCGGGCAAGGAATTCAACGTGGACGAAAATACAGAGTACTCTCAGACCATTGTATCCAAGTGCATCAACCAGTACATCTCGCTGTCGCGGGCCAATTTCTCCGACGAGAAGGTGGCCATTGACCCGCAATTGAAGAGTATTTTTGAAACAATGGTGCACAAGTGCGTTGTCCAGGGAGAGCACAAGCTCGCTTTGGGAATTGCCCTCGAGAGTTACCGACAGGACATTGTTACGTCCATAATCGATACACTGGCTAAGGAAAGCAACAGCGAAGAGATCGTTTCCAGCCTGATTGGCTACATCCTCACCTGCTGCACCACTGTCTCCTACAACATTGATTTCCGTACCCGAATCCTAAACTCTCTGATCTTGACCCTCGTCTCCTTCAACAACCCAGATTACACCATCATCACCAAGATCATCGTGCAGCTCAACGATTTCAAGCTTGTTCGCAAGATCTTCAAGGACCTTATGGGCTCGCACGAAAAAGCACTTATTGCCTTCCAGATCGCCTTTGATCTCGTCAGCGTCGCCTCGCAGGAACTGCTCACAAAAACTGCAGAAATCATCGACTCGGATCCAGATCTGGATAAGTCGAACAAAAACGTGGTCAAGCTCAGAAAGATCCTCTCCGGGGTGCCAACATGTGACTTAGACATCACGTTCCTCTCCGACAACAACAATACCGACATTTCGATCCTCAACACTTCGAAAAAAGTATTGGACGGTAGAAATTCGATTTTCCACTCTGCAGTGACATTCCAGAATGCCTTCATGCATGCTGGAACTACCGACGACTCGTTTTTCAGATCCAACCTCGAATGGCTTGGAAAGGCCAACAACTGGTCGAAATTTTCGGCAACTGCAGCACTGGGTGTTATTCATAAAGGAAACCTGTCTCAGGGCAGGACTGTGTTGCAACCATATTTACCAGGAAGTACGCCTTCACCATACACCAATGGTGGATCTCTCTTTGGCTTGGGCTTCATATATGCCGGCCACGGGGCAGAGGTCATTGAGTATCTTAGAAAAATCGTGGTTGATAACAGCAACTCCGCTGACAACAAGAACACAGATATCATTTTGCATGGTGCATGTTTGGGGCTTGGTGTGGCTGCCATGGCTCTTGGAGATGAGTCTATTTACGAGGAGCTGAAAACAATATTGTACACCGACTCTGCGATTTCTGGTGAGGCCGCCGCCTTTGGAATGGGTCTTGTGATGCTGGGATCCGGAAATGAGGCAGCTATTCACGACATGTTGGCATACGCCCAGGAAACTCAACACGAAACCATCATTAGAGGTCTTTCGATCGGTATAGCTCTTCTTTGCTACGGAAAGGAGACAACAGCCGAACCAGTGATTGAGAAACTGATAGAGCATCAGGACTCCATTCTTCGATACGGTGGATGTTTCACATTGGCTCTGGCCTATTGTGGAACTGCAGACAACAATGCAATCAGAAGACTTTTGCACATTGCCGTTTCCGACTCCTCGGACAACGTGAGAAGAGCTGCTGTGATGGCGCTTGGGTTCATCTTGCTGCGTGATTACACCACCGTCCCCAAGATTGTCGAGCTGCTTTCTGAATCCTACAATCCTCACGTGAGGTACGGCACTGCCATGGCGTTGGGAATTTCATGCGCTGGTCGCGGTCTGCAGGCAGCCATCGATGTGCTTGAACCTTTAACCAAAGATGCTACAGATTTTGTTAGACAAGGTGCCACAATTGCGAAATCTATGATCTTAATACAACAGAATGAAAAGACTTATCCCAAAGTGAAGGAATTTAGAGAACAGCTGGTTAAGACGGTGTCCAACAAGCACGAGGATTCTCTCGCCAAATTCGGTGCTGCACTGGCCGAAGGTATTTTAGATGCTGGCGGAAGAAATGTCACTATCCAACTAGAGCATGCTCAGACCAATACACTGAACATGAAAGCAATTGTGGGATTGACTCTGTTCTCACAGTTCTGGTACTGGTTCCCGCTTACCCATTTTCTTTCGTTGTCGTTCAGTCCAACTGCCATTATCGGTGTCACGGAGGACCTGAAGGTGCCGAAATTCAAGATCAACTGTCATACCAAGCCAGAGGTCTTCAGCTATCCTCCTAAGTCCGAGGCCCAGGTGGAAAAACAACCAGACAAGATTGCCACGGCAGTTCTTTCGACTACTGCCCGTGCCAAAGCCAGAGCTGCAAAGAAAGACAAGGCTAAGAAAGACGCTAAGGATGAAGATAAGATGGATCTTGATGAAAAGAAGGAAAAAGTGGAGGACGAGAAAGAGAAGAAGGTTGAGTCTGAGGCCACCAATGGTACCGCGGAGACGCAGCCAGAATCCTTCTATGTGAAAGAGCCGTACCAGTTTGAAAACATGACCAGAGTTGTGCCTGCTCAACTTAAGTACGTCACATTTTCGAAGAACGAGAGATTTGTCCCGGTGAGGAAGTTCAAAGGAATGGGAGGAATCGTTGTTTTGCAGGACCTGTCTCCAAACGAGCCATTCGATAGAATCAAGACCGTGAGAGAAAAGAGCAATACTGAGGCTCCTGTGCCCGAACCATTCACCATTGATCCAGAGATCGACAAAGAGTTATTTGAAGAGAGCGAGTAAGCGATTAATTGGAGGTTTCTATTTGAATCTACCAAGGGCTCCTTCGAGAACATCCTTCTCGGGTTGGATGCCCTTTGAGAAATCGTGTTTCTGTTTCCTGAGAATTTTCTCTCTCTCAAGAGCACGCTCGATGCGCTTGGCCCTCTCGTTGATGACGTTTTGACGCAGCTTCCGTTTGGCTTTGCGGACCGTGGAGTTCTTGCCCTTGACCTCGGGCTTGATCTTCTTTTCGATCTCCTGTCCAGGTTGCGAGGGTTGCAGCTCCGCAAGGTCTTTAGCAGTGAGTCTTTTAGATGGAGCGCGCTTATCAACGCTACCGATCACGTTAGGGTCCAGCGTGATCATGTCAGGCTGCAGTTTGTTGAGCAAAGATCTGACCTCGGTCTGTTGTCGCTGTTTTGCTGTCTCGTACGGGTTGACTTCGAGTGCATCAAAGTTGGCCTCTCCGGCACCCGGCACAATAACAGAGGAGATCCCTTTACTATGTCCACAGCCCAATATATCCTCGAATGGCACAAACCTCGTGGTCTGGATCTGTGAAGCAGGGATCATGTGATTCATGTATGGCGAGTTCTGGTGGGTTTTCAAGAAGTTCCAGACCGTGATATGGGGCCCCCAGCCCACAGAAACCAGACCCTTGTCGGAAATGTCCACCGTATTAGCTTGTGTTGGAGTGTAATATGAATCTATCTCTTTAAAATTGCGAATGTCCCATAATTTGAGCGTTTTGTCTGCTCCTGCAACGACCATGTGCCTTCCGTCTCTGTTGATCGCAAGGGCCCGCACAGGCCCGCGACAGGCAAGAACTTTGGCCAGCGGAGTGGGCATGCTGGGCGACCACAGAGTTACCTGGCCATTGGCATGTCCTAGATGCATCACCGCGTTCCACGGGTTCTGTCTCATGCACTGAGTGGGGCCCAGCTTCGTGCGATGCTCAGCCACCAGCTCTCCCGTGGACACGTCGTGGTACTTGAGGAACCCGGTGTTTCCTGATGACGTAAGCAAGAAATGGTAAGGGAGGAAATCGAGGAGTGTGGAGTCGATATGCTGTTTGAGTCTATGAAGTTCCATTCCTGTTTTGTCGTAGATGAAGACGTATTTTTTCTGCGCGACGGCAAAGTACTGGTTATTGTGCAAATATTTGACCGCATGCACGGTTTCGTTGAGATGCATTTCGCAGTCCAGTTTGCCCAGTCTCCAGTCAAACGAGGCCACATGACCCTTCTTGCCTCCTATAAGTAGATCGCGACCGTTCCTCGAGTAATCCAGCGTGTAAGGGCCAAATTCCTCCAGCTTGAGCTCGAATCGCTTGTTTGCTGTTGCCTGATCGACCTCCTTAACTATATCGTCTTGCACAAACTTGTAGGTTTTTTCCATGCCCTCGGCTTCTAGGAATCCTGCATCTTCCTGGAGCAGAATTTCTGTGTTTTTGGCTGACCGCACCGCATCTCTATGTTGCTGATCGAGCCTCTTGAGGTTGGCGTTGAGCTTTTTGTCTTTGGAGTAGACAGCCATCTAAAAGATTTTTGCTGATAAATTTTTTTTTTGTTCACAGCCTTGAGCGCTTACAAGAAAAAAGGGCAGGGAATTTCCTGCCAAGTCAATATGGGGTTTTTCTTTTGGAATAAGGCCAGACCCGAGGTTATCGCGGCTGAACCAACTGAAAATAAGCATGATGACACGGATGAACTTGCTATTTGTGACACCAGCGCTGTTGTGTCTACGAGATCCTCCAAGTCTTCCAAGACGCTTGGAAGAAGGGGCACCTTAAAGCGATTTTTTAGCATCAAACGCAAGCCGCTGGAGGTTGAGCCTTCAAATACAACAGAGACAGCTGTGAATTCTATAGTGGACTCTTTTGAGTGCGGCAATGGATCGTACTCATCATATGACGAGACAAGAACTACCAATTACAGCGGGATGCAGAGCAGCCCAGAGCTGGACAATACAGACGAGTATCCTCATTTGAGACGCAAGGACAGTAAAAAGAGACACAGCCGGATGTCGAACTATCTTAAAAGCAGGGAGCCAGCTAACAAAATGGAAAAGAATCCTCTTCCCATACAACAGCTATTCCAGCTGGAATTTGAGGACATAGACAATCAAGAAAACACTTATTTAGAGAACAAGGACTGCTTTACAAAGAAATCGCAGAAAATAGGACTCAGAAGGTCCCTTTCGAAGCTGTTTAGTAAAAAGGATAAAGTGAAGACAGAAGGAAACATATCTGTACAAGACTTTTCAGACAAGACCAAGCCTGATCCGGTTCCTAATTTTAACTTCCGGTCACTGAGGCTCAATGATACACTTCACAGTATAAACAAGAGACCAGAGTCGCCTAATCTTGCCAATGTGGCTGTCTTCCCGACTGTCTCGAAAATTATGTGCTCGTTCGGAGTGGAGTCGGAAACAAGCACCCAATTCGAGGTGTTTGAGCTCCACAAGGCATCAAAGATGCACCTAAACTCTGTGTGGAATGTGTGGGGAGAGTTCGTGTCCACAAGCAACGAGGATGCTAAGCTTCGCAACAGGGTCATAGATAAGGTGTGGAAAGCAAAACAACTCAACAAGCTGGCCAACAGGTGCAGCGAGCTGTTTCTAAGCGCTCCGCAGTGCGGAACATCTGAAGAGAACCGTATTCATATTTTCAAGTTCGGCCTGTCTCCACGCTATAGAAAAGAGCCACTGCTCTACAACAGCGGGCGTGTCGTGATCCGCATCCCGTCAGAAAAAGTCGACAAGGTGTGGAGGTCAACTTTGGATATTGTCTTGAAAGAGCAACTTCTTTGGAGCAAGCTAGACAACAATGTCGTGGGAATTACTTGGAAGAGGGCCCCTAGCAGGCTCGAATACAGCCTTATTCTTTGGCTCACAAAGGAGGGCTACGACCACGATAGCGTTTCAGCGTTGATGAATGAGGTGATGCTCCTTTCACCAGATGAGTTGAAGCCGCTGTTCACATACTCAAAATACTATGTCAATGCGGACCACACCTACCACGCGATAGATCTGAACGAAAAAAATTAGAATTATCCAAAATATGTCTGAGCTGACGGCGGCCGAAAAAAGGCGTCTACTGAGGGAAAGACGGCAAGCCAAGCTTGCAGCTACATCTTCTGACAGACTGGGGAAAATTACTGGCACTGTGGGGTCTCATTTGCCAACAGAATCACCGTTGTCTGCTGAGGATCCTGCAGTGTCAGACATAAGCGAGGCGATGACTCCTGCCACCGACGGAAGTAGCGGTGACGCAGAGCTGTCGATGGACAAGTTATTAGAAAATATGCTAAGCCAAAGCCACAACCACGATGTGCCGTCCATTCTGCCTGAGGATTTCATGAAGACCATGTCGTCTATTCTCCCTTCAATGAACGATGAGTCCTCAAAGCCGACACCTGCATCACAGAAGAAACTGTCAGATCAAGAGACTCGGCTTGATGAGTACAACAGGTACCAACTACGAAAGTTCAGACTTGGCTTTACGGTCCTCAGATTTGTGAGTGTTCTCACGCTGGTTTACTTCAGACTCGTGGGGTACACTTTGTTCTACCCGTCATTTGAGCGTCTAGATCACGGGTACGGCAAGGTAGATCTATGGAACTGGTTCACCATTCTCGAAGTGTTATATTCGGTGGTCTACGTGCTCGTTTACAGGTATCTTCCTCAAACACGGGAGAACTCTATTTTCAGCATCATCGAAGGGTTTGTGCCACAGCACTACCGCGGCCGGTTTGAGATGGTTGTCAAGTACAGGGACGTTGTTGTGTTTTGGATCAACGACTTGTCGGTCCTTATTTTAGCGCTGGGCTGTCTAGCGTGGCTCAATAATTAGAAAAGCACGAATTTTAAAAATTATTAATGTCTATTTATCGTCCTCGCCAACTACTTGCATCCAGGTCTTGTTTTCTCTTTTCAGCTCTTCGGTGATCTCATCTTTGATCTTTCTGGCAAGGCCCGGGCCCTTGTAGGCAAAGGCAGTGTATAATTGGACAAAAGTGGCCCCTGCTCTGGCAAAATCCAGTGCGTCTTTTCCAGAGCTGATTCCTCCACATCCAACGAGAACGAGGTCACTGTCCTTTGTATGCTTTCTAAGCAGTCTAAACGCCTTCAATGAGATCTCTTTTAATGGTTTACCAGACAATCCACCAGCCTGGTTGACGAGGGTCTCGTCGGTGGTGAGCATTTTGTCCTTGGGTCTCTGGATCGTGGTGTTCGACATAATAATCCCATCAACCTTGGCCTGCTTCGCAGCCTTGGCAATGGACTCGATTTCCGGCTCTGTCAGGTCTGGTGCGATTTTCACCAACACGGGAGGTTTGGTAGCTCTGTCCGTGATTTTTCCAGGTAGCATGTTTCTTTCTGCAACCACCTGAGTGAGCAAATTGGTCAATTTTGCCTCGTTCTGCAAATCACGCAAACCTGGCGTATTCGGCGACGACACGTTGATCACCAGCACGTCCGCGTACTCGCCAAACCGCTGCACGCCAGTCACATAGTCCTGAACCTCGTCGCCCGTCTTGTTCTTGCCGAGATTGACGCCCAGCAACTTGTTGTCTCTAAACGAGTTGTTGGCGCAGCTTGGGTTTTTCGCAAACAGCTTCTCATAGCGCTGGCGCAGTCTGCCAAGCACAGACCAGTGACCCGAAGAATTGAACCCGTATCTGTTGATCACCGCGTCGTCCTTGCCCAGCCTGAAAAACCGAGGGGCAGGGTTACCCGGCTGAGGAAATGGGGTGACCGAGCCGATCTCGACGTACGAGAAACCAAGGTCAAGCAGCGGATCAATGGCTTCGCCTTCCTTGTCAAATCCCGCGGCCATCCCCACAGGGTTGGAGAGAGTTTTACCGAAGACCTGCACCTGCAGCACCGGGTCGTCGACGTCAGCCAACAGTCTGGGAGAAAGGCCGTATTTGAGCATGAAAACGCCGAATCTGTGGCCTGTTTCTGCGTCAGTGAGCAGCCGAATCAGTGGGCACCACACGTACTCGTTGATGGCAGATCGGGCATCCAGCGAGTAGAGACCCAGGCCGACGGCCAGAACGAGGGCTGTGTTGGGAATGAGACGGGCCTGTCGGGCCTTGCGGAACGACGATCGAGAGCTAGCCCGTCGGAATTGAGATGCTGCTCGCGTGGGGACAGATGCCTTCAAGGCGCCTGGGAAGTGGCTAAAGAGACCAGTTCGGGAAAACATAAGAGAATATTTACAGGACGAGATATTTAAATAGCTGCACAGCCGAGAAATGCTACTTATTGGCATTGCGGACTCTTTCCCAGGCGGAGGCAGGACGAGCTGGCTGCGATTGCGGAGATGGGTCCGCCAGGGGATCGGCGTCGAACGGCGAGTCGGGAGAGGTTGTTTCTGTGTAGACTGCGGCCGGCTGCTTGGTGTCGGTTTCGCCGTGTCTGAGCTTGGCCCAGGCAGAGTTCTCATCGCCCTGGTCGGCTAGCCGGCTCTGGACTTCTCGCGGATCCTTGATCCGCAATTCGGGGTGTTTGGCAGTCTCTGCAAAGTAGGAAGACCAGAAATAGCTCCGAAACACTCCGTGCGGTGTATGTTGAATAACGTTGTAGATTTTGGACTCTGAGCCGTAGTCGTCCTTGGCCTTCTGCACTTCTCGCCGGTAGAGTGCTGGCGCGCCAATCCAGGTGGCGGCCATGCTGCCCAGCACGCCTCCCCATCCCACACGCATGGCATTAATCTTGTTCCCCTTGCGGAAGTAGGCCGGCAGACCCATGCCCGCCAGGAGACCCAATGTGGAGCATCCCATAACGAAGAACGCGGTTTTCTGGAAGAAGCGCTGCAATTGGTGTCGCTCGTCGACAGTCAGCTCGTGCTCCGCGTCGTAAAACTCAATGGCACGATGCTGGGCCTCTTTGAATTCGGGCGAGTTCGTGTCGATGTTCATCTAATGTGGCAAGATAAAAAATGCACAAGCGGGTGCGTCAAATAATTTTGCAGTTCCGAGCGGAGCACATTATATAAAAGCTGGCACGTAGCCCTCCCGAAATTAAAACATGTCATTGCCAAAAGCCGACGTTCCAGCTTTGAAACCAGTTTTGTTCTTCGACCTCGACATCGCAGAGGCACAGCCTATCTTCAAGAACAAGGCCAGAGCGTACACCAAGGTGGACGTTCTTGGGGGCACCATCAAGTCACTCGATCCCACGCTGCCCTTCGATGCCAAGGTCATCAGCGGCTTCGACAACATCAGCGGCTACGAGACGGCTCCTTCGGTCGGCAATCTCGACTGCACCTTGTACCTGGATCTGGGAAACAACAACAAGGGCATTGTCCAGTACCTTGGCGTGGTGAGGTTCGAGGGAGAGACAAACAGGGTGCTCGGCAAGGAGACCACCAACATCAGTTTTGCGGACGGCTACGTCACGTGCCAGCCTCGGTTCGAGCTCGACGGTAACGCGTCCAAGGAGACGTGGGTGCACAGCCACATTTTCGTCGGCAAGGGCCGTTTCCACAGAGAAGCAAACGGCGCTCTCAAGGTCCAGTACTACGTCTACACTTTTAAGGAATAAATATATAACGAAATGCTTTTTCTGGTTTTCTGCCATTTTTAAAACACGGGCGCTGCCGGACGTGTGACGCACATTAAAGACTCTAACGAGCTGTTTACCTTCGTAAGGTGCACAACTGTCTCCATCTTTGTAAAATACGACGCTACCACGCTGGTCCTGGTTAAATGAACGACCAAGACTACTCGAGTCCGTCGCAGTTCGAAATGGGTCCCTATGAGCACTTCCCAGAGCCGGGAGGCTTCCATCTGGAGGACTCGGACACCCTCCGGTTGCCGCCCCAGACGGCCGATACGTCGACAGAAACAGACACAAGCAAGAACGCAGACGACAATGGCGGCCAGACCCGGCGCTCGCGCGCCTCAGGCGAGATCCTGGCGCTGCTGGTTGCCGAATTCAACAAAAACTCAAACCCCAATACCAACGTGCGGAAAGAAATCGCCCTTCGGACAGGAATGACTGAGAGGTCTGTCAGGATCTGGTTCCAGAATCGCCGCGCAAAGGCCCGCAAATTGGAGAAGCTGCATCAGAGCAATGGGTCCGTCCGCGGGCCCCAACACCCCCTCCACACGTCCGAGGTGTACGAGTCGCAGAGCCGCGAGCCGTCGCTCAAGGACCTCGCCAACCACGTCAAAGTCGGCACCGAGATTAACGAGAAGTACAGTCTCATCGACTGCATCTCTGTGTCTGTGGGTCCATGGCAGCGCATCAAGTCAGGCCATCTGGACCCGGACGCCTTCAAAGACGTGCCGAATCTGAGTCCCCGCGTCGTGTACAAGCTGATGGCCACCACAGACCTGCTCATCATGCTTTCGAAAAAGGACCACGAGCTCAACTACTTTTTCTCGGGCGTCTTCCAGAACGAGAAAGTGCTCTTTAGGATCTTCTTCCCGCTCGCCACGGTGGTCACGTGCTCGCTGCTCAACTACAGAACACAGAAACCGGAGCAGAACGACGTCTCGCGAGAGGCCTCTGCACAGCTGCAACTGCAGCTCGCGGCCCCGCCGAAGTTCGCGGTGCATTTCCTCAAGGATCTTAATACAGGCAAGGAAAACCACAACCAGTGGTCGGTTTGCGAGGACTTCTCGGAGGGCCAACAGGTGGTGACGGCGTTTGTCGGCGAGGGAGGCACCGAAATCCCGCACATACTCACAGGAACGCTGGAGTGCTTGCAGTACCTCAACACATTTGTCGGCACAGCCACCAAGCTGGGTCGGCCCTCATCGTTCCCGGGACCTACCACAGAGCATCCGATTTTGATCTCGCCGTCTCCATTCAACGATGAGCCGTCTTTTGCGCCTCTACAGCAGGACGACCTGCGGCTGCTCCGAATAGACGAGCCACCGCAGCTGGAATTGTTCGATGGCCACTATGACGACTCGGGGACGCCGCGGAACGACCTGCTGATCACCAAGCCGAAATCCGAGGACGATAAGGAAGACTTCATCTACTTGGACCAGGGGAGCGAATGGACAGACAATATATAGCCAGCTCTTTTTTGATTACGTCAGCATTTGACCACTCAAGGGCTCCTACCTAGTCGAAAAAATAAAGTTAATGAATACGAAAATAAAGAGCGAGAAGGAAAAGGAACATGACTCTCCGGAGGTCACAGACGAAGACGAGTACGATTCTGAGGACTCGTCGGCCTCATCATCAGACGAGTCGTGTTCTGAATCGTCGCAGGAGTCGGAGTCGGAGGTGTCAAAACGCGAAATGTCAGAACGCGAGCAGTTTGAGCTGCAGGCGAAATATCGGCGGCTGGACCGCGCGCTGTTGCAGCAGCGGACGGAGATTGCGCGCGATAACGGCATTCAGGTAGTGTCGACGTCTCTGGACATTGCGGATCAGCTTTTTTCCGAGACCAAGACGTCGATCCAGTCGAATATCGTGGCCAAGGACGCGGCCACGTTGAAGGAGATCGGATTACAGGCGAAACTAGCGACGCGGAACTTGAAGTTGGGACGGTCCGAGCGCGTTTTGAACTTCAACGAGTTCTGCAGCAATTTTCTGCGATTTTTCGCTGCCGAGGACGACGTGGTCGATGTAGACTCGCCGATCGACCGCGGAATGGCCCGTTTTGACTGGCTCAAGGCCGGGCTGCTATACAGCAGCTGCTCACGGCGCGTGCCGAGCGCCGAGTTCCTGCTGGGACCGCTGGAGATTACGCGAAAGACGCGCATCTCGCGGCCGCGACTTCAGGACGATTCCAAGAGCGGTGTATCCAGGACGGCCAGCAAACGCAGCGCGTCCGAGCTGATGGAACAGGACCGCCAGGACGATACGACGGCAAACTCCGAGCGCTGTTTCCGCAAACTGCGCACGCTCAACATGGCCCGCAAAAACCTGTTTGAGTTCTTCATCGACCCAAAGTCTTTCGCCAGGTCGGTCGAGAACCTGTTCTACACAAGCTTCCTTATCAACCACGGCAAGATGATTCTGGGCCACGACGCATCGGGCGTCCCATACGTGCAGGAGGCTAACCCAGAAACCTTCAAAAACCTGCCCCGCTACGTCAACCGAGACGACTCCAAATCGCACATCATATTTAATCTTGATCACGTGACCTGGAAGGGCCTGATCGACCGGTTCAATATACAGGAAGCTTTTTTATAGACACAACTAGACTTTGTACTCGTCCAGCTCGCACAGAGGCCACTTGCGCACGACGCTTTTCCCGATTGGCGTCCTCACGCCGCTTTCGTACAACTCTATGCCTGCCCAGCCAATCATCGTAGCGTTGTCGGTGCACAGCCGTGGCTCTGGGAAGTGGAAGTGCTTAATTTCCGGCAGCTCGGCGCGAAGCATGGTTCGCAGCATCGTGTTTGCCGCGACTCCGCCCGAGCACACAAAGCTATCGACCTGAATGTTTCGGAGCCGCATCGCGAGCTTGATTTTGGCCACCATGTGCCGGAACACCGTCTGCGCAAGACGGTACCCTGCGCGGGCTTTTTGGGCGTCCGTCAGCGTCCCGTCGGGATAGTACTTCGACATATTGGTGCGCACCTGCGAGATAAACGAGCCGAACGAGTACGCCAGCATGTCTTTGCGGCCAGGGACATTGAGCAAGGGCTCTTTGATGTCGAAGTCGACTGGCTGGCCCCATTCCCGGCTGTGCTGCTCCAAAAACGCTGCGAGCTCCTTGCCGATCATATTACCGCGAAATCCCAGCTCACGGCCGCACTTGTCGAGCGCATCGCCCGCAGCAATGTCAATCGTGTCGACGAGGATCTCGTGGTCCACCAGACTGCGGCTCAGCACGCACATTGTGTGGCCGCCGCTAGCCATGAGGCTGAGGAACGGGAACTGCGGTTCCTGCCCGTTCGATGCGAGTCGCGGCGTCAGCAGGTGGCCCAGCATATGGTGGACGCCGACGAGCGGCACATTCCACGCGATGCTGAGCCCCTGGGCCAGCTGGTAGCCGCCGACGAGCGAGCCCACCATGCCGGGGCCACGGGTCGCGCAGACGAGATCCGGCCGATCCAGGCCAGTCCAGCCATGCTTGGCAAGCAGCTCGCTCGTGAGCACCGCCACCTGCGTCCTGTTGTGTACTGCAGCGTCCGTGGGGATCACTCCGCCGGCGTGCGCAGAGTCCAGCGTGTGCTTGCTCTCCTCGACGACACGGGGCGGCCGTGCGGGATCAAACCTGTCAAGCAGCGCCACACACGCGTCGTCGCACGAAGTCTCGATTGCCAGCACGCGGTACGTGCGCGATTGGTGCCAACATCGAGACATTGTCCTGAGTCTTAGCATGGCTGTGCAAGAGATGTAAATTTTTGCAACGTCGGGTAAATCACAAAATATTTGATTATTTTATATTTTTGGTGTACATTGAGCCACATACCTTCTTCCCCGGTCGGCGCATAGTATCACGATTTGGACTGTACCGTGTATGAACAACTAGCTGGTGACATATAGAGCACATCTACACTCCATGTCCAACGTGCTGTCGACATCCAACATCGCTGTGCCAGACCTCGAGACCCACAACAGGCCGTTGTCTACGGGAGGCCAGATTCCGCAGGACGCTCCCAGCAGGGCGCCCGAAACGTACCATCCACGTCTTCTGCACTGCTTTTTGGCGGGCGGGATTGGCGGAATGGTGGGTGACTCGCTGATGCACTCGCTGGACACCGTCAAAACACGGCAACAGGGGGCCCCGAACGTGGCTCGGTACAAAAACACCATCCCGGCATATCTGACGCTTCTGCGCGAGGAGGGCCTGCTGAGAGGCCTCTACGGTGGGTACGGGGCGGCCATGCTGGGCAGTTTTCCCAGTGCGGCGTGTTTTTTCATCACCTACGAGTTCACCAAACGAGTCGCGATAGATGAGTACGGTCTGAACGAGACCTTCACGTATTTGGGCGCGGGATTTCTGGGCGACTTTGTGTCGTCGATTTTCTACGTGCCGTCGGAGGTGCTCAAGACCAGACTCCAGCTGCAGGGAAGATACAACAACACGGTCTTTCACTCTGGCTACAACTACACAGGAACGTTCAACGCCATCTCGACAATCATCCGCACCGAGGGATGGCAGACCCTTTTCTACGGATACAAGGCGACGCTAGTGCGAGATCTACCCTTTTCGTCGCTCCAGTTTGTGTTTTACGAAAAGTTCCGACAGTTCGCATACCAAGTCTCTCACCGGTCCGCGGATCACGACCCGCTCTCGCTTTCCATGGAACTGCTCACAGGTGCTGCTGCCGGCGGCCTTGCAGGGACGTTGACCACGCCCCTCGATGTCATCAAGACGAGAATGCAGACGCAGAACAAGAACGCCTCGCCGCATGACCTGCTCACCTCCAACTCCATCCTCCGCGGCCTGTTCACCGTGTACCGCAACCAGGGCGTCGTGGGGCTGTTTAGCGGTGTGGGGCCCCGCTTTATCTGGACCAGTGTCCAGAGCAGCGTGATGCTGCTGCTATACCAATTCTGTCTCAGAGCGTTATCTACAGGCGAATTGACCTTCGCATGACATAGATTGTACATACAATAGACACCTAGATTCCATTTCTAGCACCGTTCGAAAACCCGGTACAGGCCCGGCAGGTTGGCGACTTCGACCACGTCCCGAGCGAGCCCTGCGTGCGGAATAAGCCGTTTCTTTAACAGAGGGCAGATCGTCGTCTCGAGCACCTCGCCGATCTTGCTGTCGTTGTCGGCGGCTGCCGGCACGTAGAGCAATGCCAGCTGCTGTAGCAGGCCACCAAGACACTTTTTCTCGTCCTCCCAGTCTAGCTTCGTGCCACTTCTGTACAGGAACAGGCCCAGTTTTGAGAGATCCGGCTCGTAGCCCTTCACCAGTAACGGCAGAGTTGCGATTTTCGGATTTTGTGCGTCGTCGTCGATCTCAATGGAAAAATATTCCTTCAACATGTCCCTCATCTCTACGAAAATCTCCAAAACTTGGTCCTTCTGGTCGGTGAGCCCGCTTTCCAGCAGCAGTTCTGCAATGCTGACAGGCTGAGAAAGTCGCAAACAGCCGAAATTGCTGAAGTCGGCAAGCCCGATCTGGTAAAACAGCTCGTAGCACAGAGCTCCGTAATCCGCGATGTACAGCTTCACGTCGTGCTGGAAACACATCAGCCGTTTCAGGGAGTCGACAACGCCGATAAACGTTAGCTTTGAAAACACCTCCGTCAGATTGTTGTCTGCCGCCTGCCCCACCTCCTCTTTAAGCTCGAAAATGCTTTTGAGCCTCACTTTTGCGCGCTGTGTGCGGCTCGTCGGGTTGTCGACGCTGTCGACGCTGGTTTTCTGGCTCAGATACGTCGTCAGCGTCGGCTGCGAGTAGTCTGTCCGCACCAGCTTGTGCTCACTCGGTCGCTTGTACTGGCCTAACGACGGCAGCGGCCGCAATTTTCTCGGTGTCGAAATTGCAACGTCCTCGGTGGCTGCACGTTTGGGGCCCAGAAGTAGCTGCTGGGTCAGAAACGTGCGCGAAACGTCTGTGTTGGCAAGAATCTGCGCAATTTTTTGTGTAACATGGTCAACTATCTCGTCCTCAAACAAAAACCGCACCTCCTGTTTCGTGGGGTGGACGTTCACATCCACGTTCACCGTGTCCAGTTCCAGCGAAAGAAACACAAATGGCTTGTGTCCCTTGGGAAGATAGGTGGTGTATGTTTGAGCAATTGCTCTGCGCAGCGGTTCGCAGCTGACGAGACGACCGTTTATGAAGAAAATCGGTGGTGTGCTCTTCTTGTTGTCGTAATTGACATTGGTGATTAGTCCGGTGCATTTCAAAAGACCATAGTCTGTATGCGGCTCAACGTCGAGCTCCAGGAGCTGGCTGGCGACGGCAGAGCCGTAGATTGCGCGCACACGCTCTTTTTGGGACATGCCCGAGCGCAAGGCGATGTCGTTTGCTGCGGTGCCGTACTTTTTGCAAGTGAACCCCACGTGGGTTGCGTGGATGGCATACTTGCTCACAATGTCAACTATTTTGGCGTACTCCTCGGCTGGCGACCGCAACGAGTGGAGCCGGGACGGGAAGTTGTAGAACAGGTCTTCCACCACTAGCGTGGTGCCGTCCGTGCCGGCGACAGGCTGCGGCTCGGGCGTGCGCGGGTCCAGACGGCCGGCCTCGTAGCGACACTTCCACGCACACGGACTGTCGCGGGTCCTGGTCACGAGCGACACATGCGCTATGTGGGAGATACTCGCGAGGGCTTCCCCACGGAAGCCGTATGAGGCAATATGTTGGAGGTCTTCGAACTTGCGCAACTTGGACGTGGTGAACCGTTCACATACGATCGCAAGGTCGTCCTTCGCGATGCCGACGCCGTTGTCGGTGATCTGCAGCAGCTTGAGCCCGCCCTCTTTGCACGCCACGTCAATGGAAGTGGCCTGAGCATCGATCGAGTTCTCCAGCAGCTCCTTGAGCGCGCTGGAGGGGGCAAGAACGACCTCGCCCGCGGCAATCCGGTTCACGACGGCCTCGTCTAACGGCCTGATGCGCGGAGCAGTCATAGATGCGTAATAAACTTTTTTTCAAATAACTACGCGAGCCCACGTCGATCGGCTCTGTATCGTCTCACGGCCTGCATCGCCAGCGAGGGCGCCACCCGCAAGCATTGCAAAGGACTAAGAAGGTGCCAGGCCGTTCATTTTGTTCGCTGGAGCTATGAAGCGTCTGCAACAAAGAACGCCTCTACCTGGTCCTGTACGCACTTCACCAAACGTCACCAAAAGTTCCGAGTTGGGTAATAGTTGCATGATGGTCCGTTTTAAAAATTTGCAACAGAGTGTTGTTTACTAATATTTGCCATCAGGTGCATTATTAACGCGAGCACGCCTAATAGCCTCGAGTCTGGTTAGTTGATCGGTCACTCGAAAGGTCTGTGTAAAATTCCATATTAGTTTGGTTGCTTTCGCTTGGTCATTACGTCATTATGACATCACTGCAAACTGAGGCCAAGGCATCCTCTGTGGGGTCCCCCACGTCAAACGGGTCCGGATCCACGTCCGGCAGAAAGACGCTCGATTTGGAGCCAAACCCTTTCGAGCAATCGTTTGCTGGCCCCACGGAACAGGGCTCGTTGGCAAAGCCCAAACAAGCCAACCGCAAGGATCCCAAGCTCCACACCTCCACCTCCCCCCCGGTACTGACGCCCGGAGGCACCCGACGTACAACCACGTCCAACATGCTGCCTCCCCTGCCAGGTATCATGTCACCCGGTGCGCCCTCAATTCCCGGCACCCCAGGCATGTGGTCCAGCATGTTCCAGGGCCCGTCCCAGCAAATGTTGCCATTTGCCTATCCCGTGGGGCCATCTGCAACTACAGGGTCTAATGGGGCACCCCCTACGTCATCTCAGCAACAACAGATGTACAACCAGATTATTGCTAATGCAAAAAGAACAGGCCTTACTCCAAACGAGAGCTCATTGCGAACAGGGCTCACTCCAGGAAGTAACAACTCTCTCGCAAACCACAACTATAACATGCTCATGTCGTCAGGCCCTTTCACACCTGGCGGCCTCTCCTTCCTCAACATGCCTCCGGTGAAAACCGAGGACAAGCACGAACCACACGAGCCAGCTTCGCATTCGGCACCCTCTGCTCCCGCACCAGAGACAGGCGAACCGAAACCAAAGAAACAAAAGACAAAGAAGACCAAAGAGTCCACAGAGCCCACCTCTGAAAACGGCTCCAAAAACGATAGCCAGGACGAGGAAAAGAGAAAAAGCTTCTTGGAAAGAAACAGAATCGCTGCGTCAAAGTGCAGACAGCGAAAAAAACAGATGGTGCAGAAGATGCAACAGGAACTCAACTTCTATTCTGCGCAGTACGACACGCTGACCCAGCAGGTCGCCGCCCTGCAGGACCAGGTCAAGACGTTGCACTCCATACTGTACAGCCACAAGGACTGCCCGACGCTGACGGAGCAGATGGGCGGCGTAGAGAATACCAACAACGTGCTCGGGGTGTTTGCGCCCGTCCACATGGTGCCAGCGGTGCCGCAAATGATGCTCGTACAAGATAACTCTCGACAGGAGGGCCCCAAGTGAGCACTACACCCGTGCACCAGAAGGCGGTATAGACACCAGCTAATTTTTCGGAAACCGTCCACCTCCTTCTTATCGCTGAGAATGTCGTTTGGCTACGTGAAGAACGCGGGCAAGTTTTTGTGCATTGGCCGCAACTACCTGGCTCACATCAAGGAGCTGAACAATGCCAAACCGTCCGAGCCGTTTTTTTTCCTCAAGCCAAAGTCGTCTGTGCTTCTTCCTAAACAGGGGCCGGTGCTAGTGCCTCGAGGCACCGTTGTCCACCACGAGGTGGAGCTGGCCTGTGTTGTCGGGAAGACGCTCAGAGACCTTGACCCTGCTAGCTTCACGCCCTCGGACGCCCTAGATAGCATCAAGGGTTACGCCTTGGCAATTGACATGTCTGCCAGAAACGTCCAGGACGAGATGAAGAAGAAGGGGCTTCCCTGGACGATTCCAAAGGGGTTCGATACATTTATGCCCTTATCTGGGTTCATTGGAAAAGACCAAATTACAGACCCATACAACGTGGAGCTGAATCTGACGGTGAACGGCCAGACTCGTCAAAAAGACATGACAAATTTGATGATATTTTCTATCCACCGCATTTTGACCACCATGTCGTCAATCATGACCATCGAGGAGGGTGACGTAATCCTCACAGGTACGCCAAAGGGCGTTGGGCCAATAGTTCCAGGAGACAAAATCGAGGCCTGGGCCGAGGTTGACGGCAAAAGACTACCAGAGAGTGTTTTGGAGTTGGACGTGGCCGAGAAGCCTGGCCCGTATTTCTACCAAACTAAATAATATAACTGTATATCAATATCTAGTGTCCTAGAAAATGGAAGTCGCTGACTCCTGGGATATCCTGGGGTTGCAGCTTCAGCAGCGTCTGGCAGCATTGCTCAAACGACGAGATCATTGCGTCGATTTGGTCTCTTGTCACCGTGAGAGGGGGACAAAACCTGACCGTTCTGTCGTGCACCTGTTTGCAGGCAATACCCATTGCGCGCATGAACATACACACGTGCCAGACGGACATGTTGTTCTGCGCCAGTAGCTCAACGTTGATGTCGACACCCGCAATCAAACCAACACCTCGCACCTGCTCGATGAGGTCGTACTTGCAGCAGAGCCGATCGAGCTCGGCGAGCATGTGGGGGCCCTGCTTGGCCACGTTTGCGCCCAGATCCTCTTCCTCGTACACTTTGAGGGCCGCCAGTGTGGCAGCACACGCGATGGGCGAGCCGCTAAAAGTGGCTCCGTGGGAGTTGGGAGCAATGGAGTCCATGATCTCGCTGGAGCTGCACACGACAGAGCACGGGTACAGGCCGCCGGAAATGGATTTGGCGGAGATCAGCACATCCGGCTTTGAGTTGCTCGTGTTTTCATATCCCCACCGTTTGGCCCCGCAGCGATACGACCCCATCTGCACCTCGTCAGCACACCATAGTACATTGTACTTATCACACAGTGCTCTCACGCCGTCTAGGTAGCCTGGATTAGGTGGGAAGATTCCAGCCTCGCCCTGGATGCTTTCGATGATGATTCCTGCAATCTTGTCCCCCTCCAGCTCGAAACACTCCTCGAGTGCTTCCAAATCGTTGAATGGCAGCATTTTCCCGTCGCCATAGGCAGGCCCCACTTTGGGGATGAACGGTCCGTAGTTGGCGCGCGCGGTCGGGTTGGTAGAGCCGGAAGTAACGCCGAGCAGCCTGCCGTGGTAGTTTTTGGCCACCATCATAACCTTTGCCTCGTCTTGAGGAATCTTCTTTTTCACGTACCCCCACGCACGACACAGCTTGATCGCAAATTCAACGGCCTCCCCACCTCCGTTCAAAGTGAGCACGCGCTCAAAGCCAAAAGCCTTGCACACTTCTTCACAGAATTGGGCATACAGCGAGTGCGTAAAGCCACGTCCAACCAGTGAGCATTTTTCATACTGGGCCTTAACGGCCTCCAGAATCTTGGGGTGGTTGTGGCCGGTGTTGACGGCCGAATACGCGGCTCCAAAATCCAGGTACTCGTTTCCATCGACGTCGGTCACGTGAATGCCAGAGGCAGAGTCGAAGACGATCGGCACAGGAGTGTAGTTATGGGCGGAGTAGGTGCGCTCTTTCAGAAGCAATTCGAGCGATTTTGGCGAGGCGGTGATTTTGAATGTCATTGATGATAAGGCGGAACAGGAGAGGGGGAAAAGGACAAAATACTCATTTATAAAACAGGGATCTCTTATCAAATGCTACTGCCCCATTAAGAAAGTTCCGATCTGATGATTAATCATTGGTAGGGTAAGCAGGCCAAGGGCAAGAAGAAAAATATACAAGTCTGGCTGTGCAGCGACTTTGCAAGTATTAAAATTTTCTTGACAACAACCGTGTAATTTTCTTAGTCAATTGAAAATGGTGGAAATCAACGAGGTGAAGGAAGGAGGCCACGGCAGAGAGCATAGAACTGCCACACACACACACATCAAGGGTCTTGGGCTCGACGAATACGGAGCGGCAAAGAAGATCGACGGAGGGTTTGTTGGACAGAGCGAGGCCAGAGAGGCGTGCGGCATCATTGTGGACATGATCAAGTCGAAGAAGATGAGCGGAAAGGCGATTCTGCTTGCTGGCGGCCCGGGAACGGGAAAGACTGCGCTGGCATTGGCCATTTCTCAAGAACTGGGTCCGAAGGTGCCATTCTGTCCTATTGTTGGTTCAGAGTTGTTCTCCGCAGAGGTGAAGAAAACAGAGGCGCTGATGGAAAATTTCAGAAAGGCCATCGGACTGAGAATCAAAGAGACCAAGGAAGTGTACGAGGGAGAAGTGATTGATCTGACTCCAGAGGAGGCCGAGAACCCATTGGGAGGCTACGGGAAGACCATCAACCACGTGATTGTGGGGCTGAAAACGTCCAAGGGAACCAAGTCGTTGAAGCTGGACCCATCCATCTACGAGTCGATCCAAAAAGAGCGCGTAAGCATCGGAGACGTGATTTACATCGAGGCAAACACGGGATCGGTGAAAAGAGTGGGCAGATCGGACGCGTACGCCACTGAGTTCGACCTGGAGGCCGAGGAGTACGTGCCTCTTCCGAAGGGAGATGTTCACAAGAAGAAGGAGATCGTTCAGGACGTGACTTTGCACGATCTGGATATTGCCAACGCTAGACCACAGGGAGGACAGGACATTCTGTCCATGATGGGCCAACTGCTCAAACCACGCAAGACAGAAATCACAGAGAAGCTGAGGACAGAAGTCAACAAGGTTGTTTCGAAGTACATCGACCAGGGAGTTGCCGAGCTGGTTCCTGGTGTGCTATTTATTGATGAGGTCAACATGTTGGACATTGAGTGCTTTACGTTTTTAAACAGAGCTTTGGAGTCTTCTATTGCTCCAATTGTGATTCTGGCTTCGAACAAGGGAATGACCACTGTTAGAGGTACAGAAGATTATAAATCACCACATGGTCTGCCTGCCGACCTGATTGACAGACTGCTCATTGTCAAGACTTTGCCATACAACCTCGAGGAGATCAGAACTATTGTGATGAAGCGTGCTAAAATTGAGTCTCTCCTGCTGACGCCTCAGGCCCTGGACAAACTTGCACAGATTGCCATGTCCACCTCGCTAAGATACGTGCTGCAGCTTCTTTCTCCAGCAGGAATTCTTGCCAAGGTGAATGGCCGCAACGAGATCACCGTTGACGAGATTGAAGAGTGCCAGGTGCTATTTTTGGACGCTAGACGCAGCACTAAAGTCTTGGAGGACTCCAAGGGATATCTATAGGGTTAGAGCTGCTTGCCCAGCTCTGAGCACTCTTTCAAGAACTTTTCTGCCGTGACGATTTCTGTAGACCCGTAGCACACCAGTTTCTGTGGTGCCCCGGAGACCCCTGCGGTTTCATTCACGCGGTTGCACCAGTCTTGCAAGTTGGAATATTCAAGGTAGTTGCAACCGCCAACAATGAACACCATGGCCTCGTTGTAGCTAGATCTTTTTGGAGGCTTTGAGTGCGAGCCTCTGGTGAGATTAGGGTCAAAATACAGATAGTCGTCGGTCATTTTAAGTGATTCCTGGTTCGCATTGACCGGGTTCATGATGGATTCGACTATGTTGGTCACCGGAAGATTTTTCTTTTCTGGTAGCAGATTTTTGAGTCCCGAAATCAGGCTTCCAAATCCCTCGCTCAGCTTGGACGATCCTTCTGTCAAACCCATTAGTTTAGACGACAAATTACTAAACAGGGCGCCTTTATTACCGCTGCTTGCCGAGGAATCCGTGTTCAGATAAGCCTCACTGAGGTTCATCGATGACAGCTTTGTAAGCTCCTTGACCTGCTTGATGTACTTGAGAGGAGTTAGGTCACAATGTAGTTCAGTCAATGCCTTCTCACATTCGTCACAGAACGATTTGGGAAGGTCTGAAGTCAAGGTGAGCATGATGTAGGTTCGCAGCTTGTCCTCATGATTGTCACTTTTCGTCTGTGCTTTGAGAAGCTCCAGGAACCGTTTTTGCGTGGCTGGATTGCCCACGTTCTGCTCAACCTCGAAGAAGGCATCCAGATTCTTCGAATCGAGCTCCTTGATCAGTTCGGTGAGCACTGTCATATGCATATCAATGATATTTTTGCGCTGTGTCAGCTCCGGAAGCGCCTTGATCGCTTCTTGAATGTGCAGAGTGTCTCTCTGGTCAGACGGGTCGATCTCCTTAATGGACGAGTACCCTGTCTTGGCTGTGATCTCGCGGGCCTCCTTGGTGTATTTAGAGAGCTCGCTTTCGACGTTCTCGACGGCATCAGGGAACGGAAGCGAGGCGTTCTCGTTCCAGAAGAAATCCTTTGGATCGATGTCCAAGCGCTTGATCTCGGTCTTATCTCCGGCAAGAGTTCTTCTAATTTCAATAGTGTTCCTGTCTAGCTTGAACACGTCGCTTACCATGCACTGGTAAATCCAGGAGTGCGCAAACATGGAGGCCAGGTCTATGTTTCTGTCCAACAGAACCAGCACCATTCTATCTGCGGTGGAGTGCTGCAACGAGGTGGACGCGCCTTGGCGGGTGTTTATCACGTGGTCTCGCAGTTTCTGGTCCAGTCGCTGCGCAACAAGCTCTGCGGGGCCGCCTCTATTGGATCTGATGATAGGCACCGAGCCCATTGTCAGAACGGCCGCAAACAGCCCGTTAGCAATTCTGTCCGCTATGGAGGTAATGTCGGACTCAGTTGTCTTTGGGTTGTTGAATTGGGAGTACACGTTGGGCAAATCCAGCGAAAACAGATTTGGCTCGGTGACCACAAAGTCCAGGTACTGGTCGAACACCTGTTTGATTCTGCCAGCTTTTCCGCTCAAGGCCACCTTTTTTGCAAACTCTTCCAGCAGCGACCGGCTCAGACTGGAGGTGAAATTGACGTAGTAATCTGCATAGTGCTCATTTTCGAGATCGCTAATGATTCGGGCAATATTCTCGGCAGTCGGCTCCACAAAGTAGATCACCGGCACGTCGGGCAACGCCACCCGCTTCTGTGTAATTAGTGAGTGCATCGTAATGCCGTACTCCAGCAAATCGTTGACTCTCAGCACCGACGAGACAATTGCCGTCGACCTCTGGTCCAGCACCAGAACCTTCCAAACAAGCTCCTCCTCATTGGTAGACGACACCAGGTCGATGTCGGACCTCACGTTCAAGTGGAGCATGCGCTTGAGGTTCGCAATCTGTCTCTCTCGGAGACTGGTGGGGACCGCTTCCAAAGACATGGTTTGTTGTTAATTTTAAAAAAGCTTGGTGCAAGGATTAAACTAAGGAGTACATCTACACTCTGGGGACGGGGCCACCAGGAGACTTTTTTGTGCGAGCGGTCAGAACCTCTACACCGTCTTCGGTGACCAGCAGCGTGTGTTCAAATTGCGCGCTCGGTTTTCCGTCTGCGGTCGCAGCAGTCCAGTTGTCCGGCCACATGATATCTCTATGCGTGCCCATATTGATCATCGGCTCTATGGTGAATGTGATTCCTTTCTTGCACGTGCCGACACCCTTGTTCTTGGCATAGTGCAGCACGTCGGGCTGACAGTGGAACAGACTGTTGATTCCGTGGCCACAGTACGTTCTCACCACCGAAAGACCGTGCTTGGTAGCATGCTCCTCTATCACGTTGCCGATCTGTCTGAACGGCAGTCCAGGCTTAACCAGAGCAATCGCCTTGTCCAGACACTCTCTAGTGGTCTCCACTAGATTCACAAGCTCCGGGTTCGTCCTGGCTTTTTCTCCAACGTAGTATGTCTCGTTCAGATCAGAATGGAAGCCATTTTTGTAGATCGAAATGTCAAGGTTCACGATGTCGCCGTCCTCCAACGGTCTCTTGTCGGGGATACCATGACAGATAACCTCGTTCACAGACGTGCACGTCGATTTGGGATAGTTGTAGTAGTTGTAGGGCGACGGATAAGCTCTTCTCTTGATTGTTTCCTCGTGGACAATGCGGTCAATCTCGTCGGTGGTGATTCCAGGCCGAATATGGGCGGCTGCTGCGTCCAGAACCTCTCGGCCCAACTGGTTGACTATACGCATTTTTCGGATCTCATCCTCGTTGAGCACTCTTATCTGGTTTGTCTTGTCGTTCTTGATCTCGCTAAGCGGCTTTCCATTCTGGAAATAGTCTGGTTTTTGAATCTTATCTGGGATTTCCCTTGGCGGCGATAGAGGATACGCGGGTCTCAGCGGGCCTGTGTACTCAAAGTTTGGAAACGGATCGTACACATCGACTCCCTCTTTAGGATGAATAGCTTTGTGCATGTAGAAACTTCTTCTGTAGCATCCTGAATTGCAAAAAAACATCGTTAGTCCCGCCTTCAGACAGATCGGACACTTTAGGTTCGAAGCCGTCTCCTTGCCGCAATCTGGCGCGGCACAGCGTCTAGTGTCTTGTGTAGATGGAACGGGATTCATCGGCAAGAAAACTTATTTTGCGTAAAAAAAAAAAATTGTGAAAAATTTGCTTTTATGGCTCCGCCACTCCAGATCAAGGGATACACCGTTTTCCCTGTGGTTTTCGACGCCACATCGCACACCAAGAAGACCCTGCACTACATGTTTGTGAAAAAACATGTCACCAAAACGTTGCCGGAGTCGCAGTCCCGGTCTCTGTTCATAGTCAATATACCCGTGGGCACCACTGTGAAGGCTGTGCGAAGTGTCTTCAGCGCGATAGCCATGGGCGCCATTGTGGAGTCGTTGGCGACAAACGAGCACTATAGCGAGCGCAACATGATAAATTACGACTACGAGATCAATCTCACCAGACTCACCAACGAGGAGATGTCGCACGAAGAAGAGCACCCCCAGATCCCTGTTGGGTGCGCGGTGGTGACGTTTGTGGACAAAAATGCGTTGAATTTGGCGTTTGGAGCAATCAAGAAACTTGTGAGTGCCTCGAGTGCAAAGTACCCGGTGTGGAAGTCAGAGCTCGTCACTGGCCACAGACGGTACACGGCTTCCAAAAAACTGGACTCGGAGCAGCTGGCAGCCCAGGTGGCACAGGCAATGTCTGATTTCCAGCAGCGCGAACAGCAGCTCAAGGAAGAGCTGACAAATATGCAATCGATGGTGGACGAGGACGGGTTCACGTTGGTTGTTGGATCGCACAGAAAAACGAAAAACGGCATTCTAGGGTCGCTGAAACGTGCTGCGGACCTGGAGCAGGACGAAAAGGTGATGAAGAAGATGAAAAAGAAGGAGAAACAGGACTTCTACAAGTTCCAGATTAGAGAGCGCAAAAAGCAGGAGATGAATGAGTTGCTCAGTAAATTCAAAGAGGACCAGGAACGCGTGCGCCAGATGAAGGAAAAACGGCAGTTCAAGCCTTTCTAGACTATGTAACGATAATCTGCTACAGTCTTCCGCCAGGAGTCTCGTAGTTCATCGAGTCGAGGTCGTCTGACTCTTCCACCTGTCTCAGCATAATGGAAGGGTTCAGTCCCAGCTCCTGAAGCTCGCGATACACCACCACTGGTTTTTCGTCGTATCCAAGCACTCTTTCCTGGTCTCCGCCGTACACAATCACTAGAGCGTACTTTTTCCAGTCCGAGACGTGCAAATTGTGTCTTTTCATGGCTGCCTGGAGTATTTTGTGACAAGGGTCTTCCGTTTTGGCACGCAGCTGCTTCAGGGGTTCAGACGCCGTGCTGGTACTGCCCATTGTTGGCAGCGTTCCCATAGACTGCGACATCGAAAGTCTGTTAGGCTTGTGGTATCTCGGCACGCTTTGCGAAGAGCCCGACTTGGACGGTGAGCGCGGCGACTGAGTACCAGAAATGTTTGACTGCGAGGCTAGGTTGGTGTTGGACCCGGTGAATTGGCTCTGATCTGGCAAAATAGGCGATATGATTGGGGGAGACGTGATGGATCTGCGCAGGCTCGATGTGTTGGGAGCAGAGTGCTGTTTCTTCAGAGCCGCCTGGGCTGGGATCGACTGCGGGACAATCGTGGTCTGCAGTTGGTTCTGGTGGTGCGAGAGCTGAGTAGGCGACATTCTGTCTGGAGTCGGGAGCGGTTTCTTGTCCTTGATCTCTTTAAGTACGGGCAGCAGATCTTCCTTGAGTTTGTTGAACTGCTCCGTTAACTTGCGGTTGGTGCCCCCATTGGACGAAAGTAGACCCTCAGTCACGGAGTTGGCGATTGTTGACACCAAATTGGTGGACACCACGAGCGTTTGCAGCTCTGCAGCCAGCGGATCGGTGTTGAACTTGAGCAGATTCATGTTCTTCTTCATTAGCAGATCGCTGATATCAGACATCAGCTGCAGCCGGAGACTGAGCTGCTGAATGCCCATGTCGCGCAGCTCCTCAGTGTTCAAAAACGGCAGTGTCATGCCCGTGATGTTGTGATGTTTGAACAGATCAATCACATCGATAGAGTAGTCCATGTTTCTCAACCACAGCAGAATCTGGTCGTTATTCCAGGAAACAATATCGTTCGACGTGATATCTTTATTGGAATGCGCAAGCACTATCGAAGTTGGCCGTGTACGTTGGACATTTGACATGGGAAAATAAATTAACTACACCAAAAATACACTTTATTTACGTAATTAATTTTTTCTTGATTCTAGCTATAAAGACATAAGCTGCCAAGCATCTATTTTTCTCTATACTTCTCGTCAACCCTGTCGTACGCCTTGAGCAGCACGTTCCAGAAAACCTCCCTGTTGACATCGTACAACACCTTGACCCCGTGATCGGCCTCGGTGAACTCTAGCTTGCCGTCCTCGTCTCCTCCGAGATGAACGTCCAAATGGCCCGTTTTCCACTTGTATCCCACGTCTTCTGCCCCACAATACTGCAAAATTGCCGCTATGGCCACCGGATCGTGCACGCTCGGCCCAACGTAGCCCTCTCCCTGCCGGGCCTTGACCATGTGGTAGAAGTACTGCACCAGATCGTACATCATCTTGCGGAACTCTGTAGCTGTAGCAGGGTTGCCCTGAATCCGCTGGCGGATTTCGAACGACGCCCGGATTGTAGACGTCAGGTCCAAAGGAGCAAGAATCATGCGCTCGCTCAACACCGGGTCCGAAAGAACACTCTTGGCCGCCTTGGGGTCGCAATAAACATTAAATTCAGAACACCCGTTCTTGTTAAATTTGACCAGACCCCCACCCATAATGCTCAGACACCGGATCTTGCTTCTCAGCTCTGGATACTCTTTGAAAAATAGACATATATTGGTCAGCGGGCCGATCGCGGCAAGAGCGAGCTCGCCTGGCCGGGTCTCGATCAAATTTTTCAGATACGGAAAGAACTCCTCGGGCTGTCGGGCAGCGATCTTTGGAACTGGGAGCTTGTCGCTCCCGTTCAGACCGGTCGGGCCGTGGACTTCAGGACAATACTCCGGATCGCGGTCCAACGGCCGTGCAGCGCCAGGAAACACAGGCACATCCTCTCTTTTAATCACAGTGAGAAATTTCAGTGCGTTCATGGTCACGTTCTCAATCGAGGCGTTTCCGTGCACGGTGGACACACCAACAAGATCAAAATGCGCATTGTGCGCGCCGAGCGTGATCGCCACAACGTCGTCCTGGCCAGGATCACAGTCTATCCACAGAGGAATCATGGTGTAAGTTATTCTGCAAAATCTCGGCCGAGGAAATGAAAACAAGGCAGTGCAAAACAGGTGCTGTCCGAGAGCAAAGCAGCGCTGAGTTCCTGCGTGTGTGCTAGTCCTGGTTTGTGGACTCAATGGATTCGGTGCAGGTTTTGGTGCCCATGTGACCTGTTGCATGAAATATATTTTTGGTGCACATAAAAATCAGTAAACATTATTTATCCCCCTTTTCATGCCCAAACAACCCATTCCCGGGATAGGCAAATTCAAAGTTGCCGGAAACGGCAGACAACCGCTGGCAGTACGCAGAGAAAGCAAGAATATAAATACTCCGTCAGCGCAAGGAAAGGATCCACTAGCAGCTCATGATTTGCCAACACCCAATACCTCTTGTGAGGACCTAGAGAAAAAATCCCACAAGCCTACAAGCAGTTTCCAGTTGCCAGAAGAGTTCACAAGAGCAAAGTGCGACGCACTTTTGTCAAAGTATTTGGAAGCAGTTCATCCGTTTGTTCCAGTTATTGATATCCCTGATTTCTGCTCTGTGTATGAGAAACCGTGGCCAGATAATGACCATTTTGCGCTGGAGCTACTCACAATAGTCTATTCAGCCACGATAATCACCAAGATGCCATCACAGGCTTTGATCGACCTGGTGTTCAGGTATCTCAGCATTGTGCCTCCTTTACAAAAATGCACGTCCCTGACGATTCTGCTGTTTGTGCAGCCCAAAAACCCATTTGGATCGATATCGACGTTACTGAATCTTTCGAACTTGCTGGAGCTTCAGAGAGATCCAGTTTCGTACCACCATATCCAAGATGCTAAAGCTATCCAGCTTCGTAGAAAACTTTGGTGGCTGCTTGTGCAGCTGGACTGTTTTTCTTCGCTGAGAAACGATTTTCCACCTGCTACATCAAGAAATCTTGTCGACACAAAAATGCCAAGCGAAAATTGGTGCGCCGACGGGGTCTCGATTAATCCGAGCATGGCTCTACTCTGCGGCGTCTCACACTGGTGTATGTGTTGCAACGAGGTTTGGGATGGAAAACACAGCCACCAGCCAACCAGTTCAGCCCGAGCGGCAAAATTCAAACTGGATGTCGAGAACCTGGCTATCGCCTGCTCCGCTACAATTCAGAAATTAGCCAACTCCGCTACTTCGCAAAAAGAAAGCGACTTTATACAGCTCACAATTGCAGTGCTTGCTTCTTTGCCCGACAGGCTAAAGCTCATCATCGAATTGGCAACAAGTAAGGTGGGGTTGGTTGCGTTTTGTCGGACTGACCATTATCTTATACAATCCTTGCTGATTCCCTCATATTCCAATTTCGCTTGGTACTCGTTCTTTGAGCCATTACAAATTTGCATCAACTTGTTCCGTTCGATCCTCAACCAAATCCGCTACCAGCATAGCAAGTCGTCGATTGTCTCGAGTGCCAATTTCAGATTGTTGCAAAAGGCTATACAATGTAGCTCCCACCCGCAGCTGAAAACATTGTTCAATGAATTGTGGAGTCAATTTTTCATTTCTCAGCTGGGAGGCTTACAAATCAATAGGCTTCAAGGGATGCATAGAAACGTGACTGCTCTTAAACTCCGATACTTCGACCAAGAATTGCTAGCCATTACTAATTACTCAGGTGGATTTTTTTGACTTTGTGCGGCGAGGCGGCTTGCGCCACAGAAATTTATCACTCTGCAAAAGTCATGTGGATGGTAGCCACATACTCTGTGAAGTAATATAAAAGCGGTGGCTGATCTAATTTGAAACCAACATCAAATATGTCTTCTACCACAACTCTCAAACTCCAGGCTATTCCCGTTGATAAGGAAATTGAAAATCTTATTAGATCTTCCAAGGAGATTGCTATTGGTCTCAATGCAAATGACACTCGTCACTTTGGACCGGATCCTGACGGATTAAAGATTCTTCCTGAATCCACTCGGAAGCGTCTTCTTGATGCTGGCATTGACATCTCTGAGGGCTACCCTTCGAGACCAGACAAGTCTCTTATTCCAGTCTATGTCGACGAGGCTGCTGCAATCCGGGACGACGATTACGAATACATTGAGCGTGCCAAGAATGCTGACCCTGAGAAAAAAGCTCTTTTGGGTGCCGCGAAAGAGGTCATTCACTTGACCAAACACATTGGTACGGAAATTGTTGGCTTGCAACTTGAGGACCTGACCGACCAGCAAAAAGACGAGTTGGCTTTGTTGGTTGCTGAGAGAGTTGTTGTTTTCTTCAGAGACCAGAAGCTGTCCCCTCAAAAGCAACTGGAGCTTGGCGAGTACTGGGGACGTGTTGAAAAGCACCCTCAGGCTTCCCAGGTGAACGGCTTGCCTGGTGTTTCTGTGATCTGGCAAGACTACTTCCAGAAGTCACTTGGTGTTGGTCTGACTTTCAAGAATAACAACCTGGGTAACTTTGATGCAACCAAGAATGCCGTTAGAGGTACTCAGGTCTGGCACACTGACTTGGTGCATGAAAAGCGTCCAGCTGGGCTGACTCACTTGCATTTGGACGCCATCCCTGAGGTTGGTGGTGACACTCTGTGGGCATCTGGTTATGCAGCTTACGATAAGCTGTCTGAGGAGTTTAAGAAGTTCCTTGATGGCAAACAAGCTGTTTACGTTTCTGCTCACGGATACTTGGACAGAAACAACCCTTTTGCTGGTCCAAAAAAGATTGAGAGAGTTCACCCTATCATTAGAACTCACCCAGCTACCGGCTGGAAGTCCTTGTTTGTGAACAGAGGAATGACCAAGAGAATTATTGGTCTCTCTTCTGTTGAGTCTGACTTGATCCTGAACTACTTATTTGATGTTTTTGAGAAGAACGCAGACATTCAGGTCAGATTCAAGTGGACTCCTTCCAAGCCAGGTTACGGTACCTCAGCTATCTGGGACAACAGAGTGTCCCAGCACAGATCTACTTGGGACCACGAGGGCAAGGAGTCACGTCATGGAACTAGAGTCACCTCTCTGGCTGAACTGCCATACTTAGACCCAGAGTCTAAATCTCAAAGAGAAGCTCTTGGATTGCCATTGGACGAAAAGGACTTCTTCTAGGCTTTCGTGCGTAGTGAGTGAGGTAGGATTTGTAATCTGAAAAAATTAAATGCAACCTATACACCATAATATGGGAATTCGTAATACGTGCCAATTGAGGCTTGCTGATTATGCCACCAAAGCACCTTTTGATAGGTGCCACAGGCACGGTTGCACACTGTGTGAGTTCTTCTTGAACAGTGGTTCCTGTGGCTACCATTGTGGCTCGCAGGCTTTGCGGCTCACAAGCCATAATTGATTTTTCAGTAAACTAGATAAAGGGTAAATGATCTGTCTGTTGATCCAGCATGTCCATCAAGAAAGACGAGTTTGTTACCACCAGCGAGTTTGATAGCACCAGCTCTCAAAAGATTGATCTGTCTATTGACAAGCCTGTCTCCAGAAAGGACAGGTTTTTGTCCCTTATTTGGGACGGCTACAAAAAAGACCCGAGGGAGCAACGCTTCTTGCTGAAGCTAGACTTCTTCCTGATGTCCAGTTCGATGCTGGGTTACTTTATCAAGACTTTGAACCAGTCGAATGTGACCACTGCCTACGTTAATGGTATGAAGGAGTACTATACCATGGACAAGAACCAATATAACTACATGATTACACTGTGGACCGTTGGATACACCGTTGGTGCCATTCCATCCAACATCATTCTGCACAGAGTTTCTGCCCGCTACTACCTTGGAGGGTTGGAGCTCATTTGGTCTGCGCTGACGCTTTTGATGGTTGCGTGCGGACCAGAAAGAATTAACGGTATCTACGCTCTCCGGTTCTTAATGGGTTTCTTGGAAGCAGGATACTTTCCTGGTCTGGAATATCTGCTTGGCTCATGGTACAGTCCAAGTGAGCTTTCAAAAAGATCCTCCTACTTTGCGTGCTCCGGTATTGCTGCCAGTATGGTTTCCGGCCCTCTGCAGGAAGCCATCTTGAGAGGGTTTTCGAAGTCCAAGTTGCAGCCATTCAAGTGGATGTTTGTATTTGACGCTGTGATTTCGGTCCCGGTTGGAATCTACACCATGTTTGTGGACCCTAACACTCCTTCCACAACAACTGCATTCTACTTGAACGAGACAGACAAACAGGTTGCGGTGGAAAGACGTCGCCAGGTGAAGGCAGAGCTCAAGACCAGACACAGGTACAGCTGGGCTCGTCTTAAGGAATTCTTTGGAACCTGGCACATCTACGTGTTCCCAGTTCTGTTTTTGTGCTACAACAACACCTGTGCCGCCATCAGCCAGCCTACATTCACCACCTGGATGAAACAAGACCTCAAGTTGCCATCCAGCCAATATAACACTTATCCGTCAATCTTATATGGTGCTGGCATTGGGGTCACCTTGGTGTTCTCGCACCTGCACGATTACTTTGGGGGAACTTATAACTACGTCCTGGTTGGCCTCTACTTTGTGCTAATGATCATTGGCAGCTCCATGCTAGCAGCGTGGGACATCGCGCGTCCTGCTCATTGGGCAGCTTACTTTATTGTCGGTATGCCGACCGCTTGGGGGCAGCCTCAAATCTTCTCCTGGGTGAACCGTCTGCTGTTTGGCAACGATATGAAGAGAAATTTCACAGTGGTGTGTACCAATACGCTGGCCTACGTGACGGCTGCTTGGGTGCCTATTCTCGTTTGGAATGCCGAAGATGCTCCACGATACCCGATCGGTTTCAGATATAACGCCGGCCTAGCAAGTCTGGGACTTGTGATGACAATTACGGCCTGGTTCCTTACCAGGCGAGACACTAAGAAAAAGGCATTGCTGGACGCACAGCAAGACGAAGTTGAGGCCACTACCCACTTTGTCTCGTCAACCTCCTTTTAAAACACTATTTAACGCTATAGAGTTGACTGGCCTAGCTCAAGCGAAGTAAAAATACACTAGATCTATCTAGAGTAACTGAAAATGCTAAATGCAGACCCGTATGAGGCGCAGAGGTGCGAAGATCAAAACTGGACTGCGGTTGACGAGGATCGCACGCTTAGCCACATGGAGATGGAATTAGTAAGCTGGAACATGACTGGCCGTTCACAACTGTCATTAGCGCTCACGTGCAATTGTTCATGCTTGACACTCACAGCGTGCATGAAGCGCATGGGTAAATCATACTCCTTTCCATGGCGCAGGTGCATCGCTACCTATTGATGCAGATCACGTGACATATGAGATCATTTCTGTCCTTGGTAGCCACAGATCGTAACCTGATTTGTGGAGAGCCACCGTATGTATATATATTGAAGAGCTGGGTTTCCCATTGTATGGCATGACAAACCTGATAAATAAAGTGGCTATCATTGGTGGAGGTGCTGGAGGACTGGTCACGTTGAACGAGTTTCTCCATACGTCGAAGTCAGGTAGATCCACAATCACCAAAGACGAAGAGCACCACGAGTTTCCAGAAGAGCCCGCCTTCGAGGAGATTGTGGTGTTTGAACAAAACGATTCCATTGGTGGAGTCTGGAACTATACCAAAAATGCCGACGAGGGCTTCCCCATAGATGTTGAGAACTACTATTCTCCTCTGGGGATTCGTCCACCAAGGGATCCTCCAACCGATCTGGAGAACACAGACAGCACAAGGCCAGTTGAAGTAGACGCGAAGCGGACTCATAGATGGAATACAAGTGGCGTGTATGACGGGCTGTACACAAACGTTCCAATCACGGTCATGAGGTTCTCTTCGGGTCCACCGGTGAAAAGCGGTGTCGATTGCGATTTTCATCCGTTTGTGATGCACCATCATGTGTTGGATTATCTCAAAGAGTTTGCCAGGACTAACGATCTCGAAAAGTATATTAGATTCAACTCGTCGATCGAGCAGCTGTACAAGGATGAGGCTTCTGGCAAGTGGGTTTTGATTGTCGTCAACTCTGAGAACGGCGTGGAAAAGTGGTACAGAGAGACATTTGACGCGGTGGTCGTTGCTGTTGGGAAGTTTAATATTCCATACTTCCCCAAGATCCAGGGACTTCGCGAATACTCCAGTAGAAACGGGAATGTTAGACATGCAAAGAGCTACAGAAATGCTAGAGACTATAAGGATAAAAAGGTGCTGATTGTTGGAAGTAACGTGAGTGCCGTTGACATGATGCAATACCTTGTGCCTGTGTGCAAGGAAATACACGTGAGCATGAATGTGTCAAGGGTGGAAGATTTCAACCTCGAGAAAAGTCCCGCCAAAAATTGGATTGAAGAAGTACTTAAAAATCCAGAATTTGGCATTAAGCTGCACCCGAAAATACACCACTTTTCCCAGACTTATGTCAGGTTCCATGACGGAAAACAAGAGCATTTCGACGAGGTGATTCTGGCTACTGGATACCACACCTACTATCCGTTTTTGAATGTGCCTCAGAACGAGGGGAAAGAATACGCAAAGATACTTCCAAGCTCCGAAAAGGACAGAGAAGGGCAGCTAAACATAGTGCGGAACCTATACCTATATACTTTTGCGGTTGGTGATCCTACCCTATGCCATATAGGACTTCCTATGACACCCCTGTTCTTCTTGCTCTCTGAGGTTAGCGCAATAGCTATAGCAGGCGTGTGGACCAACGCTAAAAAACTTCCTTCGCCTGAGAAACAACGGGAATGGATTGAACATTACGAGGAATTGAAGAGGAATGGTGCTTCTTTATTGATGCCTGACTTTGCTCTAAACCTCTACAACGAAATCCACAGCTATAGTCCGAAAGATAGATACAACTTTTTTGATACGAATGACAGTGTTGACATAGCTGCCATTAAAAAGGCCTCTAGAGAGTACTTCTACAAAGTTGTATCCGGGAAACTCCAGCCAGCATGAAATGCTATAAATAGGATGGAATAGAGACGCTAGTACTGGACAAAACTGTATCACTCTAAGAAAAAGATTTCAATCTGCAAGGCCGTAAAGTGTCGATCTTGACTCAAAAGGCATTTAATCAGTACCCGTTTGGGAAAAAAAAATGATAAGAGATTTGCATATTTAAAAAATTCCAATCTAGCCGCACAAGTAGAATACGAGATGATAAAATGGTAGATGTCGATTCCCTATCACGTTAGAAATTGTTGACCAGTATGTAATATGCAATATGTTAAAATGAAAGACAAAGACAATGCCAAATATGTTTATTTCAAGAATAGAGTGTCATCTAACCTCTCACTTGGAGCACTAAACTCATGCTGAATCGGAGAAAATATGAAAATGAGACTCAGCACATCAAAGGCAGCAATTTCGAAACCCAAAATTGACTGAAATTGCAGGACGTGGATATGGGAATTATTAAAAAGAGCTACCTTCAACAGCCATTGACTCGCAAGAGAAATATTTCGCAAACTACTTTCGTGTATACTGATGTGGTTGCAAATTTCAGACTTTATTGTTTTGCAGGAGAGTTTTAACGGAGCGCAGTTGCTTTGAATATTGCTCTTTCAAAATCAGCATTTATCCAATTGTTTGTGGGTGGTACAGATTTGGGCCTCTTTTGCAGGAGAGATCAATTGAATAGATTGAACTGTGATTTCGCTTTCCCGAGGTGATATTACATAGGACAAGTACGCTGCCTATAGGTATAGGTTTGCCATAAACATAATACCTGAGCGAAGGTAGTGTTGATTCCCTCTTAATATTTTGAGATTTCTCATGTATGGGCTGCATCCAAACCGATGACTTTCCAAAGACTTTGAAGACTGTTGTGCCAAGAAACCTTCGGAGAGGCGGGCTTTTGGCTTTTCTACATGACTTCAAGTGCTTGATACTTTTAGAACTCTAGTCTTGTATTTGCCATAGACTAAAACATATACCAAAAATTGTATCGAGAGCTAATTATCCCTGCTGCGTTTCATCTGTGTACTGTTATTACGGAGTTTCTGTTTATCATGGAATCTCAAATAAAATTGGTTTGCAGCGCCCTACTCTATGGGATGTGACATTGCTCGCAATATGTTTGATTTGGCTAATTTGGCTTCACACAAAGAAGAACCAGGAATGTGGATCAAGGTTTACAAAGATCCTTATGATACGTCTGACTGAAACCTTATTGAAGAGTTCAGATATGACTCCTTGCAACTACTGCTAGCTACAGTCACGGAAAGGTTGACAATTCACTATTCTATTTTGACATAGAAGGGGAATTCACTTCTAATAAGGATACGACTTACGATATACATTTATCCTCTTTGGGGACACCATTGCTTTACATAAATGGGGAGTTATTTATTGAAGATAAAATCAATCAAAAGATGGGCTTTGCTGCCATTGGTGCTAGCTCACTAGGAGATACCAAGACCATCCTCATGAAGAAGGATGAAAGAATTGGTTTCAAAATTGAGTTTAGGTCCACTTCAACTTTCACCTTGGAGACTCTGGATTTAGTAACCTCAAATGGAGGTTGATCACTTACGGTCGCTATCGGGGAAAACGTTACAGATCAAAACAGAATCAATGACGCTGTCGAGCTTGCAAAAACAGCGGACAAAGTGACTCTTTGCGTTGGGACTTCCCGTATTGAGAAAGTGAGCGTTTCGACCAACCGCATATGGACTTGCCTAAATCCCAAAGCATCCTTATCGAGGAGATTCTGAAAGTTAACGAAAATATTATCTTAGTGAGCTTATCCGGTACACCAGTCAACCTCTCATGGATCGATGAGATTCCAGCTCTTGTTCATGGCTGGTTCAATGGTATGGAGTTCGGAAATACTATGGCGGATGTTCTCTCTGGGGACGTAAATGTCTCCGGTAAACTTTCTCTTTCTTGGCCAAAACAATTCAAAGACAAATCATCATTCTTGAGCTTCAAATCGGACAAGGGAAAAGCTGTTTATGGGGAAGATGTTTTTGTTGGGTACCGGTATTACAACAGAGCTTGCCGCAAGCCTCTTTTTGCCTTTGGTCATTTTGCCTTTGGTCACAAATTATCCTACACAACTTTCAATTTTTATGGCCTGGATGTAAAGATAGCAGAAAACTTGGTTTTGGGTTGCACCTTGAGTATCAAAAATACTGGCCAATTGAGGGGCTGCTGTTGTACAGTTGTTCGTCATTCCCCCTCTGACCACTACTGCAGTCTCCTGCCTGTCAAAAGGTGTTCTTGGAACCTGGCCAAAAGACCACAACTACCGTTTCCATTCCTATCAAGTACGCCTGCTCTCTTTGATGTAGAAAAAACAAAAATGATCGATTGAAAGCGAAGAATATGCGTTTTTATTGGAAACGCCTCCAAGGCTAAGGATGCACTCATTGGAAAATTTGTTATTCAAAAGCCTCTGCTCTGGAGCGGTCATTAGGATAAACACATTAAAGACACGATTTGTGTTTTTTTATCTTCATGTACATTGTAGCTATTCAGTTAAAACTTACTATCCTCCATCTGATTTTGAAACAAAGAGATTCTGATGGAGTAGCGTTGCATTTTAGGGGCTCTAATTGTGTAATCAGCGCCTCTCAAAGAGGATAGACTGACTGATTCTCACGTATTGAGTCAAGAATGTCTTACTCTTTGTATTGGTATGCGACTCAATAATTTGCCAAAATAAGCACGAGGTGACATGCAACGTTGCCGTCTAAACACTGATCAGTCGATTGTTGCCTTTGTTCATACTACTGTAAAGGCAAAGGTGCTATCTCTAGACGCTTTTTTAGACTATGACCAATGCCTTGAAGGTAGTTTAATACGACTGGAATAATTTTCCGATAGGTTGCCAATGGTGGTGACTGAGCAAAACATCAGTTGCCCAGACGCTTCTCTTGCACAGGTATTGTTTCAGCAAATCATACGTTTTTGCCCTTTTTATAGTTCAGCCCCACATCGGTGTCCATGGCATGCGCTCATGATGAAGATTTTAGTGATGTTCGCTCTCTATTTTCTGAGATATACTCCGCAGAGTCAAAGTTGCAAGATTTTCATCAGCTGCTCGTGAAGCAATAACAGATCAAAGTGGAGATAAATTCCAAAGAGTCTGCAGCTTTTGCCATGTTATAGTGTCAAAGAAACGTACAAGACCTCCTCAGTAAGCCTGCTCTTATTTGAACCATGCAATAATGTAGCTGTCAGAAAATTTAGTTTCTTTTTTATTGTACAATTTTTGGATCCGCAACTAGTTTCTGATAGAGATGCTATGCCAGTCAATCACAATCTTGCGCGTTATATACGAAGAGCGACGACTCTTAATAGAGGCAGAAGAACGCCTCAATAGTACTGACTCTATGCGACAAACTCTACCTATGACAAACAGAGACCGGAGTAAATTATGCACGTTCATATTGCACAATCAGTTGTCAAAGAGCAACCTGTAATTTCTGAAAGTCTCAGAAACAGCACTAGCACAAGCTGAAGATTTGGTTGGCTGGACAGGAGTGGTGGAATTACAGAGCAGATAAGCATGGAGTGAAATGAAGGAGAGATCAGAGAATGCCGAACAGCCAAAAAGTCGTTCTATTGTTAAATATGCAAAATTTCACCTTTCTCTTCCTAAAAAGTAAGTCAAACGGCATCCGTCAAAAAATCTTCAGATAAGGAAAAAAAAACTCCTCCAGCATTCTTCATGGATCGTCTAAGAAGGCTGGAGCAGTTGATCTCCATCAGAGACGAGTCAGAAAATGATGCAGACCAGTTACGTTCCAACCATGATCTGAATCCGACTCCGCCAAAGGAGAGAACTTGGGAGATGTACAACTACTTTATTGTCTGGTTTCAAAATTCTCTCACAGTCACAGCATGGAACACAGGGCCCTCCTTGGTGTTGTCGACAGGACTTGATTACCGTCAGGTCATTTATGCTTCTCTTATTGCCAGCTTCTGGGCCGCTCTGATGGTTACAGCCAGTGCTTGGCCCGGTGCGTCCTACCACATTGGATACCCTGTTCTGGCCAGAAGTGTATTTGGTCCTAGACTTGCAAGGTTCTTTGTTCTGGCCCGTATGTTTGTGGCTGCTATGTGGTTCAGTGTCAATACTTATAACGGCGCGATGTGCTTTGTTGTCTGCTTCCGCTGTGTTTTTGGCCACAGCTTTGTGAATCTCCACAACGGCCTTCCTGCCAGCGCAGATATCACCACTGCCCAGATGGTTGTGTTCTTGGTTTTCTGGTTGGGACAATTCTCTCTGATGTTTTTGCATCCACGTCAAATTAGATGGTTTTTCACGGTGAAGGGAATTTTGAGTCCCATCGCATGTTTTGGTATTTTCATCTTCTGCATGGTGAAGGCAGGCGGAGCTGGAAACTTTGAGATCGAAAAAGGAACTTTCAACACTTCAACCGGGAACAAGTGGATGTATGTCTTCAATTCTGTCGCTGGTGCGCTATCTCCTATGATTGTGAATCAGCCAGATATTGCTCGATACGCTAAGAAAAAATCTCATGTGTTAATTCCTCAAGCTGTTGGTGTCATCCTCACCACCATGCTCGTTCTGATTTTGGGTATGGCTTGCAACTCTGCATTGAAAAAAGTTTATGGCGAGTCATATTGGAGTATTTGGGATATGTTTGACGCAATTCTGGATCATGAGTGGTCCGCAAAAACCCGTACTGCCATTTTCCTGTGCGCTTTGGTGTTCTCGCTCTCTGCTGCTGGTACCAACGTGTTTGCCAACTCCATTCCGTTTGCTGCGGATATTGCCTTTTTGATTCCTAGATACTTCTCTATTGTTCGGGGGCAAGTATTCATTGGTTTGCTTACATGGGCTCTGGTTCCGTGGAAAACAGTCAATTCTGCTGAAACGCTGTTGAACTTCCTGAGTTCCTACTCCATTTTCATGGGTCCGCTTCTGGGATGCATACTCGCGGACTTTTTCGTGCTCAGAAGGGGAAACTTGCACGTTCCGTCTCTTTATTCGGCCAAGCCAGGATCACTATACTGGAAATGGCACGGTTGCAACATGTGGGGATTATTCGCATGGATCATTTCCCCGGTGATTGCTCTTCCAGGGTTTGTCCGACTTTATCACCCAAACATTTTGAATGAGACGGTGAGTGATATTTTCAACTGTGGTTGGCTGTACACGTTCCTCATTGGATTCACAACTTACACCATTCTTGGCCTCATTTTCAAGCCAAAAATATATCCAGACAACCATGCTGATACGCCAACCACCTTTGAATATATGGTCCCGTACAACGGATTCTTTGAGGACGATGCTCCTATAAACGGAGTTGGTAATCCAGCTGTCACACCTCAGGAGGCTAGCGATGTGGAAAGCGGTAGGGTGGAGGAAATCAAGGACGACCAGATTCTTCTGCGCGAAAAAACCATCGACTAGAATGCTTAATGATACTTGTTTTGTTCTAGTGTAAACCTTCTGACATGATCCAGTATATGACACCTCTTAACTCGCTTTGACTCGGTACGTGCTGTGCACCTCTTTTTCGTTGGTATTCGTACTGCTTCTTAATTAATATTAAAATATAAATTTTGTTTTAGGTAATCAGATATACTTTTGTTTGTCTTGAATAAAGTTCCCCCCGTCAATGAAAGAAACGTATAGGAATATCATTGAGGTTGATAAAAAACGCCTGCTAGTGGACTTGAGCTACGCAAAAACAGTATGTACCAAACCAGGTTTTTACCTGTTTGATGAAACGTTTCGTTCTGTTTTGGGCTTATCTCCTGAATTGACCTGCCTCGAGACACGGGATTTCCGATTCGCTCACGAGGCTGGAGTTTACCACAAGGGGACAAATTCGATATATTTCACATCAAATTACAGCTTTGGTAGCCCCATCAAACTTTTCGCGGTGCATTGTGAATCTTACGAGGTTGAGGAACTTAGTTATCCTGAGGTGATCCAAGCAAACGGCGCTTGTCAGCATAAAGGAAACATTCTCTATTGTGCGCAGGGTGACTTGACACATCCATCATCACTGGTGGAGGTCAATCCTGTCACCGGTGAGACTAAAACACTAATCAATAATTTCTTTGGGAGGGAATTCTCTTCGATAAATGACGTTGTGGTGCATCATGGAACTGGTGATATATGGTTTACGGATCCGACCTACGGATTCGAGCAAGGATTCAGAAAGGAAGCCATGCTCCCAAACCAAGTCTACAGATTCAATCCAGAGACCGGTGAACTTTGCGTGGTTGCGGACCAGTTTGATATGTGCAACGGACTCTGCTTTAATCACGATTATACAAAAATGTATGTTACCGACACTGGTGCCGTGAAGATGAGCAAAACCTCTGGATGTTTTGTTCATAATCCCAGAAGTCCAAGCGTAATTTACGAATATGACGTTGTTAATAAAAAACGCCTATTTAACAAGCGTGTTTTTGCGTTCTGTGATGATGGAATTCCAGACGGCATAAAGTGCGACGTCCATGGAAATGTGTACTCAGGTTGTGGGCATGGAATTCATGTGTGGAATCCTGATGGGATTCTCATAGGGAAAATCATTACTGGAGAGGTCTGTGCTAACTTCTGTTTTTCTGCAAGCGGGATGTGGATATTCTCAGAGTTCCACTTGTTTTTTTGCAGCTTGGGTACCAAAGGGGCCCTAGTAAATGTGGAGTGCTATTGAATGCAGATATTTATTTATGTCCTCATTAAGCTTGACAAAGACTACACTGTGCTCACAATCTGATTATCACCTCCACCTGGCAAGTGCTGATCTGGAAATTTAGTTCAACACTGTTTGCACCTCTCCTTAGCCCTTTTAGCTATGCATGTAATCGCCATGCAGAGATCAAGGGATCGATATCGCTAAGCTCGATGCATGTACAATAAAGACAACATAATCAGTCACGGTGGCCACATTAGATGTTACGAAAAACTAACTAGCTCTTCTAATCCATCTATAGTCCAAGTTTGTAATTGCTTAATTAGATAATGACCATTACTAAACTTATAAAGTTAGTTAATGCTGGAACTTTATTTCACGATGAGTCTGACAACGTTATCTTCCAAGAGTTGCTCACTGATCAGCTTATTCTCAATCAGCAGAGATACAAAACATGATAAGATTATCGCATATTTCCAGACAATATGGCCGGCAGCATCAAGATGACAAAGTTAGACTGAATTTTTGGGAGAGGCGTATTAAAAAAAAAGTCTCTCTACAATCACTATTGCATTGCAGATATCACAATGAGGAAGAAATACTTCCATCAGTTTTTGTACCTCAATGGGAAGAATAGAATGAACTCAATGGGGCTCTGAAATTATCACGAGTCAACGTTTTGGGGGAAACTGTTTTTCTCTGGCTACCACAACGAAAAGAAGCGCTGGAAATATGCCAAAGACCCAACTGATAGCCTGACAGTGCCGCCAGCGGGCAGATATTTACAGTTTTGAAGCAAGATACTAAGACAGCTACAACCTCGTGAGTCATGCTCATTGCTCAAAAATGCCAGTAATGATGATGATCGAGCGGACATTTGAGGCGTAATTACAGATGTTGTAGCAAGTAGCTTTTCATAGATTGCATGCTAGAAGGCCCTAAGAACTCCTCATTCCAGCTTGATGCCTGCTCTTTTGGGTTATTAAGCTTCTACAGAAGACTTGGGGAAAGAGCCTGTTCATAGAAACTTTTCGCATATGCTGATCCATTAAAGGTTGATGTCTCGAAAAAAAATATCAAAGCATCAATTAGGTTGAAGCTCGCTCAAGCGATCAGCATCGTACCGCAAGATTGTTTCGAGCAGAACTTTGAACCCTATAAGTATCTCTTCTGGCTTGGTGTATTCCTTAGGGTTATGACTGATGCCGTCTTTGCTAGGGACAAATATCATGGCAGTTGGTACAATATGGTTGGTATTACAGGAATCATGGCCAGCACCGCTGACAATTTCGTGGGTTAAGGTATCGCCAACAATGCTCGAAGCAGAATCTTTGATGATTCCAAGCATTTTTTTGTCAAAATGCGATGCAGGGGAATGGATAAGCAGGTTTGTGGAGTACTTCAATGGTCGACCATTTCCTAGCGCATTTTTGGAAGCTTGCTCAATAATATCGAAAACTTCTGACTCCATCGCTTTGTGTACATTGTCGTCACAATGTCTAAAATCAATTACAAAGGAAACTTTCTCGGGGATGACATTGACAACATCTGGCCCTATTGAGATCTTGCCAACTGTCGCCAATCCCCCATGGGTTTTGGCCATTTCGTTAAGCTTCCAGATCACTTGTGAAGCTGCAAGCAACGCATCTTGACGAAATTCCAATGGCGTGGTTCCAGTATGTTGTGCGGTACCTTCAAAAGTAACCTCAATCCACGAAAATGCTTGGGCTCCTGTGACCACACCAATTTTTTTGTCCAAAGCCTCAAGAATTGGCCCCTGCTCTATATGAATTTCAAAATGACATTTTAAAGGATTGAAACGGTGACTGCATTCGACTTCACCAAGATAGCCAATTCGCTTTAGCTCATCTTTAACAGTTATACTGCTATCAAACACATCTTGTAGTTTGTACACGTCCTCTTTCGTAGTTAGACCAGCCCATACAGATGAGGCCATCATACTCATTGGAAAACGTGCACCTTCCTCATTGCACCAGTTGACAAGAGTAATGGGGAAATTTGGAATATAGCCGTTACTCTTAAGCGTTCTCAAAACTTGTAGACCGGAAAGAACACCGTAGATACCATCGTACCTTCCTCCTGTTGGCTGCGTATCCAGATGAGACCCAATCCCGGTCGCAAGATGATCATTGTGCTTTCCAGGGAACGTTGCAAAAATATTACCAACGTTGTCAACTTTTATAGTGCATCCTAGCGATTTGGTCTCTTCAATAAACCAATCTTTAATTTGTCTGTCAAGATCCGTCAAAGCGAGCCTACAAACTCCTGTTTCTGTGGGATCGTCTCCCCATACTCCATGTGCTCCAAACTTCTGAGCTGTGGAATGTATGGTTTGTATTAGCTCTGACTCTTGAATCTTGAAGTTTTCGGATATCATTCTGAAGACAAATTGCAATGAAGAATGTCAACTTTCCGATCCTTCTTATATATAGAGTTCGGCATTACTAAACAGATAAGACATTTGCAAGAGATTAGATATGTTATTTGAGCACGACCATCCCAAAAAAGAAAATAATCTCGGAGAAAAAAAAGAGTCGGAAACGGCTCAAGCGGCAGCGGGCTAAAGAAATGTATTTCGAAGGTATTCCTTATCGAGGAGGACATCCCATCCTGGGCCAGGGTCGGTGTCACTGCCCCAGGTAGTGAACAAAAAGCGCATGACACTCATCAGACCACTAGATTTCTTCATGACCCCAAAAGTCCTTATCCGCTCTATCAAGTAGAGTCTTTGGTCTTCCTTTATTACTGCAGAACCTGCAACAGCGAAAGGCCACGAGCACAGTCCAGATGATTGAGCATGTGGACTCAGTTTGCGTAAATTTGAAAAAAATACGTCGATCTCCTCCTGTATTTCAGGGGCATCAGGTTGTAATCTTGGGTTGAGCAACTTGGATAACAAGATGGTGCAAGCCTTTGCCACGATATTGCCTATCAAACAACTCTCCATCAGCCGCCTTTGAACAAAGTCAGATTCATGAAACCTTACGTTTTCCGGAAGTACTGGAGGGAGGTAGTATTTCGACAAGGTCAGTAGTTTTTCTGCAACCATTTTATTTTTGTCATTTAAGGGGAAAAACAGCGATAGCCAATTTGTTTTTGCTGCGAGCTCGAATGCAGATAGCGCTGCACCCATAATCGGATTGTTCATCCACCAAGCAGGACAATGATATAGCGGAGGCAAAAGATACGGTTTGAGCTCGGCATAGACTTGGAAAGGTGATTTGATATAGTCAACAACCGAAGCCTCACATGCAAACAATGTAACCGAGTAATTATACAAAAAGCTCTCCAGGATAGTCCTTTCTAGATTAGTGACATCACCTTCGCGAAGCATATATGAAAGCTCGTCTGTCCAGTAAGTAGCATCGTTGACTTCAGGATCTGTTCTAACCATGGGAAGCATTTTGAAATTTGTCTTGTTGAGGACCAAAGCGTCCAGTAATTGATTAAAAGACTCAAAAGGCAAATTTCTGTTGAGCAGCCAGCATTCTATGATTTGCAAAGAGGCTATCAGGAAAAAGGCGTTTCTGGCTGTGTTTTCACATTGATACTTCTCGCGAAGACATAAAGTGACCATGCAAATAAGCAGCCAGTCCTCGTTACCGACCAAAGAATTCTGGTTTAAAAACCATTGCATTTCTTTCATACACTGCAGGAACTTCTGCTCAGCAAACTCACGGTATTCAGGCCGCTTCCACGACAGGTATGTGGCACCACAGGCATAGAAAACATGTCTCAAGGTCGGATTGTGAAGGCCGCGAGGAATAACGACCGATGAAGGCTGCAAGCTCTCGTGAGACAGTTGGGGCGATATGGCAACCATGAACCCTTTTACAAAGGCATCGTATAAAAGTGCATCATTAGCGGAGAAATCGACCCCTAACATCCATGAGGACCATCCACCGAGATGCCACCCCAAAGTTTCAAGATATTTTCTATACAATGCATCTTCCCTGGCTTCCTTAGTTGATTCGAGCTCTAGGGTAGCGTGCTCGGTGAGTAACGTGACGGGCTTGCGAAAATTGATGGAATTGGGGTCCACAAACCGGATTGGTTTTCTGGCCAATTTGCGAAGCTTGAAATCTTTCGGGATAGCCTGTACCCCGTAGACGCACTCATAAGACGACCGCAAGCAATTGCTGCAGGTAGGCTTTGAAAGGTCGCACTTAATCTTGCGTTTGCGGCCTACAAAATTAGTAGGTCAACTATTGGGACTTACAGCAAAAACAGCCTTGTCTCCTGGGATTGGCCATGAAGTCTCAGTAATTGAGATAACGTTGAAATATTTTTAAAACTGTTTTTGGATTATATAATCTATTCATGATAAGAAGTCATGGATTTTAGAGCTCCCGCAGACAGCCGAACCTCAAGTTCGTAATCGCTACAAAAAGACGCATAAAGGTTCGCAGAGGTGGCTGTTATACTGTAGGTGAAGGATGCCTCTTTATCGGGGATGACAATTCTGTCATACAGTCCCGAGGCGTAGACCGAGTCTGTCTTGATCTGGGTCTCACATATTTTGTCCATCAAGCACAGCAAATAACAGGCTTCACCAACAATGGACCCGGCTGTGATGAGTCCATGATTTTGTAAGATCAGAGCTCTATTGGTAGGCCCGAAAGCCTTGGCAATGTTTTCTCCCTCTTCCGTTTCCACTGCCACCCCGCCAAAGTTCCGGTAGACATCGTGGTTGTTATAGAAAATACATGCGTCTTGATTCAGCATGTCGAGTTTGCGTCCCAGTGCAGAGAACGCTTTTCCCCAGACAGAATGAACATGGCATGCAACGTTTAAATCTGGCCGCGCCTTGTGAACAGCAGAGTGAATCTTGAAGCCAGCAAGATTGATTGGAGCTTTGTTTCCGCCAACATAATTGCCGTGCTCGTCAACTCTTACCATGTCTTCAGCAGTCAGAAGAGAGAAATGAACTCCAAGGGGATTTATCCAAAACGTTCTTGGCTCAATTGGATCTCTAACGGATATATGTCCTGCAGGGCCTTCGTTGAAGCCTTTTCTCGCGAATATCCTGAAGGCGCCAGCCATCTGGTTCAACAACCAGTCTCTCTTGATGTGAGGATCTTTGATCTCTGGTACCCGATACGGATATTCGAAGTCCCCCATAGCAATGGCGGTCGAATGCTCAGAAGTTTGGAGCTGAAGTGAAACAGAGCGTGAGGAATTGTTTGTTGTTTCAATAGTGGTGGTCATTCTGAGGTACAGTTTTGAAAAATCACAACTACGGAGGGTGTTTATATACTTCCCACGTAGTCATAGAGGCTCAGAAAAGACTGGATTGGCCACTTGGGCAATGTTTCTCAGCCATTTTGCGTTCTCCGAGGTTTATTTCTCATTTCGATTTCCGGCCTCAAACCGGCCAAAATTTCATGCACCTCGATAAGGTGCAATAACTTTTATTTTGAACTTCGCGTTTTTCGTCAGTCCTGACTCTATATTTGCAAATACTTGAGGACCAAGAGATATTCTAGTATAGACTGAAGACCATAGAGTTTCAAAATGTAGCCACATAAAAAAATTCTGCATATATTTCATATTTTATGAGGTGATAATATGCTTTGGCATTATATGCTTAGAGGTCCCAGCTCGTTCTATGTTTACAGGTCATCTGGTGTGTACTGAAACTTGAGGACATGCAATGTTAGAGATTTTACTCCCCTTTACCAGTCTATGATGAAAGCATATTCATCTTTTGATACCCCATGCGGATAACGTCTGCGGAACATCCAACCTGTGCTAGGTTTCGTAGTGGAAACCTACGTCTCAAATGTTTCAGATGTCCATCACTGAGCAATTTCCAGTCACCTATTGTGTGCAGTTTCTAGGATCTGAGATTTTGTTCGATTGAAAATCGTTTTTGAAGATATGCTTTGACAAAACCAAAATCCTATTTCATTTAAGAAGCGAAAACGCTTTGACTGTGTTCAAGCTAGACAATCCATTGCAGCTAAACAAAACGCTTTGTACAAAGAAAAGTACTTTATAGTATCAAAAGCTAAGATAGTAAAAACTGGAAAACTATACCAAATGAAATATGCAAGAAAATCATGGCTTCCGAAAAAAAGAATATTTGAGTCAAGACAAGAATAATGTTTAGCCAAAGTATTCCCCACGGTCAAGATTGTTTTCCGATAAGATACTGCAGCTTACAAATCTCGGCGCCGGTAGACGACGCTTGGATTTTGTGGCGTATTACGTATATGGAAGAGAATTCTCTCCTCATGCAGGCTTGATCAGCTGAAATCATTTGTGGCTACCATTTTTTTGTCGAAAATTAATTATGGCGCAAAAGGAGGCTCTCGGTGAATGGAGACCAAGTTTGCAGCATTCGCTTATATAAAAAGGTGGACAATGACTGCGTTTAAAGGGAAATAATGAAGTCCGACACTGAAGAACGGAAAGGTGTTGTCGTCGAGGAGGTACAGCTCCACCCTAGTCAGAACGACTCAACAGAAAGTATCGAAGTTATCGAGTATAGGCCAACAGATATTGACGAACTTGCTGATGTGCCGATCGTGACTGATCAGTTACTCCCTAAGCTAAAAAACCTTGCAAAAGTGTTTAAAAGAAAAAACGATGGCCACCTGATCGCCACCAGAAAGTCGTATTTTGAGGACCCTGACTTTGAGGTGGCTAGACAATACTACCCTCCTCCAACTTACGAGAACTACAATAGTTTTGATCCCTATTTCAGGTGGACGTATGATCAGGAGCGTAAGCTTACCAGGAAGATTGATCTTCGCATTCTGACTATGGTCTGTCTACTATTTTTCGCTCTCAATCTGGACCGAGGAAACTTGGGCTCTGCTGTTGCTGGAGGACTTCTTAAAGATCTCAACCTTTCCACGGATGACTACAATAATGGCAATACTTTGAGATCTGTTGGATTTATTATCTCTGAGATTCCTTCTCAGTTGATTGGAAAACGTTTTGGACCTGACTGGTGGATTCCAATTCAGGTGACGGCTTGGAGCCTGGTTGCCCTGTTCCAATTTTTCATAAGTGGGACGAAATCGTACCTGGCAACTCGATTTCTGCTAGGTATTGCTCAAGGTGGATTTATTGCAGATGCTGTGCAGTATCTCTCGTACTTCTACACACGTGATCAGATGGGATTACGGTTATCGCTGTTTTGGTTAACTGACGCTGCCTCTGGTATTATCAGTAACTTGCTTTCAATTGGGTTCTTGAAAATCAATCTCAATGGTCAAGAGGGATGGAGATGGCTTTTCCTTTTTGATGGCTTGATCACGCTAGTGTTAGGTCTTGCCTCGTTTTTCTTTATGGTTCCGGGCCCTACTCAAACAAAAACTAAATTTAATCCTAAGGGCATTTTCACAAGAACTGAGGAGAAGATCATTACAAATAGATTACTTAGAGACGATCCGTCTAAATCGGGTATGCACAATAGGGAAGCAATCACTTTCAAACAGTTCCTGAGAAGTCTGTCAGACTTCGATTTGTGGCCTGTTTTGATTTTGTCGTTCGTGTTCCAGATTCCCCAAAATCCTATTAAGGCATACCTGAACATCAATCTTAAAGCCCTTGGTTTTGGAAAGGATCCAATTATCTATCTGAACATTCCCATTGAGTTGATGACCAGTATCACAATCGTTTTGATTACGGTACTGTCTGAAGTGCTTGACGAGAGATCTCTCGTCTGCTCGTTGCAACAAGTTTGGATTTTGATAGTGGTGGTTGTGGAGTATGTTCATGCTGATACTTTGAGTCCGTGGGCTCAGTACGCAATTATGTTTTTTGCAATTGGAAATCCGTCTGCTCAGGCAATCATCGTGTCTTGGTGTTCGCGTTTGTCATATTCGGTGAGAACAAGAGCAATTTCTGCACCGATGTCAAACATTGGAATCCAGCTAGCAGGAATAGCTGGGAGCTACATTTACCGCAGCGACGATGCTCCGAAGTATCATAGGGGAAACCAGGTGATCATTGGATTATGTTGTCTGAACATTTCGCTTTTCGTGCTGACCAAGTTTTACTACATCAGCAGAAATAATTACAAAAGATCGAGGTGGAATAAAATGTCTAAATTGGAAAAGGAGGAGTACTTGGCTACTCATAGAAATGCCGGAAACAAAAGACTGGATTACTTATTTGAGCACTAAATATGTTTATGTCCGAGATAGCCAAATAAAAAAGGAAAATGATATCTGATCACGTGCCGTCAGCTGACTTACATTACAAAATTATTGCTTTGCACATTACAGCAGATTTCTTGCCACGACTAAAAACAGGCATGGTTCGCGCAATTCTAAGTGATACATGCATGCATATGCACTCGTATCTGATAGAGCGTCCGGATATAAATGTTGGGGGATCGGGAGTTTTCAAGTTCGTTAGGAATGAGTACCAAAACGAACGAAGAGATTGCAAAATCTGCTACTGCAAGCGGAACGCTCAGATTACGCTCTGAAAACCCCACCTCTTTTGACTTCTCCATTCCAGAAGGCTTGCAAAACCTTTTCCCAAATTATCGGACACCGGATAATGTCTCTCCGTACTTGTATGCTAAGGAACAGGGTGTCCAATATCCCAACTATACTCAATGGGAAATGGAACCTTACAAAGAGAGAACAGATTATATCGATCGTGGTTCCTTATCGGATCCTAAGAAAAAGTCGCTTTTCGAAGCAGCTACAAAAGTCCGGCATCTCACTCCTTACTGTGGAACAGAGCTGGTTGGAATCAAGCTTACGGAGCTTACTGACGAGCAAAAAAACGAGCTCGCACGATTAGCTTCTGAGCGAGGTGTCGTCGTTGTCAGGAACCAAGATGACCTCGACATCAGAAAACAGATTCAATTTACCTCATACTTTGGCGAACCCCACATCCACCATCAAAGCGGAATTATTCCTGACCTTCCTTGGGTGCATCCAGTCTACAAAGATGAAACATCAACCGGGGGTCTGAGATCTCAAGTTTGGCACTCAGATGTCCGCTATGAGATAAATAGTGCTGGAATTTCCACACTGAGATTTGATGTTTTGCCGCGCTCAGAAAATGGTGAGCTTATCGGAGGGGATACCCTTTTTGCTAATGGCTATTTGATCTATGAGTCCTTGGATCCCAAATTTCGCGCTTTTCTTGAAACTCTTTCTGCTGAGAGTAGTGGATTTGGACAAGCGGCTATTGCCGCAGAATCAGGCTACAAAACGAGGAGACCTCCTATTGCAACCGTTCACCCTCTGGTGAGAACCAACCCCACTACCGGCCTGAAATCCCTATATGTTGCTGAGAACTTCACCACCAAAATTGTGGGTCTTGAAGAGCGCTTGAGCAACACCATTCTTCAGTACTTGTTTGACCATATACGGAGATCTTTGCAATACCAGTGTCGTGTGCAATGGACTGAAAATGACATTGCGATTTGGGATAACCGTTCTCATTTCCATACCGGTATCTTTGATTACTATCCAAAAACCAGACATGGTACTAGGGTCATTGCACAAGCCGAAAGGCCATATTTTGATCCGGATTCCAAACTTTACAGTGAGGTCAGTTTTGAGGGTTATAGTGTATTATGATTAGATAAAGAACAAGCTCTCATAGATCTTCCACTGACTCTGGAAATGCAATCCCGTTGTCCAATCTGCATTGATCAAATATCTGTAGGATTCTGATGGTGTCTTTCAATGGATACTCTGTCAGATCATTCTGCTTATTTCCAATGGCAATGGCAGCAGCATTAGCCTCGTAATAATACCCTATTCCCTCAATAACGGGCAACTCAAGCTGCTCTTTCTGGCCGTCACTAGAAATAAAAGTTGCATATGATGGTCTTGATGTACGCCCAGCCTTAATGTACCCTTTATCGCCTTCAATCAGTACACTTTCTCTTGGCGACTCGATAAGGAACGACCCAGTTGCCGTTCCCGATGCAAGTGAGTCGTCAAACAACAAAGTGATTGATGTGGAAACATCAATTTCTGGTACTTCTTTGGATTTGATAGACCAAGAGTAAATTTTTGGACTTGTGGCCGTCTTTGATAACAAAAGCAGATCCGTCCACGTGATCGAGTAAATCAGGTTATCCAACAGAACTCCCGCTCCTAGTTCTGGATTGAAGAGCCGGCTGTTGCTGTCATATGAACAGTTGTGACTAAGATCTGCGTGAACACGACGTACGTTTCCCACCTTTCCGTTTTCCACCACCTCCACCAGTTTTTTTGTTGTAGGAAGGAACCTTGTCCAAACGCCATGGACAACTAAGAGGTTCTTTCTTGCGGAAATCTCTTGTAGTCGGAGTGCCTGCTGATAATTTATGGTAAATGTTTTCTCCACTAAGATGTGTTTTCCAGCTTCTAGAGCTTGTTTAGCCAATTTATAGTGGAACGCATTTGGAGCAGCAATGTACACGATGTCAATCTCGTCATCCTCTAGAAACTTTTGATAAGAGTCGTAGAGTACTGGCTGTTTGTCTGTACCGTTTAGTAGGCTGACAAATTGCTGAGCTTTGGATAGTGAACTGGTGGAAACAACAGCTCTTAATTCATGTGTCACGTGCTGCCCATGAACAGAGTCCTTTCGGTAGTTGGAGAACACATCGTTCGCCCATTTTGCGGCGAACTGCCCCAATCCCACTATACCCCATCTGAGGTGGATCTTCGAACTTTTATCGGTCATTTCGCGTATAAAGGCTCCTAAAACCGTTTGAACTCAACGTATTTTTTTGCATCGCAGAAAAACTGTGGCCACCGGAAATAACCGATTAGGACTGACCGTAAACTGAAAGCCACAGGGGTGCTTCTCATTTAAATACAGCGTTGAATCATATAGAGTGGAAAGTTTAGTATCAATGACCCTTACTGATACTTGGTTGCCACAAATCAGTGGAGTATTCAATGGAGCTCGTGTCTCACTAGTAAAAAAGCCACTTGCTAAGGGGAGGATAGTAAGAGGAAAAGAGTATCCGATAGCATTTGACTTAGTGGTCGAAGGAAGCAGTAGTTACCAGGAAGCTGTTAATGACTTCTTTGAGGAGCTGTCGCAAAAAGGGGTTTTACTGGACCTTGTGAAAGATCACGGACTTGTCATCATCCAAAACTTGAAATCCACCAACCCCGAGCATTATTCACAAATTGTTAATCGCTTTTTCCATTCATCGGATTACCAGGAGTTTGATCAAGTGGGTTTGCTGGCAACAAGACAAAAGATTGACAATGCAGTCAGCTCCGTCGGAAACGATGATGAGCTGGGCAAAAATGTTAACAAGTTACATGCACATCAGGAGTTTTCCAGATATTTAGAGTACCCACACATTCTCACATTTTTTGCTCAACAAGCTTCAGTTCTGGGCGGTGGTGAATCAACGACAACACATGCTACTGAATTGTTTGATGTGGTAAACTCAAAATATCCAGAATTTATCAAGGATCTCTATGAAAAAAATGGTAACCATGTTTATCAAAAGTTCAGCTACGAAGTTTCTACAGACTCAAAATTCAAAATTTCTTGGACAGACAAAGGAGCGTTTGGCAGATACATTACCGATGAAGACTTGAAGACCAAAAATTTGGAGTCCATGAAAGTCAAGGCTATCAAGCTCGCACATGAAAAAGTGAGTAAAAATGTTGAGTTTGATGATAATCATGACTTAATTGTACACCAGCAAACAAGCATTGTGAATATACATCCTCACACTGGGCTTCCTATTATTTTCAGCAGTTTACCGACCTACTACTCTGGCTATTATCAAGCCAAACTCAGGGGAGAAAAGGCTACCTTGCCACCTCTTAGGTACGGAAATGGCGACCCAATTCCTGAGAATTATCTAGATTATCTTTTTGAGCAATCAGTGAAGTTGGAGTATTCGCATCGTTTTGAAGACGGTGATTTATTGTTCCTAGACAACTTTGCTGTTTATCATGGACGGAACCCTTATACTGCGGGAGATCGTAAAATCTTGGCAAGTTTCTGGGAACCAAGCACTGACCGCAGAAAGCCTTATAGACCATCGGACTTTACTGAACTTTTTGCATAGGCCTATAGTACTCCGCTCAAAATTTAAAACAATCTGAAAATTAATTACAAGATCTCAAGCTTATCTTAACTATTTCTGAATTTGGTAACTAAATAAAACAACCTAATAAATTTTGAATTTGGTTCAGTTGTCCAGCTCGACAATATAACGCTCTGCTTGGGCACCCTTGTTTTTCAAAAGATTGAGAGCATCAATAACTGACCATATACCACCTCTGAACACCTTAGTCCTGACGGCCTTGATTTTACCCGTTTCAAAAAGTTTTGATGTCTCTCTCACAATCTGATGGCCAAATTCAATGTCCTCATGGAATCTTTTTATTCTCACTTCTCGTTTTTCAACCAGATCTGATGCTGGTTCGTGAGACGAAACAATGGAAGCATACTTAGCTTTTAAGCTCTTGCCGTTGACTTCTGATAATATTTGAACGAGCTTTTCGGTGCTTTCCCTTGAAGCACAATCAACCCCAAAGTCCACATGAGTAGTCGCTTTCGAAACTTTGTCAATAATTTGCCCAACTGGCAAGTTTCTATCTATCACTGTATGAGCTCCCAGCTCTTGCAAATAGGCTTGATTTTGCAGACTCGCAATACCAATCACTTTAAATCCAAGATATTTTGCAAGCTGAGTCAGATATAAACCCACGACAGTCGCTCCGCCCCATATAAGCAGCGTTTTTCCATGCTGAGAGTTCTCAGCCAAACTAAGTCTAAAAGAGTCCAATAGAATCACCGTGGCAGTTACCAGTCCCACCCCTATACCAGCACCTTGGCTGAATCCTATACTCTCTGGAAGTTTCCAAACAAGACGTGAGTCCATTGCAACATATTCCTGAAATGTACTGGTTCTATTATCACGATACATTGTACTGACAATGAACACCTTTGAACCTTTTTCAAACTCTCTGACCTCCTCCCCAGCATCTTCAACTATACCACTGCTTTCTCTGCCGTTAATCCAGGGAAAATGATAAATCCCGAACCTGAATTGGTGGCACTTCCAGTCAACAGGATTAATTTCGATAGACTTGTTTTTGATGATAAGCTCATGTGGATGCGTTATTCTGGGTTTTGGGTACTCAGTGAGTACCGTCAGTGGCTCATCATATCCAACAATCGCAACCGCAGTCTGATGCTGCTTACTGGTACTTATAGGTTTCCCCAAAGCAAAGGTGTCTTTGGTCCGTCTATCAACTAACAAGCTCATCAATGCCGCGTTTCCTACTAAAGCGGAGCTTCATCCATGTCGCACAATATATACGGACCAGGTCTTATCTAGCTGAGAAACTTGCATATGTTTGCATCTAGGCCACAATAAGGAACAGTTGGAGAAGCACATGCGGTTGCGATTCAAAGTCAGACATAGCGAAATATTACGCTTGTATGACTAAATCACACAAACATGTCTACGCGGGGATTCTGACCGAAAACTAGATTTGAGAAGATGTCGAGTTAGGTCTTGGTATGATTTACCTAACAATGAAGCAGTTCTTGGCTTTCTTAGCCTTTACTCTCAAGGCCACTAGCCGGCTGATATTTATAAACTACACTAGTAGAGTAGATAGTGGCTTGACCCTGTACTCCTCGTTCGAAGGTCCCAAACTCCTTATAGGCAATGCATATGTGTCGGAGTTTTCAGCCAGTGATCTGCGCAATTGCCCGACAATCCATTCGACGCAATGCTAGCCACAGCAAATTCGGAGCACAGTCCTATTATCAGGAGATGCTGACCAAATAAAGTTGCACGCCACAATACAATTTATAAGAATTCGTTTTGGACGAATTTAGTGCAAATTGATTAGTAATATGAGCTTCCCTACTACCAGCCCAGAGTTCTTCGCGAAAGTCGGCAAAACACCATTGGTATTACTCAAAAGCATTTCCAGCTCGATCGGCAGAAATATTTTTGTCAAGTTGGAATATCATAACCCGACAGGCTCAGTCAAAGACCGTGCAGCTGTGAAATTATTGCAAGATTCAATTGAAAGAGGGTTGAAACCAGGAGGGACTCTGGTGGAGGCTACCGCAGGCAACACTGGTATATCGCTGGCTGTGCTCAGTAGATTAGCTGGCTACAGATTAGTTTTATTTGTTCCTGAAACCCTTATTCAAGCCAAAATAGACAAGTTGACCGGATTGGGAGCGGTAGTTTTCAAGGCTGAAAACTATCCTGATAACCATCCAAAGCACATGAACAGTCTGGCAGCTATATATGCGAAGGAACACGATAATACGATCCATGTCAATCAAATGAATAATCTGGTCAATCAACAGGCACATTTCGAGACGACGGGACCTGAAATTTGGGAGCAGCTTGAAGGATCCGTTGATGCTTTTGTGTCTGGTGCTGGAACAGGGGGAACGTTTTCTGGGGTCTCCAAATATTTGAAGAAAGTGTCTGACGGAAGAGTAAAAGCTATTATTGCCGACAAGCAGGGCTCAGGTTTGCACCACTATATCCAAACCAACGGTGAATCTTTTGATGCCGAAGGTGAGTCATTTGTTGAAGGTATTGGAAAATTGGGATTGATTGATAACATTAGAGATGTGCTTACCCTAGCTAACGATTCTTTGCAAATCTCGGATATTGAAGCTCTGAATACTATCTACCGTCTGATTGAGGAGGAAGATTTGCGTGTGGGTGCCAGTGCTGGAGTCAACGTTGCCGCTGCCATTAAGGTTGCTAAATCTCTTCCTCCAGGCTCCAATGTTGTTACAATCATTCCAGATGCAGTGGACATCTATGCCAAGAAGGTGTTCTCCAAGCAGTGGCTCATTGAGCAAGATCATTGGGACAAAATTCCTGATGAGTACAGAAAGTATGCTACGTTATAGAGAAGTTTATAGATTTGTATGGAGAGCTCAATGTGACTGAGCCTTAGCATAATGAAAGACACGACCGACATCGTATTTTAACCTTCAATAAAAGTCAGCTAGTTGCTATTCATGTATATATTTTGAGAAAGTGCTCGTCTCTAACCTTTTGATACTCTAGCTCTACGTTATGCTCTTTCACCCAATCTAAGCCTCCCAGAGTGTTAAGAAGTCGCCGTTCCCAGTCTGCATCATCTTTGGCAAGGTTAAGATACTTTTTCTTGACTTCGCCGTCAATGAAGGTTTGACGCTCGACCCTCTGGAGGAAATGTTTTCTAGTCTCATTGAATAAAAATAAGGATAAGGGCAGATTGTACTTCGTTTGCTCGTCCGGATCGCCATTAGTGGATTTTGTGGACGTCTCAGAAAGAGCCCGGTATAGCGCCCATATATCGTCAAATCCCATGGACGATCCCACAGCGTATACACCTGAAGTTGGGTGAGCTGCATCTCCAGCAAAAGCTATCCTGTCCCCAATGATCAAATCTTGGAGCCATGGTGCTCTTTCCAAAGGAAAAGCCAGAATGTCAGGAAGAACTTTGATGATCTTGGTGATTAATGGGTCCCATTCCTGGAAGAACTCTAGCAGATGTGATATTCCCCATTGACCAGCACTTCTATTCCATGTCAGATCCGATGCAACATTTGGAGGTTCAGGAATCAAAGCCACAAATCCGTATTTTCCAAGACCAACTTTTCCAAGGAAAATCCAGGTACCATCTCTTCCCATCCATGCTGAGGTATCGTCCAACACTCCGTCAACGTCTTTGAGTAGCTTTTCATCAAAGACATATCTATAGGCAACTATCCCTTTGTATTCCAACTTTTCGTTCACACGAAACTGTCTTCGGATCCTGGAATAAATACCGTCAGCCGCAACAACTAGATCGGCACGGACAGGATCTTGATTCTCAAAGTGTAGAATTGCTCCAGAGCTATCCACATCAACCTTGACGGCAGCATGATTATACTTTATTACGCCTTCGGGGACATGCTTCAAAACAAAGTTATGAAGCGGCACTCTATGCGTTCTCGCTTGCACGAAATTGTCTGGTCTCGGAAATGAGGACGTGTCGTACTTTAAGACCTCGCCGGTCTTCCAATGACGTCTTGCAAGCGGCGCTGGCTTACCTCTATAAACAAATTCTTGCACCTCTTCGATATTGGCAATTCGTGAGAGAGTGAGAAGAGCAGCTTCAGTAAGTGCGATCCAGGCACCTGCTTCTCGCGGCCCCTCTGACTTTTCATACAGCGTGACTCTTGAGTTGGGGAGCCTCGAGAGGGTTGCAGCTGCAAATGCTCCAACGATTCCACCTCCGACAATGGCGATCTCTAATGGTTTCGTGACGTCCGTCATTAGTTTTCAGTTAATCTTCGTTTGATGCCACCATGCTTATATAAAATTTTATTCAAGTGAGCTAATCAGCTATGGAGATTGCGCAACTAGGTCGATCTTATTACCTTTTTTGGCAACTCCACCATCTACGTATTCCAATCGAGAATCTTAAAAGTATTGACTCTAGGTATTAATCAAATCCTTGGAGAATTGACTGTCTCCTACTCGGACTAAAGTTAACATGTCCACGCTCCCGTAAATACTATGAGTGTCATTAGACGAATAAAGTTGACAATCTATTTTCAAAATCTCCAATAGAATAATGATAGGACGCTGCAGTAGTCAGTAGGATAGCTTATCTAGAGCTGCCTGTAGAACTATTGGCTGGTAGAGTCTCTTCCGAGTCGAATTTTGACTCCATTTTTCTTATGCTTCTTTTGTAAGCCAAGAAGTAAAACAAAACTATTCCCACAGATGAAGCTCCAGTCAGTCCGCATGTCACCTTGTAACCATACTTGTATTCAGGAGCTTCATTCGCAGGGTACAAAAACAAAGGTAACCAGGCATTGTTGGCATAAACCATGACAACCGTGACACCTGTTATTATGGCTCTTAGATCAGGAGCCGTTGCCCAAATCTCAGGCAAGAAGGATATGAGAATTGGAGTATTCGCTCCTTGAGCATAAAGAAGAAAATAGCCAAAGTAATTGACACCGATGCTTTTTGGTCGCGTAGCCAGGATGATGGTGCCCACAAGCTGGGTGATGTTTTCGGCCACAAGCACAATGAATCGAGCGTTTGCAAAATCAGCCAGCTTCGAAAGGGTGACGATGGTGACCAGTTGAACAGCAGAGCCAGCAATAGGAATCAAGTTGAGTTGTTCGACGGAATAGCGCAAGCTTCCATCGTCGGTTTTGAGACTTTTAAGCCATAAATTGAAATACGCAACAGAGGTGGTCCAAACCGCTGGCACGTATGCCAGAAGGAACAGCCAGACACGGTAATCCAAAGGAATTTTCAGCACTTTCTTCACGTTTAATTGCCGTTTAGTTTCTCGTCCAATGTTGAACATTCTCTGGTTTGCTATAGCAAGATCATCTGCAGTCATCCATTTGGCACCACCATTTTGGGGAGAATCAGGAACAATATAGAATCCAACTGAGGCGATGGCAACTGTCATCAGACCATTAATCACAAATAGCCATTTCCATCCTGCAAGACCTCCGTGCCCGTTCAAAGTTTTATAGATAGCAGCCTGCATAAATCCCGTAAACATACTTCCAGCATAGTATGAGCCAGTAAACAGTGCAGCACGTGTAGCTAGCTCTTTTTTTGTATAGTAGTTGTAAAAGATGGTCATCATTCCCGGCCACGCACTGCTCTCGAAAAGCCCGATTAGGAACCGGAGTGGATATAGAACATGAACCGACTTGACAAAAGCACACGACAGTGTCAGGATACCCCAGATAAACTCACATGAGCTTAACCAGTAAGGTGTGCTTATCCTTGTCATTGACACCTGAGAGGGTACTAGCCCTACAGCGTAGCCAATATTAAAATAGGTGCTAATCCAGTTATACTCTTTTCCAACAATATTGAGATCCTCCTTCATTCCACTAACATACGCATTAGAGTAGTTGCTTTGATCAATAGATTTAATCAGATACGCTATGCAGCCCCAAGTAAGCAGATACAAGTCCAGCTTTCTAACAAACTTGGTCTCGTCGCTGCTTCTCAAAACTCCTGTGCGGAATATTTTAGTGAACCATTTTCCTTCGTGATCATTAGGCACCTCTTCGACAATTTCAGTAGCCTCCTCGACTTTATTTGGGGGAGACATATTAAGATATGTGAGTTCTGATTACACACTCTGCTAAAACATGATGCTCTTATATATAAATTTGGTACCAAGGTGAAAAGTGTGCGTGCAGTTCCGTAGGTGTGGAGTAGCAGTCGGACATAGTTTTGCACATGTATATCAGGGCTGTGGCTCAATGATGCTGGATTTGTGAGATTTTGCGTTTTAGCGGAGAAAGCCAGGTAGCTTGGGCTGTGGTGGTGTACCGTACCTGCGTCATTGTACTATTTTGGTAACAAATCAAAGCGGGAAATGTAGCTCTTAGAGTGAGGCTCAAAAATGGTTGCAAAAAGCAAAAAGTGTGGATTCCACCGGCTTTCGGTATAAAGCACCACTACTCTGGCACACAGACTCTCATCGTTTGTCTAAATGACTAAGTCACTTATTATCACTGCTTTTATCACTGGAGGAACCACTGAGTGGCGTTATCCGGGAGATACTTCGTATAGGTTTGCTTTCGATTTGGATGCCTGGGTGGAAATAGCAAAGCTATTGGAGAAGGGCAAAATCTATGCCCTGTTCATTGCAGACCACTTAACCCTATTTGATGTCTACAAGGGCCCAAACAACTATAGGGACGCAGTGAAGACCGGACTGAATGTTCCAAAGGCTGATCCAAGCCATGCAATTATCACTGCTGCAAGGGAAACAAAAAACATATCTTTTGGAGTCACTTTCAGCACTGTCAGTGAACACCCATACCTGTTTGCTAGAAGGCTTGCAACTCTTGATCATTTCACCAAGGGTAGAGTGGGATGGAATGTTGTTACATCTTATCTCAACAGTATCGGCACCCAGCTTCTAAATGGAGAACCATTTCCTGAGCATGACGAACGGTATAATAGGGCAACTGAGTACGTCGATGTCGTGACTGGCCTTCTCTTATCTACTTGGAGAGATGACGCTCTGATTCGCGACACGGAAACCGGTGTGTTCATTGATCCAGATAGAGTTCGTGAGATCAACCATAATGGAAAGTACTTCAAAGTTGCCGGACCAGCTATCACACAGCCCTCAATTCAAAGGATCCCGCTCTTGATTCAAGCAGGAACATCAAAAAAGGGCCAGGAGCTGGCTGCCGAGTTTGCAGAGTTTGTGTACGTCTTGGGTGGGACTGAAGAGCTGGGTCCGAAGATCAAGTACATCAGAACAATTGCAAAGGAGAAGTTCGGTCGAGACCCCAAAAATATCAAGGTGATTTACTCTGCTAGAGTCATACTGGGCCGCACTCATGAGGAAGCTGTTGAAAAAGAGGCATCTTACAAAAAGTATGAGGTGCCAGATCGGAATGCAGTGAACTTTGGAGGTGTGACTGGTATTGACTTGAACGAATATGATAGCGAAGAGGAGATTGACACTAAAAACGTCAATGGTGTTAAAACCACCGCTGAAGTCTACTTCAAAAAAGCAAAAAGACCAACCAAGAATGCGCTTCTGAACAAGGCTCCTGGCGTTGGACCATTAACTGGCACTCCTGAAGAGGTTGCCGATAAGCTCGAACAGTTGGTTGAGGAGCTTGACCTTGATGGCTTCAATTTTAACTCTGCTGTTCTTCCTGCATCTGTTGAAGACTTGGTTGAGCTGCTCATTCCGGAACTCCAAAGAAGAGGTCTATTTTGGGAAGACTATGCTGTTCCTGGGGGCACGTTCCGGGAGAACGTGTATGGGGTCAAGGGACAAACATTTCTTCCTCCAGATCATCCATTGTATGAGACACGGTGGACGCCGGACGTTGACAAGGAGGAATTTGACAAAATTTTTGAGCAAAATCTAGAGAGACGTAAACAAGCTAGAGCAACTTTGAATTAAAACGTTCTTATTTTTCTGAGTATTTGTAGATGGTTAAAGCTTGTATATGTAAATGTTAATCTTGAAGATTAAATCTCAATTTTCCAAGGCTGTAAGGGTTTAGTTGTTGATACCAGATAATTGTGTGATTTTCTCCTATGCCTGAAGTTTCCGAGCACGTGGCTGAGAATTCCATGTAGCCTTCAACTTCTGAAACGTATTTGCAATGGGAAATAGTCGTGTCCTTGGATAAGCTCTCATGTCACTCTTGCTTGCAAATCTTCAGCATTCATAATCTTGTAACTTGATACCACCAATATAGACATGATTCGTGTACTGGCGACCTCACGCCAAGGTTCTCCTTGTTTGGGAAAACTAACACGGAGATAGAGTAACATTATGATTGTATAGGGCCTGGAATGCATTTAATGATCGAAGCGAGTGGGAATACGAATCTGAGAAATTGATCTGATACCCAGTCACAGCCGTACTGTTTCTATAAATTGTTCAAAAAGAGGCAGCAGTATCTCAACAAGCTGAAAGATACAGGGCAAAAATAGAGTCGTTTAACGTTTCGGCAATGCAGACCCATTTATCACATCACAACAGCAGCATTGATGGTTCTCAAAACCATGCTTATGGTGGCTGAAGTAGATCCTTGGCCATATGGCACACTTTTCTTTTTCAGAGGATTTTTGATCTTTGAGATATGGAAATCTATGTTATCCTGGAGTTTAAACGTAGATGACATCAATTGACCAGTGTATCGAAGGGGAAAATGGCTATATCTTCGGCAAGATAGTGATGACTCCACAAAAAGTGAACTTTCTTTGCTCTTGAACTTACGATTTTTTAACGTCAGGAAAACCATGTATCTGGGTTGCGGTATTCGCAGAGTAAGTACAGTGTAAATCATGAAGTTGTAACCAGTTGATTCCACAAACTTAAGCTAATTGTGGGTTCCAGCAAGAGCCTATACCACGGTCAGCGCACCACAATAACTTCTTGGCTGACAGAACTTGCCAATACTCCTCCGGCATCTTTTAGCTTCAACGTTTTGAGCCCAGAGTTTGATAGATCCTTGTTAAAATATTGTGCTCAAATTGATGAAAAAGATAACGAGTGCAAAGTATCGAAGAGAATTTTGTTCTGGCCTGCACTCCACTCTATAATATCTCACCACCGGGCAAAGCTATACTAGTACTTAGCATATTTAGTTTGTATCGTCAATATTTTGCCGTACCGAGGTGCTTCAAAAATTGTCTCCGTACCCGGGATTTCGATGCCACAGTGCGGCTTGTTTCTCTTGCCACATTTAGGATATATAAATCAGACAATGCTCATAAAAACTGCCAAGTCTCAATCACCGAGAAACGATTGCCATGACAGGCGAGGAAGAGGTCAAACCACTTAAGATTGCAATTATTGGCGGTGGACTGGTGGGAGCATTTGCTGCAGTTACCTTGTCTAGGCTACCAAATGTTTCGGTTACTGCGTACGAAAAAAGCGAGAAGGTTCGTGAGGTTGGAGCAGCCATCACTCTTACCGAGGGAGGCCTTGTGACTCTTGATCAGGTTTTCGATCTGGATGAGCTAGAAAAAATACTTTATAGAACCCCGAATAACGGGCATATCACTAGACGTCATTGGAAAACTGGGGAATACCTCAAAGAGCCTTACTCAAAGTCACCAAAGTATCCCAAATACAACCATGCCAAGGCACAAAGAGTTCTTTTGCTGGACTTCATTTTGAAACATGTTCCAAAAGGAACCATTAAGTACGGCCAAGAGGTGAAAAGCGTTAATGTGAGACAAGATGGTGTTGCCATCCTTTTTGCAAATGGGAACGTGACAGAAGCTGATCTGGTGATTGCTGCTGATGGCATATACTCAAAAATTCGTCGCCAATTCACCAATGATGCCATCGTCTACAAGGGAGCAGTTGCATATAGGAATGTTTTTGACGATAAAATCGTGGAACATATTCCTGGATTGCCAGATGATATTACAGTCTGGATTGGCAGGGGATCTGCTATGTTTATGACTAGACTAACGCCTGGAAAGTTCAACGTTGCGGCCCACTTGAGAGACCCACCAGAAGTTGCTGCCAACCTGCGGTGGAACAAGACCACAGGTGATTGGGGTAAGAAGCGCTTGATTGAGCACTTCAGAGATTGGGATCCACTTATCGGTCAGATTCTTGAAGTTATGCCGGAGTCGATTGCTTTCCCGCTGGAACGGGCACCTTGGCTGGAGAACCTGGTTGTTGGGGACCGGATTGCGTTTGTCGGCGATGCTGCTCATCCAACCTCCGGTGTTTACGGGGCTGGTGCAAATATGGGATTTGATGATGTCTGGGCCTTGTACCGGTCCTTGTTGGAGACCAAGTATAATTTGAAAAAAGCTTTGTTTCTTTTCAATGAGACCAGAGCCCCATTTTTGAAGCGCGTTCAAAAACAAATTGAAATTGATCAACAAATTAGTGCCAAATACATCGGCACTGCCGAAACTGATGAGGAGTGGAAAAGAAAAGTGGAGCATAGGGGTCTGTCAGCAAAGTGGATCACCGACCATAGTGTGGACAATGAGTTCGAGCAGGTTAGAGATCAAAACTTCCTACAGCTATTTGTAGATGAATAAAAGAACTTTTATAGCCTGGTATATACTCCTAGTTTGGTACGATTATACTTCAGGCTTTAGGCATCGACAGCTTCGCCAATAAGAGATCCAAGGGACTTTCTGCCCAAAATCGTGATACCCTTTGTTTGGTTCGAGCTTGTGTTGTTGAAAAACGCACCTTTTGCAATATCCCACTCGCCTTGAGTTATGCGCTGCAAACTCTTGTCGGCATAAATTCCCAAACGCTTGAGTTTTGGAGAGTTCAAGGAATCAGGGTCCAAATACGTCGCAGAAGTTGGGGTGCAGAAATAAATCGTGCTGGATCGCTTTTGGTGGTTAGGGGGCGAGGCAACTCTGTGGACACTGGATCTGAAGTAATCACCGGTCCAAAACTGAAGCGCGTCTCCAACGTTCACAACTAGGGCGCCTTGTTTGTGCTTAACAAATCCCCAAGTGTTTTCAGTATCTGGGAGCCTGATCTGGAGTGCCTGAACAGGATCGGATAGGATGAATGTTAGTGCACTAGCATCTGTGTGGCCTCGAAGCAGCGTGTTTCCTGTCTTCGAATTATACGAATCATCAGCCTCGTGGTATAACAAGAATCTACCGTAACCTGTGGCAGACTCCTTAATGTTATTTTCGACCACCCTAAAGTGGTTGTTGTAAAGCGTTCCGTCAGGAAGCTCCAGAATGATGTCAATCAACGAGAGCAATTTGCGTAAAACGTTGTTATGAAGATCAATAAAATAAGAGGTGATCTCAGGCAAGTTTTTCTCAACGGAAGGAGGGTAGCTGGCGGTCTTGACATATTCTGGGTGTGCGAAGTGGCGCAGGTTGAAAAATTCAACTCTATCCTTCTGGTCATTTATGTAAGTCCAGTAACCTCTTGGCTTGTAACCGCTCCCTCTAACAACACCCAATTGCTTATAGCTCTCTTCTGGTAGATCATTCTGGCCGGCAATGTGCTTAGCTTTCACTTCATCTGGCTCTTCAAAGACCTGACGGCCAATTGAGGATAGGTGATCGGTCACGAGCCCGTGATTGACAAGCTGGAAAAAACCGTGGTCTGTAAGGGCTTTTTCAAGACGCTCAGCAAGGGCCTGGCGGACCTCTGGGCCTTCATCAAATAAAGAGAGGTCAATTTCCTCTAATTGCACAATAGGGGTGGAGGACGACATGATGATAGACGATAATGCTGGAGATTAATATAGAGACTAGCTGTGGCGCGAATGTGGCAGTAGCAAGTGCGCCACATTGTAACCATCTAACTAAACAGGAAACTAGCGCGGGGTTTCACGAAATGAAGCCCTCGAGAGTCTTGAGTCCACTTCTGCATTTGAACAAGATCTAATAATTAGTGTTCTGAGAAATCCTAGTTGTTTCGAACTATATTGCTAGTTTATTTTTTTAGTGATTTTTGGGTAACGGATCAAACCGAAATGTACTAAGCAGTCTGATATCATTAAGTAAGGATTACGTTCAACAATTAGATGATGTATAAATTCCTATAAAGGTATTAGTATCGGCTCTTAACCGCGTATCCCCCCGTACGGGAGCCGCGTATCTCCGACAATACATCATGCAGGAGCTTATTGTCTGATAAATTATGTTTCATAATAACCGACAATCAACTCCTAGTCACGCCGATATACGTGAATATGGTCTACTTTCGCCAAATACTTTCGCCAAAGCACGGAACTGGGGCTTGAGTTCATATTGTAGTCCATTACGGGATCTTCAATGATGATGAATGGCTCTTTGGCCCAGGTGATCATGAAGTTTAACCCTAACTAATATCGTTTGCTCTCGCTGGTCGAATCGTTCGTGGATGACATGATATTTTTACTTTAGATTGTTTGATAGTGAAAAGTATTCTCCAACAGGTGACTAGTTACATAGGCATCGTTGAATTTTTTCAGATCAGAAACAAAACTTTTATTCGATAGATAGAATTTTCCTCAATTATAACCTAGTAGGCCTTCGTCACTTCCCACTAGGGGAAATCGACTCCCTGAGCACGTGCACATCATTTTCAGCCCCTTCTGGAATTTCACCAGTTTTGCTATTGTAAATATAGATACCATTTTCAATAGCGTGCTCCCGCTCCTCCTTTTTGTAAAAGAAGTAGTCAATGGATAGCAAAAAGATGAAACCGATACTGAACACAGCACATGTTGTGAAACCTTTTTCAAATCTTGGACTGTCAACAGTTGGCCAGATTAGCCTGTTAATCCACACACTAGACTGCAAGCCCATAATATAGATTATCATCCACGCAATGGCTCTGACATTGTTATCCCTGCGGAAAAGATCACTCACCAGCGGATTGAACACTGACGATTGCGACCAAGACCAGTATGCAAAACAGAACGCAAACCATTTGGCACCGTAAGACACATCCCATACCGCAAGTATCACATTGCCAATAAATGTCATAAGGAACGAAAACATGATAAAGAGATACCGCTTTCCAGTAAGGTCCGCACCACCACAAATGATGAAAACGTACAGAATTCCAAGTGCAGGTGGAATTGTTGACCAGTTATTGATTTTACCAATGTCAATATTAAGCGTTTTGAGCCACAGAGTGAACGTTCCAGCAGAAGTGTTGTTGGTGTTGAAACCCATCATGTTCGCAATACCCAAAATGTAAACGTGTGGGCTTTTAAGTGCCTTGGACCAGCTTTCCTTGGAAAAGAAACTGCCGATTTCTTGCCTTGGATCTGTGCCGTTCTCTTTCATGCGCTCACGTGCCAGTCTGATCTCATGGTCGGACAAAAAGATTGAATAACAGTGGGTAGGTGTGCCTGGGAGAGAGAACAGAGCTAGAATGGCAACAGCGAAAGAGATACACCCGTCAATAATGAACATCCAACGCCATCCCGCAAGGTTATGGTGACCATCTAGGTCTCTGAAGGCAGCCGATTGAAGCAATCCGGATGTAAGGACTCCCAGAAACTGTCCTGCGTAGAAAAGTGCACCCCTTCTTCCGACTTCGGTAGGTTTGTACCAACTGGCGAGAGTGTAGTGGATACATGGGAAATAGGCAGCCTCAAACGCTCCAACAAAAAAACGCATAGCCTGCAGAGAACCCACATTGTTGACTCTATATGTTCCTAAAGTAAAAGCTGCCCATCCGAACTCAGAAATGAAAAGTGCATAATTGATTGGCACTCTAGGCAGCAGATACAACCAAGGAAGCTCCAGTAAAATATTTCCTATGTTGAAGATTAGTTGGGTATTGATAAGGTCATTGCCTTTCATCCCAAGGTCCTCTTTCATGTTCGAAACATAGGCATTGTTGAGATTGGAGCTGTCAATGTACTTGACCCAGTACCCGATAAAAGAGTAGAAGGCTATTAGAATGTCCAGCTTCCATAGAAGTTTCATTTCTTGTTTGCTAGTTCCCTCAGGAAACCATATAAACCACTTGTACAGTTTAGACTCTTCAGTTGTCTTTCGGTATTCAAACTCGTCAAAAAACTTCCACCATGGGCGATTTGCTTCGTCCCTATATTCTTTGATCTCATGATCTACTTGGTCAGTTTTAGAGCTGGCGTAATCGTCATCGTCGACGTGACGTCGGTGTGGAATGAACCAAGGAATATTTCCAGAAGACATTGCTATACCTCCTCAGCAGCATTGTCAGGATATATATTCCACTCCACATTTGAGGGAGGACGCCACAATTATTCTCTTTTGTAAGGTCCCCATAATTTTTTATCTGGATCAAGATCGACTTCACGCCATTAACCGAACACATTATTATATTTCATAAGTCAATGGAGCGGTTGCAGATGCTGTTCATTTGATGCAAAGCCGTACGCTGCACGAACGGCTCATCTAACGGAATTGCCTTGAGTGGCCATTATTCGAAGTGTGGCAGACTGATTACTAGTTGAACTGTGGCAGACTGATTACTATAAGAAGGAACAATCCTACAATACCATGACCAGATAATTTTCCTATGGCACTGGTTTCGAAGTTTGGAACCTCAATCAGGTGGTACGAGAAAAATGCTTCTCCAGAGGAGATCAAGCTACTTTTCAAACTCGACCTTCTGATCTTGACTTATGCTTCACTTTCTTTCTTCACAAAATTCTTAGATGTGTCTGCACTCAACAATGCCTACGTTTCGGGAATGAAGGAAGATATTGGTCTTAAAGGCAATGATCTGAACTACGTGAATGCTGTATATGAATCGTGCTATTGTGTTTTTCAGATTCCAATCAATCTCCTTCTTACCAGATATCCATCTTCGGTCATTCTTCCAATATCCGAATTCTGTTGGGGCATAGCCACTTTAGGTACAGCTTTTGTTACTAATGTGCAGCAGCTGATGGCCTGCCGTGGACTTCTGGGTCTTTTTGCAGCTTCCAACTATGTGGGTTCTGTGTACATTATTTCTTCCTGGTATAAGAAATCAGAAAGAGGCAAAAGAATGGCTCTTTTCTGGATAGCAAACCCTATCGGCACTGCAGTCGGTGGGTGGCTTGAAGCCGCAATTTACAAAAATCACCATCTAGCTCTTGAAAGCTGGAGAGTTTTGTTCATTGTTTGCTCTTGTATCACAATTTTTGTTTCCTTATACGGCATGCTTGCATTGCCCAATCTTCCACATGATATAAGATCGAGGTTTCTCTCCGAGGACGAAAAGCAGCTAGCCAAAGATCGAACCACTGAAGAAAATATACAAACGCAGCGCACAAAGCTTGGTTGGAAATCATTCAGAACACTGCTGTTTAATTGGCAGCCACCGTTGATGGCTTTCCTTATTTTCTGCCAGGTGTTTTCATACTACCCGACCGGTACTCCGTTTACCTTATGGCTGAAAAGTAGAAACGAGCTTTCTGTGCCTCAGGTGAACAACATTCCCACTGGGGGCAATGCCCTTTCACTGGTGTCCGCCTTGGCTCAAGCATGGTACGCCGACACCTTTAATGATAGGTTGTCTCCATATATTTTCTCCTCGGTTTGCGCTGGTATTGGCGCCGCAATACTGGTATCTCACCATGTTTCCGAAAATGCAACCTATTTTGCCTTTTTCGCTATGTTTGCTTCACATGGTGTGGCGCCAAACTGGCAAGCGTGGGTCGGTGATGTTACAGCTTCAAACTCTGAGTTACGGGCTTATGCAATTGCTGCTGGAAATGTTGCCTCGGAGGTTGGATCACTGGTGGTCCCTCTAATAGTCTTCCAGGTTAGACAAGCTCCCGAGTTCAGAGCAGGTTTCATATTCAGTCTGGTATCTTGTGTTTGCGAGGCCATAGCAGCAATCTGTGTATACTACCTTTCCAAGAAAGAAGGAAAGATACCACTGGAGGAAATACTTGTTGTCGAACTGGAAAAGGGAGCAAGTGATGAATAACACTAGTGTAATTTTTTCGGTGGTGGAGGATTTTAATGTTAAAATATATTAACTGCAAAATTTATTTTTCAGTCTTAATAATAAGTCTAGTAGTTTAACGTATAGCCATTCCGTACTTGTGGCAGGAACCTTATATTTCTGGATTGACACACTCTTTTGGCAAGTCCCCCCACTTGCTTTTATACACTATGCAATCTTTCATAACCACCAGCAGCTGAGTGGCATAATCGTCCAAGACGCCTATATCTTCCAGGGGTTGCTTTCAAGTACGAGAAAGTCGGAGTAAAAGCCCTTCTTTATCTGGCCAATAACATTGTGCACGTCAAGCGCTTCCGCCAGTGTTATATTGGCTGACCTCAAAATGTCTGCAGCCGATAACACCTGAGCCCTCAGAGTGAAGTCTGAAGTTTGGTAACCAGTGGGTCCACCAAGGAAGTCTGAACCATAACGCAGCTTGACGTTGTGTTTTTTGGCCATACTTAGGAAAGAGAGCCTTGTTTCCAGGATAGCCATATTCTTTTGCTGAGAACCTAGGCTAACAAAGCTAGAAAACTGGTCTGAGCTCATTACTTTGTACGTGATTAGCGTGGGTGCCACGTAGACAGCTTTTTCCGGTACAAGACGTGCAGTATCCTCATCCATCAAGTTAGCGTGCTCAATTCCTTTGATGCCATTCTCGACGCAAGTCCGAATTGAGCGACTGGTATATGCATGTGTAGTAACAAACGTATCGTAAGACTCGGTCACTTTCCCAATGGCACGACTCTCTTCTTCAGTGTACTGCATATTTGTAAGTTTGTCTGTTAGAGATGGAACACCGCCACCACCCATCATTTTCAAAAAGTGAACGCCACGATGAAGATCGTCTCTTGCAGCTCTCATACACTCATTGACACCATCAGCCACAACTCCAAGTGCAGCAATATGACAGCCACAGTTATGGTCGGAAGCTGCTGCACATGCAGAAACACCGCTCGGTCTGAAGTGTCCATGTCAGCCTGTGTGAGAGATGAGAGATGGCGGGTCCAGAGTAGAACAGACGAGGGCCGCTAATTACACCTTCCTCAATTGCTTGGAAAAAAGGATACTGGCGTGGCGGGGTGGCGGGGTGGCGTGGCGGGGTGGCGGGGTGGCGGGGTGGCGGGGTGGCGGGGTGGCGGGGTGGCGGGGTGGCGGGGTGGCGGGGTGGCGGGGTGGCGGGGTGGCGGGGTGGCGGG